TCGCGCCGCGGTTCGTGTCTTTCCGGGTCAAAAGGACAGACGAGTCGATTCGAGTGCTTACTTTCCCGTTTCAACATCGATCCAGCAGGTGGCAGTAGTACTCCACCCCTAGCGGAGTAAACTGCCATTAAACTACAACGAAGAAGAAGAAGACAGAGGATGCTGTCGTGTTTCAAGATTTGCGGTTGCATTTTCTTTTTTGCGTTTGCGTGTGTGATTTGCTGTCGTGTTTTCTCTTTTGCGGCCACCGTACTATGCCCCGCCCACAACACTATCTGATTGGTGTGATGGAGCTGTACTGTAGGTGTAACTGATGCTGATGTGTCTGTTTTGGTTGAACATTCGCTGACAGTATTTCAGCAAAGTTTTGGTCTGTAAACTATAATGTAGCAAAGAGATTCCCGCACGCTGTCCAACTTGCAATCAATCATCTATTTACAACGTTTCGGTCCTCGACCTTCATCAGGCAAACAGTTTTTTGTTCAAGAGAAGCCATCTTAAATAAGGACGCACCTGTCTTTTTATAGATGTGCGAAGTGCTTCCTTGGTTTGTCAACTATAAAATTAAACTTTGACAGGAAGTTCCTCATTGTGAGTGTAAAAATGCGATTTTAAGTCGATGCGGTGACTTCTACTTCAGAGTCACGTCTGTTTTTTTTTTATGCGGTCGTTCAGTCAGCTTTTAGCAGAGACTCAAACCCAGACTTGGTCACGTTGTCCCTGCTGTCGAGCTCTTTCCTCACGCCTTTTTCTGAACACTCAGTCATGTTACTTACCTGGTGCAGATGAAGTCATCAGCCTGAGCTGTGCGTTTTAGTTTGTGCTGACTGTTTAATCCAAACACACGCTGCTGTAAACACAAGAGTCCAGATTATCCTCTAAGTGAAACAAACCAAACTTTATTCTCTCTATGTCTCTCTTCAGGTCCCAGTATTGGCAGTTTGTTCCACATGGCCGATGATCTGGGCCGTGCCATGGAGTCACTGGTCATCGTGATGACGGACGAGCAGAGCGCCGAACAGCACGAGGCCCTGCCCATCTGATCCAATCTCCTCCCCTCTTCCCTACCTGTCGCATGCTTTTTTTAGTCAAAACAACTGGATCGGAAACACAGTTTACAAAGAGAATATATAACGTCTATTTTTGTGAAGGATTGCGGTTCCAGCAACGACGTGTAAAAAAAAGAAAAAAAGAAATGAAAAACATTATAACTTGTAGATTTCAGTAGTTTCTTAAAACGTCCTGAAGTTGTTTTATTATTAACAGAGGCTGGTTTTTAAACTTCTATGCAATTGTATAAAACAAGAGTGGGGTAGGGAGGGGGGGAGGGACAGCGAACGATGATAAACAAACAAGTGTGTTCAGTGTGGGTGAATATTTGCCATCTCTTTGTAACCGGGAAAACAGCAAAAGCATTTCAGACATTTGTATCAAAAAAAAAGGATGATTGTAATCATAAGGGTGCTTTCTAAGAGGAAAATGTCTTTCTATAACAGCGTACACTACTGTCAAGGTAATGCAGGCATCTTGGATCTTTACAGTACGTTGTCTGTGAGTTTGTGTGTGTGAGTGTGTGTGTGTGTGTGTGTGTGTGTGTGTGTGTGTGTGTGGTGCCTAATATCCACATGACAGTGCAGCTTTTCCTTATTTTGGCCTAGGCTGACATCTTCTCCACTCATCCGTCCGTCAGTTTGCTCATCCATCCACCATATTATTAACGTCTCCATGGCAACTGTTTATATTCCTGCGGGGTTTTTTTTTCTTCTTTTTTTTCAGTACAGTGTACTACGTGCTAAAGCAGACTCTGTAATTGGCGCGATTCAGAACTGAGAGTCAACAAGGTCACTTCAGAACAAACAGACGTGCTGGGAAATAAATTACACACGACTGAGCATCGATATTTACAGAATAACTTTGAATAAACACAGATTTAAAATGAAATCTATATTTGTAACCCCAGAAATCTTTAGATCCTACATTTCCCATAATGCAACTTTCATGCTCTTTCAGTAGATTAATATCAAACTCTTCGACAGCCTGATTCCTCATATATGAAATATTGAGGATTGTCCCTTTATTTTTCTTCATTTTTATCTTTAATTGAATTACTCGTGGATGTTTTTTAACAGGATATAGATTTAAAGGTTTATTTAGAAGCTTGATTCATGGAAAAAGAAATATACAGGGTACCTGCTTTCACTTTTGAACGTGGCTAAAATCAATCATGACTGTGGGGAGAAGCTCCACCCAACACTGGCGTCCACGAGTCTTTTGATTTCTATCTTTCATGTAGATATGAAAGCCTTAAACCTGAAACTGAGTCTTTTTTTTCTCTCGCTCTTCTGCTGTTGGCTTTTTATCTTCAGTTCTGCATCGGGCTTCAGCAGAATCCCACAGACAGTCCGTTTGAATTAAGAGAAAACGTCCTGATTATTGCACTGGTGCATCTTAGGTTAGCGATTAATTTAAAGCTCCTGTAAGGGATTTTTAGCTGATTATCAAACGTGCTGAAATTGGTTTATGGGCTACGAAAGCAAGCGAGATTATTCGGGACGAGGCTGACTGGGTCTGTTTAGTTATTTTAGATGTTAAGTGTCAGATAAAACCATTTACATTGCACTGAAAAAACAGCCTTCGTTTACATTTTTCATGGGGAAGACTCACAACAACAGAGATTTTTAAACGAGACATCAGCAAAGAAAAAGGACGCCAAAACAACAACACCATAACAGATTCAGCAATCACTCTTTTGTCCACAGGGGGGCGCCAAAATCAAAGTTCCTCACAGGAGTTTTGATTTTTTCCAAACTTGGATGCTATCTTGTGTTTTTAAAGTCTGCACAGACACTCTCCTGATTATTGGGTTTTACTTCCATTCTCCATGTTAGCAGTACTGTAAGAGAAGCTTATAAGAATGTGACTTTAATTGAATCTGAGCACTACAGAGTTACAAGGCTGCTAGATGAGATTATTTTTGATGAATCCCTCTGTTCGCAGAGAAATATTTGAGCTCTAGGAGGCCCTGTAACGTCAGCTCTACCTCGTGTGAATGGTCCGGAGGCGATTTCTCTACTGTACTCACACTAAACACCTTTATCAGATTGTTGATCGGTTATTTCTGGGTTGTTTCGTCATGTCAGACACTGCTCCAAACATGTCCCTCTGCACTGTAGGAGCCTCCGATCTGAATGTTCGGATGCATTCACTGCATTTATCATCTCTCACAGAGACTTACACGACTCAAAGGACTCCGTGTGCACTACTGTCATACCTGGGACTTACTAGATATTTGTTTTCTGTGTGGAGGATGCTTTTAATTTAGCCGAATGTTACATTTCGTCCTTGTTTTAAAAGGCTTTTTTTTTGTTTTGTGCTGTGTGAGGTGTTACAATATTAGCATGTGTGACTCCATGAATGCCATCTTTATTTAACGTGTAACCACTCAGACGTCCGCGTCGTGTGTTTTTTCGGCATCGTATTCTCTCAGCATGAGCCAAAAGGGTTTCTGTTTTTGATCCAGACACTGAATTTGATTTCGTTTGTTTTTCATTTCTAATAATTGTTTCATTCTCACATCATTTTTTTTTCCAATAACGCATCAATACTTCACAACATATCAGATTCCACCAAATATATGCCTTACTACTGTATTATAAAATGCTTTACTGTATATCAATAAAGCACGCAGTTATGTTGACTTGACTGGCCCGGTTGATTTGCTCTTTTTTCTGTTGGTTTCCGGATATTTATTTAGTTATTGAACAGGAAGTAGTTAAACAGTCATGTTTAAGAGAATTGGTGCAAGAATAAACCATCACTACACACGTTGACCTTACATTTTGACATACTACATGATCCACATTTCGCTTCTTAACCCACACAGAAGTCAGGTGAGTTGGCCGGCCAATCAAGCTCACTAACACCAGGGTCAGCAAACCAGTTTCCGGTAGTTGTGATCCCATGAGCAGGTACCAGGTCCAGCTAGGAGAGTGAATCTGTGTCTCCATGAAGCTTCTCAGCTGATGGAAGTGTAAATTAATGTAAAACCTCGAGTGTGGACTTTTGTCTGTGTTCATCTGGACAGCACCACAAATCATCACAGTCTGGAAATCTCAAGCACCTTGGATTGGAGTTTTTCAGTACACTTAAAATTTTTAGCTGCACTTGTATAAAGTATAAAAGTACTTAATTTAGAAGTGTCCAACAGAAATATTTTGCGAAATGTAAAAGTTATTTTGATACCTTCTACTGTATGACTCTCATGATTTAGCACCTTTATTTATTAAGAGTAAAGACATGACTGCAGTGTTTAAACTGACATGGAGTTTTCCATAGATAAGATTGTGACCAGGGAGAAAATTTACAAATGTACAAAAACTGATTTATTTATCGTTGCCACGTTTTAGGATATCCTTGTTGCCAACAACATGGATAATATAAAATGGGGTTGTAAAACTCCAGTATTGTAGATAGATAGATAGATAGATAGATAGAACTGTATGTACAATATTATTATTATTATTATTATTATTATTATTATTATTATTATTATTATTATTATTATTATTATTATTATCTTAATATTAATAATATTTTTATTATTGATATCATCATTAATTTATTATTTTTATTATTATAATCATTATTATTATTATTATTAGTAGTAGTAGTAGTAGTATTATAGTATTATTATTGTAGTAATTAAGTAGTACAAAAGTAATTCCTTAAGTCTTTAGTGTCGTGGTATTTCTTGGTTTGGCAGTCTTTTTTTTTTTTTTTTTTTGGTATTTTTAAGTGTTTTAACATTTTTGCTAATGCACCTTAGGTGTAATTTATACCTTTTCCGCACATTTTCATAAAGTAAATGACTAATTTTTGGTTATTTTCGGTCGACGCCATAGAACTCATGAGTTGTATTTACCGTCTTTGTCCACTAGATGTCGCCCGAAGCCTTTTGTTACTATGTGGTTTATGACGGCGCCAACCCGGAAGAAGTTTGAGGTCACGTGTCTGTATTTACATGCTGGTGGTTAGCGTCGTTGTGGAGGATGCTGTACACACTCTCTAAATGCAGAATTAATGCCATAACGTGATAAAATAACGCGAATCAGCGGCTTTAATGTCTTAAAGTAGAGGAAAGATGTCTGCTTTCAGCGCTGAGCTTATCGACTATCTGGAGGGGAGGATAACTTTTGAGGAGTTCGACAAGCGGAGGGATGAAAACAAACCAAAGGTAATGTTCAGTTCATGGGGGGAATTAGGAGTTTTGCAAGTGAGCTCACCTAAGTCTGCTATGAGATATTTTTACTGGAAATTGCTCGATTTTTTTCCTCTCCCAGGATTCAGAGGAATTCACTGAAGATGTGGAGGGAGATGCTGAGCCCTCCACCTCTGCTCAGACCCTGGTCCAAAAAGGTCAGTCTGCTGGGTTTGAGATAAAACTCTTACTTATTCAAACGTAGAATTTTACAGGGGAAAACCACGGGGTTTTATAGACAAACGGGACAAAATATCGAATGTACGATTCATCGTAGTTTTGTAGCGAGACCTCGGGGCGGTCCATTACAGGCTGCTGCGGGGTGACGCAGCTCAAGGAAGAACATTTATGATCATTTCTTTATCATTTCCTTGAAGTAATAATCACAATATTAATCATTTTGCTCTGCAGACACGGTAGTTCTTCTGCCTTACCGTCTCAGTCTGATTACATTTCCATGAAGAAGTTATCATAAATGTTCCTCCTTGAGCTGCATCACCCCGCAGCAGTCCGTAACGGACTCGCCTGAGGTCTCACTACAAACAAGCAGCTGCTGGAAGAGAGTGGGTGAGTTGTGTTTAGTCTCTTTGCTAAAGAAATGAGTCAAAGTTACAAAGATGTTTGGTGTCTAGTACTATGGCTGGGACCCTATATGTCCTGTTGATGAAGTTAGGTGCTGTTCTGATCATTATTTGTGGCTATAGAGTGGCGTTTTGGTTGAGGTTTGTTTATGGCTCCTTAGACTGCTGTGTATTGCTATTGTGGGGTCATTACTAAATTTCATTTGTTTTTCATTGGTTGCCAACATTCATCTCTCGAGGGGGTGTCTAACTCGGTGTTATGGTGTGTTTGACTCTAAACTAATTTTACGCCGAACTCCTTGTGGGCCCCAAAAACACAAATTAGCAGCAGACAAATTTGTGTGCAACTGTATCTCAAGAGACAGTGCTTTAAAATGTAAATATATATATGGTAATTTTTTTTTTGTTGTTGTTGCATGGGATAGAGGAACAAGTGCAGACCACCCAACCTGCACCTTTTCTTGGAGGTAAAAATGCTGGAAAATCTGATCAATTTGGCTCATTTTTGGTTTTCTCTTTGAAATGTGCAACTTTGCATCTGATTTTCACACCCTTATCTTAAAATAACAATGGATAACTACCACATGTCCAGTCTGAACTATTAATAAATTAGGACTTAAGATTCTGGACTTTATTACTCTATATTTGAGACTGTCCTCTCTCTCTCTCTCTCTCTCTCTCTCTCTCTCTCGCTCTCCAGAGGAAGGTGTCAGCGCAGGGGTCCAGCTGGCCTTCGCCTCCATGCTCAGTGAAACGCCCCAACCGCCGTCTTCGGGAGAAGAAGAAGAGGCAGAGGCAGAGGAGGACAGCCTGAGCTTTGTCGACGATGAGGACGATGAAGACTATAAAGTGGAGGAAGAGGAAAAGGCGGCAATGGTTGGGGTGGAGAAGCCGGAGAGGAGGAGGATGCGACGCGGGAAAGGAGGGAGAGGGAGAGGGCGCAGGAGGAGGAGACGGATGGAGGACGAGGATGAAGATGAGGACGAGGATGTCACAGTGGGGGACGTGTTCGCGCTGGAGATGGACCTGACCCGGGAAAACAAGAAAATGATGAAGGTGAGGATAAGGAAGATGAGGAAGAGTGTCCATCTTTTTTCATTTGTCTCCTTTTGTGAAGTTTTTTTTTCGTGTGTGTGCGTTTAGGAGCGGCGCCATCGCAGTAAGCTACCTCGAGCTCTAAGAGGCCTGATGGGAGAGGCAAACATCCGCTACGCACGGGGAGAGAAAGAGGACGCCATCTTGATGTGCATGGAGATCATAAGGCAGGGTATGACACGACAAAGCTAACGACGACCGTCACTCACAGCAAACAGGAGGAGTGTTGAAAGTGTACATCTCGTCTTACAGCTCCTCTGGCCTTCGAGCCGTTCTCCACGTTGGCGATGATCTACGAAGACAATGAGGACGTAGAGAAGGCGCTGCAGTTCGGTCTGATCGCCGCCCACCTGAACCCCTCGGACTGTGAGGAGTGGATCCGACTGGCTGAAATGTCTCTGGAGCAGGACAACATCCGACAGGCCATCGTCTGCTACACCAAGGGTCGGTCAATGAACCTCTGACGTCTGCGCCCTTCTCTCCGTATTTACACACACATCATAAAGGGGCGGGGCTAAAACATACAGAAAGCATCTCTCTGGTGCTTTTAAATATCTGTATTTATACTCTTTTTCTCGCTCCCCTTAGCCATCAAGTACGACCCCACCAACGTGCGCTACCTGTGGGAGCGCTCCAGCCTCTACATGCGCCTGGGCGAAAGCAAACAGTGCATGGATGGATACCGAAGGATCCTGTCGCTGCTGCCCATGGAGGAAGGAGAGCACTTCATGCAGCTCTCAAAAGACATGGCTAAGTACGGGATCACTCAGAGACCGAGATGACTTCTGTTTTTGTTTCAGTCGTTAACCAGAACTAATTGTTCACATCTGTGTCGTTCAGGAGCTACTATGAGAGCAACGACTTGGTCTCAGCTCTCGGCGTCATAGAAGACGCTCTGGCTCGACACCCCGACCTGGTCAGCGATGATTTCATCAACATGGCGGCTGAGCTTTACATCGCCAATCGTCAGTACAACGAAGCGTTGGAGGTACTTGTGAAAGTTGGAGACAAAATCAAAAACTCAGACTCGGATTCGCTGAATGTGCGAATAAAATGTCGTGTTTCCTCAGGTGTTGGTCAAATTCGCAAGCATAGTTTTGTTCAGGGAGGAGTCCAAACCTGACAGATCTGCACCTGCACAAGAAGAAGTAAAAGTGGAGACGTCTGCTGAGGAGCAAGAGAAGAAGAATGAGGAAGGTGCAGAATCGAAAATGGCCGAGGAAACAGCAGAGGAGAAGGAGGGTAGGTCTTAACTTTGACTTTGTCTGGTGTCACTTGCTGCTGGTTTGAGTTTATTTAGATATTTATAAACACTAAGTTAAATCATATATATCTGCCTTGAGATCAAAAATACTCCGAGGTTGAAAGACTTCGATATTTTTATTTCCACAAGGGAGGATTGAAAAGTGTGTTTGAGAAAGCACTGCTGCTTCTCCATTGTATTACTGATAAGATAATTGCATTAGAGAGTCTGACCCTGAGAGGATGAGCTGACATTTTGAGTTGGCAGCAAAAGTGAAGAGTTTTTTTTCTCTCCTGCTCTCTTTGTTCCGGCGCCGCATTGTCTTCCTGTCATGTGTGGGCACAAATTAACCGTGTCAAATTTATTATCTACCCACTTGACAGAGTGCATAAAGGACTGGTCTGGAGAAGGAAATCCCTTTGTGGTATTTTGTTTAGGAAGTTAAAGTAACAAGAGCCGCACCCTTCTTAAATTAGATGTCAAATACGATTGAGAAATTTAGAAATATGTACGAGTTTTCAAATTTTGAGATTGTTTTTGCATCAGATCTAGAAATTCAGTCATCTCAAAATAGAGCTTGTTTGCACATATATATGCAGCAACTCGGTCAAGCCTCTTCTGCATTTGCACACCTGAACTTTTCGGGAGCTTTACCCTGAAATCTTCTGGGGTTGCTTGATCACACTCGAATGGATTAAACGAAAGGTGAGGGGTGGATCTGAAGAGGCGGGACACGGCATTAAAAGCTTTTAAATCAGTGCTCTGTTTGTGTCATTTTAACAGGGGAAAAAGCCCAGGCAAAGTCAGGTGTAATTTGAGGCTGTTTGAGGTCACACACATATACAGCTCACCCTGAAAATTTCTCATACTTTCAGAATGAGACTTCTCCTTTAGTGAACTTGTCAGTCAGACTAAACAAAAGACTGCGTTTGCACACCTGAACTTTTTGGGAGCTTTACCCTGAAATCTTCCGGGGTTGCTTGATCGCACTTGAATGGATTAAACGAAAGGTGAGGGGTGGATCTGAAGAGGCAGGACATGGCATTAAAAGCTTTTAAATCAGTGCTCTGTTTGTGTCATTTTAACAGGGGAAAAAGCCCAGGCAAAGTCAGGTGTAATTTGAGGCTGTTTGAGGTCACACACATATACAGCTCACCCTGAAAATTTCTGGTACTTTCAGACTGAGACTTCTCCTTCGGTGAACTTATCAATCAGGCTAAACAAAAGCCTGCATTTGCATACCTGAACTTTTCGGGAGCTTTACCCTGAAATCTTCTGGGGTTGCTTGATCGCACTTGCATGGATTAAACGAAAGATGAGGGGTGGATCTGAAGAGGCAGGACACGGCGTCAAAAGCTTTTAAATCAGTGCTATGTTTCTCTTAATCAGTGAAATTTTTGTGTCATTTTAACAGGGAAAAAGCCCAGGCAAAGTCAGGTGTAATTTGAGGCTGTTTGAGGTCACACACATATACAGCTCACCCTGAAAATTTCTCATACTTTCAGAATGAGACTTCTCCTTTAGTGAACTTGTCAGTCAGACTAAACAATAGACTGCGTTTGCACACCTGAACTTTTTGGGAGCTTTACCCTGAAATCTTCCGGGGTTGCTTGATCGCACTTGAATGGATTAAACGAAAGGTGAGGGGTGGATCTGAAGAGGCAGGACACGGCATTAAAAGCTTTTAAATCAGTGCTATGTTTGTGTCATTTTAACAGGGAAAAAGCCCAGGCAAAGTCAGGTGTAATTTGAGGCTGTTTGAGGTCACACGAATATACAGCTCACCCTGAAAATTTCTGGTACTTTCAGACTGAGACTTCTCCTTTAGTGAACTTGTCAGTCAGACTAAACAAAAGACTGCGTTTGCACACCTGAACTTTTTGGGAGCTTTACCCTGAAATCTTCTGGGGTTGCTTGATCGCACTTGAATGGAATAAATGAAAGGTGAGGGGTGGATCTGAAGAGGCAGGACACAGCATTAAAAGCTTTTAAATCAGTGCTGTGTTTGTGTCATTTTAACAGGGAAAAAGCCCAGGCAAAGTCAGGTGTAATTTTAGGCTGTTTGAGGTCACACACATATACAGCTCACCCTGGAAATTTCCAGTACTTTTAGACTGAGACTTCTCCCTCAGTGAACTTGTCAATCAGGCGAAACAAAAGCCAAACAAAAAAGGTCTGTCTTCACGCTGATCTATCCTATTATCCTGTCAGAACAACAATCTGAGCCTGTCAGGAGGATAAATATGCACAATCACCCTCTAATTACAGCATCAGGGCTGTCGTCGTCTGTTTCAGCTGCAGACTGGAGAGATCTAAAAAAATTCTGCGTCTTTCACTTTAGACACCAGATTGTGTCGGATTTTAACCAGGTGATCAAAATTAGCATCAAAACAGAAGTGGGCCAAGAACGGATCCTTGTGGGACTCCTTAACCAGAATTTATTGTAAGTTTGGAATTTTTTCGAGCGCTCAGAAACACTCGGAGCAACATCTACGATAACCGGGTATAATAAGAAACCGTCCCATTTCGACAACGCCGAAGGAAACGGAAGTCTGATGTGATTTACCGGTTTACTGAAATAGCGCTCGCTGACATCTTTCACACCTTGACTGTGAATTTTCACACATCCCCCACTCTCTCCTTCACCAGCCGTTATAGCGGTTATTTTTGGATCATAGTAAAGCTGATTGACAAGCTGTGTGTGTATGTGAACGTTCAGGTAAAATCAAGGATGTGGATGTACCAGACAGCGTCCCAGTGGACCTCAGAGCCAAACTGATAGTCTGTCTCATTCACCTGCATGTCCGCTCACCCCTAGAGGTAAGAATCACACAAAGTTCAGACCATGATATATATTTCCAGTGCTGCTTTTCCTTTTTTAGACCACAGATGGGAAGAAATAAAGTCTACATATCTGTTTCCGCCCCCTCACAGGGTCTCGTGTTGTCTCTGATGGAGCAGAGCCCAGAGGAGATTGGCGACTTGTACCTGGATGTGGGTGAAGCCTACCTGGAGGAGGGAGAGTACATGTCGGCTCTGCCTTTGGTGTCTGCTCTGGTCATATCTGAAAAGTACAACCTGGCTGTCGTCTGGCTCCGACATGCAGGTAAGCTCAAAGAAGAGAAATAATCAGTGTCGTAAACTTGCGGCGTTTGGAGAAGAAATATTCTCCTCGATCGCGTCATCCTCGCAGAGTGTCTGAAGGCGCTGGGCCACATGGAGGAGGCGGCACAAAGCTACACCAAGGTGGTGGAGATGGCTCCTCAGCACCTGGAGGCTCGTCTCTCCCTGGCCACCCTGCAGCAGCAGCTGGGCCGCCCGGAGTGCGCCCTAAAGGCCCTGGAGTCGATGTACGACAGCGACACGCTGGCTCAGGATTCCTCCGCTGCTCAGAAGGTCAAAAATCTTAACATCTCTTCACTCTTTATTTAGTCCGTCTTTGTCTCCACACATGTTGTCATATCTCTGTATCCGTCTTTTATACGTGGGGGTTTTAGGAGTTAAAGCTGCTGCTTCATCGCTCCACTCTGCTGAAGACTCAGGGGAAAACAGAAGGATACCTGGACGCAATGATCAGCATGATCTCCATGCTGCTCAAGGTAACACACTGAGCAATAAACAGCTGTTAGACATCTAGTTTTTTTTAGACCTAATTTCAACCGTCTAGATTCTGTATATTTTTAATTTAGACGTTGCACTTTAAAGGGGACCTGACATCAAAATTTCATACCCATTTTTATCATTTTTCATAATCCTTGATGTCCTCTGATCATGTTTGCAACATAATTTTAGCTGAAAAGTTATTTGATGGTTTGTTTTAGTATGCCTAAAAAACCTTACAGGAAAACCAACTGGTTTTGGCTCATTAACATTTATGGTAATGAGCTTTGCTCTGATTGGATCGCTGCTGTGAAGCCTGCTGTGCTCTGATTGGCTCAGCAGTGGAGGTTCTGATTTCGGTTTATCCATTTTGCTAATGTTTGCTAAAGTAAGGTGACCAGATGTCTGTAATGATACTCGGGGATATTCGGTGCGGTGGCGGCGGCGGCGGGTGCAGGGGCTGCGTGATCGCAGACAAAGTCTCGGTACAATTTAGTAGAAGCTCATGCCCCTTGTAATAACACCCTTAAAAACTGTTGTTCAGGACTGCTTACTTGTGCATCCTACCCATTCGGCTACTGTAATAACCGTTGTTCGAGCCCACACGCAACATTTTTGCTCTCATTCATGAAACGCTTAAATCGGGGACATTTTCGGGGACAGCTTTTGCCTTTGTTCTTGATCTGTAAAGCACTTTGAGCTGCATCTCATGTCATGAAAGGTGCTATACAAATAAAGTTTACTATTATTATTATTACTATTATTATTATTATTATTTTAGATCAGTCGTCTTGGCCACATTTAGACATCTATTATCGTCCTCTTTTAGACCAAAAAATGCTCAGTGGGAATAGATCATCCCTACCCTCTGTCTTTGTTTTTAACTTTATAAATCATATGAATATGTTGTGCGTTATTTTGTACGTGTGTCCCAGGTGTCCATGCAGCGAGCGAAGGTGTGTGTTCGCTCCATGATTGTGTCAGGGGAGAGTCACCTGAGGCTGGTGAAAATGAGCGACACAGTGCCAGAGCTGGACGACCACGAGGCTGCGTACCTGGATAACACCGGTACAAATCCTCCGTTTGTTTGTTTGTTTGTTTGTTTGTTTGTTTGTTTGTTTGTTTGTTTGTTTGTTTGTTTGTCGTGTGCTTTAAGTCTCGACTCCTGTCGGCCCGACTCATAAACGGAGCTCGTAGTTGGCAGGAGTGGAAGAGTTGGCTGCGTTTTGTTCACTGTCAGCACTTGTTAACAGTCGCCATATGTGGAGAAAAGCTGTTTAAAAGGGGGGCATTGGAAACTTTACAGGCTTTGTAATTGATATACCACGTTGACCTGAATATGAGGCGGAGTTTTTCCTCTAAATACATCTAAAAGGGAGCGGCTGTCTGCTGCATTTGCTCCCCAGGTAAAACTAACGTCCTGTCCAAGGAGGACTGGTGGCAGCTGCTGCTGAGCTGCGTGCTCACGCTGAGCGAGGTGAACCGCCACGAGGAGGCCGAGCTGCTGGTGGAGTCGGCCATGGAGTTCTTCTCTTTCTATGACAACAAGCCCAAGAGGAAGGAGATGGAGTTCATCGGGCTGTCGGCCACCATCCTCGACCGCAACTACCACAAAGCCTACAACTACATCAGGTGGAGTCTCAGCTGCTGCTCCGTCAGACAGGGACTGAAACGGCGTTGTTTTCATGTATTCATGTTTGTTTACTTTGTCAGATTGATGCTGATGGAGAACGTGGATCTGCCTCAGCTGTGGAATACCTTCAACCAGGTGCGCCCACGTCTCTTTAACCCCTTCTCAGCGCAGGTTTCACTCCACACACACACTCAGTTTCATTCTCCTCCTCCTCCTCAGTTGACGATCACCTCCCACCACCAGCGCCACCACCGCTTCTGCCTGCGTCTGCTCCTGAAAAATCCAGACAACCACGCCCTGTGCGTCCTCTGTGGACACAACGCCATGGTGTCAGGGAGCTTCAAACACGCTCTGGGTACGGAGCACAAAGCTGCAGCTGACTGAGCTGCTTGTTCGGCATGTTTTAGCTTTGAGAAGTACAAACGGCTTTGAAATTCCCCTGTGCTGCAGTGACCTCGCCCCCTGATGCTCAGGGTTGCTATAGAGTTCTTGTTGCTTTGACAGCACAGCTTAATGCAACTGTTCTTCTCGCTCTGCAGCCTCTTAGAAGTGCAGTAAAAGAAGGAAACGGCATAAAGAGGGTAACGAATAACTTTGAGGACAAAAGCAAAGATTTTAAAAGTTTTAAAAAGGTTTTTTTTGTGGTGTTTATACAAAAAAGCTTTTAATATCAGTCAATAGTTATTAGTTATTGATGACATTTGGCAATATCACGATATCTCTGTGTTCTCTTATGCCTGTTTTGAGCGGCCTGCTCTTTCTGACTGTAAACAAAGCCGTTCTCCGCCTCCCAGACCCGATTGGTTGTGAGGTGGACGCTTCTTACTCGCTCCTCGGATAATGTTCACGAGCCCAAACAAAGTTAGCGTGCTACAATATCGGACAGTAGAAACCAGCCAGAAAGTACAGAAAATTGTCTGAATCCTCCTTTGGCCACGACTGCCGATACAAGTAAGAAAACAAAGTAAATACCGGAGACTCTGGCGGAATAACAGGCGCTTAAAAAGGAGGTAGACCGGATGAGAGCTAAGAGGCCGAGTCAACGTCAATGAAGCATAAACGATGGGGGACGCTTGGGGATCTTGGTGACCCTGTAACCTTTCTGCTGGACAGGTAAACCGCTTTAACAAAGTAAGACAAGTGTCTGTAACAGAAGTGTTTCTTGTCAAACGGACCTGCTGTAGCGTGTTGTAGCGCCATCGCTAAACTGTCCTCCCTCGGGTCCTGGACTATGTCACTTTATCCTCGTTGTAGAAGTCCTGCAAACATTGTGTTTGCTGGTTGTCTGTTGGCATCTACAGTAGCACCAATGCTTTTTACTTTCACGTTGACTGGGCCCCATTTGTAATTATCTGAAGTATTTATCTGCATTATATCTGAATTTAACTGGAACGATACGAGCGAGCAGGAGCGTCTGTTTGTGGGCGGGGCTTGAGAGGAGGAGCTGAGGGGAAAACTGGTTTTGAGGGGTAGAGTTTACATTAAAGATTTCTCCTAAAAACTGACACTTCCTCAGATCCTGACTACCCCACCTTGAAATTGTGTCTAAATTTGTGGATTTCATAGGAGCATTTTCCTCCCACATTATGTGTGTTTTTTAGGTCAGTATATTCAGGCCTTCCAGACTCACCCTAACAACCCGCTTTACAGCCTGTGTGTGGGTCTCACCTTCTTCCACATGGCCTGTCAGAAGTACACAGCCAAACGGCACACTCTGATCCTGCAGGTAAGATCGTGTTTGCGGAGATTTCTGCAACTGTGCACCTTCTCCCGTCTGTTTTCAAACACGCGAGTGTGTTCACAGGGTTTCTCCTTCCTGTGGCGGTACTTGGAGCTGCGTGGAGAGTGTCAGGAGAGCCTGTACAACCTGGGCCGGGCGCTGCACCAGATAGGCCTCACACACCTGGGCATACATTACTATCAGAAGGCGCTGACACTGCCTGCAGAGAAACTGGAGGTGCTTAGATATTCAACGCAAGGATGAGACTTTCCCAAATTTGCACATCTGTCTTCATCTGGTCTGTCTCCTCCTGCAGGGTATCCCAGCTGATCAGGTGGATCTGAGCCGGGAGATCGCCTTCAACCTCGCCTATATTTACCAGTCCAGCGGGAACACGGAGATGGCACGGCAGCTCATGAGCAAACACTGCATCGTTTGAAAAGGCATCATCAAGGACTAAAACGGACTCGTTCAAATATTTATAAATCCAGCCAAACTTCCATGAAGACGCCTGGAATCGGTCTGCTTGTCATTTGGATGGAAACCTGATGTAGAAGATGACATTTTGAACAGAATATGTACATATTTTCCACATTAAAACTACATTGGAGTTTCTTATTCTTTATTCTCCGCACTTAAAGTCAGGTCATGTGATGGGATAACGAGGAAAAGAGAAAAAATTGATGTCTTTTATTTTGAAAGGATGTTTTTTTTTTTATTGCCAGTTCAGTGCCTAGTTTGATGTATATGCATAGGTAGAATAAACTAACTATATATTTAACAAAACAAAAATAAGTGCATGTTCATTCACACATGCAGGTTCACTAAGGTGAGTTATAACAGTACAAACATGGATGTTTATTAGTGTAATATGAGGGAAAAGGTGCAAGCGTAGACTTTCTCTTTTGTTGTTCCAGGGATTATGGTGGTGGGATTACTTGCCAAATCCCACCCTCTCTCCCATCCAGTCGTCTGCTCCCGTCCTGTTCCCTCCCAGGGTCACTGCACTCCATTTAGGCCAGCACCAGGGACTGACAGACAGCCAGACCTCCTGGTAAGAGGAGGGGGCGGACCTTGTTTTGTGCTCAATTTTAACATATTTAATTTAACGTAATCCTCTAAAATTCTTCCACATATCGGATACAAAGCCGGCTGTGTGATATTTGACCTTTTATGGATAATTTTCTGCTTCTCTGAGTAAAACGGGGGCGTTGCAGATCTATGAAAACGCCTCTTTAAATTTTAAAGCAGGATGAATCTTAATGGGACCCTCTGAGCGTCGTCTCCCCCCTCTTTTATCCTAGATTGACCTTATTCAACCACACCCCTCTGTTTATGTTCGTTAAAATGGTGATATTATGCTCTCTGTTGGAATATATGGAAGCCCAAACTGGACATTTAGTGATAATGAGTCATTTACAGGTATTTTCTTAAGGTTGCAAAAAAAAAATGGTTTCATCTTGGATTTCAAAATCTTTTTTTTTTATTATTATTATCATTCTGGAGTCTGGAACAACTAGCCTGTTCATAACGTCAGCTGATCTTGTTTTGAAGAGGCTTTTTTATTCACAAAACAAGATTAGATCTACAAGAGATCATGAAAAGAGGGTGCTGTCTTTTTTTCAAAAAGGTTGGTTTATATATGGATCAATAACCCACTGAGCATTTTTTGGTCTAAAAGAGGTCTAATAGACGTTTAAATGTAGTCTAGACGACCGTAGATCCGTTTTCAGACGTCTACATTTAGACCTAGTTTAGACTAGTTAACTTACCCCATACACGGGGTAAGTTGACCATATGAGACCACTTTTTTTTGGCATGCTATATTATCAAGACAGTTCTGTTTACACTCATTCTGTTGGTTTGCAGGGATGAACAACATCTTGAAATATCTGCAGATACACTAGTTAGAGACAAAACTATGATTGACTTGATGTAGTGATCCAAAGTATGAAAAATGGCTCATCTTACCCCACTCTCCCCTATCCCCTTGAAACCTCATGTGACCCCCTCATGCCACCCTAAAGAGGGTCCGCGACCCTCAGATTGAGCACCTGTGATTCCAAAGAGGGGGTTAGTGGGAGGTGTTAAATCACCAGTTACTGAGATGCCGAGCTCGAGCAGTATGGACTCCACCAACAAGGCCTGTCTCTAAAAACAAAGTTCAGGACCAGTATTAACAGGAGAGTGCGTGTCTGGGATCGCACTGCGGTTGTTTTGACGCCGTCTGTCATGGCAGAGCGCGCGGACAGCGGGGAGAAAGCGCGTGAGGCGGCGGAAACAGGGCGGCGGATGTGAAGTGGACCAGCCGAATAAATAAGATATGAACGCGTCTTTCTTTCCAACCAGCCTGGCACCATGACGGAGGAGTAAACGACGTCGCGTAGAGGACGGGGTGGTAACCATGATAAGGATTCACTAATCAAGAAAAAGTGACATTTTCACAGGGAGGTTTCGTGTTGGAAGTACCGGGAGGCAGCGGCGGCGCAGCACCCGGCTCTGAAGCGCCGGATCCCGCTTGGAGGCAGATGAAGGGTCGGCGGTGCCCCGGCCGTTTGGAGCTCTGTCGTCCATGATTGAGCGACTACTTTGGGGATATTTCTGTCATGCAAAACACGACGTTTAAATCGACGTAGCAAAGGTAAGCAAAGGTGTCTCACACATTCACACATTACATTAAAACCACCAAACTGTTTGTTTTCGTGCAGCAGGGGGGCTGTTTTCATGGAGATCTGACAGCCCGATTTGACGTTTTCTGCAAACCTGTCCCATCATCACACAACCTATTTTCCGCTCTCATCAATCTGTGAAAGGCTGCCACCGACTGAGCTGGTACTGTGAGCGGATGAAGTCATGATCTGACAAATAAAGGCCGGACAAAACCAACAACAACAACAACAACAAAGCTGGGAAAAGGATCTTTGTCCTGCAGCATCATGTGTTGCTGTCAAAATGAACCCAGAAGGGAAGATTCAACAGTGATTTCAACCTGCTACACACACATACTGTTAGTGAATGTGAGTAAATCAGATCAGGGCTGTAGTTTGTTCACACAATCAGATCAATGCCAGTGTAACAGGCCAGCTCATCTCCTGTTTCCTCCCTAATAGCTTCACAGAGGGTCTGACCCTGACTGTAATCTGTGTATGATAAACTACAGCATGGGCAGAGGTCAAATTTAGCAGGAAATTGATCGTGTTTGCCTGAGATTATCCTCCACCACCAATTAGGATGTTGTCCTTTTTTTTTTTTTCACCTTTAACTAGAAACAGATCAGTGATAGTTGGAACCTGCAAAGTTTCATCGTCTTGCTCAAGGACACTTCAGCGGGGGCAGGACCTTGGTTCAGTTGAAGAAGGATCTATATTCTGCTCCATCTTGGCGAGTGCGCAAAGCCTGTAGCCTTATTGACCTGATATTTGAGACCACTTACTATCCTTCCTCATGTGGGAGCTTCCTTGAATCAAATCCCCGGATTTACATCAGGAAAGACGCGTTGTAATTTGCACTTGGAAAGCCACGTGTAAGCCCAAATCCTCAACGAGGCACTTTTACAGGAATACATTGTTGGTTTAAGTGAAATTATTCGGTTTAAATGGCCCTCCTGCAGATCTGCCACTGTAGCTCCATCTTTAAATCTCAAACTCTTCTTTTAACCTCTTGATAGTCATTTTTATTGACCTACATTATGATTTAAAAGCACAGGGATATGAGTAAATAACTCACACTGGCACAGAGGAATGTGGAGGGTGTGCTGGGGACAGGAAGCTGTCGCCTCTGACAGGACCTCCTCATTGTTTTACAATCACGCTGCGGCTATTTCAGGACTTGTGTTTGTGTGTGATTGTGGTCCAGTCCCAGGAGTCTGTATTTTCACAAGCCTATACTAGACTTTAACTGCAAAATGTAGTTTTATATTCATATCTTAGATTATAGAAAAGCAGAATCAGGAATTAGCTGTTTGTATTTGCCCTCTTGTCTCGGCGAAATAGGCCAAATTTCTGGCATCTCTACAGGGACTGGGTCAGTCTCTTTTCGCTGTAGCTCCACTTGCAGTTTAATTAGGCTGCTGCCAGGGCTTTATTTTTTTCATCCTCACCTCTAAGTCTTGGCTGGTGTGGCTTTTAAGCTTTGGCACTTGCATTATTCAGTGATGCAGCCTTCTTCTCTACAAGGAAATAACCCGAGCACTGCCCCGCCTCGAAGAGTATCAGCAGTGTTCGGAGTTCAGCGGAGAGTTTTGGAGTCAGAGGGATGAACTGCTCCTCCTCTTCAGCTTTTATAGGAAACACTTGTGCATGTGAAAGCTCTCATGCCCACTTTTTCTTTGACTGAGCGTGGGATGAAAGTAGGACCAGATTAAACCCGGGGTTCGTGTCGTGTGTGTACATTTACTCCCGGCTCCTATGCAGCTCGTGTGTGAAGCAACATCTCTCCTGACTGGCGGTGTATTGATGTCAGCTCCTGGGTCCGTTTTCGTCGGGTTGTGTGTAAATTTAGTCGCCAAGTCTCACCGTTTTAAAAATAACCGCAGACTGGAGGCTGCTGCTCGAGGACAGATTGCATCTCTTTTTAAAGTCTTGAAGGTATGGTGGCCCAGATGGACAAACTTTCACTGACATTTACATTTTAAAGAGAGGAATTCAACTTTCTCACATGGCAACAGTGAAAGGAGCTTCTTGAATGCTGGGTTTTGGAATGTAGGTGGAGATGAATGAGCAGGTGGAGACCAAATACAGAGCTCAAAGAATAGTGGGGTTGCCCCGTTATAGTGTAGGTCATGTTGTCACACACCACAGCCGAATCCCTGGTCTCACACACACGGGCAGTAGAGCAGTGATGAGTCAGCATTGTGAGCGAGTCTACCTGCTCCCGTCAGACCACTCACTCACCGTCTCCTCCGTCTGTGTTTGTAAATGTGCAGTAGTTGCGGTTGAAAAATACAAACTAAGATATCGGTGACCCTGTTGAGCAAATTTCTTGATAAATAGTGGAAAAGTATGTGGAGATATTAAAATCCTATCATGGTTTCAGCACCACTGATGTGACACATCCATCCTTTCCTCCTCCATCCCCTGATAGGATCCCAGTGATTTAATTAAACCTCAAGACGACTGCTGTGTAATTGCATGAGGAATATTTGAGTGTAACGCTCTTCCTTCACTGTGCCCCACGTTCAACTGGCTCCATGTTTGAAAAAAAAAGTACATTATCAATTATTTACGCTTATGAAGGACTCGTATGATTGAAAAACTTCTTTCCATTCCATGTCAATTCAACCAAGGATCTCCACTCACGTCACAGATTTTGATGAAATTTGGTGGAGTGATCGGCCTTCAGGAGAAACTGTCAGAGCTCAAATATTTTTGTTCAAAACCATCTAATTAGTGAGATAGGGGCTAATGAATTTTTGGCTAATTAGCATGATATGCGTTACAAAAGTGATTCACGTGTCATTTTAAAGCTCTCTTCAAGTTCTATCTTTTTGTTCATAACATTTTTCCCAAATTGGACCAGAAAAAAATTATGAAAGACCAAAAACTTATAAATAATAATAATAATATAGAATAATAATATAATAATAATAATAATAATAATAATGAGCAAGGTCGGCGCAACGTAACACCGACGGGCTTTTTCAATTGGCCTGGTTTACTCGTTCCTTGATTTTAAACCTTTACAGAATGCAAACGACGTAACGGTTTGTTTTCACATGTACAACATAAGACGAACATAATATGGACCTTATATGACACAAAAAACCCCAAAAATTACATTTTTATGGCAGGTCCCCTTTAAAGCTCTCTTCAAGTTCTATCTTTTTGTTCATAACATTTTTTCCCAAATTGGACCAGAAAAAAATTATGAAAGACCAAAAACTTAAGTTGGAAATAGCAAAAAACGCACGTCATTCAATTTTCTTCATATTCACACTAAAGAAAGACGATCATGTCCACTAGCATCCCTGCAAGTTTCATGATGGGCATTCCATAACTTTTTGAGTAATCAGTCAAAATGTGTGGTACGTTAGGTGGAAAATCGCCATATTTGGCACATTATACAGTCCTGACCTCATCTGGAGTCAGCCCCACTTGCCTGCTTGTGTAAATTATTACTTCCTCATAGTGCAAAATGCTTTTTTTGAGTGTTTTCATTTGTATGTTATCCAATATTTATATGAAAAAGGGCTAGAATAGCTTATTTTTGCTCAGTTTTCCATCGCATTTCTATTTGCACCTATATCCAGAATATGAATGATCTGAGCTTCATGGGAGAATCATTTGGACATACCTGCATGTCCTGGATCATAGGGTTGACAAATAACTTCTACCTATACACCCTGAAATTTTGTTGCTGGTTTCCCTGTGAAGTATTCCAGGCTATTCATCCTGAGCCCTTTCAACGTTTCCTTTATACTTCAAAAGTACTCTTAGCATGGTGATCAAACTTTGTGCGGCTTTTCAATATTGTTAGTTTGTCTCCAAATAGGAAAGAGTGTATGAACTACAAAGAGTTTGATAGCGTCAGTGTAAGGAACGATGGTTCCCCAGTCGTCTAGGTCTTCTGGCTTTCAGTACATGCAAATCTTTGAGACGGAGCATATCAGGAGAGCTACAGTAATTGGTAGCTTTGGTAGCCGGCCTTTATTTTTGGTAGAGTTTAAGCCCATGCGGTGATTTCCACTGCAGAGTCCTGTCTGTGCAGCGTAAAGGCCTCTTGTGTAGGACCACCAAGTTTCTTTTAATGGCCTGTTCCCTTTTTGCACGATAAAGCTACAGTAGCCCCCATAGTTGAGTATTATTCAAATATTAGCGTATCCTCTTTGCTCAGAGGAATGAAGTTGGAGCTCGGTACACAAAGAGCTTCAGTGCAGTGCTGGGTTTTATGTGCATAGCTAATGTGGAATGTAATGTTGCAAGACCCAGGCAGACTGAGGGCAAAGGTCAGCTATTGAGTGCATGGGACATGAGGGGGAGAGAGGAGGACGGGGTGTGGTTTAGAGGAAGGTGGTACGGTTGTAGGGGGAGGGTGTCAGAAGAGGCTGGGTATTAATAGCTCAGTCTTTAAGTGTGTCCTTGGATGCCACATTGAATGTAAATTGAATTAGAGATGGCACGGAGTAAAATGAGCCCACTTCACGGACGGACATCTCTGTTATAGTAAAGGTTTTATTACTCGTATTCACCAACTACACCCATCCATCCATCCATTTTCTGTTAGTGAAGGAGGAGTCCACCATTGTTTCAGGCCACCGTCACTTCACTAATGAGAGGGCCGAGCAAAGGAGCCATTACATCAAGAGCCTTGCTGCTAGGTATTGCTCAATATCCCCCAATTTTACATACTGTACCTTTAAATTAGGGCTGGGCGATATGGGAGAAAGTTTATCACAATATATTTTTTTCACATCAGTCAATATCGATATATATCATGATATAAAAAATGAAATCTAACAGTGCTTACTGGTAGCAATACAATAAGTTACTGTATCTGTGAGGTTGCACTAGACAGGCGCCATGGGCTCCTTGCTCCTCTCGGGGTTTGTAACCTTGCGTTGCCTGTGCTCTACCGCATGGCGCTGCTTCAGGTGGTGAAAAAGATTTGAGGTATTCCCCGACTTTGTGAGAACATGTCCTTGACATTATTTGCAGTCCACATTACTCTGCTTCATGTCCGACCTCCAAAAACCAAAACACCTCCACACCACCGACGTTTTCATGCCAGTGTTGTTGACAGTGTCGTCATCTGTTGAGCCTTCATCTGCATTTCTGCCAGGTTAGAGCTTGATTTCCTTTTTTTCTCACCGTCAGTGCTGTCGGCTTCACATGTTAAAGTGCTACGGTTGCGTGTAGCTGCAGCCTGCTACTCCGCAGTTGTTCGCTACTTTGTTCTAATTCAGCGCATGATTGGTTCAGCGTGAAGCGGACCCGGAGCAACTCCCCTTTTCATTGGCTATTCATATAGTCTACCAAAACATGGCAGAATGCCGACTATCGAAAAGCATATTGACCATGTTTGATTTTGAGGGAAATTGATTTTTGATATCATCGTTTTATCGCCCAGCCTTACTTTAGATTTAAATCCCAATAAAAGCTTTTCTGCCTATAAACCTAAAAGAAGACCAACTGGCCGGTCAGAATTTAAATTTCCATTGATAGCACACACAAAACAAAATACCCGCGAACCATCAATGAACGCATCTATTAGCGTGTATTTTCATGCATAGGCGCACCGGATTATAAAGCGCATTAAGCCAAACAAAACAGTCAGATAAGACAAACTTTATTTAACTCATTCAATAACTCCGCGAGGCTACGGTAGCCAAAAGGATTTTAAGTGCGCCTTATGGTGGGAAAAATACAGTAGTCAGACCAGAACATTTCTAATCTTGACTACAGTTTAAAATGTGACTGTATTTAAAAAATGCATCATGGGAAATGTAGGATCCCTCACCAGTTAAGATTGTTTCAAGTGTGTCTTCTAATAATTTATTGATCTAAGATGCAGATTAAGTTTTCACATCTGACAGCTGGATGGTCAGAGTTTTATTTATGTATTACTGATAGAAAAAAAGGCAGAAATACAGAGACATCGGTGAAATTAGAGTTAGAAGTTTGTACACATGTTGTCGAGAACATGTTGAATGAGTTTTTTAAGCGTGCTTTGCTTCAGGGAGAGATTTAAGTGGGAACAACTTCTCCTAAATTTGCTCACAAAGCACTCCGCTGAGTTAAAATTTGTTGGACAGCTGGATGGACATGCAGCTCCAGCGGGGCGGCCGGGGCTCCAGCTGCAGATTGAAGCAGTGTGGTAATGCAGCGGATTAGAGCGGGCGTTCTGTCAACAGTAAATCCTCCCATTCTCTGTTTAATCCCGCAGCTGGATGAAGGACACTTACCTCCCGAGAGTTTCACGTGCATGGACGATTGTGTGTGTGAGCGTTTCTGATTAGTCGTTTTCGAGAGGCGGCCGTGTGAGTTTGTGCAGCGGGGTTTTAGTGCGTCGCTCTCTGGATGGGGGGTAAAGACTCTGTGACGGGGGGGCTTTAATTTGTCCGTTTGCGTGCGTGCGTGCATGTCGCCTTTTTGGACACAAGTGGCTTTAAACTCTGCCAGCAGCATCATGCTTGGCACTGGCCTCTGCCCTGATCTATTTTTAAAACTCTGTCCAGATGTGTGGGCGTAAGGGAGTCTGTCTGATAGAATCTGGTTTATAATTTATCTCTCTCTTCATTCAGGCTAAAAACAGAACACAATCGGAGACAAACTGAGGCAAAAAGTTCAGAAAAAAAAATGAAAAAGGATCCTGAAATTTTAAAACGGAGCTTTCCCTCCCTGTGAAATGACCGTTTTCTCTTCAAATTTAGCCTTTTTATGGACAAACCGGCGTTAAAACTCTGACTCATCTTCCTAACTGGGTAATCAGTCACGTCTCGTTCCTCTCTCCTAAAAGACAACTTCCCTCCTGCAGTGATTTTCAGCATTTTCCTCTTCCTCTGATAAAGAGTTGTTCGGTGTATTTTCCACGGAGAGAGACGCAAATGACCCCAATCACAAAAAAAGTACAAACAAAAGCAGCAAAAGTCAAACAATGTCGGACTTGTTGGTTAACGACAATGAGCCCACAGTGTTAGTGGAGTCCAAATTAAAGCTCGGAGACACTTGAGTGGCTGTGAAAACCAAATGAAGAATAACTTTTAGAGCTATAAATAGCCGAACAGTAAACCTGGGTCACAAGTGAGCTATTGATAGAAACTTCCTACCGAACTGACAGTCGAATAAAAGATAACGAACATGGGTTTACTTTTGGCTCAAGGGTTCAAGCTGGTGTTTCCCATCCGACAAAATCACTCACTAAATTCAGATTCGTCTAAAGGTGAGAAATCACTCAGGAAACAATGTTTAGTTGACCGAACTCCCTCTAAACGTCAGCTCGTATATTCAGTTTGAGGTCTTTTTTATCTTCTTTCCATTCTTCAATTTTTTATTCCACTTTCTCTCTCCTCTCTCTCTCTCTCTCTCGCGCACATCCATCCCGTCTTCTTAGCTAAGACGGATAGAGAGAATCAGAGGAAGGAGGGATGTGGCAGCTGAGCTCGGGTCTGACGTGACTCATGTGGAAGCCGAGACGGGGTTGGCGTAATCACCGCTCTCCATGGTAACCACAGTGGGCGTGTGTTGGAGTCGGAGTGTGATCTTAAAGAACGGAGAGAAAGGGTCTTAACGGGGAGTGAACCTGTTGGCTGTTAAAGCAGGAGACTGATTATAACCTGCAGGTGGAGGCGAAATGTTAACGCCCTCGGTTCTGTCACACAGTTTCATGTCCTGCTGGGAAATAATGGAGCTATTGTCGATTATGTAAGACCACACAGGGGGGCTGTGCTGCTGTACTGACGATCAGCACGGCTGTGGTACAATATCTAAAGATCTAAACACACCCGAGTTGCTGCAGGACAGTACCAGCTGGGATGCAGTGAGTCTGTTTACGGTTGTTTTTGGTGCTCTGTGATTCAGAGGTATCAGCTGATCCGTCAGCACAGAGACTGTTGGCTGCAGCATCAGCGGACAGGAGAGTATTTGTAACACCTGAGGGATCCCCGTGTTGTTGTTGTTGTTCTCTCTGATCGTTTGTGGATTACATCTGGTCCGCTTGGTTTAAACCGACTTCTCTTAAATGCGATTTTTCCTCATGTTTGCCTCCACATTGAACCTTATCCCCCTCTTCTTCCCCAGTCATCATCAGTCTGACCTCTCTCTCTCTCTCTCTCTCTCTCTCTCTCTCTCAGGTCTCCAACCTCCCTTCATCCCTCTCTTCCCCGTGGATCATTGGACCGCCCCGTCATCACCCCTTCCTCCTCCGGAATAGACCAGCGGAGAGATTCCCGGATCCCTATCTCCTCATCTCTCTCCGCCCATCTCTGACCTACATCCCTTTTCTTCGTCACCATGGTGACCTGGGTGTCAGTACTGTAGTACCCTTCAGCAAGGCACAATGGATGAGCCGACAATGACTCTCACAACGGAAATGTGATATTCATGAGTGATGAATGAGGAGAAAAGTGCAGATATAGAGTCATAAGTGGTTCAACGATGCTTCAGACTGCCCCCTAGAGTCCCCACCAGTGCATTCTGGGAACTGAAGTGCCTTGCGCAAGGAACTACCAGCAGGGCAAGAGAAATGTGCAGCAGGAAAAACTAAAATCCAGAAGCTTTCTGAGCTGCTTCTGTGATCGACTCACTCTCCTGACCTCCATCCTTTCCTCCACCTTTGGCCTGTTTGAGTTAGAAACCTTAGGTGTGACCTCGTTTCCTTTCCTCCCCTCTAACTTCCTTCCCCCTCCCTCTTCATTTTCCTTCTTAGACGCCCCCACCTCGCCTCCACCATTCGCCCCTCCCTTGCAACAGCCGTCCTCCCCCCTCGCCCCCGTCCCCAATCATCCTCCCCCTCCCCGTCCCTCACCACCACCACCACATCCTCCTCCTCCTCCTCTGCCCCCTCCTCCCCCCACCACCACCATCACCACCACCACCATCCTCAACCCCAGGCCCACTCCCACCACCACCATCACCACCACCAACTCCCCTCCTCTCCCCCTCGTTTCTCGCCCCCTGCCTTCACCACCTCATCCTCATCCCCTGTGGTGACCATGGCGACAGCTGCAACCGCCTCCTCCTCTTCGTCCAACTCATCCCCAGCGACAGCGAATGGCAGCGCTAGAGAGCACCTGCTGGCGGTGCGACGGCGCACCCCGCACTCGAGACCATACACGATAGGGCCGGACAACCTCCGTAGCCTGTCGGCGCAGGGCGCGGTTCGAGACTCTACTTCTGCGTCTTCTTCTTCCTCCTCTTCCTCGGCGATGTCTTCAGGGAGCCAACCAGAAGCGGCGGTGGGGCTCCAGAGAGCCAATAGCGACACAGACCTGGTGACATCAGACAGCCGCTCATCGCTCACGGCGTCTACGCACCAGCTAACTCTCGGGCACAGCCACCTCGTCATCTCCTGGGACATCAAGGAGGAAGTGGACGCCACCGACTGGATCGGCCTGTACCACATCGGTGAGCAAACTCGCCTCCCCCTGTCTGAAGTGTGGGACAGACCACTTTAGGAGAGGGACTTCAGGATCTCTTGATTTTAATTTAAAGGGATATTCCGGCGTAAAATTAATTTAGGGTCAAACACCGTTATACCGAGTTAGACACCCCCCCGAGAGATGAATGTGGAAGGAAGAACATTTATGATCATTTCTTCATCATTTCCTTGAAGTAATAATCACCATATTGATCATTTTTCTCTGTAGACGCGATAGTTCTTCTGCCTTAGCGTCTCGGTCTGATTGTGTTTCCATGAAGTTATGATCATAAATGTTCTTCCTTGAGCTGCGTCACCCCGCTGTAGTCCATAATGGACTGGCCTGAAGTCTCGCTACAAACAAGCGGCTGCTGGAAGAGAGTAGGTGAATTGTGTTTAGTCTCTAAGGCAAAGTTAAAAAGATGTTTGGTGTCTAGTACTATGTCTGTGACCCTATATGTCCTGTTGATGAAGTTAGGTGCTGTTCTGAGCATTATTTGGCGTTTTGATTGAGGTTTGTTTATGGCTCTTCAGACCGCTGTGTATTGCTATCCTGCGGTCGTTACTAAAGTTGGTATAACTAGAGAAGCAAGCGGTCGGCAACATTCATCTCTGGAGGGGGTGTCTAACTCGGTGTTATGATGTGTTTGACCCTAAATTAATTTCACGCCGGAATATCCCTTTAAGACTTCAACAATCCGGTGATTATTTCACACAGTTATTTGATGTGTAACGATACATAGCTTTAAATCAGTGTTTACTACGGCCCTGCATTTAACTTTATCGACAAAGTAGACCACAAAACCTGGACTACCAAGCTCGCTAACTCACAGGCCGGGTTTTGTGGTCATTAGATAGATAGATAGATAGATAGATAGATAGATAGATAGATAGATAGATAGTAATAAATTAAAAGTGCGTAAGAAAGAATTTCATTAAACACAAAAATGTGTAAATACCTCCTATTGCAGGATGACTCATCAAATTTTTAGCATTTTTTTTTTGTCAAAATTGCTGACAAAGCATCACTGAACACAGCTGGTCCACTCAGACCTCACTCATGGTCTAATCCAGCTCACTCATAGTCATCTTTCGGTGCCTCATCTCCCTTTTCCAGTCCGTCCCCATGACCGCCCTCCTGGTGTTATAAACTCGCAGTCGGGACGTGATATGATGGTGCATTTGGAGAGGTTGCGACTTGCAACTCATCTCAAGGTTGGAGGATTACATCAGCCCCACTGCTGCCACATTAACTGGCTAATGGATTGTGTGTGTGTGTGTGTGTGAGGAAAGGATGGTGTGAGAGAGTGAGTAGGTTACACTGATGAAAAGTGATGCTGACTCAGCATGAGTAGCATTTAAGAGCAGTATGTCTCATCTCATATTACACTCTCTCCTTCCCGTGCCCCCCGTTTGACCGACAAAGACGAACAAGACCCTCAAAGAATGATTCCATCGACAGAAATAATATTAAGAACTAGAAAAGCACTCGGAGAGCGCAGACAGCTCATGTCCCCCCTTAAACAAGAAATGCCCTGACCGGGATTCGAACTGACGACCTTCTGGTTGTGAGGCGACAGTGCTAAAGGACCTTAAGGATAAAAATATGAGTTCCTGTAGTTGTAGTTTGTGAGTGCTGTTTTTAAGCTCAGCTGTAAAAGAGCAGCTTTTATCGAACACATTGTTTCAGACGCTCATTTTTCTCTCGTGAGTGAAAGTGAGCGACCCTTTCTCCCAGACCGAGACGGAAAAATCTGATCCCTCCATCCCTCCGCGATCGATTCCACGAGCAGAGGGGTTTTCTGGGGGGGGTTTTCTCCCCAGGGGCGAGCTCTGTTTCCAGCCTGGCTGTCGGCCACGCTGCCCTGGAGCCGCCTGAGCTCCATAACCTTCCCTTGCTGTCTGACCTGTGTGCGTGTGTACATGTTTGTGTGGGTGTGTGTGTGTGTGTGTGTGTATCACCTTAAGACTGTAGTTTATAAGGTTGGGATGATCGCCGGGTTATCAGGTCAGACAGGTGAGGGAAACGTATGCGCTGTCACTCACAAAAGCTCAGGGTTTATTGATGGTGACCCGGAGAAGCAGAGGGGCAAGAGGTGTATCTGTGTGTATCTGTGTGTGTATCTGTGTGTGTGTGAGGCTGATGGACAGCAGTGGAGACCCGCTGGGACGTGGGCCATTTGTCACAGGACGTGAACATTAATGTTTCATGGTTGAACAGGCTGAGACGGGGATGTGGTTTACGACCTGAAGGCTGGGTTTCCCTCAGGAACCTGTAACTTCTGTTACCGCTCTTGTCAAACCCACTAATAGGAGCCAAATGATGCAAGGATGCTGCTGAGTCCAGATTGTAGGAATACTGACTGTAAAATACGTCATGTCATGTCAATCTAGAGTCTGGTCTTTCAGCCCCCTCTATCGTAGTATCTCTAAACTGGTTGTTAAAGTAGCTCCATGTCAATCACAGGCAGCCTAGATCTTTATACATCCTCTCCTTTAATGTAATTTTCTCTCTAAATGGGGATTTTATTTACAAATTGAGCAGAGGGAAGCTCCAAAGCAACTAATTTACTCTTTTTTGGTGCAAAAATTAAATGACAACCAGCTGATTGGACAAGAAGTAGGAAGTGAGAGTGTGTAGGTAAACACCGTCAATATTTTTGGTGAGTCATCCAGCCTTCAGTCGTCGTTAAAGCTGCACATTAAAGCTCCTGTAAGGAGTTTTTTGACGTGAATGAAATTCATAGTGTATCCGTTTAGCGATACAGCAACTAGGCGGACCGCGGACCACCTCTTTATGGACCCAGAGAAAAAAAAACAAAATCAACAACACGGCACAGCACTCTCTCTGACTGACTGACGCGAGGTTAGACTGGCCGAGAGAGAGAGAGAGAGCGTGTGTGTGACTGTGCGCGTGCTCACGCTTGCATTATGGGCTGCCATTCCCATGACAACGATGCACTAATTGGCTGATAACTACGCAAACCGGCAGTCACACATCTTCCTCCTTCAGTCTGTCTTCTTTACACGGCGCAGGCAGCGGTAACGTCTTGATGAAGTATATGATTATCTTACCTCCTTCAAGCACAAAGCCAATGTGTCTTTTGTGCAAAGCACTGTTGCTCTGATAGAGATAGAGATTGCCCCCAAAAATCTGAGCTACAAACAGATAAAATAAAAAGCTTATTTTATTTTATTGAGTAATACTAAGTAAGAAAGAATATCAGTGTGATGCTGAAAATGAATGTTTTTGTGCCTTCCAATAACTCCTGATTATTACAATACAGTACGCCCAGCATAAAACTACATAAAACATAAAAAAGGTTAAAAAAAAAATATGACTCCCTCAAAATTTATTTTCTGGACCTTTTACATGAAACCCCTGGATTAGACCATTAAAAACAAGACTGATGTTTCTTTAATATTGCACTTTTTGATGCTCAAAACCTGTTTGAGAAGGTAGGTGTCGGCCAATCAGCTGGAGAAACAGCTTTTAATTAGCCTGTGAGAAATCAGAGGGGTACGCTTTTTTTGTGAGATGTCCTGACTTTAACAAGATAAACAAAGACTAAAAATCCAAAAGTTTCTTATTGGAGCTTTAATGCACGTGTCGTCACAGCGACTCTCGAATACTCAGGGCTTCAAATCCGTACACTGGTGGAAGGCATAACCAAGTTGTCCATAGTAAATACAGTTTATGGTGAAAATGCACCAGAACTATTTTTTTTTTCATTTTAGATGCCCTCTAGTGGCCATGAGCAGGAATGCACGCTAAAATCATCTTTATTATTGAACACAGAAGGATATGTCCTGTTCCTGTGTACAGTTTGTGGTTGTTATGCTGAATTTTAGGATGAAAATGAGTTAAAAATGGGCTGTTAAAAGCACCAAATCCAGCTCCTTATTTGATGATTTAATGAGGAGGGAAAAACAGTCGCTCCTAACTCTTTGTTCTTTCACTGAAGTGTCCTTGCATGCTGCTGCCTCATTAGCGGAGTCAATAGCTCAATATATGTCCTTGTTGAATGTCCTGTTCTGTTAATTATTTCTCCCTCGTGTACGCATGTCTTAAACCTGTCGCCTCATTTACGAAAGCACCTTGTTGGAAAAGAAGTCAGAGAAAGAAAGTCTTTTTTTTTTTTTCTTACTTTTGCACAGATGAGACCTGTGTGGCCAACGTGTGGGACTCCAAGAACCGGGGTGTGAACGGCACCCAGAGGGGACAGATCGTGTGGAGGCTGGAGCCAGAGCCCTACTTCATGGAGCGTGAGTAGACCTTAGAAGTCCTGAAGAAGGGGCAGTTCACCACTTTTCAACATCATTACATCAGGACAACATTAAATTTTTCTCTCCTTTAGAAGTGGCCCCAGCTTACTTATAATTTAAGCTTTTTTTCCCCCCTTGCAGCGGAGACAAAGATCTGCTTTAAATACTATCACGGTGTAAGTGGAGCATTAAGAGCAACAACACCCTGTATCACCGTCAAGAACCCTGGAGTGCCGGTACGTACCGCCGATATCTTCCTCCTTTCGTATTTTGGGTGAAGATAATCCAGTTTAAAAGCTCCAAAAAACAAACTTTGAGTCGTTTGAGACGCGGTCAGAGCCGGTGTCGAGACGTGAACGGAGAGAACCGAGTCAAAGAGATGTTTGCTCCAGTTGAGTCAGTAAAATTTAAAGCAGTCGGCCTGAATCAGAGCTCACAGACTATTATCCAACTGCTTCAACTTTTCATCACCTCTAATGTTTTCCTCTCTCGCTTGGGTTGAAGCAAGTTCACTCTCAGTACTCTCACTTTGCTCTCTTATCGGCTGCTTTTGCATCAGGTTGGCAGTGAAGGTCAAGTCGAGGACCAATCAGGGACTGAGCACTGTAGGAAACTGGTCAGCTTCACCCTATCAGGTGAGAGGAGGGACTGTCGTTCATGTCGTGGAGTTAAACCTTCACGGTGTGTTTGTTCAAACTCTTGTTTTCTTGCTTTAGATATCCGTGCTGTAGGCCTGAAGAAGGGCATGTTCTTCAACCCGGACCCGTACCTGAAGATGTCCATCAAGCCGGGGAAGAGGAGCGGCCTCCCGAAGTTCACCCACCACGGCCAGGAGAGACGCTCCTCCATCATAGCCAACACCATCAACCCCGTGTGGCACAGCGAGGTCGGTAAAACTAAACTCAGTCAATTTCGTGAGAACAAAGTTTCAAAGGTGTTAATGATTCTTGTCGCTCCTCCTGTAGAAATACACCTTCGTGGCTCTGATGACCGACGTGTTGGAGATCGAGGTGAAGGATAAGTTCGCCAAGAGCCGACCAATCATCAAGCGGTTTCTGGGTCAGCTGATCATCCCCGTGCAGAGACTCCTGGAGGGGCCGACAGCTGAGTGAGCTTCAAACCTTTGTTCTTACCGAGACTTCTGACCTTCAGTATTTAACCGCAGTGACTCAACACGATCCGGTCAATAGCGATCAATACGTCCCAATCAGCTCATTGTTCAGGCATTGATTTGATATTGATCAACACTGAGGACAAAATGTACTCATGTGAACTGTGATGTATGGCATGTGGAAAGAGCTGGTAATAAACACCTGTATGTGTGTGTTTTTGTGTGTGTACAGCGATCAGCCGGTCAGCTACAGCCTGTGTCGTCGTCTCCCCACGGACCACGTCAGCGGGCAGCTTCTGTTCCGAGTGGATCTCACCTCCACGGGTCAAGAAGGTGCGTGATCCATAAAGGAGCGTTACGTTACAGGAACTTTCAGTTTGTGTCGCGTTTGGCGCCCCCTGTGGACAAACCAGTCTTTGCATCTCTTGAGCTTGTCCGTCTTCTTATGCTGCGTTCGAGTTACCTCAGAAGTCAGAAGTCCGAGCTGAAAATGCGTTTCAGTTACCAAGTCGGAAACAAGAAAGCTACATCTACGAAAGTTATATTAGCGCTTGCCTTGTCCGTATAAGGCTAGCGCTAATATAACTTTCGTAGATGTAGCCATCTTGTTTCTGACGCTGGTAACTCGGGTGTGATGTCATTTTCAGCTCGAACGCAATATTAATCTCCATCTTTTCCTCCCAGAAGCTTCCCCAGACGCCGTAGGGAGCATCCTCGGTGGTGCAGTCAACGGCGACCCCGGCAGCCCCTCTGACGACGAAGACCTCCCGAACCCCTCCTCGCGCGTCACATGCGGAGCTTCGCCCACGGGCTCCGAAGAGGGCTCCCTGGCAGTCAACGGCGCTTGTTACTACGGAGAGGATACTGTGTGGCGGGAAGCTGGGCAAATGGGGGATGAGGACCTGCTCCCTTTAGCTCTCGGAGGCCACACGCATCGTCAGGTGTCGCTAAACGACTACCTGGACGCCATCGAGTCCCCCAGGAACCCTGGGGATCGGTCTCTCGCTGGGCCGTCACCGAAACTGCGCTCTAGCTTTCCGACGGACACGCGGCTCAACGCCATGCTGCACATAGACTCTGATGAGGATGAGGAGATGGCGGGGCAGCACAGGGAGCCGTCACAGGAGGAGAGCGCACAACAGAGCGCCGACCCGTCGAAGAGGACGGCTACAACAGAGTCTGGACAAGCAGGCGAGAGCTCTGGAGGAGAGCAGACTGGATCTGCAGCGACAGAGGCGGGTTCCTCTGCTGCTGCTGCTGCTGCTCAGTCTGGACCAGAGCCTGATGGAGCTGATTCTGGCACCGCAGAGAGTTCTGTCGGAGAGCAAACGGCACCTGCTGCCGAGGCTACAGCTGGGACCGGAGAGGTTGCCAAGTCTGCGAGCAACAGTGGAGAAACTTCAGCAGCTTCCAGCTCTGCTCAGACATCCGGGGCTGCAGCAGGACCAGCCGGACCGGGGGAGTCCGCACCAGAGTGCACCTGTCAGGAGCAGAGCAGGAGGATGAGTGCACAGCTGGAAGTCCCCTACAGTCCCCCTCTTGGTCCGCTTTCCCCCATTCAGGTCAGCAGCAGTCGAGTCGGCGACTCAGAGCCACGTGTTTTTAATGAGCTTTTGTTGACGTGTGTCTTTTTGTTTCAGGAGGTGGACTCGAGGAAGGAAGTGGCGCCAAAGGCAGAGGAGGAAGGGGCGGAGTCGTCGAGCAGCGAGGCCAACGGGCCAATAGCAGCAGCTGCGACAACTAGCAGCAACATAACAGACGAGGGAGGAGGGACTTCTGAAGGTGGTGAGGGTTTGATGTGAACTCTGTAGGGTCAGCTTCGATTAGGACTCTGCAGGGAGGCCAGTTTCCTACCTGGACTCTTCTACTAAGGAGCCATGCTGTTGTAATACCTGCAGAATTCAGCTTTCCAGCTTCTTCCAGCATTAAACCTCAAATTAGGTTGTACGTCAGGAGATCATCCATTTCATCGCACTCACACGCATAAAACCTGTTTACATTACAGGGGCGAGAGCTGGCGGGTCCAGGCAGGAGACAGTGGAGGAGGGAGGGGAGGTGTGGAGGAGGAGGCAGTCCATGCAGGCGTCAGGAGGAGCGGCCCTAAACCAGGAGGCGGGTGGGGCCAGGGAGGGTCAAAGTGGGGCGGCAGGTGTGGAGAGAGAATCAGGTGAATCTAGAAGAGCGATTGACGTAGTTTCTTTACATTTTTGGTTTGTTGCAGTTGATTCTAACGTTGCTGTCCACTCAGATCACCGCATAGATAGTGAGGTTTGAAACTGAGAGGCTGCAGGTCCCCCAAAGAGGCTGAACTTGTGTTTTTTTTTGCTTGAAACAAAACTAGGACATGCCATAAACAGCTAAAAAACACCATCACACAGGACCTCTCAGGGTGTTCGTTATCAGATGAATCGGTTTGCAGGAGAGTCACTCAAAAACAAAGATGCAGAGTCACTCAGCTGATCTGTTTAGCTTCAAACAACCCTAATCATTTTTTAAAAGTTGGTTTAAAACAATTTATAAACAGAAGAGCTAAGAGCGAAATCTGCACCAGCGTCTCTCGGCTTGAGCGATCAGGGAGTTTTAATAAAGGACCGGAGCATTATCCAGATCAGAACAAGTTTCCTGCAGCAGCCAAAAATCTCCTGGATTACAGCCAGAGCAGTTGTGCTTGTTTAACCTCCTGACAGTGTTGGAGAACGAGAGGTAGAAGCTTTGATCCCCGTCTGTTTTTAAGCACGTATAAGAAAGATTAAAGTGTTATAGAAATGTTCATCAGGTCCTATAATGTGCGTTTTTGTTTGTATAATGCAGGCGCCACAGCTCAGATGAACGGTCATCAGTCTGTTCGCTCTCTGCCATCTGTTCGCCATGACATCAACCGTTACCAGAGGGTGGATGAGCCTCTTCCACCGAGTGAGTGTGTGTTTGTGTGTGTCTCTGAACATAAGGCCCAGAACACAAAGTACATTTGTGTGTTTAAATTCATGTACTTGATTGATTTATTGATTTAAAAGGGTTATGAAGAGTTAAAAAAAACACAAAGGGGGGATAGCAAAGGTGAGGCTTTTAAAGTGTGACTTCCCTCACAATCACTTCACTCAAACGTATTGAAATCGTTGTGAAATGCGAGTTGTGAGGAATGTCATTTTAAACCCCTGTGTTTTTTTTTGATGCCCCCTTGTGGACAAAGTAAGTGACACCTTTGTTTTTAAGACGCCATACCTCTGCCTCTCTCACTGTTACCTGCAGACTGGGAGGCTCGTATCGACAGCCACGGACGGATCTTTTATGTGGACCATGTAAACAGAACCACTACTTGGCAGCGCCCGACCGCTCCCCCCGCCCCGCAGACCCTGCAGAGGTCCAACTCCATCCAGCAGATGGAGCAGCTGAACCGCAGGTCAGGAGAGAGTGAATACACGCTGCGAGCGCGAACATGTGCCACGCTTCAAATTAGCATGAGATGTCCTCTTATCTGCTGATCAGGGTGTTTGCGTTTCTTCTCGTCAAGATTGATCACATAAGACGTGTTAACATGTGCGAAATTTCAAGACCAAGATTTATCAAGATTAGAAGCATTTGGACATGAGCAGAGTTGTCTGATTTCGCTAAAACAACCGCAGAAGAAGAAGAGTTGTATTTACTAGAGATGCATCGATCCATTTTTTTCTGATCCAATCCAAGACCGATATCTGGGCTTAGTTTATCAGCCGATATCCGATACCGATCCAATAATACTGTTGAATGAATGAACTGTATACCTCGCCCTGTGAGTGAAGGCATCGGGTTTGACATTAGCCTTTAAAAACAAAAAAGGTAGCAAATTAACACAGATATAAATTTACTTAATGTTATTTATTAACAAATAACAAATAAGTAAGAGTCTCATGTATTAAAAGAAAAAAAAGGCTGGATCGGCGTCATCCCTCTGATATCCGATCCAGTTAATTTGTCAAATATCGGAGCAGATATCCGATCCAAATATCGGATCGGTGCATCCCTAGTATTTACGCCTGTGCTGTCAACAAACCAACAAACTGACCACATCCAATTCAGGATGCTCCCCTCTGTTAGATTGGTCACTAGATGGCGCCCTTGCTCACTTATTTTACCGTTCTGTCAAAGGTTGCTCTGTGCGTGCAGATATGACATCATTTCGCTGTATGTACGCCTTATTATGTTAGCGCAGGAGCAGACACGGCACCTGCGGTTGTGTTTAATGCCAGAGTGTTCATAATAATGATAATAAATCTCCTGTACTGGCCTGAATAAATAAACCAAAGGCTAAAGAGTGAAGACCGAGTCAGGTAAGAGAGTCACGATCGGAATAAGTGCAGTTCGGAATAACGATCGGTATAAACCACCCCTCTCGATCGGAATACAATTTCTTTCCAATTGAGCCGAATTGGATCAGAGTCTTCCGATCAACATGTTTACATCGGGCGTTTATTCCGATTATTTGTGCCCATGTAAACGCAGGTAATGACCTGTTTTTTAAGTGCACTTGATGATGCCGTCAGCTGTCCCAAAATCTGGACGGATGTTATCGCGGCACCCTGCACATGTCCAAATGTTTAAAACCGGCAAAAATCTGCGTATTAAATTTTCTCTCAGTGGTCAGCATTTTGCCTTTCCGATCTGAGTGATGCAACTAACACCCACATATGCGCACACTTGCAGGTATCAGAGTATACGAAGGACCATAACCAATGACAGCAGGTCAGAGGAGCCGCCGGCCAATGACCTGTCAACAGATGAGACAGACATGCAGCCCTCGATTCCAGGTAATGAAGCAGGCTGCAGGTTGTAAAGTAATTCATTCAGTTTTTATTTATTGCACTTGATTGTAATTGTGTGTAAATTTTTTTTTCAGAACTGCGTAGGGAAAACAGCATGGCTCAGTCCAGCTCGAGGTCTCGTCTCACGCTCCTGCTCCAGTCTCCCAGCGCCAAGTTCCTCACCAGCCCTGACTTCTTCACTGTGCTGCATTCCAACCCTGTACGGACACTGATTTTTTCTTCCTGCACCTCCTCTTTCTTCTCGTTTAGTGCATGTGTACTTTCTTAGAATACACTTCATGGTCTTACGACTGACCTCTGCCGCCTTTTCATGCAGCCTCTTGACATTTGGGTTTCAGAGTACCACAGTGGGGTAACTTTCTCCTGTTTTCTCTGGTGGATGTTTCCTCTCTTCTTTCCTTCATTCTTCCTCTCACCGCCCGTCTCTCAGAGTGCCTACCGTATGTTCACCACCAACACGTGTCTGAAGCATATGATCAGTAAGGTTCGTCGGGATGCTCACCACTTTGAGCGCTACCAGCACAACAGGGACCTGGTGGCCTTCCTCAACATGTTCGCCAACAAACAGCTGGAGCTGCCCAGAGGCTGGGAGATGAAGCACGACCACACCGGCAAGGTGGGACCAACACCGACACCAACCAGGGACTCAGATCGTGGTGTACATTCAGGAACTTAAAATTCCAAATATACTTGTTTTTACAGCCTTTCTTTGTGGACCACAACTGCCGCGCCACCACCTTCATCGACCCCCGGCTGCCCCTCCAGAGCACCCGACCGCCAAGCCTCCTCGCTCACCGTCAACACCTGACCCGCCAACGCAGCCACAGCGCCGGGGAGGTCAGCCCTCGACGAATGGTAAGACACGCAAGAGTCTGGTGCACTTTTTTTCTTAAAACCAGAAAGTAAAAATTTGTTTCACCTCGCTCTGTAGGTGGGTGAAGACCCCAGACACGCCGGCCCGCCAGTCCTGCCGCGGCCTTCTAGTACCTTCAGCTCCGCCAGCAGAGGGCAGTGCCAAGACATGGTGCCAGTGGGTGAGTCTGTGCACCGACACCGTAACAGACACACACCTTTACACCTTTACAGACGGTTAAATCCTACATGAATGCGTCTTCTTCTTGCTCTAGCTTACAACGACAAGATCGTGGCGTTTCTACGGCAACCAAACATCTTTGAGATTTTGCAGGAGAGGCAGCCAGACCTCAGCAGGAACCATTCACTCAGGTACGCACACGAGGGCGCAAACAGGTGTGGAAAAGGCGAATGTTTTGCTTCAGAGAACAGCATCTCTCTGAGTCTATTGTTGCTATGACAACAGGGAGAAGGTGCAACTGATCCGCACAGATGGAGGGTCTGGATTGGCTCGGCTGTCAGGCGATGCTGACCTTGTCATGCTGCTAAGGTAAGACTTTGCCTTTTGACAGATTTTCCCGTGTTTGCTCAGGATTTCATCTTCACACCGTTGAGTTAATTCTGTTTTTTAAAGTCTTCCTCGCTCTTCCTCACATCCTCTCTCTCTCTCTGACTTTCTCTGTGCAGTCTGTTCGAAGATGAAGTGATGTCTTACGTGCCTCCTCACGCCTTACTTCACCCCAGCTACTGTCAGTCCCCTCGGGGGTCACCTGTCTCCTCACCCCAGAACTCACCCGGTAAGAATGAAAAGTAGCTAAAATTAAAGAGGAGGACAGAACAAATATATTCCCATATTTGTTATAACTTATACATAATGACTCCCTGCTTTCCTCTCTCCATCATCTGTAGGTACTCAGAGAGCAAATGCCAGAGCCCCGGCGCCCTACAAGAGAGACTTTGAGGCCAAACTTCGCAACTTTTACAGGAAACTGGAAACTAAAGGCTACGGCCAAGGACCAGGGAAGTTAAAGTAAGTGGACTGAGTTTGTCCGATAAAACCGCCCTCTCTTCTGTGCTCCTTCGCTCATAACATCTGTACTCGTAGGTTGATCATCCGCCGTGATCACCTGCTTGAAGACGCCTTCAACCAGATCATGTGTTACTCCCGTAAAGACCTGCAGCGCAGCAAGCTCTACGTCAGCTTTGTCGGGGAGGAGGGGTGAGTTCAAGAGAAATGACGTGTGCGTACTGCAGCCCTGCTCATTTTTTAAACATCTCTATGTGTGTGTGTGTTTACATCACAGGTTAGACTACAGCGGACCTTCCAGAGAGTTCTTCTTCCTGGTTTCTAGAGAGCTCTTCAACCCTTATTATGGTCTGTTTGAGTACTCCGCCAACGACACGTACACCGTCCAGATCAGCCCCATGTCGGCCTTCGTAGACAATCACCACGAATGGTGAGCCGGACAGAGAAGCTCAGACAGGATGCTGAATGTCCTGATGACTTTTCTGCGTTTTAACACGTGTGTCTTTGTGTCTTTCAGGTTCAGGTTCAGCGGTCGTATTCTGGGTTTGGCTCTGATCCATCAGTACCTGTTGGACGCCTTCTTCACGCGACCCTTTTATAAAGGCCTCCTGCGCATGTGCGTACAGAGGCTTCATGTTTGTCAGCTCACTTCACGGTCGTCTCTTCCTGCATGTTTACGCTTTCTCATTTTCCACCCTGCAGCCCCTGTGACCTGAGTGACCTGGAGTATCTGGACGAGGAGTTTCATCAGTCGCTTCAGTGGATGAAGGATAACGACATCGAGGACATGCTGGACCTCACCTTCACCGTCAATGAGGAAGTCTTTGGACAGGTTGGATCTTTAAGATGTAGACCGTCTGACGATTAATGCAACCGAGTCCCAGAGTCTTGGAGTTAAGTCTTCATGTGCGTTCCCACAGATTACAGAAAGGGAGCTGAAGCCCGGCGGAGCCAACATTCCCGTCTCCGAGAAGAACAAGAAGGAATACATCGAGCGGATGGTGAAGTGGAGGATAGAGCGAGGGGTGGTGCAGCAGACAGAGAGCCTGGTCCGAGGTTTTTACGAGGTGGTGGACGCTCGGCTGGTGTCGGTGTTTGACGCCAGAGAGCTGGAGCTGGTGATCGCCGGCACGGCTGAAATCGATTTATCAGACTGGAGGAACAACACGGAGTACAGAGGAGGTGAGAGAAAGCGAGAGAGAGGTTCAGATCGCTCTGTGTTTCTGTTTGTTCGCTGTCCGTGTGACATGAGAGTAATGTGTTGTTTTAAAGGTTACCACGACAACCACATAGTGATCCGGTGGTTCTGGGCAGCGGTGGAGAGGTTCAACAACGAGCAGAGACTGCGGCTCCTGCAGGTAGATTTGAGTTTCAACCCACTGAGCATTTTTTTCGTCTAAAAAAGGTCTAATAGACGTCTAAATGTAGCCGAGACGACTGGTTTGAAATCAGGCTACTACAGGTCTAAAAATGAAGGTTTTTAGACGTCTAGATTTAGATTAAGTTTAGGCTCAATCTAAATCTGGGCTATATCTATACTACACTGTATATTGCTCAATGGCTATCATAATTATATTGGTTAAATACTTGGAGATCACATGTCTCTTTTTGAAATAAATAGTTATCGAATTATGGGTTAAAGTGCAACGTCTAAATTCTGTCTAAAAATATACAGAATCTAGACGGTTGAAATTAGGTCTAAAATAACTAGACGTCTAATAGCCGTCTTTTGCTCAGTGGGAAACTTTAGCATTAGTACAACATCGTCTTTTCTGTCCCTCCCACTCTCTTTCTCTTCCTCCTCAGTTTGTGACCGGGACCTCCAGCATTCCCTACGAGGGCTTCGCCTCTCTGAGAGGCAGCAACGGGCCGCGCAGATTCTGTGTGGAGAAGTGGGGGAAGGTCACCTCGCTGCCTAGGTGAACACAGATCTTACACTGTATTGTTTAGTGTGACATTTCCTGGAAACCCTTGATAGATCGCCAAAATGGGAAGCTTTTTAACACTTTTTATCCCATAGAGATACTCGGTATAGTTCCAGAGAAACTATAAACAATATTAATGGAGTCACACAGGATTGCGGCAATCCAGTGGAGTTCTAAGTGTTAGTAAAATGTTGAACTAACCTCTAGTTTCTTTAGTTTTTAATACGGATGTTTTAAAACTGGCAGTTAAAAAAATACAAAAAAAAAAATCGTGATAATAGACCTTTTTCACAGTACGCGGAAGTGAGCATTCTGCTCACTTCCGGTGTTAGCGTGTGGTGGAGCCACTTAGCATCGCCCATAGACGGCCATTCATTTTTCACGATATTAACAAGCTCGCGACTCGTTTTTTTAAAGGTAATGTAAAATTTTATGCTTTGTGCTGTTTTACTAACTCCTGTTCTTCATAATACTGTCCGGATTTTGTACTTTACTTTTCGGTAATTATGTTTAATAGGTCATTACTGAAGAGCAATGGTTACCATCATCAGAAAATTTCCAGACCTATTAAACATAATTCCCGAAAAGTAAAGTACAAAATCCGGACAGTATTGTGAAGAACAGGAGTTAGTAAAACAGCACAAAGCATAAAATTTTACATTATCTTTAAAAAAAAAAAAACGAGTCGCGAGCTTGTTAATATCGTGAAAAATGAATGGCCGTCTATGGGCGATGCTAAGTGGCTCCACCACACGCTAACACCTGCGTACTGTGAAAAAGGTCTATAATCGAGATCGGATGATATGACAAGATGTATCGTAATCATTTTTTACTGCCAAATCGCCCAGTCCTAATATCAGGTATCAAACCATAGCATATCATATACTGTTTTTTATAGTGTTTTTAATTAGATAGTATTGTATCCTCTATTGTATCACATTATATAGCAAAGTAAAGTATGCAATTGAACGTGATCATTCTCTAACCCACCTGAATGCATCACTTGTCAAAATGTTCTTTCCAGAGCACACACCTGCTTCAACCGGCTGGACTTGCCCCCGTACCCGTCCTTCTCCATGCTGTACGAGAAGATGCTGACGGCCGTGGAGGAGACCAGCACTTTCGGGCTTGAATGAGACCCTTTCTTTGTGCAACCATGTCCTCCCAATCCAACCTCTCGAGAACCAGTGGGTTCTAAAAGCTGGATCGAACAGATTTGTTTATTGTAATTTATAACGGGCTCTATTTTATAACAGAGGCTCAAAAGGACCTTTGAACCACGAAGCTGCACTCTGACTTTTTAAAACGCCCTCTGTGAAGAGGTGGACGTTTACTCTGTCGCACTTGCACGTGTTTCGCACCTACTTAGTAACACACGCTTTCACCTGTGTGATCTGACGACTGAAGACCCGCACTGCCTTTCTGGACCAGAATCCTAACTGCCAGGATTTGATTAACGAGAGATCTTTTTTATCCCCGACTATTCCTTTGATACCAGGAAGTTTAGGTTTAAGATCAAACAAGAAGCAACCACTGCCTTCACTGCAAAAACTGACGGCCTATTCGATTTCTAATTCTGATGGACCTCTGAGGAAGACCAGGAACTGCAAGCTTCATCTCCCTGCAGTGCAGTGCCTCCTTGTGGCCTGTCGTAGTAACTGCACTAGAGGATGTAGTTGGTAGAGCAGTTGTTTCCTAGCAACTCTGGTTGGGTTTGTGCGTTTTTTTTCTTCTCAAACCCAAACAAAAGCTTTGGTATTGTCAAGTATTTTACTCTAAAAAAAGTGGGTTTTCTAATAACGTGGCAGTGACATGTTGTGATTTGAATGTAACTTTCTGATGTTGATAGTGTGGGAGATATTTGAACCAATTTGCAAAAAAGAAAAAGGAAAAAAAACTCGCCACCACTTACTTTTGTTGAGTAAATGAAGTTACAGTGTGCAACTGTATCTTCAGAATTTAAAGTCCCTTACACATGATCGGTTTACGTGTGAAAACTTTATATATCGAGACAAAAAGAGATTAAATGTCCACACACACACGTGAAAATGAGAGCCACTTCTGCAGGTAAAGATCTAAGGCACACATGCATGCTCCTGTTTTATCAAATTCAGCTTTTCTTACCTCCTGAACTCTCACTATAACTTAAGATCTTAGTTTGAATTTATGTTTTGCTTTAAAGGAGCTCAGAAAATGAAAATACTGATCATCTGACAACGCAGCTCTAAAAGCAGGTTTATCCACTCTTAAAAATATTGAAATGTTCGACTTCACACTCCCCAAATTTGAGTGAATCAAAAGTTTGAGCTCTAAGTCCGGTGTGGCTACTCTTATTTCAGTTTCTGACTTTAAAGTGTTAAAAGAATATTCAAAATGTTATTAAAAGTGATTTTTTTAAAGTGTCAAAATCGATCAAATACAAGGACAGTGTCAGTCATAAAGTTCAACAGTGTCTCTGCAGTATTTGTTCTGTTATTATATTGCATTTTTATATGTTATTGGCTTTTTTCACCTTCTGCACCATTGTTTTCACATTTCTTTGCTGAGTTCACTCTCACATCGGCTGCTCATGTGTCCGTTTTGTGTGGCTTATTTCAACGACACATGCTGTATGTAAATTCCTCTCTTTCGAACCCTTCCACTTAGATTTGCACAGCCATCTTTACAATATGGAAGAATTCATCCTAATGCTGTCGATTTGATCACAATGTTTGGTGACGTTCACATGGAGCGCTTAAAGCTGACTGAGAAACAAAGAGTCCTCTGAACAGAAGAGCATGAAAATTTTTATATATGCAGAGAAATCCACCCATCCATCCCCTCCTGCACTATGAATGTGAGCACACCTTGAATATAAAGCTATCCACACGGGGGCCTGCAACACATAAAAAGTGAAGTGGATTTTCTGAGCTGATACAAACCCCCTTATGCTTCTTTTTTTTTTTAATTTGGATGCCCATTTTTGCTCGTTATCGAGCTACAAATGCATTTTAAAAAAGGGTTTTGACAGTTTTCCCTGTTTACACTTTTGGAGAATGTACTCCATGAGGTTATTTCTGTTCTAGATGAAGTTAAAACTTGGATATGATCTCTGACATTTTCATGTATGCGTCCAGATGGATTCAAATGCTAATATTTATGATTACCTTCACTAAATGCACTGCCCTCTGTTTGTCGAACAAGAATGTACCAAAGTTTTAAGCGCAAGCCGACTGCCTCACATCTAACAAACCAACCACTCTTTCTGTACAGTCCACCTCACTTTTAGAAATGAATGTTTGTCAGCACTCCTCTGGAATAAAATGTCATTTCGCTATGCAAGCTGTCTCTTTGGCTGATATACATATGTTCTAAAAGTGAAATAATAAGCATTTCTAAATATTTATTCATGTCTTTATGAGAACAAAAAGAGATTTGGGGTTCAAAACTTGGACCAAGTTCAGTTTTTCATTTTAAATAGAGAAGCACCATAGACTGTATATCATAGACTGTATATACTATGGACAACTTGGTTCCGGCTACCGCCTGTATGCGGATTTGAAGTCAAAAAGCTCTCGATATTTCCGGGATTTTTCTTCATTTCCTGAAATCAGCGCTGCGCAGTAGCGATGCGCACATTCGGCCGCGCAGTCGCTGAGAGTCGCTGTGATGACGCTCGGCTCAAACAACGTATCCCCCCGGGTGAGCTACGCAGTCCCTGAACGCCAATAGGCTGTATCAGGTGTCAATCAGAGAAAACATGAACCCCCTAATAACTTTTAAAAACGGAGCTTTGTCCACAGCTCCATAAGCTTTGCTGGCGGAGGCGGGATTTATGACCTATACTACAGCCTGTCAACAGAGGGTGCTGTTCTCGGAGGAGGCAGACTCTGTCCATTCTATATACAGTCAATGAGAAGCACATGTTTGTAGATTGACAACGGCGAACGAGAAACTGGAGAAAAACATCAAAATATTGTCATTTTGTCGAGGTTGTGAGGTAAGTTACACTAAACGGTCATGTACACTTTGCTTTTTTAGAGACTTTTCTTGTTACCTTTTGTTGTTTTTAAGTTTTGCTGTTTTTTGTTTGAGTACTGGATGTTTTTACCAACCGAGCAGCAGCCTATATTGCACCTGTTCCTGCTATTGTCTTCTAACAGGTGCATATAGTCTAACATTATAATATCACCTACCATGATTGTTAATAATAATTTTCTTGGTCTTTGAGATGACTTTATATTCTGACTGCTACTCAGAGATTGTACTTTTTCTCTCAGTTCTACTTTAGGGGATGATAAACACATTTATGATTCTGTGCAAACACTGTATGGAGCAGCTTTGAGGACAGCTTCTCTGGTGCTGAGGTACGTTTTTGTTTTGTGACGGCCTTCCTATTGTAGGTGGAAAGATAAGTATTATTGCTGGGTTTCTTCAGCCTGTTTTTGGCTTTCATAGCTGGTGAGTTGGAGTGAGAGTTTTGATTAAGAGATGTTTTTGTCATTGTAGCTTTCGCTTACAGCCATACCACCTTGAACACGCCTGATCTTGTAAGTTAAAAAGGGTCAGGCCTGGTTAGTACTTGGTTGGGAATACCTGGTGAAAATTAAAACTACTTTTTGTTGTTGACAGAAAGAGTAGTATTGCTGCTAAGTTTCTTCTTTGGCTTTCATTGCTGCTCAGGAAAAGTACATTTGGAGGGTTTGACAAGCTGCTGTGACAGCAAGATCTCCTTGGGTATGTCAGGTTCATCAGTCATTTGGTGCCACATCTTTAAGTTGATTTTAATTCATCGATAATGTAAGTCTTGGTTAGTCACACCCTCACTTCACTGAACCCTGTACTCTGCTCCCAGGCGAGGTTTTGCGGACACCTACAAAGATCTACAGCCGCTTGCTGCTGCTGATCCTCCACACTGGAGCTGTGAAAGCAGAGCCCGCTGTGGATCTGGGTGAGATGAAAGCACTCAGATTTATTTTTTTACCACCTTCAACATCAGTAAATGTCTGAAAGGTGATTTATTCACGAAGAAATTTCCTGTAGATGTGCCAAATCCACCCTTTTCTTTTCACATTCAGCTCAGTCTGAGTTCATTTTATGCTTGTTTTAAAGGAGAGGTTGATGAATCTGATTTTGTGTTGTAAAAATTCTGCAGAATCACTCGACATAATCAAAAATATCTTTATTTACACACAAGTTTGTCCCGCATACTGTGAATGTGGTGTGACATTGTAGGATATTGTTATTGTCTCTTAAAGGCAATCCTTGGTGAAGTCCATCAGGGATACTTGAATGTCTCTCTTCGGTGGAAGCGCAGCACCGACAGCCTCTCATTCCCAGCTCTCGTCGCCATGAAGGACTCTCCTTTTAAGCCGCATTTGTCCATCAGGCCGATCATTTCATCTAGTGAGAAAAAAAACACATGATTAAACCGTAACCACGTTTAAAATCAACCTGAGGAGGACGGCTTCATGTTTACCTGGATCATTCTCAGCGATGGCGATGAGGTAGAAAAGTCCTTTATCGGAGAGCAGCTCAGATACCAAAGGCAGGAATCTGTCTGTGACCTCTCGGCCTCGCTTTCCACCAGCCCAGGCTGCTTCTATACCCCTGCTTCCAACCTGAAATAACCATACAAGACCTTTCAATATCCTCTTCAATAAACTCTAAATTAACTCCTGTAATGAGCTGTCCCACCTCCTCTGAAGGGGTCACCACATATGGAGGGTTAAAAAGCAGGACGTCCACTTTCCCACTGAGACGTGGCAGAAGAGAGTCCACCTAAAAGAGAGGAGAGCTGCTTTACTGATCCTAATTCTCGCACAGAATGAGTGTTAGTGTCTGAAATATGATCATAAGAGTCATACCAGGGATGTGATAACAGGCTGCAGGGAGACACTGTTACAGGAGGCTGTCTTTGCTGTGCACTCAGCTGCTGCAGGATTCACATCAGTGCAACTAAACAAGATATGAACACATGATCCATTCAATGTAATTCTGTTTAACTCTGTTATTTCTCTGCTTTTAAACGGTTGTAAACTCACAGAAAAAGAGCTGAAGGTCCTATAACTGAAGCCAGAAATGCTGACACCACTCCAGAGCCGCTGCCCACCTCCAAACACACACACGGACTACAAACAACAAACAAAAACAACAAAAACATGAGTATATATGAATTACACTGATAATCGTGATGCGTTCAGGTACATCCTGTAACTATTCCAACCTTAACGTCCGAAGCCTCTCTGCGTCTTTTTCCAGAGCGTCAATCAGAAGAAACGAGTCCTCAGCTGGCTCGTAAACATCCCGGAACTGTCCCCGCCCCGCGTGAGAGTACACAGGTGTGGGGGGGATACCTGCGGCCATGTCACCAACTCGGCACGTGCTTCCAGCTACTTCGGCATCTGGTGAGTCGGACGGACAAAATGTCCCACCTTCGAGTTCGACCCTGAAGCTACAAGTTTACAATTTTATACCTCCACGAGCGACTCTCAGCCCGAATGAGAAGCAGCAGCTCGGCTGATGGAGGAACGCTTCCGGGTTTGAGGGGAATTCTTTCAGTTCAGAGTCAGCAGCTTTGACGGAGAAACAGCGCCCCTCTGTGGACAGAGGTCGTAACTGCGGCCACCACTGTTGTAAACGCTGAAGAGAGACTCTGGAAGCCTGCTTCATGTTAGAAAGTCAAGCTGAAAGTTAAGGAAAGGTAAAAATACCAGTTTTTAAGCTTTTTATCATGCTCCGTAAAGCTTTATTGTAGTTTTGATTATTTAGCACTCTAGACTCCTCCTCCATTGTTGCAGTGCTGTACAGTTTAGGTTTATAGTTATATATTAACCATCTGAACTAATATTGTGGCTTTGTATGATTTTCAGCCCCAGCACTCCAGAACACAGGTGTCAAACTTAAGACTCGGGGACCAAATCTGGCCCGTGGAACAATTATATCTGGCCCACAAGATCATATCATATTTGTATTATTATTGGCCCACCAGTATTAGGTCTGCAGAAACTTTTTGGTGTTTTATTTAATGTTTTTAATTTTGCATCTCAAGATTACAAGCCAAACATGATTAGATATTTTATTTCATGCTTTGATTTGTTTAACTCAGTATTTTAAATTTTAAGTCATATTTTGACCTTTTAAACCTGATTTCAACGTTCTGCTCATGTATTTGCTCTTTAAATGCATTATTTTTCTATTTTTAATATCATGCTCTGATCTTTTGAACTAATAAATGAAATGAAATGCAAAGTGTAATTATAACATTTTAAAATAAACTGAAACTGAGATAAATAAAAATAGAATAAAAAATTAGAAAATTTGTATCTTTTTATCATGTTTGACTTAAGTAATTCCCAACGAATGACATGTTTTTAAGATTTGGGGAAAATTTGCTTCATTCTGTTTCTTTTCAAACTGTTGTTTTAGAGACATACTTATGTTCGTGCGAATTTCTCTTTGACATGTACAGTAGTTTGATGTACATACAGCATGTATTATTTTTGCTTTTACAGAGAGTCAAGGCCAATGCTTTCAAGTGTAAAAAAATATTAAAGGTATATGTAGAGCCATTCTTAACATAAGGGGGAAATAAGAGGATGAATCTGCAAAAATAAGAGTGACGGTTAGTGAAAGTAAATGTATGTGGAAGACTTTGACTGATAAAGTTTATGTAAGTGGTAAAGGACAAAAGTTTACTAAAATCCCAGAAACTTGTTTCAAATGAGCGGCAAGCTCAGCTGATTAACTTTACTCCTCCCAAAATTTAATTTCTTTTTTATATTCCTTTAATTTATCATTTATACATTTTTGGACAAAATTAAATAAGCAGTCTTACAGTAAAAAACAGAAACATCATGCTAATAATAATACATTTTCATCTTTAAATCTTGAATTCCAGCTGTAAACTCGGGTGGTTTCTAAAAAAGAAAAAACTCAAGCAAATATATGTGATAAAAATGTCCTTCTATACGGTAATTGGTATAGAAATCTGAGGAAGTGATGACTAATCATCACTTCCAATGATGGCTAATTCTGATCGTTACTAATACTCTCCAGCCATGAGCTGGTATCAAACCAGGCCCCATTGGGTGCCAATAGACTTCCATGCAGGGCCATTAGATAGGATCCACACTAGGGCATGCAGAATGCCCGCTTTTATCTTCTTAGAGATTAGAGAGAGTTAAATAGGAAAAACCCGGATGTACCCTGTGCGTCCCCATGGCTTAGAGGATAAGAAGACTGACTAGTACTCCTGAGGTTGTGCGTTCAAGCTCAACCTTATCCAGGTCTATGAGAATTTTAAAGTCTCGGAGCCAAAGTAGCAAGGTAAAAGGGCGCCCAGCTCCTACCTAAGTGTGGATCGTATCTTGTAGCATGTGTGTTAGTCAATTGACTCTCAATGTGTGGACCCCGGTTCGATTCCAGTTAGTGACGGGGTAGTTCAAAGTAATGAAATGATGAAAATTTCCTTCTATACCGTAATCGGTATAGACTCCTGAAGAAGTGATGATTCACTTCTAATGATGGCTAATTCTGATCGTTACTAATACTCTCCAGCCATGAGCTGGTATCAAACCAGGCCCCATTGGGTGGCAATAGACTTCCATGCAGTGCCATTAGATAGGATCCACACTAGGGCATGCGGAATGCCCGCTTTTATCTTCTTACTTTGGCTAAAGGACTTTAAAAAATTCAACTAGATGTAGGTGAGATTTGAACTCACGACCTCAGGAGTCCCAGTCCATCGTCTTATCCTCTGAGCCATGTGGACACACAGGGTGATTCCGGGTTTTTCCTATTTAACTCTCATTTCTAGACACTAGACTTTAAATTTCACCTCGACCTGAATAAGGTAAGGATCGAACCCACGACCTCAGGAGTCCCAGTCCATCGTCTTATCCGCTGAGCTATTTGGACACACAGGGTACTTCCGGGTTTTTCCTATTTAACTCTCATTTCTAGACACTAGACTTTAAATTTCACCTCGACCTGAATAAGGTAAGGATCGAACCCACGACCTCAGGAGTCCCAGTCCATCGTCTTATCCGCTGAGCTATTTGGACACACAGGGTACTTCCGGGTTTTTCCTATTTAACTCTCATTTCTAGACACTAGACTTTAAATTTCACCTCGACCTGAATAAGGTAAGGATCGAACCCACGACCTCAGGAGTCCCAGGCCATCGTCTTATCCGCTGAGCTATTTGGACACACAGGGTGATTCCGGGTTTTTCCTATTTAACGCTCATTTCTAGACACTAGACTTTAAATTTAACCTCGACCTGAATAAGGTAAGGATCGAGCTTCTTATCCTCTGAGCCATGTGGACACTAAAGAGGATCCTGTTTGTGAAAGATTCTCACTCTCCTCTCCTCTCCACACTGGACTTTAAAATTCACCAGGACCTGGATAAGGGTTCCAACCTTCAATGTCAGGAGTCTAAATAAGTCTTTTCCTCTCTGAGCCACAGAGACAGGTACAGGTCAAGGTTTTTAAAAGGATCTGACTTCTTTGCTGTCAAAACTCTGGAGAACGCTGTGAAGAAATCCAAGGAGGGACTTCTACATGAGACGTGAAGCTACTCCCTCCCTCTCTTCCTTAATTGATCTAAACTATTTAAAATTAACTGCTGTATACAAATGTCATTGTATAGTATAATTTTTAAAAAAAGTCATAGTATAGTATGAAAAAAATCTCATAATACAGTATGATATAAAAAGTGTCATAGAAAGTTATAGTTAAGTATGATAAAAATGTCATAGTATAGTATGTTAAAAACCTCATAATATGGTATGATAAAAAAATCACAGTAAAGTATGATAAAGAAATGTTATCGTGTAGTATGATATAAAAATTGGGTGTTTTTAATATATTATGATAAAAAAGACAGAGAATGGTATGCCAAAAAACAAAGTTTAGTATGATTAAAATTTTACAACATAGTATGACATAAAAATGTCATTGTATAGTATGATACAAAAATTTCATAGTTTAGTCTGATTAAAAATGTCATAGATCAGTATGATATAAAAAAGCATTACTGTGTAAATGTATGAACAAACATTATACATACATGTATGAAAACACACATCAGATGATTTCAGAAGTTATTTAAAGAAACAAACATAGTCAAAGGCTATTTTACACCTTCAAATTAAATCAAATGCACTTATTCAAAAGTAGCATGTATACTTTTGAGGTTGAAATCTAATGAAACTGCTTTTATTTCGAAAACAAAAACCCAAACCATGATTCAATGTTTAAAATAATAAGTCATTAAAAATAGTTAAACCAAACAATGCAAAGATCTCTCCTCTGAGCACTACATAGTAATGAACATTGGGCATGTTTCACTGAAACGACCACCATCTGCCTTATTCTGGCAAATATTCCTATGATAGACCGGACTGTCTGACTGACAGTGTTTCTGAGCTTCATTTAAGCTTGACAATACTTCCCTTTCAGGATCCTCCGCACCTGAAAAAAAAGGTTAAATCCAGATTATCACATGAACAAATATCCCAGAGGTGTAAAAGGAGGTGACTGAAGTATCACTGACACATTTACACACTCTACCTTTTCACCAACAGGTCCATCAGCTACCAGTTGAGACGGCAGGTCATTTTCTAAGTTCCTGGTCCCGGAGTATATATGGATTACACTGATAATCGTGATGCGTCCAGGTACATCCTGTAACTATTCCAACCTTAACGTCCGAAGCCTCTCTGCGTCTTTTTCCAGAGCGTCAATCAGAAGAAACGAGTCCTCAGCTGGCTCGTAAACATCCCGGAACTGTCCCCGCCCCGCGTGAGAGTACACAGGTGTGGGGGGGATACCTGCGGCCATGTCGCCAACTCGGCACGTGCTTCCAGCTACTTCGGCATCTGGTGAGTTGGACGGACAAAATGTCCCACCTTCGAGTTCAACCCTGAAGCTACAAGTTTACAATTTCATACCTTCACGAGCGATTCTCAGACGGAATGAGAAGCAGCAGCTCGGCTGATGGAGGAACGCTTCCGGGTTTGAGGGGAATTCTTTCAGTTCAGAGTCAGCAGCTTTGACGGAGAAACAGCGCCCCCCTGTGGGCAGAGGTCGTAACTGCGGCCACCACTGTTGTAAACGCTGAAGAGAGACTCTGGAAGCCTGCTTCATGTTAGAAAGTGAAGCTGAAAGTTAAGGAAAGGTAAAAATACCAGTTTTTAAGCTTTTTATCATGCTTCGTAAAGCTTTATTGTAGTTTTGATTATTTAGCACTCTAGACACCTCCTCCATTGTTGCAGTGCTGTACAGTTTAGGTTGAGCACAACTTTATAGTTATATATTAACCATCTGAACTAATATTGTGGCTTTGTATGATTTTCAGCCCCAGCACTCCAGAACACAGGTGTCAAACTTAAGGCTCGGGGACCAAATCTGGCCCGTGGAACAATTATATCTGGCCCACAAGATCATATCATATTTGTATTATTATTGGCCCACCAGTATAAGGTCTGCAGATTTCCTCCAGTATAATAACGTAAACTTTTTGGTGTTTTATTTAATGTTTTTAATTTTGCATCTCAAGATTACAAGCCAAACATGATTGGATATTTTATTTCATGCTTTGATTTGTTTAACTCAGTATTTAGACTGTCATTTTTATACCTTAGATTCCAATTTTAAATTTTAAGTCATATTTTGACCTTTTAAACCTGATTTCAACGTTCTGCTCATGTATTTGCTCTTTAAATGCATTATCTTTCTATTTTTAATATCATGCTCTGATCTTTTGAACTAATAAATGAAATGAAATGCAAAGTGTAATTATAACATTTTAAAATAAACTGAAACTGAGATAAATAAAAATAGAATAAAAAATTAGAAAATTTGTATCTTTTTATCATGTTTGACTTAAGTAATTCCCAACGAATGACATGTTTTTAAGATTTGGTGAAAATTTGCTTCATTCTGTTTCTTTTCAAACTGTTGTTTTAGAGACATACTTATGTTCGTGCGAATTTCTCTTTGACATGTACAGTAGTTTGATGTACATACAGCATGTATTATTTTTGCTTTTACAGAGAGTCAAGGCCAATGCTTTCAAGTGTAAAAAATATTAAAGGTATATGTAGAGCCATTCTTAACATAAGGGGGAAATAAGAGGATGAATCCGCAAAAATAAGAGTGACGGTTAGTGAAAGTAATTGTATGTGGAAGACTTTGACTGATAAAGTTTATGTAAGTGGTAAAGGACAAAAGTTTACTAAAATCCCAGAAACTTGTTTCAAATGAGCGGCAAGCTCAGCTGATTAACTTTACTCCTCCCAAAATTTAATTTCTTTTTTATATTCCTTTAATTTATCATTTATACATTTTTGGACAAAATTAAATAAGCAGTCTTACAGTAAAAAACAGAAACATCATGCTAATAATAATACATTTTCATCTTTAAATCTTGAATTCCAGCTGTAAACTCGGGTGGTTTCTAAAAAGTGATAAAAATGTCCTTCTATACGGTAATTGGTATAGAAATCTGAGGAAGTGATGACTAATCATCACTTCCAATGATGAACAATTCTGATCGTTACTAATACTCTCCAGCCATGAGCTGGTATCAAACCAGGCCCCATTGGGTGCCAATAGACTTGCATGCAGGGCCATTAGATAGGATCCACACTCGGGCATGCAGAATGCCCGCTTTTATCTTCTTAGAGATTAGAGAGAGTTAAATAGGAAAAACCCGGATGTACCCTGTGCGTCCCCATGGCTTAGAGGATAAGAAGACTGACTAGTACTCCTGAGGTTGTGCGTTCAAGCTCAACCTTATCCAGGTCTATGAGAATTTTAAAGTCTCAGAGCCAAAGTAGCAAGGTAAAAGGGCGCCCAGCTCCTACCTAATTGTGGATCGTATCTTGTAGCATGTGTGTTAGTCAATTGACTCTCAATGTGTGGACCCCGGTTCGATTCCAGTTAGTGACGGGGTAGTTCAAAGTAATGAAATGATGAAAATTTCCTTCTATACCGTAATCGGTATAGACTCCTGAAGAAGTGATGATTCACTTCTAATGATGGCTAATTCTGATCGTTACTAATACTCTCCAGCCATGAGCTGGTATCAAACCAGGCCCCATTGGGTGGCAATAGACTTGCATGCAGTGCCATTAGATAGGATCCACACTAGGGCATGCGGAATGCCCGCTTTTATCTTCTTACTTTGGCTAAAGGACTTTAAAAAATTCAACTAGATGTGGATAAGGTGAGATTTGAACTCACGACCTCAGGAGTCCCAGTCCATCGTCTTATCCTCTGAGCCATGTGGACACACAGGGTGATTCCGGGTTTTTCCTATTTAACTCTCATTTCTAGACACTAGACTTTAAATTTCACCTCGACCTGAATAAGGTAAGGATCGAACCCACGACCTCAGGAGTCCCAGTCCATCGTCTTATCCGCTGAACTATTTGGACACACAGGGTACTTCCGGGTTTTTCCTATTTAACTCTCATTTCTAGACACTAGACTTTAAATTTCACCTCGACCTGAATAAGGTAAGGATCGAACCTACGACCTCAGGAGTCCCAGTCCATCGTCTTATCCTTTGAGCTATTTGGACACACAGGGTGATTCCGGGTTTTTCCTATTTAACTCTCATTTCTAGACACTAGACTTTAAATTTCACCTCGACCTGAATAAGGTAAGGATCGAACCCACGACCTCAGGAGTCCCAGTCCATCGTCTTATCCGCTGAGCTATTTGGACACACAGGGTACTTCCGGGTTTTTCCTATTTAACTCTCATTTCTAGACACTAGACTTTAAATTTCACCTCAACCTGAATAAGGTAAGGATCGAGCTTCTTATCCTCTGAGCCATGTGGACACTAAAGAGGATCCTGTTTGTGAAAGATTCTCACTCTCCTCTCCTCTCCACACTGGACTTTAAAATTCACCAGGACCTGGATAAGGGTTCCAACCTTCAATGTCAGGAGTCTAAATAAGTCTTTTCCTCTCTGAGCCACAGAGACAGGTACAGGTCAAGGTTTTTAAAAGGATCTGACTTCTTTGCTGTCAAAACTCTGGAGAACGCTGTGAAGAAATCCAAGGAGGGACTTCTACATGAGACGTGAAGCTACTCCCTCCCTCTCTTCCTTAATTGATCTAAACTATTTAAAATTAACTGCTGTATACAAATGTCATTGTATAGTATAATTTTTAAAAAAAGTCATAGTATAGTATGAAAAAAATCTCATAATACAGTATGATATAAAAAGTGTCATAGAAAGTTATAGTTAAGTATGATAAAAATGTCATAGTATAGTATGTTAAAAACCTCATAATATGGTATGATAAAAAAATCACAGTAAAGTATGATAAAGAAATGTTATCGTGTAGTATGATATAAAAATTGGGTGTTTTTAATATATTATGATAAAAAAGACAGAGAATGGTATGCCAAAAAACAAAGTTTAGTATGATTAAAATTTTACAACATAGTATGACATAAAAATGTCATTTTATAGTATGATACAAAAATTTCATAGTATAGTCTGATAAAAATGTCATAGATCAGTATGATATAAAAAAGCATTACTGTGTAAATGTATGAACAAACATTATACATGTATGAAAACACACATCAGATGATTTCAGAAGTTATTTAAAGAAACAAACATAGTCAAAGGCTATTTTACACCTTCAAATTAAATCAAATGCACTTATTCAAAAGTAGCATGTATACTTTTGAGGTTGAAATCTAATGAAACTGCTTTTTATTTCAAAAACAAAAACCCAAACCATGATTCAATGTTTAAAAAAATAAGTCATTAAAATAGTTAAACCAAACAATGCAAAGATCTCTCCTCTGAGCACTACATAGTAATGAACATTGGGCATGTTTCACTGAAACGACCACCATCTGCCTTATTCTGGCAAATATTCCTATGATAGACCGGACTGTCTGACTGACAGTGTTTCTGAGCTTCATTTAAGCTTGACAATACTTCCCTTTCAGGATCCTCCGCACCTGAAAAAAAAGGTTAAATCCAGATTATCACATGAACAAATATCCCAGAGGTGTAAAAGGAGGTGACTGAAGTATCACTGACACATTTACACACTCTACCTTTTCACCAACAGGTCCATCAGGTACCAGTTGAGACGGCAGGTCATTTTCTAAGTTCCTGGTCCCGGGGTCGGCTCCTTTTTTCATCAGAAGCTTTGTAGCTTCCACCTGAGTGTTGAGGCTCCTCAAAGAGCAGACGATGTGCAGGGCCGTGTTTCCACTGAACGTCTGAAACACACAGAAGCACATCTTATAGAGCACGAGTTTAAAGTTATTCTAATCATACTGGGGTTTCTTTAAACAAGAAAAAAAATCACCTTATCATTGACCATCGACAGTGAAGACGCCTCATCGAGGAGCATGTGAAGGAGCTCCACGTTTGCCTCCTCAGCTGCCATGTGCAGACATGTGCGCCCACTTTTTAGATCCTGTTAGAATCAAACCTTAATGTTAAAAATGTTAAATTTTGGATCAAGAACAGTTTGGATACGCCCATGTTATATGCCCATATATAAATGCATTTGTATCATACTCTATACCAAGGGTGGGCAATCATGTGCCATGGAGGGCCGAGAGGCTGCAGGTTTTCTGTCCAACCCAAAACTCCACCAGGTGATTTCACTGATTAGTCCCTGCTCTCCGCTTGGAGGTAAGATAATCAGTGAAATCACCTGGTGGAGTTTTGGGTTGGAAAGAGAACCTGCAGCCTCTCGGCCCTCCATGGCGCACGATTGCCCACCCCTGCTCTATACTCACCTTTGTCCTATAGGAGGCGCCCATAAGCAGCAGAGTTTTAATACACTCCACAAACATCTGCCTCCTCTGTGTCTGCTCCATCACCCTGAGAGCGCAGGAGTTACCTTGACTCCTGCGCTCTCTGATGACGGCGTTGTGGGACAAGACTGCAGTATGAAGAGGAGTTAAACCTGCAGGTTGAGAACATTAACTCTCAGTCATAAAGACGTTTCACTATTCAGAAATACGAGATCAAAGTGTATGACGTACGCTCACCCTCATAATTGTACATTTCAATGTCAACTGGTTTCCTGCCTCCCATCAAGCTCCTCCAGATGCTCTTCAGGAAAACAAACCAAGACAGAGATGAGGTTTAACTACACGTGACTTTATGTTTAAAACACAGACATTTATTTTCACTTTTTAAGAGCGCTGTGTTGATAAAAATCCAGGGTTAATATTTAACAAAGTCTGCAGCAAAGATCCACCTGATTGACCTAAAAAAACAGGCTTTTGCATTAACAGAGGTGTGATTAAGTTGTAAATTAACGAGCCAGATAAGCTGCACACCTCTTTGCATGGTGACAGACTTGTGTTTGTTATTCTTACGCTGACCCATAAACAGATGACGGCAGCAAAGCGGCGTTGTCTCTGGTCTAAGTCCAAAGAGAGTCATCAGTTCAGATGAAAAACCCAAGTGTCTTTCGGTTAGGTGTCGTAAATTTGTACCTGAAGAGTGAGAAAGTGGCCTTTCTCTGCGCACACATGCAAAGGAGAGCGGCCCCACAGGTCCCTGATGTTGATTTGGGCTCCGTGTTCCAGCAGGTCCTGGACGATGAAGGGCTGGTTGGTGGCAGCAGCGATCTGAAGAGCCGTCTGTGAACAATTCAGACGTTATATCTTAAAACTTAAAAAGGATAAAAACACATTTAGCATTGTTAAATCTTCGTACCTGTCCGTTGTGCTCTTTTATGTCCAAGGAGCCAAAACTGGACATTTTTCCAGCGAGGACAAAAGCAAGAGCTCGTTTCCCTTGTGCTACGGCGATATGAAGCATCCTGGACGCAGGGAAATGTTCAGTTTTATTTGTTTATCCACTTTAACTTTATAACTGAAGTAATCATTTCAAGCTTAAATATTTATTTGCTGTGTTTAGCTCACAATAAATAACCCATCACTAGCTTTTTTAAATTAGAATCTGCTTTATTTCTAAGGTATTATGAACACTGATATTTCACATTTTCTTTTTGGATACATACGTGTCACCGTCTGAATCCTGCACGTTCAGCAGCTCAGGAGAAACTTCTCCAACCCTCTGAGCCTCCTTCTGTATTTGCCAGTGAAACAAAGATATTTTGACTGCATCTGTTAGAGTGGTTTGTCCCTGCAGAGGGTGAATTGGACCATTTCCAGGAGCGATGGAGGAAAAATTACTAATAACGGTTGAGTTTAGTGGAACTGGAGGGCCAGGAGGAGGAGGACTCGTGTCACTGGCAAAGGTGTCGGACTTTGGGAACTTCGGTTGGTGCTCTGAGCTGCTGTCCTGGGAACAGGCCCATTTCTAAAAGAGAGTGAAATATAAGAATTAAAGCAACAACACTCAAAGTTATGAAACACAAATTTATGCAACTACCTGACGCACTTTCTAGGAAATCCAATCTGGAAATTTTACACTTGTCTTCTCACGTGTTGGTACTTGTTCCACCTGTGACTCACCTGGCGTTTCATCATGAGCAGCTCTTTTACTGTATTCTTCTTATGCAAGACGTGGACGAATTCAGGCGGCCTGGGATCAGTGTGAACACAAACTGGGAGGGGAAAAATAAACAGTTGAGAATTACTCATGGTTTTCATCATGAATAAAATGAAAATGAAATGTTGTGATATGAATTGTGATATAGTTTGTGCTTAAAAGAATGGTGGCCCTGTAGAGAATGACGCACTATTAAGATTTAACTTCCAGTTTGAGTCAGGTAAAGCATGTAAAAACTCAAAAATGTACGGCAAACACTAGTAAAAGCGCCATCTTTGTTTATCCTGAGAAATTTAAAATAATTGCAGACACTTTTTTAAATCTTATTTCACCTTTTGAATTATATTAAAAGGAAAAAAACTGAACTTTTACAGGACATTTCAAGTTTTTTGAACTGCACCTGTATAAACTGTTGCTTAGTTTTAGTTTCTATGGCTCCTGTGGGTAACTTTTGGTTTGTGTTGATTCTGGCGCCCTCCTGTGGACAAAACTTTTGCTGATTTTGTCTTGTATGTTTGTTAAGAATCTCTTTTAACAATCTTTATTTTAAAATAAGGCTTTTACAGCAGCGTGAAATCAGTGAATTTGTCTGACATCGACCCCCCACCAATGATTTTAAGCATCAAAGCATCTCTATGACTACACAGATATAATCAGTCTTATGAATGATGGTCCTGTTTGCTTTAGCGGATTATTTATAGGCATCAGTATTAATTTCAGTCTCTTTATCCACTTAAAAAAACTCCCCATTGTAGCTTTAAGTGCAGATTTTCACAGTGTAGTAACTTTGGTTTATGTGACAGACTGAATACCTCTGCTATCACTGTTACCTAAAGTCAACAATGTGACTAATTTAACTCTAAAAGTTAAACTTCTTTGTTGCCTCATAACAAAAACAAGTAATTAAAGATCTGAAAGCATAAAGAAGTGAGGATTTCGCATATCAGCTGTGAAAACCGACCTTTGTCATTCTGGCTGAAGTTTCCCGCTGGCAGGATGTGGCTCCCTCTGGTCTCATTCCCTCGCTGATCCAACATGTTCAAGGCGACATTTATTCACACTCTGGTCCACTTTGAGTTTTTCCTCGATAGTACACACACCTGACAGGCAAAGAGGCTGTCAATAAAGTGAAGTTAAGTGTCAAAGAAAAACATGAGCTGCTCTGACTCACCTGACTGCACTGCTGCACTACTAGAAATGAGGAACAAGCTGCCAGAGGACTTGTGCCACACCTGGATTGACTTCCTGGTTGGCAGATCATGAAGGAGAGGAGATTGACATCTGTTAAAAAAGAGAAAGAGAAAACAATATCAAGCATTTTCACTGATCCTAAAAACTGATCCTAAACAAGGAAAACAGAAAACTTTAGTGAAATTATTGGAACACTTTTTGAATTCTAGACAATTTTTATAACTGTTTAGGCTCCAAACTCTAAATAATATAACATTATATCCTAAACAAACAATGTAGAGTTTTCAGTGATAAGGGGTAAGTTCAGCTGTTTTTTTTTTTTCCAATTTATCACAAGACAGAATAATTTCCTGGGGAGTCAGGATATAACATCATGCCATTTTAGGACACATGAGTCACATAAAAGAAAAGTGATCTGACAAAAAAATGACTTACCTTGCACAAATCAATGAAATCTACTGTTTTTATCTAGTTGGTTAAAACTGCATGTCCACTCTGGGCTCCTGTAGCCGCTCTCACCTAACCGTGAAGCATGAAGGAGTCGGTTAAGATGCAAATTTGATCAAGCTGTTGGACGCATGAGCAAAACAAAAGTACAATTCAGCTTTTATGGGTTTATCAGTAACTTTATTAAAAATTAACCTGCAAATAAGAGCTCTCAACATAGCAAAAAAAGAGATTAAAAAGAGCTTTGTGGCTGCTTTTAAGCATTTTTCTGTTCCATAATAGTGTAAAACAGCCATTTACTCACAAAAACAATAATTCTGTGACATTTTCAGTGAAAATATTTACATAAATGTAGTGACAGAAAAGTATTTGAAGCATTCCTCACCTGCTCAGAGAAAACTGGTATATACAGAAGGGGAAGAAGAGCTACCAAACAGTAAATGAAAGTGACATTTTTTGGTTAACTTGCAGAGTGGTCATCTAACAACTAGAAAGGTTGTCAGTTCAACTCCCCCCTGATTTTTATGTACGTCGCTCTGGAAAAAAGCATATACTAAATCACATTGTAATCTATAATCTAAATAGTTGGATTTCCCCTGTGAAGGAAGCGTTTGGTTTCTTGGCTGAAGGCCAAATTCAATTATGCGCGTACAAGCACTTAAATATGAGGAAATACGTTTTGAAAACACCACCAAACAGACCGAAGCATGTTAAATATGTAGAGATAACATCAGGGTGTTATATGAGTAAAAATGAAACTCTAAATTACGTCAAACCAACAGTAAAATCGCAACTAAACCAGTTAGCAAGCTAACCATGAGCTAGCTTGATAGATATCCGGCTAGTTAGCTTTGTTGACGTTAGCTACCTGAGACATATTTATTTATTTATGTATTTTTAACTTAGTAAGTTCACACCCCAACCACACAACTATATCACTCAACCTTGGGTAAAAATTGTACAAAATTTACCATCTCTCACGCTTTACTATTTTACAAGACAACAAATTGGTACTGTACAACCAAAAAGCAGCTGGAACATGAGTTTATTCAGGGTGATCTCTCATAAAACCTGTTTCAATACATGAGACATAAATACATTACTTCCTTATAGTAAACATGACTCATGTTTGAGCTATGAACATTTCTTCCTCTTCATAAACTTACGAGAATGTTTCCATGGTAGACATACTTTGTACCATGGTTTACATTGATCAACAAGACAGAGAGTAAACCCGGAACAATGTGGTAAATATCAGTGGTACCTGCCCAAGCACAAGGGTACCAACCATGGCACTTGAACCGTGGTTCTTGCATCTGACTTCGCAGGACTTGAACCAAACTGTGGTACCTGTACTATGGTCCAGGTATGATATGTGTACCACGAAATTTCAACTGTGAAATAAGAACTGTTACAACACACAGACTGTAAAATTTGGGTTGAATTCAACTGGAAAGACTTGGACAGGATTGTACCTCCTGGGGAAAACGACATGCAGAATGAGGAACAAAAAGGCCATTTTTCATTTTCACTGTTTGATATGACAAACTTCATTAAAAACCAACTATTTCACAGTTAGAGGTCTCAGGAAGTTTCAGCACACGAGGCCATATGAAGTCTTTTTCTCAAAATCTTCTCATTTATGATGATTTTGAGCCTTTTTGACAATTCCATCTGCAGATAGTGGTCATATCCCGAAAAGGCATTTCAAGCCTTCAAAAACAGTAACATTTTAAAATACACTTTATGAACTATACCCACTGTTTCTTAAAACATGTTGGTTTAACAGAAACACTGTTTTGCTTTGAACAGATTAACACAGAAGACAAATACAACACATAGACACTTGAGCAGAAGGAAAAAAAAAACAGCGAGTCATGTCCTTCCTTTCACTTTACCAAGGTTAACTCTTCAACCGGCCCAATAAAGGGACATGACGGGAGGACGTTTTTAAGGGTTTCAAGAAGCTCAAACTGAATAAATATTAGTTAAAATAAATTACGCAAAAAAAAAATAATAATAATCTTATTACATTTAAGTGCAAAAAAAAAAGGCTTCCCTGTCATTTCACGGTTTGCATTAGATTTGTTCAACACAGGCTTTTGCATAATTGAAGTAAAACGAACCTTTATGAAGCCTCTCAAGTTGTTAGAAGACTAGATTTCCCCTCACACATTACATCAAAATGTGCCTGGAAGAAAACATATTACAAGTTCTGTGTAAATTAGTATTTGACCTAAATTATACTTACAGAAATAAATCATTAACAGCTGCTCAGTTTATTCCATGGCATTTTAATGTTTTTTTTTTTATGTGCCAAACTCCTATGTCTATGTTTACTTTGTAGACACACATATGATTCAGAGATTGCCTGACAAATTCCCAATTTCCCACCAGACAACTATATTTTATAAAAATTATATACAAGAGTGTCATAACCGCTGAAAAAAAAAAACGTATCTATTCCTCAACTTATCGTGTCCTTCCCTTGTTTCGATTCACTCATAACTAATCCAAACTTTCAGTGTCTTCATCTCAAATGTTAGAAAATATATATATCAGACTCTGTTAGTACACGGCTTTCACAAAACAAAATATAAAGTGCGCTAAAAGTTCCTTTGTAGCTCAGAGTGGAGGGTCCTGGGTACATATCAAGATGAACAGTGACGCGACAAACACAGCGAACTACACGAAACACACCAGTGGAAAGACAATCTGAGCGAACAATTGTGCAGCTTTTACATAAATAAAACCCAGAAATTCGTTTCAACATTGTAAAAAAAAGAAAATACTGCATGCACATTTCTGCTAAATTGAATGTCAAGTGTACCGTTAATTTTGGCTCCTGCAGAAAAAAAAAAAGCGTTCAAAAAGGAAAATAAAACAGCAAAAGTCACGTTATTGAGCTGAAACTTGATTTCCAGTCAGCGGGAAGAATCGATCCGTCCTCCTGGAATGCCTTTACGTTTGAAGAGTGCAACCGAGACGAGTGGTGGTCCATCATGGAAAGTTTGTGTCCACTTTCCTTTTCGCTTTAATGCCATCCTAGTTATGTCCTAATGAGTACGAATCAAATCAAGACATCATTGAAAGAGATTTAAAACATCAATGTCATAAATAAAATACTGTTAACGCACATAATCAGGAGGTAAGATCCAAGTTTAAAGGGCCTAAAACCATGCAGGCTTAATTCTATTTCCTACAAGACAAGTACTATATCACAAAGATAAAATGAGACAAAATCAAGAAACTCATTTGATTTATATGATGCAGATTTGCTTGGAAATCCTCTTCTGAAATCTAGGAAAACCATCTATACTTAAGCCTAAAAATGCACGAATGAACTAGAAAAGCACTCAGAGAGCGCAGACAGATATCTTTAAACGGCCACTCACCTGCAAGATATTTTGCACCGACCAGCATCAACATGCTGCCAAAGATATAGAAGCCGAGCGGAGCGCTGCTGAAGATACTCGTTTCACCTTTTCAAACATTTAAAGGGAGTGGTGGAAGAACAAAAACCATCATAATTCAAAGATGGTGAACTTATTTGAATCATAAAGGCACATTTTTTAAACAATTAAAACCATAACTTTCTGTCTTAATAAAAAAACGACTCCCTAGGCAGCAGCTTTGTATGGCTCGGGTTGACCTCTTCCTACCGTTTCCGTTCCCTGCCGGCTCTGTCGTCTCCCAGTTCATGGATTTCTGCACCGCCTTTTTCCAGCGAGCGTACCGGAACTCACTCTCTGCGCAGCACATTTACAGAAAACACCGTCAGTTCACGGCAGCAGCAGATACTGGAGACATTTTCATCTTCTCAGGCCTTCAAAGAGACACACTCATTGTACCTTCAGGGTTAATTTGAGGCTCGAACTTCTCTGATGTGACCTCACTCAGGTCCTCTGGGCTGAGGCTCCACACGCTCACGCCCTCAGCTGCTCCTGCCGCCATCGCTGCGCCCAGAGCGGTGGTCTCAGGCATGGATGGCTTCACTGAAAATAGAAAAAAAAGTTTTGCATCTTTAAGTTGAAATTCATCACATTAGTGGTTGGCTTTGCAGATCTTCTGATGAGCTTCAAGGTTGAAGAACCAGTTTTCCTTCACTCTTCCTTCAGTGCTTGTTCATCTAATCAGGTTTTCATTCCTTCTGTCATGCATATCACAGAAAACTCACTTAATCACTGAAGGGAATCTCACCGACAGGGATGCAGAGGATATCGGCCTGCAGTTGCATCAGCAACCTGTTGGATGTCATTCCTCCGTCCACCTGCAGCTGAGTCAGCGGGATGCCGCTGTCCTGATTCATGGCGTCCAGAATCTAGGTCCAAACAAACATGGCATCATCACAAGCAGGGTTCTTATTTAACAATCCCCACTTTTGTGCATGTGATGCAAAAAAGTAGATAATATGATTGGCAGGTGGATTTTTTCATCTATTTTTGCCCCAGTTATATATCTTAGGTGAAAATAAAAGAGTAGCACTCACCTCTCGTGTCTGGAAACAAACGGCTTCCAGTGCAGCAAAGGCGAGGTGACTCTTGTTTGTAAACTGAGTTAACCCACAAATGATCCTGGAACAGAAAAAGACTGAATGCAGCAGAAGCGTGTCTCATTTTGAGTGTTTTTCTCAGACTGAAGGGTAGTTTTCAGGTCTTACCCTCTTGCACTGGGCTCCCAGTACGGCGCATAAAGCCCCGAAAATGCAGGAACGAAATAACAACCGTAGGACGTACCGACTGATGCGGCCAACTTCTCTGCAGAAACAGAAACATGAAAATTAAAGCCAAAAAGGAGGACACATTTGGAGCATAAACATCAGCAGCAGCAGGACATACCGAGCTCTTCAGAAGATCCAATGATCCCCAGATTGTCCTGCAGCCAGCGAACCACAGCTCCAGCGATGGCCACAGAGCCCTGGACAAAAACACTGACATGATAGGTGCTTGTTTTAAACAGAAGGGACAGTGGTAGTAAAATGCAGATACTTTACCTCGAGTGCATAACAAGCAGGTTTGTCCCGGCCGAGTTTGTACGCCACTGTGGTCAGGAGGCCGTGATCGGACATTACAGGCTGCAAAAACACAAGGAAGTCAACTGTGTTCAACAGGGTTCTGTAGATTTCTGTGAATGGGTTCAAACACGTGTATTTGAAGGTTTACCTTGGCTCCAGTGTTTCGTAGTAGAAAGCAGCCAGTTCCATACCTGAATCACATGATAAATCCGACTTTGAGTTGACTTTGTCACAGGTATTGGAGTAAAAACACACTGTGATACATACGTGTTCTTCGCTTGCCCATCCTGGAAACACATCTGTCCAACGAGAGCTGCCGACTGATCCCCAAGACACTGTTTTTTTGTAAAAGGAAAACTTCATTATAAATTATTCAGAGTATACAAAAAAAATTTGGTTAATGTTTGAGAGTAGAGAAAAACGTACCCCTGATATAGGGATGCCTGAAAGAGCTCCAGATTTCTGCGTAAAGAAAAGAAAGCTGTTAGAGTAAAATCGTAATTAAAGCTCCTATAAGGAGTTTTTAAACAGTAAAAAAAAAGAACAGACTTAAAGCTCCTGTGAGGAGATTTTAATGTTTATACAGTAGACTGAAATTCACATTGTTGCCTTTTGGTGATCCTCAAAAGCAAACAAGACCATCAGTGATGAGACTGACGAGTTTAATTCTTTAAGCAATTAAGCAGCTAACAGCACTGTTTTTATTATTTTCACTTGAATCATTCACAATCAAGAGTCAGCAGGATGACTAAGAAGACAAGATATGCAAAGACTGCTTTTTCCACAGGGAGCGCCAAATTGTAGACAACCTGAAAGTTCCTCACAGGAGCTTTAAACTAACATTGATGCCTCTTTAAGAACCACAAAAGCAAACAAGACCATCCACATAAATACAGACTATTTCTTTAGAGTTATTCCAAATGGCTGAAACAGTTGAAATGAATCCTCAGAGGAGCTTAAATGAGCTTTTTTCATTTTAAATGTTTTCATCTTTAATAAAAAGCATCTTAGTCTTGGACATACCTGCAGCAATTTAATCAAAAGAAAAGGTTTGATGACTTTGCATGTTTACTTTTATGAGGAAAAATCACTAAACTCTAAATCAGATTAAAAAGTTATCAAAACTATATATCTGTCACCGAAAAAGACAGCAACATAAATTTAATCTCTTTCCCTGATAATAACATGAACAAAAAAGGGTATTTTTCATTATTTGACCGCACAGAGCCAAATAACTTCTACCACAACATCTTCACTGAAACAGTGAGGGGAAACAAAGGGCGAGCGTGACCCTGAGAACAAACGGAAATGTCTTCACTCCTACGAGAGGCCGAGTTAGTGGGTTAGTTCAAACCGTGCCAAAGAGTGAAGAGATTTGGGAGCTGTGATGGGGCTCTGCAGAGGAGGATGGTCTGTCAGTAAAGCTGGAGGCATTAATGACAACCAGTTTAGTAGCATGCTGTGACTGAAGCAACGGGAGCCATCCAGTACATTTCCAAGAAAGTGTGCAGGTCTGACTCGTATAACTCCTGATTTAGTTATCTGCAGAAGAGTCAGGTGTGTACTCCACATTTAATGTCCATATTTCTTTATTAAGAGACTGCATTGAATATGTTAGAGTAAAATTATAGGTCCAAATGAAAGAGTGGTTATTATTAGTCTTTATTTATTTGCAGGTGTCACTGGAGGTGCATCTGGATCTGCGTTTTCATATAAAACCTGAACGCTCATACTGCAGTGCTGCTCATTTGGACAGCACTCCAGTCGCATGGAGCTGGAGCGCCCTCTGCTGGAGAGGACTGACACCACTCCTCAATCACTGCAGGCTTTATTTACTGCATTATGTGCGTTTGAAAGCATGAGGAAGTCATCTGCATCAGTTATAAAAAGCTGAACTTCTCCTTTACCAAGATATTCATCGTGACAAATTCCCAAAATGTTTGAAAAGCTCTCCTCTGTTCTCCTGAGAGTGACGGTTGGAAATGCACTGCTTGATGGATTGGGTTCACTCTGCCCACAGAGAAGAAGCAGCAGGAGGACGGGTTATTTTGCACCATGAGGAGGAAAGAAAATATGATGGCGAGGTCTCACTTACCAGACTAGAACTTATTTTCTACCAGTGAGAGAAGAGAAGACAATGGCACACAAAAAAAAAGCCTAAAAGAGTTTCTCAGACAACCTTCATGCACTTGAATCAGACTAACTGGAGTTACATTTTAGTCTGCATTTGTAGTAGTGCAGTCAGAGTAGAAACAACAATGATAACAGTCAAATCAAAGTTAAATTTTTATCTTTTGGATTGAATTTTTGTAAGTAAATTTGCATCAGACTGATCCACTTGTGTTCGCTCACCATGAGGCCGTAGATCTCAGAGGAGCTCCTCACTCTGGGCAAGATCTCCATGGGGATACCGAAGTACCTGAGAGGAATTAAAGGACAGAGGAAGTTCAGTTTGCTTTCTATACAAGCTCATCTGATCAATAAAGATCATTTGTTGCAAAACAAAAGTGCCCTGGAACTTTTTTGAAGCTGAAACAAGCACTAGTGAGACACTATTTTGTACTTCTTGCCTCTTGCAAACACAAAAAAATGAGTGATTCTGATTGACAAACTGTGTCAGTATTAAGGTTTTCCATCATCTTCTTTCAACAAACTTAAAACACTCAATTCGAGACTGTTCTGCTGCTTTAAAAACTTGAAATCCATAAAAAAGCGCAGTTTTAAAACTTCAGATGAAGAAAAAAGTACAATTATCAGTGAAACTAGAAGGTCTACCAGAAGGCAAATGTCATCCTTTCAAAGTAAAACTGCAAACAACTCAAAGCACTCAGAAACGGCTCCTACTTGCACAGCTCTGGGTCCCAGTCCATGCTGTGGATGTTAAACAGCATTGTTCTGCTGGCGTTGGTCACGTCTGTGCAGTGGACTCCACCTGACTTTCCTCCGGTCAAACACTGCAGGACAGTAAATCAAAAACACACATTGAAAAAAAAAGGAAAGTCATTTTTCTGCTGAATAGTTTTATCACGTCGGGGAATCTTTGCCCACCCATATGAGCCAGGAGTCGACCGTGCCGAACATGGCGCGGTGAGACACGACGGCTTCTCGGACCTCGGCTACGTTGTCCATCAGCCAGCGGAGTTTCACCGCGCTGAAGTAGGTGCTGATGGGGAGGCCGGTTTTATGCTGCAGAAAGAAAAAACAAGATACTCAACAAACCCTTCAAACTCTGAGAAATGATTAGATAACAGTCATTATGTAGCTCACACCTGCGACTAAGAACCTCACCTTCAAGTGGTTTTTATTCCTCCCTGGAGTTTTGTTGATGAGGCGCTCCACTGTTGACTGAGTCCGCAGGTCCAACCAGACTAGATCATATTCAATGCAAACAGAATCAGGGGAATGTTCAGCTGTTTGGTGCAGCTTTACATCTTAAGACACGTAAAAATATGCAAACGTCTGCATGAATGAAAGGAAATGATTGGTGAATAACGAGGGAAACACACTGAAGATTTACCGATTGCGTTGTACAGAGGCTCCCCTGTCTCTTTGTCCCAAACCAGCGTGGTTTCTCTTTGGTTGGTCACTCCAATAGCTGTGATTTAAATATGATCTGCATTAGTTTCACATCTCAAATCAGCTGAATCATGTGGTGTTTAAAGATTGAGAGCATGAGAGCGTGTGCAAATGTCGACACCTTTAATGTTTGAGATGTCTATGTTGAGCTGCGTCAGTTTTTCACACGTCCGCTCCATGCACTCGTACACAGACTGCAGGATTTCTTTAGGATCCTCCTCCACCCACCTGGAGATAAAGACAAACTTATCACGTCTGTACGCTTCTGAATAGTGCATGTGCAAATGTGTGCATCTTCCCTTACCCTTCTTTAGGGAAGCTCTGTTTGATTTCCACCTGGTGATGGCTGAGAAGCTCTGCTGTTTTTGAATTAAACACCTACAAAAAGACAGAGAAGTGGATGTCGTTGCTGATTGTTGTTGCATTTTCAGGAGTATTTTAGCACACGTCTACCTCGCAAATATCCTGAGCTGTAAGGTAAACAATGTGCAACAATCTCAACATGCAACACCCTGCAGTTTGTTGGTATTTGGCACACAGCAGCACCGCAGCAGCTTTGCTCAGCCAGTTTAAACGGCACAATTATCGCAGCTATAAATACCTCTGCACTTGCTCATTTGCCATACTTAAAGGAGTCACAGCGAGAAGGACAGGAGAAATCGTTGTCAGATACAAGTTCAGACAGACAACTTTGACCTCCTGCTTTTATCTTTGGTTTAAAGAAGCAAGTTGCTCCAGTCTTTAAGGGCGGCAGTTTGAGGTTTCTTGGAGTTTGAGCTGACTCATGAGAACCGGAGTGTTGTCTCTCGACTGTCAGCCACACCCAGAAAAAACAACATCTGTTCATGGTATTCATTACACGTTTAACCTAAGAAGGCAGGATAGTTTTCTGTCTGACCTATTTAATAATTATTATTACAATGGTTTTACAATGTTACTATTAGTGTTTTATAGGGCCCGACTGATATGGATTTTTTGGGGCCTATGCCAATATCAATTATAAGGGGGGATCCTATTACCGATTAATCGGCCGATATCTACAGGAAACTATATCCTGTATAGTATCCTGGATACTATATCCTGTAGATATGCTGTAGGGTACTGCTCTTTAGGCCTACAGGAAGACCGACTGATCAAAGTCAGACCAGAAAAGCGTTTAACACCCACCCTCTCACACATTTCCGATTGGTAATTTCTGAAAATATCGGCGAAAATCGGCGAGTTTTGGCATATTACCGATTAGTCTCAAACGGGCTAAAATTGGCCGATTAATCCGCACGCCGATAAATTAATATTATTTGCAGTCCATTTAAAAGTCACACTCCTTGTCAGTCAATACCATTTCCATACCTCCTTTTGTTTGTTATTGACAAAGTACCACCAAACAAGTTTATTTCGGCAGTTTGTCAAGAAGCCTTGAGGGAAATACTCTCCTGCTGCCTTCAGGAAACGTTGGAAAAGTCATGTTAAAGACTGCATTATTTTGCATAGTGATTTTATTCACCTAAATTCACATCGTATGGATATAAAATGTAAGTCCGAGGTGTCGTAATGACTATTATATTACATAAAAGCAATTTATAAAGAAATCTAACTATTGAGCTCTGATATAGAGCAGGTAGTTAAAGATATTTCTCCACTTTAATAAACGGACACGAAGCATTGAAGGCAGCAGAGTTAAAAACAGTTAATTTGATCGGAATAGCAGGTTATTTTATGACATTTAACAACAAACTCTAAACCCTTAAATTAAAAGACGATAAGCCTAATAAACCAAAATTAAAGTGTGAGGTTATAGCCAAGGACACAGCCCGCTGTAAGTGCCGCACATTAAAATAACACAGCTGGCTCTTACTGACTCTCCTTCTTACCAAAAACCGCGTGGAGCTCGTGCCCTGGTCGATGGCAGCAACCAGCGGGCCCAGCATGATCCGGTGTGAGGACGCGGCCATGGTGCCGTGCATGGGGCAGCTCCGGAGCTCTGGCACCAAACTGGATGTGAAACCAATTAACACCAACCACCCGGCAGAGCAAAGCGGATCAGGCTCCACCACACAGACGGGGCAGTGGGTCAGTCGCGGGATTACAACGTCAAGATTGACCGGACCCTCAATGATGACGCAGGCAGCCGAGCCGTAGCAACAGCAGCAATAATTGGCCTTGGATACGGTCGAATTTAGCGTACATACAACTATAAAACGCTCTTGTGAAAATAAGAATGATAACACTAACGATTAAAACCCATTCCTTGTTGTCAACGGATTTCTTATCTTCTTGAAGCTCCTCTCTCTGCATCCTCTGATGTAGTCTTGACAGTTAAAAAACGCTTCCTGACACTTTTTTAAACGTCAAATGCATCATTTATTGTCTCCATTTTAACTCACATCAGTTTCAGGCATTGAAAATTAAGATATATAAATTGGCAGACCTGTTCCCGATGGACCTAACTCCTCATAGGCGCTGTAATATCATTTTTTTCCCCCAATTTTGATATTCAGTAAAAGTCAAAATAGGCTAAATTATAAATTGGTGACAATTTACCGCGAGGTTCTGCAAAATATTTTTTCCTAAATATTTTCCAATTAGAAAGAGAATTAAATGTTCAGCTTTCTTGTTGGTTTTTGAATATTTAATCCCGTTTGTAACCAGATATTTCAGAGGCGACGTAAAATTCGTTGAGTTGAGGGACGAAAACGGTAGTTCCCATACCGGGAGTCGAACCCGGGCCGCCTGGGTGAAAACCAGGAATCCTAACCGCTAGACCATATGGGACGTTGCATTTACCCGCCAAATGCATATTATTTAACGTGACTTTGAATCAAGGTAAACTGTTATGATTAGTACTAAAGATGTTCATGACCCCAGGTCCTCAAACTATCTTCACTAAAATAACATCAGAAACTAGGGTTTTCCTCATATTGAAGACCTTTTAGTCCTGAGAACTGAAACATAGCTAATATGCACTATGAGACACGAATAGTTGCTGAAGATAATCATCCCAATAACACATTATTGAGCTGATAGGCAGTTTATTTTATCAATATTTCGATTTTAACATGACCAGAACAGCTGTTCTTTCAATAAACTACATCTCCCATCAGCTCAAGTGCGCCTTGCTAATGACGTCATCAAAAACGGTCATTGTTGTCAGTGTGGAAATGTGTTAAGCGGTTGTGTGTAGTTTTGGCTCGTTTTCAGTAATTCCTTTTGTTTTGACCACCGAGACTGAGCAATGTAAGTACTTTGACACACTTAAAGCGATATTGTTCGAGCAATGATTCGCAGAATATGTATTTTTAAAGTAAAAAGGCTTTCTAACACTTAGCCGCGTTAGCTTCACAGGCTAAAAATGCAGTATGTAAGATGTATGTGATAGCTTAGTTTGGATTTATGGCTGTTTTTCAGGGCGGACTACTGGAAATCGCAACCAAGGAAGTTCTGCCAGTACTGTAAATGCTGGATTGCTGACAATAAGCCTGTGAGTAGACGATAAGAGTCAGTGGATATACCTAAGGACAGTATCTGTATATGCATGCTGTGTCTATGTTGTGATCATGGAAGATCACATGCTTGTTTTGCTTTGCAGAGTATTGAGTTCCATGAAAGAGGGAAAAACCACAAAGAAAATGTTGCTGCAAAAATCGCTGAGGTAAAAACAATTCCAATTATGTACATTATTCCACCTAAATTTCCCAAACTCACCTGTATTCATGGATTTAAATGTCTCCAAAACACTGATCATATGTTATTTCAGAGGAAGTTTGTCAGTATTTTACAAACTGGCCAGTCTTGGCACTGCTCTCATGCCTGGTAACAGAGATAAGGTCCCAGACTTGACGCCCACTAGTAAAGATGTCGTCTGATTGGCTGCACCCTGCTGCCACTCACCTTATCTTCATTTCTGCAGATTAAAAAGAAGAGCATTGATAAGGCCAAGCAGGAGGAGAAAATGTCCAAAGAGTTTGCAGCGATGGAGGAGGCTGCGATGAAGGCGTATCAGGAAGATCTGAAGAGGATGGAAAGGGAAGCCGCAGGTAATTTTCCACATTTCATCAAAAACTGCTCTGCTAACTTTAAACTTCTTTTGATAAAACTTTGAAATGATTCGTCTTTGTGGCAGGTTTAAGTTCACCAGCTCCAGCAACACCAACACAGCCCCCACCTCAGGCAAAACCTCAGACTAAAAAACAGCATAAGAAGGAGAAACCAAGCCGGATGTCAACAGCGCAAAAAGAAGCACGAGTGTGGGTTCAAGGACAGTCAAATGACGGGCACACGTACTATTATAACACAGTAACAGGAGGTGGGAGTCACAAAACTCTTCTTTTTGACACATTCAACTTATATCTATTTGCATTTCAATGGATGATGGTGTGTTTGGGTTTAAACGGCAGAATCTCAGTGGGAAAAACCTGAGGGTTTCCAGGCGGGAAGTTCAGCTGTGGCGCAACCTGCTCAAACTCAGGTGAGAGATGTTTGATTTCAGTGAGTCTCAGTGGATTTCCTTTGTTTTAAATAAGCTGTTTGTTGATAATTCGCTTTAATATCTTCTTGTTGTGTTCCTCTTTAGAGTGCCACAGCTTGTGCTTGGATGGAAGCCCTCAGTTCTGATGGTTATACGTATTACTACAACACAGAGACCGGAGGTGAAATATTCTTAATGCATCGAATTTTAAACATATTCAATTCATTCTTCATGAGACTAATAATCACCTACCCCCTCACTGTGCAGAGTCAAGTTGGGAGAAACCAGCAGACTTTGTTTCAAACAGCGAAGGAGGGAGTCAAGAGGAGCCTTTACCTCCTGGAGCAGAGGAGGAGAAGAGCTCTGACGTGACCCCAGTGCAACAGGAGGCCGAGGCTCCCGAAGAGACCACCCAGCAGCCTAAAGTCCCAAAAATCAGCTTCAGGGTAAGACAAATGAGGGAATAGGAGAAATTTCTTGCTACGGTGTCACTGGTTTAATCATATTTTTATTTTCAGAAAAGGAAAGTGGAAGCCGAGCCCTCAGAAAAGGAAGAAAAAGAAGAAGATGAAGAGGATAAAGTAAGTGAGGAAGCTCCTAAAAAGGACACTGAGGAGACGGAGAAAGAGGACGAGGTCTCCACTACGACTGCTGAACCTGAGGAGAAGAAGGTAGAAGAGGCTGTACAAGAAGTGAAACCAGCAAAAAGGCCAAAAGCCGCCACTCCGTACGGGGCTTGGGAACAAATCCAGGAAGAGAAGGATCCATAGTAAGTGCTGTTTGAGCTGAACTTAAGAAAACTTCTATACTGAGTTGTCAAAGCTTTAATCAGTAGCTCTCTTTTTTTCCTCTTCAGCGCTGACGTGGACCTACAGCTGCCCCAGGTGGAGGAAAGCACAGCCAGCGCCCCTGCAGACCTCCCTCCAGAGCCAAAACCAAAATTCAAGGAACGCGTCATTACATCCCTGGGAGAGGAAGGTGGACCCGCTTCATTCAGGAAAAACAAGACCCAGAACGGCAAATCTAGGAGCATCAGACAGAGAGACAACGACGACTGACCCAAAACACCTAACTGCAGCAGGATAAGACTTTTTCCAAGAACTCTTTGGATATTTAAATGCAACAATGGATTTCCACCTGAGGCACAAACATCTTAGAGAAAAATTGGCTGAAAAGACTTGAACACGAGGTGGAATATCTACCAAATCTACTTTGATTCATAGAGATACTCACCACAGTCCTTTGTCTGTATTTAGGGTAGAGATGGTGTGTTTCACTTTTATAGTCTGATAATATCCCAGTGTGTTAATAAAATGGATTTTTGCTATGGTCTGTTAAGTGCAGGTTTGCAGTGCTGATAAGTTTGAGTATTTTTCATAACTGTATTTTTTTATTCAAAGTCATGAAAGTCGACCAGGATTTTTTTGTGAGCATAAACCGCAGCAAACATCAATCAAAATATGTCATAATTTCGTAAAGCTGTTTGGACAGAAGTTAATAAAGATGGAAGGGACCAGAAAATAATACATTGTGTTTATCAACCCATAATGGCAAACCTGTAATCTGAGTCTTACCTGTGTCTCTGAATATGACTGAGTCAAGGTCAAGAAAATAAGAGTTTATCTTCCAGTGTGAAGACTTACAGATGAACAGACCGTCCATCCCTGGAGCTCACATCTACAACGCCCTAGCTGATGCTCTTCCTGTGGACAAAATGTAAACGAAGCACCCTTTCAATGCCCTGTACTTTGTTTAATTGAGGCTCATACTTACCAATTTAACTAGATTAGTTGATCAATTGCACAAATAATAATGAGGCGACGAAGTGAGGGTTTCTGGTCAGTGGGCACACTCAGGGTGTGACATGGTTCTAGTGAGTGTGTATCAAGCTGATAGGTGGGTTCACTCCCTAATTGGCAAACATCCATAAATGATACTTGATGAAGAAATTCAAAAGCAGCTCTGAACAAATACTGATAATGTTTCTCATTAAAAGCAATCAGACACAAATGCATGAATTATTCTAACTCTTACAAACCACAGCCCGCTTTAGAGCAATAAATACTTTGAACAGACAGCTGAATTTTTCCATTTTATTACAAAAATAAATATCTCAAATTTAATCCAAATGAGCAGCTGCTCTTTGACGGCTTCAGGTGCATCTTCACAACTGCTCCAGCATAAATAGTATTATTAATTTTCAGATAATACAAGATGAAGCCCCGAAATGATAAACTGTAAGTCCAGGATACTTGACAGTCAGTTTCTTTTGTGTCATTTTGATGAGTTACCCTGTCCCGGTGATTTTAAACTGCTGCTGCTCTCCATAACCTCCATCAGCGCCTCCCTCTCAGCATGTTCACGCACATCAGAGATCAGATCTTGTAGGGCTTCTCCTCCTCTCATGAACTCCTAGACAAGAACAAAAACACATCGGAAGTCAGTTTTAACAAACAAGAGAGAGCTGAGTCTGACACTTTCCTTATGATTCACGCAGGTTTTACATCAATATCCCTGGTGACATATCCGGTCCTGTGGTCTGTTACTCGATCCTGGCTGAAGTTGTAGGTTCGAATCCTCTCTGACTGAGAACGACTGCCCACCTGGAGTGAGAAACCGAGGTGATCATGTGACAAAGATTTGTGAATTTATCAAATGTTTCCTCTCGCTGTAGGAGTTTACTAACCTGCTGCTTCCGTGCTGTGTGCCTCTGCTCGGTCTCTTTTCCCATAATGCTTTGGTACAGCCTCACCCTCAACATACGCATGGCTCTGTCTCTGTTTTGCAGTTGCGAGCGAGTCTGCTGACACTCCGCTGTTAAACCTATTTTAGGAGACAGCATCAACACCTGCTGCTTGTATGAATGTAAATTGTTGGAGCTGCTCTGTTCAGTTTGGAGGTTTAACCTGTTGGAAGGTGAACGATGCGCACGGCACTGTCTGTTGTGTTGACACTTTGGCCTCCAGCACCTCGAGATCTGAACGTGTCGATGCGAAGATCCTTTGGATCGATACTAACATCAAACTATGAATGATTTAGAAGACAGAGTTAATCCTTTTTCAGACATCCTAATGGGACACAGACAGATGAAGAAGTTGTCGATGTGCTCATTTTACCTCCACTGGCTGAGGCAGGATTATGACAGTCATTGTTCCTGTGTGGATACGCTGCATCCTGGAGGAAAGGCCCACCTCAGGGATCCTCTGCACCCGATGTGTCCCTCCTTCATGCTTTAGGAGTCTGTACACGTTCTCCCCAGCTATTCTCACTGCTGCATGGTGTAAACCACCTGAGACAGAGACACAGTCAGGTCATGCTGTCTTTACTGGAACAGCTGTGGATGCTTTGACCCTCTTCACACTTGAATTTAAAGGTGTTTGAAGCTCCTGTCTGCAGTTTTTTATGTTTTTGAAATAGACTGTTTCAAAACACTGGATCTTATCTTTTGGAAAGAAATACAGATTATCACCTCACTTAAGGTTTTAGCATTACTGATTAGTTTTCCATCTACTAATTATCACTGAAACTGTGAGAATAAATGCACCAAAATGCAAACAGAAGTAGACATACCATACTCAGCAGGAGTGTAATTCAACACCTCAAAGTCCCAGTTCTTATAGGAGGCAAATCCTTCGTACATGTCAAACATCTCGCTGGTGAACTGCTGACAGATATCACCTGCATCCACAAAAGCACATAAGAGTTACACTGTGAAGGCTTGAGTAGAATTAGTCAAGAATTGCCGATTAGAAGAAATGTCTCGTACCTCCTGTTGTTCGACCTGATACGACCTCCAGCACAACGTCACTGGGGTCGAGTGGGTCGACAGGCACTAGAGTTTTGATCAGCTGGAGAGAAAGGCAACACTTGTTATCATAAAACACCAGACTTTACATTTCTACTCATGTGTGATCACACTTTGGGCTCTTACGTCTTTTCTTAAGGCCAAAATTTTGCAGGAAATTTGCTTTTCTTCCTCTTTTAACAGCTGAGTGAGCTGTTCATCTTCATCTTTAGTGCCGGCTGAACCTGCAGTCAGTATTTGAGTGTCATAAAAATGGATTTTTGATTTATTGTTGAACCTAACAGACTGTTAATGTCTTATGGCAGAATCAGAGATGGTTTGAGATATTAAATGCACATTTTCAAGACCTAAAGAACTATGATTGTGTCATGATTTATTACACGAATGCAAAGTGGGCTATAACTTACTACGCAGGAGTGAAAGGACTTCCTCCAGGTCTTTCATGGCTCGTTCAATACTCTGAAACACATTTGCCACAGGCAGCAGCTCAGTGTGTCTCTTCATGAGCTCTTTTCTGTCTGATTCACTGAGGTGTACATGCTGCAGCTTCTTATTCAGGTCTTCGTAGTCCTCCATCAGCTGCTGGAGATACCTCTGAACGGACTCGGTCTTGTACAAGTCCCTTAAACCACTGTGACAGAGGCGTTTTGGTGCAAGTCTGCTCCAGTGTTGCACCTCAGCCACACTTTGAAGTGTCCTCCATTCAAGTCTCTTTCTGTTTCCTCCGCTGCTGCTGTGAAAAACTCGACTGCACGAAGAGCAAAGTCGAAACCAGCGATTCAAAGTCATTTCACTAAATTACAAACAGTTTAGTATAAAATAAAACCATGTCCGCGTGTTTTTTCCACTGTTTACAACTGCTGTCGGTGCTCTTGCTAGCTGCTCCTGGATGTTATTGTGGCACGAGGTCACGGAGATTCACGAACGGAACTCTGGGAACTGTAGTTAGTTTGATGTAACGGCAGTTTTGCTAATTTTTGGTAACTCGGCCAAAATTACGACTTAAAAGCTTTTGTTTTCAGTCTTCTGCCGTTAAGCACAACTACTATTATTATTTCATTTTGGCTAACGGATATTTTGAGCGCCAATAAGGCAGAAATCTGTGAAACTGCAGTGGTTTAACCGTTAGGCTACATCAATTGGTTGATTCCTCATTTACCATTTAACATTATTGCTAGCAGTGGTGTCAAAATGTCAAACTTTGAAGATGGTTAGTGGCTTTTTATCGATATTCTAGGGGGTGAAACTGAAAAATAAATGTTTTATTACTACTCTGGGAACTGTAGTTAGTTTGGTGTAACGGCAGTTTTGCTAATTTTGTTAACTCTGCCAAAATTACTTTGTAAAAGCTTTTGTTTTCAGTAACGTACAACTATTATTATTTTATTTTGGCTAACGAATATTTTGAGCACCAATAAAGCAGATATTCGTGAAACTGCAGTGGTTTGACCGTTAGGCTCCTTCAATTGTTTGACTCCTCATTAACCATTTACCATTATTGCTAGCAGTGGTGTCAAAATGTCAAACTTTGAAGATGGTTTGTGGCTTTTTATCGATATTCTTGGGGATGAAACTGAAAAATAAATGTTTTATTACTACTCTGTAGTGTTTTGACTGCTATTATGACTGCTATGAGAAAAAAACAAAAACAAAAAAAACATGAAATTGCTTTAACTGTCTCCAACAGGAACAGAGAAGACACCTGAGTTTTCATTAACCAAGGCGGTGGAGGATGTGTGTCAGGGTGGCTACACCCAGACTGTGGCCCTGGAAGAGAACCAGAAGACTCTCAGCTCATTGCAGGTTCAACTTTATACTTACAAATCACTACAACACAAACAAAAGTGATTGTATTAAGTAGAAGTTTTGGTAATACTACCTTTAAACAAAGGTTAAAGGGGGGTTTTATTCCTGCTTTGTTTCACCCTCTAGCTTTACAGAACTTAACTTTCAGAAGCCTTGTTCACTGTTGCCACATAACAAAGTTGTGTTTACTGTCTGGTGGGGTCACAATTTGTGCAAATCTCATATTGAATTTGCTGAATTCTCATGTGACATTTTGAACAAGTCTTGTCATGAATACAGTCATGAATATTTTTAATACTGAGAAAGTTTCACGATTAAATCAGGGTGGTTGGATCTTGCATGCATTTTAAACAACATACAGGTCGTCTTTTGTATTCGTTTTAGTCAAAAGTGCAGAAACCACGAATTAATTAAAATGTCGTTCCTCCTTTTCCAGTCAGCTCTTCAAGACATCAATACAGAGGTCAAGTACGCAGAGCAGGATCTGAGAGCTAAAGTGAGGGACACCCTACTACTGGAGTGCGAGATAGAGCACCAGAAGCAGCAGAATAAAACTCTGCATGATCGCTGTGTTCCCAGCAGCAACGACAACAGCAACCTCCAGATGGACATAAGGGAGGAGGTGGAGAAGGCTCGCAGGGCGCAGGAATTATACAGCGCTTACAGAAAGAAGATGGAGGGTCACAGGGCAGCTGTTCGGCATGCTGAGAGTCAGACGGAGGCCCATAAAGAGCTGGAGGAGAAAAGAGAGGTGGTCAGGACGCTGATGAAGAAGAAAGAGGAGCTGAGGGCAGATTTGGAGAATCCGAATGGAATCACAGTGCAGATGGCACAGGTGGAGAAGCCTAAATGATCTATCAGTCCATACTTTATCTGTTTGTTCTCACTGAGATTAAAAGCTCACACATTATTGAATCGTTTTTTCATCTAATTTTCTACAGAGAGAGATCAACGCTCTTTATGAGGAGATCTCTGCGATGAAGAAGACTGCTGAAGAGAAAAGGAAGAAACTGCATCAAGAGCTGGAGCTTCATTCCCAAATAGAGAAAGAAATAGAGGTACAGCAAAGACAGGCTTTAAATTTATGCCACAAATGATTATTTTCATCATCTGTTCATCTCTTGATTATAAAGGTATGAACCAAAAATCCTGCAGCACAGCAAATGTAGCACCAGATTTCAATTCTAAGAACTGAAGAGAAGAAAATTCATTTTTCTCTTCTTAAGATCCAGAACAAGCGCTTTGAAGCCATCGTCAAGCGCCTCCACTGCCAGATGAGCAGAGCCCAGGCTGTCCAAAGGTGAGATGTAAATGCACTGTGCTGGAATTTTCACAGCTTTAAAGCCACCCCTGGACATGCCCCTGTGATAATTAAAGTCTTTAACTTATTGAGAGAGGAGAAAAAAACATGAAATAATCACGACTAAATGAACAAATTTGTTCCTCATATTTAAAACATACTTTCTGTATCTGCTTTACTCAGGCAGCTGTCTACGGACATCTACCATTTGGAGAGACAGCTCGATGAGCTGAAGAGGCAGCTGCAGTCATCTCAGGACTCCGCAGTCTGTGATTATTGAACGTGTTTTATGATCCATGTCCTATATCAAAGCTAAACGCATGCCTGAAGTTGTTATGGCTCTGTGTTTTTAACAATAGCTGCAGTTCCTATCAATGAACAGTTGAGGGCAGCAGTGTCGAAAGAATGTCTAACTTCTTTCCAGTTTCCCCACAGGAGCCTCAGTTTGACTGTAAAACAGTAGTTCGATACTGGTGCTGAGTGTTATTTATCAAATGCACAAGTTTTATTTTAAAGAAAAAAATTTAAAATAATAAAAAAAATTCCTTCCTATCACATTATTTGATTGATTGTAAGAACAGAACAGCGTGCAGGAGTGTTTAATTTAATCAGGAGCAAAGCCAGCATGGCGTTGGACGGGATTTTAGGTCGGGCTCTGACAGTAAATCAGTTTGTCCACTCAGTGTCCAAAAACAGTGACCCCCACCCTCAACAAAGGCCAAGTGTCCGCTCTAACTGTCGAAAGCAATGATGTTGTTCTGGAACACGCTGTTCCAACTGCCGCTTCATTGGGCCGCATGATGGTCTGCGAGGTGACAGCCCCACTGCCGGCTAACAAGGGCGTGACTGTGCTACTTCAGCCATAACCGGGAACTAATTAAACAGCACAAAAAAAAAAGCCTTTTTTACACAATTAATGCACATACACATTTATCACAACACCCTCCTACAAACTCTGTAACTAGTTTGTTTTTTTTAACTTAAAATATTTGTTGCATTTGAATTGTACTCCTTCAGACTTAACAGCTTTTTGCATTACAGGGATTATTATGTAATGGGCCTTAAAATGACCACGAAAAAGCTGAAAATGTCCACAAATGTTGCAGAGATGCATTCTTAACACAAAATAGTAGCAAACTGAATATTTCATCTTGAAAATCGGCCTTTAAGCTGCATCTTCATTTTGAGTTATAACAAATTAACAGTTGCTGCAGTTGTTGCATGCAGTGCATGTTGGGATTTGTTGTGAGTAATGAGTGTTTTGCAGCTTTACTTGCTCTGCGGGTGTCAGAACAGCCACAATGGCTCCAAACTGTTGTGTTTTGCTCTTGTCATAAAGTGAAAGGACACATTGTGAATTATATATTATGGTACTGAATTATACCGTTCAAGGCTTTCTAGCACTGTGAGAAAAATACAAAAATGGAACTTTTCAGTGAGAAATTCTCATGAAGTTTGAGTTTGTTTGAACACTCAGTGATTGAGTTACAGTAACTTCCTCTTACGTGGCGAAATACGAAACTTTGACAAGCAGTTATAGCCGTTTACGTTTGGTAAACAAGTCACTTTCAATGCCTTCTGGTGTACAAAAAAAAAGAAGTTTGCTGGATTAACCCTGTTAGAGAAATTAACCCAAATATTATCCAAGAAAATAGCTAAAATTGTGCTTACATCAGATAATTATACAACACAACGGAAAAAGAAAAAAATGACCTAGAATTGCACCTGAGGTACTCCACGGGACCAACGTCAGATCGAAATCCGAAAGAGATTCAGATTGTTCATGACAAACTTAATAATTGTAAAAGTTTTGGCACAGGAGCCCCAAAACAACTTATTCAATTATATATTTATCAGTGTGTTGATGCTCAAAGCACAACCGTTTGATGAATTAGCCAAAAAATTCAGACTGTTTCATGTCCTGCTCGTCCCCATATTGAAGCTAAATGGGCCATTTTCTTAAAGCTGCATCGGGGGAGTTTGTCCAGTTTTCTATACTGCAGCACCGCTCTCTTTGGCTGACCTCATTAGCAGTGTCATCAGCCTGTCAGCTCTCCGCTTTGTCCGGATGACGCTGCTCGGCCCTTAAAACTGCTACAAAAAAACCCACCCACATTATGACGCACTTTACAAAGTCAAATGTACAGTAAGATACCCTTAAAATGTCCTTGTGAAAGACAGTTCTGGGTGATGGGATTCACTGTATTTCCCCTCTCCTTGTGTAATTATATTTTCTGCTTTGTCATGTGTTTGGTGCTGACATTTCAAAGGGTTTCCACTCTGCGAGAAACTCTTTAGATTAATGCCACTCATATCCTCCCAGCCCAAGCTAATTAAGCCGAGCTGATTAGGGAATGAATTCAACACCAGCCGTCCCCCACATGCCGGGTTTATTTACTTGGCTGTGACACATTTGTCTACTCCACTTTGGCATCAGTCTTCACTTTGAAATGTACTCAACTGCTGAAACACAGAAGGGGAGTTTAAACAAAAATAACCAAAAGTACAGTCAGAGTTTAGGTTTTTTCCCTAAAAAATGTCAAAACAATCAAATCAAACGTATATTTTTACAGCAGAAACAATACGGCCTCATCTCACACCTTGAAGAAACACCTCTTTAACTTTACACTCTCCTTCTTTTGGCTGTTTGATAAATTAATGCACCAACGCAAACGCTTGGCAAGCTTTCTAAAAGCTCTGCAGGACACCTTCGCTGCTTTATTCCTCTGCAGAGTTGATGCAGAGAAGTTATTATCTGCTTTTCTCCACTGTAAGATCGTCTGAGAAGAGTTTAGTTTATTTGAACCGTTAATGTTCAGCTATAAATCTTTCCCCTTAAGGTACGTGAGCTGCCACATGAAAACCTGTAATTTTGTTTCTGTTGCTCTTTGTTTGACACAGTTACAGCTTTTGCATGCCACACATAAACGTGCAGGATGAGTTTATTGCTGCTCACGCCTCCTCTGGCTCGTACGCTATGAGGAAGCAAACTCAGCTGACCTACATTATACGAAGAATTGTCGTACGTTGTAAATTCCTGATCGCTCGTTAATGTTGGGCAAGTGTTTTATCGCAGAGGTTGGAGAAACATAGCGGTAAAGGTGTAGAAAAGGAGCAGATACGTTATGCAAATGTGGTCGTTTTTCTCGTTGTGAAGGCGTGGGAATTATCCATACTGCATGACGAGGTTTCAGTTGCACCTGCTGTCTTTAGCCATGGCAAATTTCCAAAATCCGTATCTCATTTGAATGCTTATTTTGCACCTTGTTCATGTTGTTTTGCATGTGCAAGTTTCATCAGGTGTTTTCGAGCTCGTCGTCGCCATTTTCTTCCATCAAAACAAACAAGTTTAAGTGTTCTTCTTTTCAAAGCGCTGTCATTGTCATCACTGCATTGTACTCATTGCAATCCTCCCATACGTGTCAAACAGGCACTTAACTTTGACAACAACACGCTGGCTGTATGCCTGCTCAATATGTTTCCCAGTAAAGGTCTTCTGAGGACTGTTGCTCGGAGTTATCTTTGTAAACCATCGGAGATAAACTCTGATCTTTTAAACCTACTTTAAAGTCAACAAGAAAACACAATAAGGATATTATTTTCCAGCATCAGTCAGTCTGTGGTCTCAGCGTTTATGTTGGCAGATTATTACATTTAGGGGGCTTGTATGAGGAGAAGAGAAGGGGGCCTAGAATTGAGCCCTGGGGTACACCACAGGATATGCCATTAGGGACATTTGCATAACTTAAAATGTCTTTGGATTGTTTTTCTTTGGATTTTAAAAGAGAAACACAATCAACACTTTCCTCGTTGAATAATTTTTCCTGTTTATCAGCTTCAGCTCTGTCAGAAATTGGCATATAATTAGCACCTCACTGATAATCAGAGCTCAATAATAGTCATTAACAACGATTTTACTACATTTTATCACTTTCCCCTCCATGGTCAGGTACTTTTTTAATATTTGTGAATAGTTAATTGTATGTTTGTTGCTTATTTTGGACTCTAAAACCCATGTCTTCCCTTTACTCTCACCTGGCAGTTGGTGAGGGGGAGTGAGCGAGCACTCGGCCTAAGCCGTGTGCGGACATGATCAGCTGAGCAATGATTACGAATCTCTGTGATGTTAGCTGATGAATCACACACGAGAGAGGGTGGGATGAGTTTCCTAAGAACAGAAAAGAAAAATGAAAGGCTTGGGGTTAGGAAAAATGACCCTCGAGAAGGAAAATATCGACATTTATCAGCAAATTTCCTCAGGTTTCAGATCTGAATGTCCTTTTCTTTTACATTATCATGACATCAAACTAGATAACTATAAGGAATACAGGATTTACTTTCATAGGGGTTGAACTCAGTCTGAGATGTGCCTTTAGAAACCTGCTCCTGAAGCTACCCATAATTGTTCTGCTGCGTTTTTAAGGAGCTCGGTGCTCCACTGGTTCCCCTTTGGGCGACAGCTCAATCACCCTGAGACGAAAGAATTTACCTCCTGGGAAAGAAAGAAGTGTACTCGCTAAGTCATTACTGCCTCTGTGGAGGGAATCAGACTACAACCTGTCTCTCAAAGAGGTAATCCTGATTTATGAGACAGATCCACGTCAGTCACAGCAGGGGGAATAAGTGTTAAGTAAAAAGAAGTAAGGAAGGGGAATCCCTCTGAAGGCAGATTTAGACACATGGGAGACCAATGTGACTCTGCAGGACTTTAATTGCTCCCATTGGTTCTCGTTAGACTAAACAGCATAATCACACTCACGCTAGTTTACAGCCAAAACTCTCAAGCTGTAAACATCCCGCCTCCTTCTCATGCTGCTCGAATATACAATAACCATGATTCACTGGTGACTAAATCCTTCCTTAAATCTTTTCTTCTCCAAACTTTCACAGGGTGGGTCTCCAGGGCGTTTTTGTGTTTACTTTCCACAGGTTGGGCTCCTCTCTTGGCTCGGACTCCACACAGAAACCAGGTGAAGTTATGACAACTTCGGGGTGTGGTCAGGTGCTAATCTGAGGAATGTTTTGATTTGCACAGGCATGAAATAGCCCGCAGAGTGAGCGTGACTTAGCGTCGGGATACGAGTCTCAGAGACGCGTGACGTAGCTGAAAGGTCTCCAGTAAATAGCCTAGGCCAGAAATAGACGTAATAAAGGAAACCTTTAACCGACAAACACGCCTGTAAGAGAGCCCCACCCAGCTTTGCACCTGAGCAACGCAAACAAACACAGACACACATGCTTGTGTCTTGGTATTCCTCGCAGATAACAGTACAGATTTAGACTATATCTCATGACATGTTCAGTAAAAAACGGCTTTTTTATTATATAACACAAGTGGGCGGCTCGTATGTGTTGTTTGCTTTTTGAAGCGTGACATCTTGCCTGGACACGAGGAGACTGATTCTGTGACATGAACAGATTTATTTAGACTGAAATGAATCATCAATAAACTGTAACTGACAACAATACACAGTTTGGGATTTATAAGGCGGCCCCCTTTGCCAAATGTACATCTGTAGGCGTACAGTCGGTTTCACACCCACTTAAACCAACAGTGAGTCACTTTCTAAATGCTGCTCAGCTTCTTACTATCTTCAATCCTCCGGCTCTTCTTAAGGAGACGGAGGAGGCTTTTTGATCTTGTTTTTTAGCTGAAATCCCAAAACCACATTTCTACTTTTAAAAGTATTATTTCAAACTAATAAACTGTTCGATTACAACCCCATAAAATATGACATGTTAAAAGAGAAGGAGTTGATGGTTTGCAAATTCGAATCTTGATGTTTGATGTTCAGTATCAGGACTCTTCGACTTCTGAGCCATGATGTTGAAGAATATGTCATCTTGTTGGTCGCCCCTGGAGAAGGATGACAGCATATGTTGGTCTAAAACAGCATTAATGGTGTGTATGCTACTCATACAATTACCGCTTATGAAACCCCCATACTATCAAATATGATGGATTTAATCTGTGACCTAAAAACAAGCAGATCAGTCCCGAATCAGTACCTGTGGAAAAACAAAACCTGAGATTCCCCCCAGAAAGAAACCTGCACTTATAATTTTCAGCATTAATGTCGCCTTCCCAGATTTGTAAGATATCCATGTAAAAGGCTTGGATTTCTTACTAATGCATCCCCTGGTATACTAATGTATATCAAGGATGCATTAGTATAGGCGCTAATGCATCCCAAGGCCATCACAGATGGTGGTGAACTAATGATAATCTGAGTTGTCCATATCCTCTTCAGAGCAGATGAATCGACGTCCATGATTTCCAAGATGAATATTAAGATCTTGTAGCAAAATTCCACTAGTTTTAGAGTTAAATTAGGTTGTGACTTTATTGTTTTTTCATGGACCAAACATTCAATTCAATTATGTAAGAAAATAGCCATTACATTAATTGATAACAAATAGCCGTAGCCCTTTAAAAAAGCAGTCTATCTGATGAGCTTCATGTTGTTTTTGAACCGCTTACATTTCAAGAAACAAGCCTGTGTTAAAGCACACAGAGGACATTTTCCTGTATATGCATTAATCAGGCTCCTCTGGGTTGTACTTAAGAGTGAAAGTGTTTGAACCAAACTTATTATCTCCATAGTAACCCCAACAACTCGAAAGCGCCAGGTCACGTTGAACCCTTTTCATTTCCATCTCCGCTGACGCTGATTCAGCACCAGTTTGCGTGGCGACCAATTAAACACACAAAGAGCAGGTGTGAAGCACTTCTTCTGTTTTAGGCGTTCATTACGTTGTGCGTGTTCAGCACACTGCAGCAGAATTATCTTACTGAGAGTTGTGTAATGTTTGCGTAAGTCTCAGACTGTCTGTGCATTAAATATGTATAACACATGTCTGTTTCTCTTTGAAGTGAACAGCTTTGTCTGGGCTGAGGCGGCGGTGCTGTTTGAATATCTGTGTGGCGATAGCGACATATTCAACAACAGGATCAATATGCTGCTAATCTCCCTGGTTTGTAATCTGACGAGGTTGCTATAATCCAGATTAAAACAGATATATTTGAATGTTTTTCCTGAAGATATTCTGAATTTTCTGTGTGTTGTGAACGCTCAGACACACAGCTGTGGTTAACGGTGTTGTAAACAAACACTGCAGTCCAGGACGCTGAATGCTTCGCATGCCAAACTGCAGCACAAGTGATGAGGAGACCTATTTAGTTCCTCCGCAGCGAGAAAATAGGGCAGCTAGGGGGGAGCAGCAGGGAGTCCCAGGTCGTTCATTACGTCACAAGAGCGAGTGTGCGTGCGAGTGAGCGGAGGGGGGCTCTGCCTGGGCTTGTTTCCTCCCTGTATCCCAACTGCAGACAGAACAGTGGGGCGGTAAATTATGAATGAAACGGAGGAAGAGGCAGTGGTGGGACGGCGCTACAGCTGAAGGACCTCCTCTCCTCCCTACAGTATCGTTTTCCCACTCCCTTATAGAGATGGTAAAGCTCTACGCTGTCCTGTACATGCTGTTCCCTGTATTCCCTCTCTCACAGGCGCACAGAAACCACAGCTGCCGCTCGATTCCACTGTGAGGGTGTTTTTTTTTTTTTTCACTCACATTCGGCATAATGCCAACTAAAAACATGAACATCCTCCCATTTGCCCGCCCTGTTTTGTTCCTGAAATGTTCCTATATGACTGAGAACAGAAAACAAACCAGTTAGATGTATATCCACCTATTGTATATAGAGGATTATTACATAACGCCTAGAGGAACCCTGATTGTACAAATAATTGTCGCAGTTTTGTTGTCATGAAGCTGCTGCGTTCTTGTTTAATTACATAAAATGGGTGGTGAAAGATGTCTGGGATTACAGCCTGCAAGTATTTATGACATCTGTGGAAAAAAGGCAGCTGTAAATATGTAAAGTGGGCCAAACGAGGATCAATCATACGGTGAATTGGCCCTATAAAGCTTATTTTAATTACATTCGACGACAAAGTTCATGTTTGTTTGGTTTTCAGACTCGAGTTGAGGTTACAGAAACGTTTCCCAGAGGTGATTAAGACTTGGATGTTGACTATAAACATGTATACGACCACATGAGCTTGTTCCAACTTGTGTTTTCCTTCATATTTAACTTTAAAATCAATGAAAACAGTTAAGTTGCTGTTAAGCTTTGCTCCAGTACTCATGACCCCAAGATGATAAATCAGACTAACTTTGGTGTCCCTCTGATATCTCCTCAAGCAGCTATTTTTAAGACCAACAATCGTATTAAGAAACAAATGTTGTTTCAAAGTGCCAAAGAAAAAGAGCAGAGTCTTTGTTAAATTATTTAAAAGGCACAAAATCAGTTTTATCTCATCTCAAAGCACTTTGCAGCGTTTGGCGAGTTACAGTGTAGTCCTGTAATTGGCTGAAACCAGGAGCAGAGCCAAACTGATGCTGAGTAGCTGTCTGATACAATCCTGCTGGGGTTCGAGGGATAAAGAGATGGGTAAAGACGAATACACCAGCAGCATCTTCAGACTTCAGGTTATAGAAACAATAAAAAGGATAAATATTGTTTCTAGAAACAGCAAATTAATAATAAAAGACTTAACTGTGACCTACACCTGAGAAAACACGGGTGTAGTCTCAGCGACAACATCTACTGGTTTCTGAAGAGATGTTAAGAAGCCCAAAATTGGTGGCCGCCTTGTTGGGAATGCTAACTCAGCCCATTCTTCGACAAAGAGGTGCAGCCAGTCAACTGAGGGCAAATCTGAATGAAGTAATGTCATTATATGAGAAAATACTCATTACATTAAATGACAGTAAGTGTCGATTAACTGCAAACCTAATTATGCAAATCAGTGCACGACTCTTTGCCAATAACCCAAATAAAACACACAACATACAGTGTTTACTGATGAAACATAAGCCATCCAGACCAAAATGGTATTTTCAGCCAGGCTATCAAATGTGAAATCTGTCATTTTAACGACAAAGAGGACCATACGTCCTCTTTTATGGGGGCTGTCCGTGTTTGTCTGGCTTTGTCTGGGGAAGTTTATAGAATCTCTCAAATGTCCGTGGTTTTGTACGGAAGTTTTGATTTTGTGTCACATGGACTTACTGAGTTAGAAGCGCGTAAAAACCCCCAATCCAACCCGAAAAACTCTCTAAATTAACTTTGTGCGACACCGTGACTCTGCCCCCGCGTAATTGTGGCTTCTTTTTTGGAAGTCAGGATAAGGTCACTGTATTTTAACATGTCTGTTAAAGACATGGTTGACGATTGGAGAGATTGGTAATTATCATCAATCTTGTTTCTATGGCGATCATGGTCCTATAGTGCGATCTCCACAAAATGAAGAGAAAAAAGAACAGAAAAATCCGTTCACCCTAGCAGGTGCAGGGCTTCAAAAACATTGACCAATGGGAGCCATCCGTCCTGGACAGCTCTTATTGGTCAATCTCCTGCGCCGCCTCTCTATCCAATCACCTCACTGTACTCGACACACCTCTCTCCCGTAGTTCCGACTCGTCCCCTCCCACTCTACTGGCTCTCCTTGGAGCTCTGAGCGGCTAAAAGTAGCGTAGCAGCTTAGCTACAGGAACTGTGATGGAGAAGGACGCCAAAAAAAAAAAAAAAAACACCGCCAAAAGTGGAAAGAAAACGCAAGCGGACAGAAGAAAGGGCGGAGTCGAAGAGGAAATGTGACCAAGCGAGGAATCTAACTGGAATAAACATCGGGCGGGGAGAGGTTTGTGTGTGGGGGTGGGACGCTTTTTTCAAATCTGCCACAACGGCTCAGATCTGCTTCTCAGATCGTCAACCAGGACTTTAATGGGACTTCCTGAGCTTTTGCAACCAGCCTCAAGTGGACACTCTAGGAACTGCAGTTTTGTTTTGTTTTTTTTCCAAACACAGCTAACATAGCATTATCATTTCCAGCACATATAGCATCATGAAACTCCTGAATGTCTGCCAGCCCTTGATTTTGACTTCTACACTCCGATATGACAAATCGTGCACGATGCTAAAAGACGTTGTTATCGCCAGCGAAGCCCTTTCAAGAATGCTAAAAATGTATGTTAAATATAGGACAACAAGCCGTCACACTTCCAGCTCCAGGAATAATGACTAAGAAGAGGCCTCTCTTTACGGCTGCAGCTCTTCTGTGGCACTTTAAAAACGGCTCCAGACCGAGATAAACACATCATGCAAACGAACCAGCAGCCCTTTTAAACCCTCGCTTGTGAAGAGGCTGCTTGTTTACCACTTAGTCCCGTACACCAGGTGTGTGTGTGGGTGTTCAGACGCCAATGTTTGCCCTTTTTCCTGCCGCTCTGTGTGTGTGTGTGTTTTTAAAGAGAACATCAACACGAAACGTTTGGTTCGTTTACAGAGTATTCCTGAAAACGAAGCTCAATTCGGCTTCATCGCACTTTCAGTTTTGTTATTTAAAACATGCTGATGTGTTTCATTCCAGCGTGTCAATCACTCGGCGTCTAATAAGAGACTCCCTCTGGGGATAATCCGCCGAGAACAAGTTCCATTAGAAGCCTCGCTGTCTTTGTCTTTGTTTTTGGGACGTCTTTCTAAGCCATGACAGCGGCTAATGTCACGTTAGCTTTGACACTTGGGATTGTAAAAGTGACAAACTGCACACGGCGACACAAAACGGGTGCCTGAAAAGCAGCGCCGTTTCGAACACGTCGTGCCCACACTCTGCTGTTTCGTGACTACAGCTGATACGCCGACCCCTCCTCTGCTTTTGTTCGCCGTCTCTCAAAGCTCCCACTACAGTTCGTGTGTGTGTGTGTGTGTGTTTCTTTATGCACATTTATCTGTCTGAGGTGCTGTGAGCTGTGCCAAGCTTCAGTTCCCACATTTCTAACGTTACAAATACAGTAATAAGATCTTGTTTGGGAACATCTTTTAAAAAAGAGAAAGCAGGTATGAATTATTATGGAGGATTAGTGCGTTTTCAAGGCTGTACTTTCCTTTTAGAGACTTTCAATCAACACTGACAAATGACAATGTACAGCAGTGACAGCCAGTGTGAACGAGACTTTTTAAGAGGGTGTTAAAGACATGAAGCTGTGTCAGCAATAAAAGCGCTAATTGAAGCTTTAATAGACATGTTATTTCATGATCTGGAGATCGAATCAGATACATTTCAAGAATTCTGTTTGTCAAAAATGGATTTCCCCCCACCAAACAATTATGTTGTTCACACAAGTATCTTGTAGAACAAAGTAAAGTGTCTTCATATTTATCTTGTGTGTGCAAGATATAACCCTGCACATACGAGTGAATATCTTGAGCTCACCTTGTTCAATCATGGTCTTAACTTGTGCGCAGTTTGTCAATCAGTCGTGGGATCTAGTTATAATCTTGTGTGCGCAAGATAAATATCTTGCGTACAAAATATTTTAACATTTTCCTGTAAGAACAGTATTTTGTGTGCACAAGATTGTTACTTGTTCCGGTAAGATGTTATTAATGTGTTTAATTATCTTGAGGAAACAGGTCAATTATCTTGTTTGCACAACAAACTTATCTTGAATGCCCAAGGTATAATCTTGCACATGATTAAATATCTTGCACACAACATATTCAACCGCAGGCACTTTAAAATCATTTTGTCACAACAAGGAACTATATTGTGTGCACAATCTACAGTAAGTATCTTGTGCTTGCAAGATCTTATCTTTCCAGTATGATAATTACCTCGTTCCCGCAAGATAGCATGTACATGAGCTGAATCTGCGAGATAGTTTTATTATGCCCACAAATAAGCTGCTTCTCCAAGATCATTATTTTTTCCAACAAGATTTTTAATGTTCCCATGAAAGCGCTAAACAGAAGAAAAAATCTTGTTGGAACAAAATACTCTGTTGTCTCACATGCACATGTTATTCTCTTGTGGCGATCCTGTTTTGCACAATATAGGTATCTAAATTCTATGATATGCCAAAAAGCTGATTACAAGTTCTCGCAAGACAACACATGATAACAAGCTGTTCCTACAAGATATATACCTAGTGCCACAAGTTGATAATTTTTGCAGATATGATGATAACTTGTTTCTACAAGATTAAGTTTTCCGTGCAAACAAGATATATCAGTAAATACATATATTTTGATATGATAAATTATGATTTTTTCCCCTTAAAACATCCTGTAAACACGACCCATCAGTGTCTTTATCTATATCAGAGATCTTTATATATTCTGCTCTGTAAATGTGATGCTGGACTAAGAAAACCTGATCAGTCTTGTTCTGTGTAATTAGCTTATGAGTGCACACATGCTGTTTTAGCATAAAGAACAGAACATCTATTTCTCCGCAGGGTGAAACATTTTGTTCTGAGAGGCAAATGTGGTTTCCTCCCAACCTCGAGACACACAAAACATTGTGTTATTTTTTTCTATACAGCGTGATAAAAAAAGACGTAATGATAGTATCTTTACACCACATCCTATACGCTGCAGGCTTTACGTGCCCCTAAAGGGACGACTGAAGCGGCTCAGCACCTGTTCGGGTATCAGAGTCCACATGAGGACACAGTGTACTGCTGTCTGACCACGCTGAGGAATATCAAGAGTCAATGTATAGAATGGAAATGCGTGTCTCCCTGGGTGGACACTCTACTGCTGCCGCGCATGTATGTGCGAGTGAGAGAGCGCATGCCACTAGGATGTATAGTATATGTACAGACTGTGCTAGAACACCCTGTACTTCTCGAAGCCTAAAAGCCCTCAGCTAGAAGAGAGGAGGGGGAGGTGGGAAGGGGGGATTCACTACGCCGTGTTACCCAGAGAGGACTGACCTAAATATCAAGTCAGCATATTGGATCTTTGTTCAATCTGTGTGCTGTACACTCTTAATCTGATGATTGATTACTTGGTGAAAAGAGAAAAAAAGTGCCGAATGTCTGCCTTTGTCTTTTTTCTTTGTGCTGATAATGAGAGGATCCACTGATACTTTCAAAATAAAAGCCTTTTATTCTGCCAAACAGGGGCTGGTTTAGTCTGATAAACAGGAGAGGAGTTGCAGTTTCTGTCATTCAGTTTCACAAGGAGACAAAACATATTTTTAAAGTCTATTTTTGAAAAGTGGAGGTTTATAGTGGCGACTGAGGTTAACTGGCAAAATAAAATCAACAATGGAAACAAAAGAGTGAAGGTTTTTCAACAGACAGAGACAGATTTAAGTGGAAAAAAAACACGATTGTCTTGTGTGTCCACATGGCTCAGTGGATAAGGAGACTGACTGGAACTCCTGACATCGTGGGTTCAAGTCTTACCTTGCCCAGTTCTAGGTGAATTTTAAAGTCCAGAGTCCACAAAGGACAGTGATATATGAAAAAGATATCAATATCCTAATGACGTAACTGAGTGGCGCCTCTGCTGTGGTCAGTTGGGGAGACGAGGACAAGATGAGCGGACGCCATTATTAAGCTCCTGTAATTTCTTTTTCTTTGAATTTCAACTCTGTTAACATTGAGTACCTTGAGACCTCTCTGTTGTGTATGATATCGCTAACATGATGTTTCATTTAAACACAAAGCAACAAAGTTAAATGACTGACATGCACTGGTTTTAGTTTTATTTCTAAATATAAAATATGATCAATTATTCCATCTGGAGGCCATTTCAAGGAAAAAAGGTTCCCTCTGGATGTCCTCTTGATGCCCCTCCAGTATATAAAAGGTGCGGCTCGGATGCTTTTCCAGTAAAGGAAATATTCTTTTCAGAAAGTTCCCTGTGAATATCTGTCCAGAAAATAAGTGCCCCCTGGTTGGCCTTCCAGTATACAAAATGTGCTTTCCAGATGCTCGTTCAATAATTACAAAGTACACTCTGGATGCCCTTCCAGTATTGGACATAATTCCACTCTGCATGCTTCACTGTACCTTCTGGATGCTCCTCTGTTTCATAAAAATTCTTCTAGATGCCCTTTTAATGTATGAAAATGGATCCTCTGGATGCCTTTTCCAGTTTATAAACCAATGCGCTCTGGATGTCCTACCAGTACATCAGCTTGTGCCCTTTGCATCCTACTCTCTCAGGTTCAATCTCAAAATAAGAAATATATTGATAAAAGCGCCTCTTGATGCTTTATAAAATGAGAAGATGTAAAAGAAAATGAGGCCACCGGATGCTCTTCCAGTGGAAATATTGGTTGTAAGCTGCCCTTTTAATAAACAAACCTTACTATAATTATTTCTGTTTGTTTGTTTGTTTGTCAACTTCAGATTTTCAGCTCAATATGTTTCATAAAACTTCTTCTAGATGCCCTTTTTATATATGAAAAATAAATAAATTAATTAATTTAAATATATATATATATATATATATATATATATATATATATATATATATATATATATATATACCATATATATCATATATACCATATTTTTATCATTGATGTCATTATAGGGTGCAGTGTCAGGTCAATTGGGATAATACAGGCGCAAACAGTAACAGAAAGTCTCTGTTTTTACTTTATCTGGCTAAATAGAGAGCTACTTAAACTTGTTTTTATTGTCAAGCATGCAACTTTGTGACTTTAAGGCAGGAAAAAAAATGATTCATTACACAAAATCTGCGTCTTCCAAACTCTTAACAATTGTAGAGTAATATTAACTGGAGGGGCTCTATCCAACCAGGCAACCAGGAGTCTCATTTTTGATTGGCTATGTCTTCAACAGCTTCAAATCATTGACGTCACCTTTCATCTTGTTGCATAAACATAATTTGATGCACAATGGTTGTCTCACATGACTAATTCACACACCTCAATGCTAAATGTCGCAATGCTGATCAGTTCAATGTGCCTATTGTCCGGTGTATGTCCATGTATGTGCAGGATCTCTGCTCTGCTGTGTTTGTGCTTCTTTCTCTTTCTCGCCTCCGCCTGCCTTTTCTTGCTGCTGATGTTCCTCCACGTGCCGCTGCGCAGCCCGGAGCAGGTCTGCAAACGTGCCAGGAACACACACATTTTAGGAAGGAGAAATTTAAAGGAGCACGTCAAATTTTAGGAGTCCTATCTCAGTAAAGTCAGGGCCATGATGCAAGAGTGTTTCAAGTGTGCTCTTAGATTATCTGCTTTTAGTCAGTCAACAAGTCTGATAAAGTACCTGAGGATGTATTTAAGTCTAGATTACATAAACATGTAAATATCAGGGGGCATCTGATAGATTAAGTGTTAGATGAGTGCGCTTTGTAGGGAGCAAATTCACCTTTTTTTTACATTTAATGTTAAAATACCATTGCCTTGAGAGGGCAGCCAGTGTGTTACCCGTACAGGTAGGAGAAGCAGAGGGACGATATAACAGCTTGACCCAAAATTTAATGCAAAATAAGCAAAAAAGTTAATGTGAAGGGTTAGGGCCTGTGTCCACTGATACAACCACTTCTATAAACCACTACCATAGAATCACGAGATGATCAATCAGTATAAGATAATCACAAAATGTAGTAAGAATGCAACATAAGCTTAAAAGGTAATGTGAAGTATAAGGGCCTGTGTCCACTGATCCACAGGCTACTTTACACCACAACCATGGAATCTTGATCCATTTATTATGTTATTTTGTATCAGTTTAAGATAATCGAATAATCTCATTAGAATACAAATAAGGCCTGAAATGTCATGTGCAGGATTAGGGCCTGTGTCCATCGATCCACTTGTCACTTGAAACCGTTACTTTTGAATCATCTTTTTTTAGTTCTGTGATAATTAAATATCTATTTTTAGATAATCCAAAAAAAATCTAGAAATGCAAAATGAGCCTTAAAGTTAAAGGGAAGTATAAGGGCCTGTGTCCACATATCCACTGGCTACTTTACACCACAAACATGGAATCTTGATCCATTGATTATGTTATGTTGCATAGGGTTAAGATTATCAAAAATCTAAACCATTATTATTAAATTATATTTTTTTAATCTTGTGACAATTAAATATCTATTTTATAATAATCAAAAATGGTCTCGTCATTCAAAATAAGCTTAAAAGGTAAGGTGAAGTATAAGGGCCTGTGTCCACTGATCCACTGGCTACTTTACACCACAACCATGGGATCTTGATTAATTGATTGTGTTATGATGTATCAGTTTAAGATCATCAAAAAATCTGATAAGAATGAAAAATAGGCCTAAAATATCATGTGATGGATAAGGGCCTGTGTCCACTGATCCACTTGTCACTCGAAACTATTGCTTTTAAATCATATTTTTAAAAATTTTCTGATAAATATCTATTTTTAGATAATCAAACAAAATCTAGTGATGCGAGATAAGTCTAAAAGTCAATATGACGGGTTAGGGCCTGTGTCCACTGACAGTGTTTTCTTGGGCTGGCAGCAGATATTTTTTCAAACACCAATGCAGTCCAAAAAGGTTCTCCCTCAGAAGTTTATTATGTTGTTAGGTTGTCTGTCATCTGATTTATAGAAGTTTGAAAGTGAAGCACTTACTAGTATCAGATCCTTAATACCAATTAATCAAAACTGAGAAGGGGCGGGACTTCTGAAACCTACTTTGGCAGCAACAATAGCTGAGGTTTGTTTAAAGAAGAACTTGCCTCAGTGTTTTTGTGAGGTACGATTTGCACTACCTTTTTCATGTTTTTCATGTTTTTAAGATGAAATTCAACTGATTAAAACAAATAAATGAAAATAGACTTTACTGTAACTGCTAAAGGGAGTTAAAGTGCAAACAGTTGGATGATGATGAAGGTAAAATATGCATCAACAATCAGAATTAAGATATGATTTGTGCACAAAAAGGAGGAAATTGCATGTCTTCAACCTGTTCTTTCTCCAGAGTTGATAAGACGTGGAAATAAGAGCGAGGCGAGGACTGAAGGACGGCACCATGGAGGAAAGAGAAGATGCTGATCTCTCCTCCTGTGTCAGAAATAGGAAGCAAACAGGAAACACAGCAGTGATAGAGGCTGACCTCAGACTGTGCGTGCGTGTGTGTGGCTGAACAGTATGTTCAAGACACGAGCCGACTGAGGTTTTATGGACGTGGAGATTACGCAGAGGTCGACTTATAGGAGAAAGAGCAAAAACAGACTCAGAGTGAAGTTCGTCTGCAGGAAAAGAAGATGCAAAGAAAGAAAGCTGGAAGAGTGTAAATATGTCTAGGTGGAAAGTCAGCGTTTGTTTAACTCGTCTGTGTGAAGCTATCCGCACACGGAGCACGCCCTCTTTCAGCTCCTGCAAACAAAAAGCAGGATTTGTATGTTTCTGTGAAGAGTACACAAGCAGCTGTCAACCACATGAAACCTTTAGTTGCTTATTTACTCAAAGCATCCGACACCTGGGCTGATCCTGGGTCAGGTTTGAGCAGCTTTTACCAGATCTCTGCTCCTTCTTCACTAAGAGGCCTCGGGGGCTCTTTGCCATTTGGCGCGCACCTGCTCAAACACACCCGCTGTGTTTAATTAGCATAAAAGGAAAAGTCTAGATCCCCGTCTCACATGATATTAATAATGTAGGAGAAAACAACGGATTGATTTGACCTGTGTTACTTTTTGACTCATTCTCCTCTGGCGCTGTTTTTGAGGTCGCAGCGGTTTTGGGTCACATAACTGTCACACAAGGGCGAGACTTCTCCTTCCTGCGATCTGAAGTGCGAGCGCTTAGAGGATTTGTCCGTGTGCAGGCAGAGGAAGGACGTATTAAATGCTCACGCTGGCATTGTCACAGTGCCTCTGATTGTTGAGATCAGCACATTGTCTGAGGACAGGCTGTCTCCTCTTCGCTTTGTGAGGCAGTCGACGTGCACTTCTGACGCTACAATTATCTCCGCGCTGAATCCTGGGAGTTTACATTTATAACTGAGGCTTGAGATGGGATTTTGATTGACTTTGAGGCTTTTCTTCACTTCTTTGCAAAACTTTCTGCTGCTGTAACTAGCTGATCAGGAGAAGTCTAAAGCTCCTGTGAGGGATTTTTGACTGGCTATAAAACAGACTGTAAATTGATGGCACGGCCCAAAAGCAAACAAGACCGATAATATAGACATTGACTATTTCCTTGCAACTTCTTTTAAGAGTTAGGCATCAGAAGAAAACTCCCTTTTTGTTTACACGTACAGGAACAAAATTAACACTCCTTGCTCTGAAGAAAAGGGTAATATTCAAATTCATAATAATACAGTAAACAAGCGCATCAGGCCGCCTGAACTCGCTTGCCGTATAATCCAGCAGCCTGATGTGTAACCTGACTATTGCATACACTCTTGACCTTGTACAGTACAGGATCTGGTCAAGCAAAGCTGCACCAAGGTGTCCAAGAAGAGTTGTCGACCTCCATCTTTGGACTTGGTAACACCACTTTGGGAACCAACGGGTGACGTCACTGAGACAACATCCATGTTTACTACCTTATTAAGCTAGTTAGCCACAACTTAGCGACTTTTCAGGGCCCCTCGCAACTTTTTTTTTTAAAACGCTACAAATCTAGCCCCTTTTCCTGGAGTTTGGAGACTGATGTGAAAGCACGTATCGATCTTTCTTTTCTCAACGAGCAGCAGGTGCTGCCCTGGACGCAAATTTTTTTTTTGTTTGTAGAATGGTAGGTGAAGGTCACACCCTCCTTCGCCTCTGATTGGCTAGAAGTGCTGGGCTCCGATTGGTTATTCCTTATGGCTGTGAAATGTCATCGTCTGTCTGGTTAGGGTTAGGAAATTCAGAAGTGTGATAATGTTCTGTTCGATGTACAGAGCCGACAGCCCTTGTTTGGCTTGAGCATGTGATGACGTTTCTAGCTTTTCTAGCCAATCAAAGGCGAAGGAGGCGGGACTTTTCCCCTACCACATGAGATGCCGCATTCGTTGTTGTAATGTCGACGACCGCACAAAAAGATCGGATTTAACAAAAAATCCGAAATGTGCATCATAACCTGCAGTGATGTCAAATTTTACATGTCGAAGGTAAATCACTATTACGTGCAAATGTGCAACTAGACAAACTAGGCTATGACATCATCTAGCGACCTCTAGGACAGCCACATGCAACTTACATTACAGATAAGTGGGCAACGCTGGTTAGCCAAACAAGCTCACATTCACAGCTCACACTAGAGGATTGTTGTGTTTTTGTCTCATCGTCTTCATGTCACGTCACTTCCCTTTGTTGGCAAATCACAATAACATGTCCAAAAACAAAGCGCTGTAAATGTCACTAAATGGACCTGCTGGTCATGACACCAGACTTTGATGTCTTTCACAGACTGAAAACAGACTCGGGGTTTGGTTTTGCGGCGCATTTGATGACATAGTGCGATGTAGGTCAGAGACACAGCAGTGATGTAAACGAGGCGTTGTGTCTTTTATTATGTCTCTGCAGAATATTAAATTTTGTGTCTCTCTCTCTCTCTGCGAACACATGACATTCATTTGCACTTCACAGTGAGACACTTAAAAGTCCTTCAAGCGTCCCTTTAATAAACTGGAACGGTCTGTGCCATAAACAACCTGATTAGGAGGAAAGCTCTTTACGTAGACGTGGCGCTGTTGTTGTCTCTCCTGCTGTGTGAGTTCAACAATGGTGTAATGACTGTCTGGCTGCATTTAAAGGACACACACAGACACAGACAGACACAAATTCAGCATTTGTCAGCCAAAACAAATAAAGGATTAGAGAGAAGAGCACTTAAGGAGAATTTAAGTTTCATTTACAGTCGCACTCATGATATTATATTAAAGTTTGCTCTTATTAAAGTGAGTTTAACAAAGACGCAGCTGCTTCTTATCTGCCTTTGCTTTGTTAATCCTCAATCAGATACCAAACACAAACAGAAACTGCTCTTTTAACATTGACACTGCCGCAAAAATAATGACTCAGGCATTCACGGACCGGTCGGACCAGATTGACGTGACACAGGAATTCTTCAGACGCACAGCTGAGTGAAGAGAGTCATTACCGATGAGGTACGCGGTTATTTCTGTGTCAAAATCCTGTGTGAGATAAAGCAATGATCCCCCTCTGAGAACGAGATCACTTCACTTTTTAAACAAGGGGTCAGATTTAAGTGTCAAAACTTCGCCTCTTTTGACATCTCTTCAAAAGTGAGAGAAGGTGCTGATGGGAGGAAAAGTGGAGGACAAGAGAGAGGGGGGGTGTAATCCCCCATAATCCCCTTCTCTCCCCAGTGGGGCGTCTGCTTCGTGTCTCCCTCTGTACGTGCTTCTGTAGTTGCAGTTTGTTTTGAAATATCAGACGTCTCTCACCCTGAGGCGGGGGCACGTGCCTTAGAGAAATGTGACTTTGGGCCGAGGACAAGCGAGGACAAGAACGCAGAGACGGAGAGAAACGAAGAGTGTAGATGTATGCAGTAAAAACTCAGAGCAACCTCTCAGACGTCAGAGTTTGAGATTTTTGAGGACGTTTTCCTGCCTGGATTTAATAAATAAATCATGTTGCAGACACAAAGAGAGTAAAGAAAGGTCTGCATGCTTTGTTTTCAAGGGGGAAAGTGGATATATATTCTGAGGTTTTGCAGGGAATCCAAGTGTTTCGCCAGGTTTAAGATGTTGCTGGAAAAGATAAGGTCTGAGAGGGGAGGGTAGAGGGGAGGTAGAGCGTACAACCTAATCCAGTCAGGATGAGTCCTAGCCTGAGCGAGCTTCCTGTCTTGTCTCTTATTTCCAACCTCTCTCCACAGACTCTGTTTGCTGTCTCTATGTCCTCTCTCCTCGTAAACATCACATGCACGCAGAGTTTTTTTCTAGCCTGTGTGCTGTATCTTATTCGGCGTGCGATGACATGTTGTGTGTGTGTTTCTGCGATGTAAATAAACCTTATTTATATGTCTTAGCTCGGAGCATGTGAAGGAGCTCTTGCGTTCACTGGGCTCTATTTATATGGAGATGCAGTTCACACCGCCTCTCACATATAGACGATCTCCGTATAGACCCTTCATCCAATTAACTGCACATCAGAGCAGGTTCGTTTGTGTGGGTACACATGTGACAGGAGACATATTTCACTTCCGCCTGTTGACATTGTGGTAAAAGTATTCGTTTCTGTCTCAAGCCAGCCTCAAATGAACGTCTAAGCGCAGACTCAAATGCATTTCCCCTAATCTCTAATCTGTTTTTAGTTCTGCCGTATGTTTGATTCTGCTTTTTCTTTCTGAATGTGTACAAACATGAAGTGTGTCTCTTACACCCTGTTCGGACATGGTTTAATCCCCGCAGAGTGTGGCCTCCCTGACAGTCTGGATGCTCGGGGTTTAACCAGCAGGCCACCTGCTTTCTCAGCAATAAGGAAGAGCTCAGAGGGTGGCCCAAAAAAAGGTGGCGTAAAGAGGATTTTTTGGGGTCGATTTTGGGGCAGAGTGGACTTTGTGTGTCTGGAAACAGCAGGCCAGAATCAAGATTATTCATCTGTGCATTTTCAGCTACATTTTGGGTGCAAAACAACAACTTAACTATTTATTTATTAAAGTTGTGCAGATAGATTTTTAAAAAGTACTTTAGGAAGTATTTAAAGGATTGCAGCACATAATGCGAATAATTACCTGCTATGTTTGTACGTCCAAACACGGGCAGCAGCACAAATAGCCGAGGTTAATCCGCGTGTGATCCCTCAGCCTCAGAGAACATCCTGTTCCCGCAGCGGTGAGGAAAACACCTTTTGTCAATGAAATGGGATTTACGAAAGTGCCATCTGGATCCAGGAGCTGCAGCGTCTGATCCGTGGAGATGACTGGACGGCCGTACTGAGGTCAGGATGTTGGATTAGACTGACCTGAGGAAGGACAGCCAAGTGGGCAGGGTCAGGCCGGGACAGGACAGGTCGATGCCTGATATAGATGTACATTAGATCACAGAACATCACTAATGAGATTGTGTCGCCAAACTTAAGCACTTTATCCGTCTGAGGTCACAATTTAAATATAACAGCTGAGTAAAAGAGATGACCCTGCATGGACTAGAGCAAAGTTACGACATTTCTACCTCTTTGTGAGGTTTGTTTTCATCTGAAAACTCATAATGAAGCTTCTGGAGGAAATGTAGATTGCGTTCCAAATTATTACGCAAATTGTATTTAAGTGTCAATAAACTCATGGATGGTATTGTGTCTCAGGGCTCTTTGAATCACTGAAATCAATCTCATTCACCTGTGATAATTAGTTTGCCAGGTGAGCTCAGTTAAGGGAAAAACAAGAAGGGCGTTCCACAATATTAAGCAGACCAACGTTTTCAAGCAATATGGGAAAGAAATGCGTGAAATAGTTGAATGCCTTGAACAAGGTATGAAAACCTCTGATATTTCACGAAACATAAGTGTGATCTTCATACTGTTAAGAGATTTGTGGCTGATTCAGAGAACAGCTGCTAAAATGTCATTACAAAGCAGCAAATAGATATTTGAAGCTGCTGGTGCCCCAGGAGTCCCACGGAACTTGAGGTGTAGGATCCTCCAGAGGCTTGCAGTTGCGCACAAACCTTCTATTCAGCCACCCCTAACCAATGCTCACAAGTGAGCCCAGAAACACATGAAGACTAACTTTCAAACAGTTTTGTTCACTGATGAGTGCCGTGCAACCCTAGACGGTCCAGATGGAGGGAGTAGTGGATGGCCACCATGTCCCAACAAGGCTGCGACGTCAGCAAGGAGGTGGTGGAGTCATGTTTTGGGACGGAATCATGGGGAGAGAGCTGGTTGGCCTGGGCTCATGGGTCGACTCAACTGAACAAGATCTAAAAGTGAGGAAGGCACTCGCATGGAGAACTCCAACCTCCCCCGCCAAATCAAACTCTACGCGACAGTAGAGTCCGTTCTCCTCTGTGGCAGTGAATGCTGGACCCTGAAGCCAACCCTGGAGAAATCCCTAGATGGGTGCTACACCAGGATGTTGCGTGCAGTGCTTAACATCAGCAAGAACGCACATGTAACCAACAGGCTATTCTGACATCCTGCAAACAAATCCAAGCAGAAACTCTCCAAAAACTCACAAGTTGGATGGATGCAAGACATTTGAAGCTGCTATCAAATAAGGGGTCCTATGTTAAAATGTAACTTGACTTGTTAAGATGTTTTTGATTAAAATAGCTTTTGATTTCAGTCAATATGACCTCCGAATGACCATTTTCAGTTCTCAGTTGTGCATTATAATTTGGAACAGTTCATTTTAAGTTTTTTGTTTTTCATTGGGAGGTTTGTTCAATAACATTTAAATTAAACTCTAATGGTTAATGACTTGAAAATTATGCTGACTGTCGTTTGCGTTGACTGTTTAGAAAATCTGAGAATAATATCATTTGCATAATAATTTGGAACACGGTGTATAAAGCTGCAACATTACTAAAAACATCCAACAGACACACAGCTGCTGTACTTGCAGGGTAATTGTGACCTTGTGAATCCCTGTGCAAGCTGTAGCATTGTGAAAAAGTGAAAAATATAGCTAATTTTACCTATTTCAACCGACTTATGTAAGATAAAACACGAGCTGTACCGTCTATAATTGTGACATTACAGCTAAAGGTCTTTATAATTTAATTTACGTGCGTTTTTAAGCCACTAAACGTCGTTAAATGCACTTAATTCCGCACTTATTACCGTTATCAGCTCCTCTTTCTTCTCATGTCGTCAACCATATATTGACGCGCGCTCCCGTCCCCGTGCCCTCACCGCCAGCATGAGGGTCCACGTGAGTGGCGAGCGGTGGGCGGAGCCACCATAGGATGGGCTCGCGGGGGCTCGTATGTACTTAACCAATGAGAGTTAACCTATACATAAATATTTACGCAGCGTTTGCTTCTGCGCATGTGTAATGAGCCGTGGTGGGGGTTCGCAGTCTGGTAGTCAGACTGGGATGACTGTGGGATAACTGGGAGGCATTCAGGAGCATTTATCGGCTGGAAAATGGTATTAAAACTGCTTTAATGTTGATATTTTACAAGTGGTCTGTTCAGTTGTTCGTTATCTACATTTTTGTCTCAATTTAATGATTTAAATTTAGAGTTTTAATCATTTTTTTACAACAAAAATACTAATAAATCAGAATTTGATGGTTTGTATTAATTTCAAGACTATATTTAACTGAAAATAGATAAAAGACAACACTAAATCAGAGTAAACATGGATACATACACGCTAATTTCCTAAATCAGGTTGTCCATGAACTCCAAAAAGAGCGCCAAATTTTGTTTAGGACAGTTTTTTCAGATCATGCCTATACCTTCTGTTTCTTCTTTACATTGTAGAGTTGTAAACTAATTTTGTGATTCACTTGGTAATGGTTCGATGAAATATTTGGAGTCCATGCGCTGACCTCCACTTCCCTGCATCAGTCACGTTACAAACTTAACCTAATAAGATTTAAACAACAAATCCCCGAAAAAGAAAAACCGAAGAGTCCAGCTTTTAATTTTTTGTTTCCTTTTTATTTGAGGTGCAACTGTCTAGTGCAATTGTAACGTCACATTTGTGATGGGCTGAGGAACATGCACAAAACATCGACATACCTGTGCTAGGCATTTTCCTTTTCATTTTTTTACTAAAACGCCAAGTATCTCATAAATGTGTTCAGCGCTCCAGTTGCACTACGAGCAACCCAAAAACACTTGGCTGTACAAAAGAGACAAAATAAAGAAAAATAAGACAAAGAAAAAAAAAACAAAAAAACATATCCATTCATTATAAAACACCTACACACGTCCCCGAAAAATGGCGAAACAGTCCAGGTTATCTGAGCGAGTGAGTTGAGTGACGGCAGAGGATAGGTCACGTACAGTAAGAGGCTGTGTGCCACCACAGGGGGAGACAGCATCATAGTGGGGGGAGGTAAATAATCCTCTTCTGTTCCCACCCTGAGTTATGACATCACAGGTAGTTCATAACCTGGCAAAACCATAGATATATATATTTAAATATATACACATATATTGAATAAAACAACTAAAAAAAGTCATATATATGTATCTATGGTTAGAAACCAGGCACTTGGCAGAGTTTAATTGGAAAGTGTTCATCTGTACAAACCTAGAAACAGTCATGTCCTACTTATTCGCTCATCAGTTAATTACTTTTACACATCACTTGGACATTATTACACCAATGAGAGCAAAAAAAAAAAAAAAACATAAACAGACAAAACAAACCCTCCCTAAAAAAGTGATTCCCTGCATAAATGTTTAATGCTCCATCCGAGAGAAGGGGGAGAGTGCGTTAAGGGTGGGGTGGGGGGACGGCGGCGTGAACCTCGAGAAGAACACAGCGTTCTTAAAGTGAACAATGAGGCTAATATATATTTCATAATTTTTATGACACCCCCTTGTTCCCGATTCGACGTCCACGAGGATTAAAGACCCGCAAAAAAAAAAGCGGCGCCCATTCCAGATGGGTCGCCTGGGTCTTCAAAGTTCGTCCTCCGTCGAAATCGTCTACGAAAAGTGCACGGACAGCAGCACTGAAGATTAATTCATGATGGAGAGTGCTGGGGTTGAGGTGGGATTGGGATTAACAAGACGATGGCACGCTTTCCACAGGTCGGTCACACTGCGGGAGATCAGACAGCACTGACGAGACCACTGATTGGATGATAGCTCCTCCTACTCCTCCGGACGACAGCGGCCGCGAGGCTCGACTCACAGTTCGTGTCAGCTCTGTCCTTACCCGCGCATCTTTGTCGGCGATTGTCTGAAGCAGGTAATAAAAATTGGACACAAAGCGGCGGCAGACACACACACTCACTCACTCCGGTGCAACTCCAAAGTCTGACAGTTAAATAAAAAGGTGCAAAAAAACAAAAGAAAGTTCGTCATCCGGTTGAGTTAAAGTGTGCGATCCTTGAAGACGGTGGCATAGTCGGTCTGGATTTTAAGAGTCGGTTCACAGTATGGCGAGACTCCTTCCTCCTCCTCCTCTTCTTCTTGCCCTCCTTCTTACTCCTTTCATCGTCTCCTCTTCAGGGAGGACGGTCTCCTCTGTGCAGCTGCTGGGTTACGCAGACGCGCCGGAGCTCTGTGAGGAGGGGAGGGTCTGCATGGTCCCGGTCGGGGGCGGGAGCGGCGGCTGGGCGTTGCCCGTCGGGGAGCCGCCGGTCTGGACCTGCGCCTGGAACTGAGCCATCTGCTCGGGGCTGGCCAGGTTCTTGAGCAGGTTGTTCTCCTGCTCCAGCTGGGTGTTGCGCTCAATGAGCTCTTTGATCTGCTCCTTCAGCACCTCCACCTCCTCACGCACGGCGTACATGAGGTGGCTCTTGACCAGGTCCTGGAGGAGGAGGGGAAAGAAAGACAAAGATGGTCAAGATTTGGCTCACAGCTTATGAACCCTCACATGGGATAAATCTGCAGCTGTTTTGGAGAACTATTCCAACATTTTGGTCATTTTTCAAGCTCCGACTCCAAACATCTTCATCTTCTGGCTTCACCTTTTCAATTTGAATATTTACAACTTTTCTATTTGTTATTTAGGGGGTTTTGACTTAATCTAATTCAGCTCTTATCAATGAATCAAGGAGGTGCAATCGTCACCAAAGTAAGGAGGCCTTAGAGGTCAAAAGCACAAACATGTTTTAGCAACAAAAACATTAAAATAAATACAAAATACTTTCTAACAAACGCAGGAATAATTTTTCTTTTGAATTCCTTTTGTTTTTGTGATTTTTTTCCCTCGTCTTATCTAATGATTTTGCATTCAGGAGGATATTTTTCCTTTTTGTGAAATGTTTTTGTGTCTTTACATATTTTTGCATGTCAAATAATCATGTTTTGTGAGAACACCCAGGTTCCAAAAGAATTTTTGCTCCCATGATATCTTCATAAAAAATTCCGTTGATTGTTTTTTATGCATTCATGTAGATATTTTCAGCTATTTTTGTACTTCTTGAGTTATTTTAGCACACTGTGAAGATGTTATTTGCATTTAATTGAATATTTTTGCCTTTTTTCAATGTTTTTGTTTCTTGAAATACTTTAGCATTTTGTTAAATAGTTGTTTTTTGTGAAATACCTTTTTTTGTGGGTTTTGTGAGATGTTTTTTTTTTCCTTCTTATCTGATGATTTTTCATTCAGGAGGATATTTTTCATTTATGCAAAATGTTTTTGTGTCTTTAAATATTTTTGAATGTCAAATAATCACGTTTTGTGAGAACATCCAGGTAACAAAAGAATTTTTGGTGTCATAAAATCTTTTATGATTTTATTGAATATTTTGCTGTTCCGTTGATTGTTTTTTATACATTCACAAAGATATTATCAGGTAATTTGGTACTTCCTGAGTTATTTTAGCACACTGTGAAGATATTATTTGCGTTGAATGGAAAATTTTTGCCTTTGTTCAATTTTTTTGTTTCTTGAAATACTTTTGCATTTTATTAAATTGTTTTGTTTTGTGAAATACTTTTGTTTTTGTTTTGTTTTTTATTATTTGTGGGTTTTGTGAGATGTTTTGGCAATTTGTGGCATGTTTTTACATTTAATATCTGTGTGGTTTGTGAGATATCTTTGTATTCATTAAATATTTCTGCATTTTATGATTTGTGAATTGCGATTTTGTGAGGCATTTTTATGTTTTGTGAGATTTTTCTTGTATTTACTGGGTGTTTCTTGACTATTTTTTTCATTTCATTGAATATTTTTGGTGTTTTATGGAATATTTTTGGCTTTCTATAAAAGGCTTTTTTGATTCCCGTGGCATGTTTCTGTTTTTGAGAAAAAAGCTTTTGAATTTTTCTGAATGTTTTTGTTGTGCAGTGAAGTTTCCATCGTAACGTTTGTGCAGTTGAACCTCAGAGTCACCGCATTCACTCGACCGAATTCCAACCAAAAAGAAAGAAAAGTCACAGTATTTGTATTATTCGAATCTAAATGATTTTATGTCGAGTTGCGGTTCCTCAGCTGTGAAGATTTGTTTCTGTTCACTGTTTCACATCTGCAAGTTTTGGTCAGAATCAAAAGCTTTCAAATGACGCTGAAGACACATAAAGAGGATAAAAACGGCCAGATTAACCCATGAATGATAATAGTTGTAGCCTCAATCCTCTCTGAATCACACAGACATAACCTCGCCTCAGGTGCCTTTTTCCTGTTTTCATCATTGGTTCAAACATTTTGGTGTTTTTTGGCGTCTCAACAAAAATAATATTCGGTGTTTTTAAATACTGTAAGTGAGACGAAATGGAGTCTGGGACATGTGAACAACTAACACATGCTGTTTGGGTGAAAAACGTGTGACACAGCAGACTGTCAAGGCTGATTTTGCATCGTAAATCACTTCGCGGCACATGCCAGCTGTCGTCCTGGAAACACAACATAAATTCCTCCGGAAAATAACACGTCTTCAAACCAGAGAAACTGCCTCAAAGTGCATTCCCCTGACGCCGCCTTGCTGCCTGACTACTGTCCTGTGCCAGCCTACTGAAGTGGGATTTGCAGTTTAATAATCTGAGCATCCCCTCCTCTGTGGACCCGCCCCACCTCCTCCTCCTCCTCCCTGCCCCGGTACGCAAGCGAGGGAACAAAATGTTCCTGCACCGGAGTGGGAGGAGCCAATCACCGGGCGAGTTATTTATACCAAGCCACGGGGAGGCTGCTGCTTGCCTAGCAACACAGGACAGGGAGGAGAGAGACGGGGAGAGGGAGAGACTATGTATATGCATGAAGAAGAGAGAGAGAGGGAGAGGGGATAGCGTGTGAACCTGAAGCCTGGCCCACACCAAGTTGCAACAAACTGGAGGTCATCTGTCCGGGGACTCCTGTTGCTCTGATTCAAACACCAGCAGGTGCAGAAATGTGGAAATACAGATGTTTACTGCACGTGTGAGGCTTCTATCCAAAAAAGAAAGACTAGAAACGCTCCATCGTGCTCCCCATTCATTGCTCAATAACATTTATTTAAGTCTCTCTGTAAACTAGGATGCAAATCTCGCCATCACATGCCATAAAAGAGGCATAAAGGAGGTGATGCAGCAGTAGGAGTCTGTGCTTTTGGTTACATAACACCACAGGCAGCTCATACAGTAGATGTAGAGCATGAGACAGCCTATTTACAAACACTGTAGAGACATAATGCATCATTTTGGGAAAAAAAAAAGCTTACCATTGCTTGCTCAATCTTGTTGTCAATGGCCACCACACTTGCACCAGAAGAGCTGAAAGACACAAAGATAAAGGGAGCTATAACAAACGATATGATGCAGTATTGCGAGATCGAAGCAGGTGGATTTGATGGAGAATTGAAAGGACTGTTGAGAGCTGAGGTTTCATTTCAGTGTCAGTAAAGCTCTCAGAAAAACAAGATGATTTAAGACACAAGAGGGTCTGCAACAAAGCAAATGGAGGTCGCGTTTAAAGCTTTGACTCTGATGGCGGAGAATCAATGAGGCAGCATTTCAGGCACCGTCCCTCTCTCTATAGAAACGGTACATTTTACACAAAAAAACCCACATGAATCCTCATTACCTATTGTCAAGCCGCACTGCTGCGCTCTCCTTCCCGAGCACAGAGGACAGAAACGATATCGAGAAATTCCTCAGCTGACAAACACCAAGATCCATCGCCACTGTGTAACACTGGGAATTCATGCTACCCCGTCCATCAAAAACCCCTTTTCCGCGGTAAAAACTGGAAGTCCAGCGGTATAAAAGTATAAAAAACAGCGCATTATTGTGCGTCAGGGCGCTGGGTCTGCTCTCCGGGAGCCCACCGCAAAGCTCGCAGCCGGGACGGGAGCACACAATGGAGTGAAGCGGCGGGCTGCAGCTCCGCAGACCGCGGCTCCCAGGCTGGATAATTCATGCAGGGAACGGAGCCAAGAGCGGTGTGATTGGAGGAGAGTGGGGCTCATTAGCATAATGTATGCAAGGAGGATGACGCAGCGAGCTCGCTGATTGGAGGACGGGGCGCCAGTGGGAATAATTCATACCGCATCTCTGTACCTGCTGCACAGTCCGCTATAAAACCACGACTCTAACACAAATAGCGCAACAGAGCGGACTTTGTTCGACATAAAACAACTCCTAACCCCACTTAATTCAAGTTTTACACTCTTTACCGACCTATTTTAACTTTTAAAGCGCCACTTTCTCTTTCCTTATTGACTGCAGGTGATGGGAAACTTACTAACTCTTATGTGTTACGATGTCGTCCCCTATCGGTTGAAGCAAACAGTTTCAGAGGTCACACACACTAAACAGTGCTCAGTGTAATTTGAGTAAACATAATCAATTGCCCACTAAGTGACCCCGCAGTACAGCTGACCTCAGCACCGAGCAGCTGTCACACATAGGAGTAAATAATCATTTATGGAGAAGGTGTAAAAGTAGAGGTGTTTGTGGAGTAGATTGGGATCAGATGGCAGAAACGGTGGAAGCTGAGCTCCTTTGTCCTCCTCTTTAGACCACTTTGACTGACTGGGAAGAACACTTTGTTCCTTACAGTGAGAACAGGACCACCCCTCTCATCCCTAACACTCAAAAATCTTCTGGGAGGTTTTTTTTTTTTTGCTTTTCTGGGATGCGTGAAGTCTGGACGCAGCTTGAGCAGAGGAACGATCAGCGGAAAAGTGAAAAGAAGCACTTTAGTTAATTAAAATCTTATTAAAACCTAATATTTGCTGATTTTGGCCACTTTAATGTGAAGATAAGCAGCTTTTGAAAGTGTAAAATGCTTAAAGTGGAATATTGTTGGAGAAAAAAAGACACTTGACGACACCTCTGAATGATTTCCTGACACTTCATACAATAAAGATTAGCCTACATGATTGCTTGTTATCACTGTATTGTCTTATATGTATGATTGCACCCTTTGGCTCATAGATGTTTGGGGTCATGGCTGCTTTGAGTCAGATAGGTCAAGTAAAATGTTACACACATTTTTAAACATTTGTTTTGGTGATTATGGTAAAAAAAAAATTCACAAAACAAAATAAACAATTTAATTTGCAGGTCATTTGTCATGTTTTCTAATGTTACCCTGTTATACTTCGTGTTCTTAAACGTGTGCTTACATAACCAGATAAATAATTAAAACAATTTACTCCTATTGTGTTTTTTTTAATCTATTTATTTTTTTTCGCAGGCGACAAAAAGTGAGATAAAATTTAAGGAACATAATCAAATGACAACCTGCCAAATTTTAGGTAAGTCATAAATTTGTTACGGGAATATGCTAGTTCAACGAAAAAAATCTACATTTTGTAAAAAGGTTCTCTTTTTTTGTGTATACTTACTTATACTAGTTAAAGTAACCTGAAATATTCTTATATATAAAGATGCTTTGATTGAACTCTTTGTGTTTGTTTGTTTTTCCCTTTTTTGAGGTGCACTGGTACTGTACGGTTAATTGAATAAACTGTACTTGTACTGTAAGAATTACACCTTGTACATGCCTTATTTCAAACCCAAATGCAGAAAACTGAGAGCTTGCAAACTGAGACTTTCCAGTTAGTGAAATACGTTATTGATAATCAATACCTGACAGATTTTCTATCACTCAACTTATTAATGATTGACAAATCCCCTCGGCACTGAAGGCTTACGATTGAGTGTCAGTGTTAACAAGGATAGATGAGACAGGATGTTGTGGCTGAAAACAACCAGAACTGTTGGATTTCTTCTTCTGTGGTGGTGAAGTTGACGTCTTTTTGCTGGGAACTGTTGATCTGACATAAAAAAGTGGCGTTTTTAAGGTAATTTGTCCGTCCTTGACCCCAACAAGGACACTTCAATTATTAAACAGGACCTTTCCAATTCTTTGTGACTCCCTCTCGGGTTGTAAATGACTCTGCTGATTGAATCAATATTTCACCTTGGTCACTGATGAACTGATGTGGGGACTCGAGCTGTAGAAGTGTGGATTGTGTTATCACATTTGGAAAACAGTTAGGGCAAACAGCGCAGAAAGGGAAGTACATTTAGTTCCTATAACGGTGGTAAAGATAAAAAGAGAAACTACGACAGGTGTGGTTCAACTGCTGCTCATTCACAACACCTTTCTTGGAAGCTGACTGGACACATGTTAAGCCTAAAGCTTAAAGCTCTTTTCAGGCACTTGTGCGAGTGTAAGCACCTTATTGTGTTAAATTTGTCTCTGGCTGGAACATGAACAGGAGTAGTAGCATGTTAAGGAAGTGGGTGCATGTTGAAGGAGAATATACGGACTTGTATTTGTATTTAACTTCGACCGCAGCGTCATCGTGACTTCGGCTGCAGAGTAAAGGGACACCAGGCAGGGATTGGGCGATTTTAGAGAACTGGAAAACAATGTTTGCTGCGACTTCTCCTTTTTTGGGGTTTTCAAGAAGCAGCGTGACATGTACGCACAGCTGTAGGAACCCTATGTGCTTATGCAAAAAGAGACAAATATATAACACTCAAACTGGACCTGGGTGCAAAACATATGTAGATCCATGTTGCAGAGTGTGGGGCTTGGGAAACTGGAGCTAAAAGAGGCACTTATGGTTCATCTAGGGAAGTGGGCCATGATGCTTTCCTCTGAAGTTGGAAAAAACTGAACCAGTGGCAAAAGAGATAAAAAAAAGAGTCTAATCTTGGATTGGATGTAGTCAGGATAGCATTTCAGTGAGTGAACATGAGCCAAACACTCTTTAAATTCACACACACTCAGAGGGAATCGAACATGCGTGTGCAGGAGCCGGAACATTGTGTTCTCAAACACACTTATAGCCCTTGAGGGGGGCTGAGCGAGACTTTGAACATGCTTAGGTGATGCAGGTAGAGGTGTTTGAGGTATTTTCGGAAAACTTCAACTGTCCCACTCCTCAATTACACACAGATAACACTCAATCAGATACATACACCACAATAACAATCACACAAAGATATGGACACACACTCTGCGTTGGCGTCCGCCTTCTTTCACCCCCGGAGGCTGCTTTCTTTTGGCGGACTTGACCTTCGCCACGCTACGCCATACCACGACACCGCCGATCCCCCCCTGACAACACGACAACACTACAGCCATCATCGTTACCTCTTCAGATGCTTCTCCAGCTCCCAGAAGAGCAGCTTTACCGCCATGGCGTCCCTGCCCTGCGCTCCTCCTGCCCCGGCCAGCCCCTTCTCTCTCATTGATGCTGTCAGGCTAAAACACACTCCGCTTTTAAAAAAAAGTAAAGTAAAAAAAAAAAACTCAGGGCCCACAAGACCCTTTACCACACACTCACAACCCCACCTAAAACACCCCAAAACGAACCCCAATGCCACTTCCAAAACTGCACCTCCTCCGTTCTGTCCCGCCTGACCTGCGCCCTTTGGTCCTGACCCCCTGCTCCCCTCAAAGATGGGAGCTTCACATCAGGGGAGCTTGGCCAACAAAAGACAACAGGATGGAGCCGTGTAGGACGGGTAAGGGCGCAGAACGGGGGCGCGTTAGTGTGCTAAGTCCTTCTGATTGCCCCCCTTTCTGAGCCGGAATCGCATATAGGCTCTCGAGTGATTGGGCGCACGGCGAGGGGGAGACAGGAGGGTGGGTTGTGATGTCACCGCATGAGGAGTCATGTCACCTCCCTTTCTGTTTGTTATATAAACTGTCAGCTGGGATTATGGTGATCCGTCCAATAGGATGAGCTACTTTTGACCACACACCCTCGTTAGCGCGCCCACAGGCCACTCCCTTCCTGCTCCTCATCCGCCCCCGTCTTTTGACGCTGATGGTGGATGCAGGAGAAACGGTACACGAATCTATATCAATACAAAGTGAAAGTCTGCAGATTCCAAAAGAAACGCTCGTCTCTTCGTTTTCTTGAGGAAAATGTGAATGTTGACCCGTGCATGCCTTTATCCGACCTGTCACCCCTGATCAGCAGATGCACACTGGGCATGCACACGATCCCAGCATGGCTCTCCAGTGGAGCGCGGCTCACGTGTACCGCCATGCTAGCACAGGGCTCCCATCACAGCCCTGAATAAAGACGATCAAAACAACACTGCTGCACTGCCCATGTGGCGCTAAAAACACTCAAAGCACCAACGCTGGGATGCAGAAGTACATGAAATAATGAATTATGGAATTTTTAGTGCGAATAGGGTTGTTGTTGAAGCTGTGGCGCACTTTTGTGGATCACAAAATGGCGGGCGAGAGGTGTGCAAAGAAAATTTGTTGGGGCGTTTCAACTTGGTGCATGCAGGGAAATTGTTAACCTCATTAGGGGAAGGTCACGTCTTCCTTTCTTGCCTGTAATGTATGTGTCACTAATCCACGAAAATCGTCGACGCCAGAAAATAAGAGCGGAGAAACACGACTCTAAAACTGCTCCCGCGTCCGCTCACGACTCGAGGAACCGTTTTTGATTGGCGCCGATGAACATTTCTGGGATTTGTTTACCGTGTACATACAGAACTTCCTGTCCTGTTTATCTGTACATTGTGTACTTTCAGGCTTGGGGTCAAAGTGCGCATGCCCGCCTGGAACAAAAGGCTAGAAACTCGTTCATTGACTTGGAGACAGCTTTACTTTCAGCCAATCGCTGACGGCACTGCGGGTTCCTTCCAGCCAGTGGCGAGCGGCCTTGGTGTCGTGACATCACAGATGAGATGCTTTCATTCATTATGTATCCTGGTCGGTCCTAAGCCTGTGTATGTTGCATGTGAAGAGCTGACCCATATATTACCTCACCACAATAGCACAGCTTAATGTATTTGGTGCCACGGTAAAGAGGTTAAAGTTTGATCTGATGTTGAATTAAAACCTTCCTGATTGGCTAGAGCAATTTGTTGATGTTCCAGAAAGCCATGAGCTAAGTAATGCGCTCTGTGCATGGCAAACTTTATATAAAACAATTAACAGGTGGAGCTAATTTTGCATCGTAACCCAAGGAGCGACTCCATCTTCCGCTTTATTCAAAATTGAGTTTTCCTGATGCAATTTGGACCAAAAAATGACAGGTATTCGTGCACATCCTCGCCACACCCTGCGCTGCTTACATAAGCGGCGGATGTGTGCAGGAATAAAAGGCAGGGAGCAGATGGTGCTCGCGTTGCCCACGCAGTTAAAAATATAAAGTTTCACTGCAAAAGCAGAGAGAGGGAGCTACATATGACAGAGTGACAGGGGCTCTGAGCTTGAGAACTGGGTCGAAAAGAAGACATATTTTGCACTTTTTAGGACATATATTCAATCTTTTGCATGGAGCATGTAAACAGAGGAAGGTGGAACTGTTGCATGCATCAAATAAAGCATCTTTTAGCTTTCATAAAACAATCTAAAAAGGTGTTGAGGCACCAAGCAGAGGCGGTGATATCTTAAAGACAAATCGAGCTAAAGGCCGTCTTGCTGTACATACACTTGAAGGCATCCCTCCTCAAGCACAAGCCTTCTTTCATCCCCTTAACAAAAGCATCCAGCTGAGTGTAAGTAACGCTTCCGCCTCACTTTATTGTGCGGTTTGAGTTAGGCCAGAGCTGGGCTCAGTTCAGGGAGCCATTCAGACCCTCGGGCTGCAGTGTGTGGTCCTGAGACGGATCCAACTCTGCTACAACTGTGCATTTCAGGAAAATCGGCAGCAGGGGAAGAGATTCCAGCTCATCTGAAGGCAAAATAACGCACAAAAACTGCATTACATCACGCCAGATAGAGAATTATTGGCTCCCATCCCTGTTATTTTTTACTCATTTGTGTGCTGCTCTGTGATTCGCCCAGCCTCCTCCTTTCTGCATCACTTGTCCTGAAGCAGTTGGGAGGCATGAGCTTTCGTGTGTCTGCGCGGGTCTGTGCGCCCCGTTTGTGTGCAGCGATTCAACGGGTGTTTGTGTGTGTGTGTGTGTGTGTGAGTGTGGCTATGTTTGCAAACTGGCGGAATCCGGTTCTGAGGGCTTTGAACTGGCATTTGCATGGAGGAGAACCAAGACCGACAGCAAGATCAACCCCGGCTGCACACGCTCAAAGAGACACCTCACTTCTGCAGAGAAAGTGATTATCAGCCAGATATAGAAATTGAGAGCCAAAGTAAAATAAAGGAAAGAATTTACAAGGGGACTGATAGTTATGTGATGAAATTTGCACCTGAAGCATCTAATCATTCTCACGATTTACAAGCTTTAACTGCTGCACGGAGGCAGCAATAAAATAAAACAGTCACCTCGTTTGCAAAGAGGGGGATAATCTCCATCTAAGCACAAACAAAACAAAGAGCACCAACGCCCCAAAACTCAGCTCTCATGGCATCACAGCGCTCCGGGGCAGCGGCTCACCGATGCGTAAGTGAATCGGTCTCCACCACGCACGCAACGCCTTACATAACCAGCCTCCTCTGCCATATGGGCCACGGAGGAGCAAGAGGAGGGAGACGGGGATGGAAGGAGGCCCGAGCGGCAACATCTCGACAGGCTCAGTGACATCGCAGACGGGCAGACAGGTCTTGTTTTGCTGATGGACGAGGGATTGACTTTCAGCGCCCTGACACATTCCATGTTCACTGGGCACATTTTGAACAGGGGTAAAAATAACAGGAGAAGGAATCAACATTCAGCAGGTACATGTATGAGAAGATTAAAAACTGGAAACTGGAATTCGGGGTATGAAGATATGCTTCAATAAAAGGAACAACGCCCATGATCATGACAAGAATATCACACATTGATACATGACTAGAAAACTACTGAATGATATTGATAACTGTTTCCATAGTTGGGTTTCTTTTGTTTGTTTGCACTATTATGCTACACAGAACACTGAATAAAATGTAGAAGAATAAGTGGTAGATTTAATCTGTTTCATTATCTGACTGCCACAAGAGAAGCTATTATGCAGATGTGATTTACTGTCAAAACAATTAAGGAGAAAATAACTTCCTCCTGCAATTTAGCAGCTAAATTTAGGAACTATTTCACAGTTTTCTTCAAAAGAACGAACAAAGGTGCAATAAATGCAAAGGCAGCATGCTCCATTTGCCTTAAACACCAGAGATTAAGAGGATCTCCCTCAATCTGGTAAAAACTACATCATAGATCTCATCTCCTTCTGCTCCAACTTCTGTCAGAAACCCTGAAATGCTTCTTTAAAATCTATTTGCAGTCGTAAAAGCATTTGTGCCCACCCACATAAATCATTTCCGCCCCCTTGTGACACATATCAAACAAACAAATTGGGACTCTAAACCCCCTTTCTGCAACTTTAATCCAAAACAACGTTATACAATCCAACGTTACACAATTCCGCAACATGAAAGCGTCACAGGAAGTTGTGTTGACAACCTCTGGTCACATGGGGACGCGCTTGCTGTTAGAGTGTTTACAGCGAGGGATCTTCTCTGCGGCGGCTGAGAAACTTTGCTAGAGGGTCTCTGCGGTGTGCGGACCCCACGCAGCGACCCGAGTGTGTTTAAACGGCAGGACGGGTCGAGGCCGTGACACTAAACCAACACATCTGGCTTCACGCAGAATTATGTGATTTTCACGGCTGTTTGCTGGGAAGTGTCACATTCGGGGGGGGATTACAGTTTCTCTGAGACAGGTAGTGGAGTGGTCACGTTACGGAGGATTAGCTCCACTTTTTACCCTTAAAGTCTTCCAAAAACAGACAAAATGAAACACTGAGAAAGGGAGTCTACCAAACAGATCAGATGGAAACACAAATCAACAATTTATCTGCAGAAATACGTGACAAGCATTGATTTAGTGCAATCCCACCTGCTTCTGATGCTCCAGTAAAAAGTTGGTTTGAACAGGTTCGATGAGCTGCAGCCACATGTGGCACAGGTGAATTAAAACAAAGGGAAGCCTGACCTTTTGATATCCTCCATTTTGTACATTTTTATGCAGCATTTACAACTTTTAAAAATCATTTTCTGATGTGTGTTTACTTTTTTTCCCTCTTAGTGTCTTTTACTTTGGATGCAAACTACTTAATTTTATCTTAATTCATTTACAACAACTGGACCATTCAAAGTGGGAACTTCATGGAGAGGTCTAGAAATGCCCCTCAAGAGAAGAAAAAAATAGACTCCTATTTTAATCAGAGAATTTCAGTTGATTTCATAAACATTAAAAAAAACACTTACTTGGGCTTTAAGCTACATGTACAAAGGATATAAGATATGCGATTAATTTGCGAATAATTGTGAGTTAACTACAGACAGTTGCTTAAATGCTCAGGATTAAAAACAGATTGGTTTTGATATCAATATGAGTTTAAAACTAATACATTAGAGATATTGGTAAAATCCAAAATGTTGCACCCTTTCCATTAATAACAGATGTGTGGATACAGACTGTGTCATTTTCCTTTAATAGTTGTCTGAGGTAGTCCTCGGGTTGTGTTAGTCGACATGGATAAGAAGCAAATGTATTGAACGGACATGTATCTTTCTCTATGATTTAACATATTAGGAGGTGTAAGGAGAGTTTGATGGACTTGAAGCACCTAAGAAAGCAGGCATGTGGTAATGAAATCCAAGTACCGCTCTCTGGTGCCTCGCGTCGTTTCATTCTCAGGAAACATTTACAGTGAGCAGAAAATACTCGGCAGTATATTCAGCTCCCACAGTGATCTCAGCGGGACTCTTTGAGGTGTTCTGGCAATAAATACTCAATGAAAAGATCTGAAGTATCAAATCCCTCTCCTGTGTAGCGCACTGACTTCACCTCTGTGAGAAAAGCCGGAGGGTGAGGTTGTATAAGAAGGAGATGGCGGGGAGAAAGAAAATAAAAGTGCAGGTGCCAGGGGAGCGTTTGTGACGCGACCAGTCAGAACCAGAAATGTGTCCTCTCCTCCTCTGCTCATGCTTTCCTTCTGCCTGCAAGGAGAATAACTTCCCTCGTGCTTAACACACATGTACACACCACCCTGACGGAGGGGGGGACTCATAAGCATGCGAGCCGACAAACATGCATGGACACATACTGCACCCTCTGCGGCCCGCTACTCTCTTCAAGAATCTGCAGCTCGGCGTGGAGGCACAAGGCGAGCAAACGTGACACCCACTTGTCTGCTCTGGCTCTGCAGCAGCACCCCCTTTTGAGCCCCCTCCCCATCCTCCACTCTGTCCATACTGCCTCAAACTGAATCTCTCAGAGCGGGATGATGTGATCTGGATGCATTAAGAGCACATCATGAGGAATGACAGCAGTGCCTCTTGAGTTTTAGCTGCACGGGGACAAAAACATGATGGTGCCTGAGCATTAGACGCATAAATTAAAGGACTCAGACCATCTATATGCAGAGATGATTTTCATTTTTAAATAAGAATACGCATCAAATAAAACATAGAATTAATCTTTTCTGATCAACAGTGTGATCTCAATTCTTGTGCACACACCAGACCTGCACAATATGATCCACAAGTGTTTTTTGCATTAATCTGAGAGTAATTTTCCCATATTTATACATACATATGAGATTCCAAACCACAATCAATGAGCAAACTTGCAGATAATCTCGTATTTTTGAGTACGTAGGAACTCTGCAGCCGTTAATCATTAAGAGAAAGGTTCAACTGTACGCTCCTTCTGTTTATGCAGCGATTGAGATCCGACTTCTTGTGCTAAACGTGAACTTTCTCTTACTGTTTTCAGGTTTATGTGCAGCTGGCTGCTGACACTGTCGTTCTGCAGTCTTGACTGATTTGCAAAATCATTGACGAACCTTGTACACCGGCAGATTCCCTGTACTTCTGAAATAACGGTATCAGCTGCTGGAAAATCCACACTGGTCAAGCATTTATACCTATGAAAGGACCCTTAATGGAACAGGAAGAGAGCCATACTGTCAAACCTTTGATGAGTAACAGAGATTAGAAAGAAATAAAACAATCACAATAAAAATCAAATTTTTAGACTTTTAGAAACTTTTTAAGGCCCAAACAAAAAAAAGGTTAAACCATATTTGCAATATGAGCTGGTAATTTGAGTGTGGAATACTCCCGTCACTTCTAAAATCAACTATGAAGCTGCATTCAAAATCAAAATGTAAAGGCTTTTTTTTGTATTTTTCGCAAGTTGCCCATTATTTATCATGTCCTCTTCCTCCTTGAAGCCTTATCTTCTCTTCTCTTCTCTTCTCTTCAGCAGTGTCAACAAAGTGTCCTCCACACTATGCAGACAGTCTGACTCATTTATCGGTCATTCAGACGGACTGACACTAACTCCATCCCTAAAAATAAGCCCACCTGCTGTGTCACAAACCCACTGAAAGGAAATCTAATGTCAATGACTGTCCCACTGGGATGCTCTGCAGCCAGAAAACGCTGATGAGAGGACACACACACACACACACACACACACGTCCATCTCCAACTGATCCTCTCATTTGTTTGGGATTGAAACATTGCGTGCAGGAAGGACATTTCCACTTTGCTGGAAGGCACATTTTAGGTCACTTATACTCTAAACACGTCACAGTTATATAAACAACCGTTCAACAGGCAGGGGGATTTGTGTGCCAACACCGCCATCTAGTGGGATAACAGAGATATGACACAGTGAGAAAAGAATGACAGTAAATCTCTCTGCTGAAGCGTGCTTTTAGTGTCACATCTATTTAACAGGAAAATGAGTTTATGAGCTTCCAGGTGTGATTTATCGCTCATGACGGGCAGACGTTACCACCCAAGAAATAAAAGAGAAGGAATCCACCATGTAGGAGTAGCAGCATGTCAGGCTGAAAACCTTGACGGTGAACTTTCAGATTCTGCATGCATGACGTACTCAGAGGCCGATCATTAGAGACAGACAGTTCCCACGGACGCACAGCTGTTTCTTCTCTCCAGATAAGCACCTGGGGTTTACTGTGATCCGTATCAGGCTGCCGTCAGATAACAGCAGCACACAGGCCGGCAGAAAAGTCTTAATGGCTTTAGAGTTCATTCCCCCCCTATAGGAGAATTATGAAAAACAAACAAGAAACGTACCAGTGATTCAAGAACGAAATGTGCTGCACGTTTTCTCAAAGTGGCGTCAGAGGGGAAATTGTTTTGGATGTGATTTGCAGAGACGAGCCATGCACAGAAACGCTCTTTACATATGTTTCACTCCACATGTTGAACTACTTAACAGTCAAGTTTTTCCCTTCAGACGTGATTTATAACAAAGTTTTACGGTCATTTTGGTTAAAAGAACACGACTTTACAAATACAGAAGCAGAAATGAGTCCAAGACGGTATAGGAGACCGCTGAGAGATGATTTTCTGAGGTAAATGATGGACTTTGTGCTGGGTTAAGAAAGCTGGGTTTGTCCAGATGGGATAGGCAGGCAAGTGTAGCAGAAATCAGAACATACGAAGCCACGAAGAAGATAAGAGTCGTCATAGAGATCTAGAAACTTCCTCCCGTTTGTGTCACTTTTGGCGGCCCCTCTAAAAACAGACATTTTTTAAAAGGCTGTTTAGTCAACGTTTCCTCTGACACCTACCCTCTCACAAGTATAGACACTGCCAATCTTGTTTTCATGGTCTCATTTGCTTCTTTAGGTCATTTAATTTCTAATCTTCTTCATTACCAGCCCAAAACTCTTAACAGGAGCTTTAATGACAAGAAAGAAAAGACCCATCACAGATCATACCTTTATTTTTATCCCCATTTCAGGTCTGATAACTGAGTCAAAGTAAACCTAAAATAGTTTATTCCACATGCAATTTGGAGTTATTTTAGCACTGACGAATGGGACTATTTATGACTTCGTTATGAGTCATTTCTGTGTATTTACCCTGCGCACTTGTTCCAGACGTTCCTATCTCGGGGTGTGTAAGTCTGTTCTTAACATGACTCATTTCTTTCATTCCTAAAAGTGTTCTCGATGTTCAATCTGTCGAAACATCAAACAAGAAACCATCCCCTTCTTTTCGTGGACCCCGACACTTTCTCATTTCTCGACTCCATAAATCCTCAAAGTCTCCCATTTCATTTTGACAACAGCTCCAAGCTTTTGTCAGAGTTTGCCAACAGGAACTCTCCCTGCCTCATAAAAAAACACTCAGCTCTGAAAGGCGTTGAGTCAATATAACAACATGAATTATGACGATTGAAAGCTGATGTAACTCCTGTGCTTGACAGACCAGCTTTGTGCTCACAAACACATACATGACAGATTGAGAGGCTCGTAAAAACAGAGCGGCTCTCCGGCACAAACTGAAAGCTGCCCAAATCTTTGACAAGATCCTAATGTGAGAACTTATTGACTGATACTTGCAGTGCCTGGAAATCCCAAAATAAAAAAAGGTCAGCTGGGAAAGCTTGCCAACATGTTGCAGAGGCTTTAATCTGCGACTGATCATGTGCTGTATTAAAATAGGGACTGATGTTTGGGAGTCGCGAAATGGTTTGCTGCTTTTAAAGGAAAGACGAGCCTCCTCCAAGAGTTTGAAGTACGTTTTCAAACGGGCTCACGAGCAGAAAGTGCATCTCTGGAAACTTTCTTTTCCAAACAAGACGCTTTTTTATGCGCTTTTTCATTCCAGCTATGAACTTGTGATTGCTCCTTTAAACCGCAGAACACGTGTTTACTCCTTTTAAAAAGGCAGTTAAACGGTGGAAAAATCCTCAAATCTGAAAAAAGGGTTTGCCAAAAGTGAAGAGCGATGGCGTGTGCAGCTTTTTACGAGCAAATAGGTTGCACGTTCACTTTTACACGACTCCACACCTTATAAAACCCTCAATGACACTTCGTCTTTGGCATTTAATTGGGTGTGAGATGCATATTCCAACTGTGTTATGTATAATACATGCATGTTGCATTCATTTTTGCACTGTTGAAGGACATTCTTAAGATTCTGGGGCTAAAATGTGTTGACTTAAGGAAACAAAATGGTTCTGGTTTAGTGAATCTTTCCAAAATAAAGCTGTAAAACTCGAGTTTTTCAGCACAGCCATGTATTTATCAGCCTTACCAAAGCATGCAGCTCTGGAATTAAGAGACACAGACTATGCTGTACCTCTGCTGCCTTAATGAAAATTTGACACAGTTCCTGCATTTACAGCCCTGCAGCCCTCGTAATTCAGTTCAAAGCTACAAAGAGGGCATACGACAGATGACAGGTGCGTTTTGAACTCAGAGTGTGTGTATTCCTCATACTGCAAACTGGCTGCGCTCCAAAAGTCAAATTACACCAGCAGCACTGACCTGCAGGCTGAAATTCCACCCGGGGAGGCGCGGGGGCTTGGTGAAAGCCCTGATTCATATCGCCGTCCCTTACAGCACTCTCGCTGATGTGGAGTTCACTGATAGATATACAAACAGACAGCAAGCAGGTGAATAGGAATGAGCAGGATCCAAAGAACATACCCTCTCAACACCCCTGGGTTATCACACTACAACGGTCACGCACAAAGCTGCGTGTGGAGATCAGGTTTTAAAAGTCGTGACAGCTACGGCTTGAAAAGCGGAAGATAAATACAGCTGATTGGAGCTGCTGGAACTCTTTGTTCATTAAGCATTCAGACGAAAAGAAAGAGTGATATTTCTCAATTATTTTCAATCAGCTTCAGATCTCTTGTCGAGGGTCAAACTGAGTCCACTGGCTCAACAGAACATAAATCAGCACTACTTTGATCACCAATTAATGTCATGGGTCGTTTTTCAAGCGTTAACACGTGTAAAAGGATCATCAAAGATTAGGACATGCCCACCATCTTCAAAACAAGAGAAATCCATCCTCAAACATAGACACATACTCATATAGTTGACATGCACAGACAAAGCACTCAAACTGCTGGCCAAACAGCCTATCAGCTGTGCATACCGAGTATAAAACTCCAACGACTGCATTTCAAAAGCTTTCCCATGAGCTGCTGGTGTTTTGTATAAAGCTGTGTATCAGTTTATTTGAGGAGCAGCACATTCTGTCTCCCATCATGTCAGATTAAGCACGCAGCACTCTGCAAAGACGGTAAAGGCAAAGACAAAGTCACATTCAGGAACTCTTTCAAACCAGTTTAAGCTTTTATGAAATCAACTGAAATTTATATTTATGCTTTTTGGATAAATTTTAAAAAATGCTAACTAAACAAAAAGTGATACAACTGATTATTTTCACATGGCAACTTTAATGCCTGAAACTAATGCCAGGGGGTAGATGTCAGCCCAGCAGCTGAAGAAACGTATAATGTTTCTATAGTTACGACTGTAATATGGCTGTCAGGAGTTAAAAGAATGAGATTGTCACAGCATGTAGAGGACATGATAAACGAAGACTGCTTTGCTTATTTTAGAGGTGCCAAAATTACTACAAAGAGAAAGTTCCTTACAGGAGCTTTAACTTCTGAGCTGAGCTAAACTCTCTGTGACTAAGTGTACTTCTCGACGTCAAAATTCACGTTTAATACTGATTAGACTTGAGGCCAAATTTCACATTGCAAATCTACTTAAAAAGGCACTTTGGCTGTTGATATTACTGTAATTGTCGGTGACTTCTAAAAAGTCTTAACAGTAAACTTCCATATTGCCCACCCCTATTTTAATGTTATACATTTGATCGTTTTCTTCGTGTCATTTTAAAGTGAATATCTTTAAGGTTTTGGACAGCTGGTGTTAGACAGCTGTTGCATTACATACATTATGAATTTATCTATATATTATGAATATAAAAGAAGAATAAGCCTTTAATCCTTAATGGCCTCTGTAAACACAGCACTCTGCTTCAAATAATCAATACAAAAAGCATTCACAGTGGGTGTTAAATTGCTTCTCTGGAGTCTACATTAAAGCCTCTTGCTTTAGATATGAGAAGAATCAATAATACTGTTGCAATGCAGATGTAAACAGGAGAAAATGTCTGATGATACGGGGTAAAACCTATCGACTTCAGCTTTGAGCAAACACTGCATGCATGCAGACAAAAAAGAGAGAGATATAAGGAAGAAGAGAATAAAGAAGAGGAGTAAAACCGTCTGAAATGATGCACTGCAGAAGGAAAGAAAGCAGAGTTAAAGGAAAAGAAAGTGGCTAAGAGAAAACAAACAATAGAAGACGGAGAGAAATCGCAGCATGACATGAGCTGGACTATACACAAAGCAGACACACACACATACACATGAACAGTCTGCAGGACAGTGGCTGATTCACTGCATGCCTGAAACAGACAGAAAGATAGAAACATTCTCACAAAAAAGGCACGCACACACACGTGCTCTTACAGTCATGATAGGGTGCCACAGACTGCTGACAAAAGCCTCCACACAGTGAACAGCTCTGCTCTGTCTGCAGCTGAATATGACTAAGACTATGTCAACAAGAAAGCAGCAGTTGTTGCACCCCTGTGTTGCAAAGTTCCTCGAGTTCAGACAGAATCGGAACAGCTGAAAACACACGAACAGTTAGAATCTCCTGTGTTTTGAACTTTCTGCTGCTTTTGCTGTTTTTACTTTTTGAATTCGTTGCTAACAGCTAAATAAAAGCAACAGCGCCAATGGAACGAGTTTCTATTTCAGTTACGGGTGCAGGGTGAGGCTGACAGAGTCCCTCCGTCCCCTGCGGGCATTATTGTTGAACTCACAACATGAATCACCTGCTAAACCAGAACACGGGACAGTGCTGTGGTAACACTAGCCTGCTGCCATGACAGTGCTCCACTTCTTTGCAGGCAGGGTTTATCTGATTAATGCAACACAGCTCCTGATTCTGTCCTCTCAGACTCAGAAAGAAAGTCCAACACTGTAACTTCAAATAGGGCATGAGAGGATTTCTCTTTTTCCAGGACATCGTCTCTTTTTAGAGCAATCATGGAGGTTTTTTATAGAAACCACCTGCAGCTGAATTGACCATTTTTGAGCAACATAGAATTGAGTAATTGTGCACAATAAATAAACCATTTCATTGATCCTTCAGGGTGGAACAAGTCATCAGGTTTGGTGTCTAGCAACAGAAGTGAACTCTGAACAAAGGAGAGGGATAGCGTGAGGAAAATGTAGCCTTACTGACACGAAGAGGCCTGATCTAACAGAAGAAGATGTGAGATGTAAGGGTGGGGTGGGGGGTTCGATGGGGGCAGAGCAACTGCTGAGTCATCCGGCGCCTTCAGTGACTCAGCAGCTCGTCTTCCATAACAGCTACTGATATTTTTACAACAGCAACGTCCAGTGAGCTTTTTTCACCCGCTGCCTCATGGAGGCTGACAGAAAGTGACCTCAGGGGAGTGAGCCAATGTGACATTGGATTTCTGGATCTGAATGGAACAGAGTGGTGTTACAAGCACAGATATACAACACCTATTCCAAAAGAGCTGGGACACTGTGGGAAATATTCAGAAACAAATTTTGGCAAAGTGCTGAAACAATGTCTCACATGTTGAAACTGAAAAATGTGATTGTTTTATCAAATGCATATGCTAGTTTTAAATGTGAAGCAGGCGACATGGATGGGGACAACCAAACTGAAAAATGTGTCTAATGCTTATGAACACTGGAGGAACATCTCCCAGTTATGTAGGTTCATTTGCAACAGATTAGTAACATGACATGGTATAAACAGGAGTAAAAGATGGGAAAGGCCCCCAGAGAGAGAGAGACTGTGAGAGGTAAAAGTTCAACTATTTTAGAGTAATGTTTCTCAGCATAAAACTCTGGTCATAACATCATCAAAACATTCTGAGAAGCAGCACTACATCAAAAATAAGCTTGATTTTGCAGTGTAGGTCACCACATGGGTTTAAAATCACTAAAGGAAAAATAAAACTGTTCTGTGGTCTTGCAATTCTTTTTGGAAATTATGGACACTCTGTTCCCTGCTACAAGGAGATAAGGGACGACTTAGCTTGTTATCAGTGTAATGTTCAAAAGCCAGCATCCCTGATGGTATAGGCATCTATTAGAGCGTCTTGCATAGGTAGCATACACATCTGAAGAAAGAGCATTAATACTAAACAATACAGGTTTTAGAGGAACGTATACTGCCTTTTTTAAGGGTGACCAAAACTATCAAGCAGCTGCAATTCTATACCAGACAAGAATGGGATAAGGTTTAATCATGTTGCCAAATGGTGAACCCTGTGACCTCCTGCATTAAGAGCACACATATAATAATAAACCACATTTTATGGCTTTTAAACCTCCATCTGCAAAACAAAGATCATGACAGATTTGACAAACTGGGAGCATGTCATTCTTTCTCACCTGTCTTCCTCTCCTTCAGCATGCTGGCCTCTGAGTCCAGCAGCAGCGGCCACCATGAAAGCACTAGCCTCAGCAGACATCCCCATATGGGCCAAAGATCCAGCAGTGACACCAGCCTCTGCAGCTCCATCTCCACCTGCTGCTCCCATCCCCAGCCTGGGAAAACCCAGCAGGCCTTGGTGCTGCAGCAGAAGCTTCTGAGCATCCTCCAGATGAGAGGTTTTCATTGAGCTTCCTCCTCCTGGGGCGTTGGTGAATGTTGCACCAGGGGTGAAGAGAGGCTGAAGGACAGCTGGAAGAGGCATGTAGGGGTTCCCATGGCTGGGTGCTACTGGAACTGTGGCAGCGGCGGAGGGCTGGACTTGTGGATGTGGATGAGGTGGGAGGCCTTGTGGCTGTCCGGTGAAAGTTCCCTGTGCAGGTGGAGCCACCTGGCCCTGGGGCAGCTGCTGGGTAATGCTGAGAGCTGGCTGGGCTGTGACCCCTGGGACAGGTGTAATAGGAATTCCTGTTGAAACATGTGGCGGATGCTGAACCTGGGTTTGGAAGGGAGCAGTGGGCTGGATGAAGTCTGGTTGTCGGACACTACCAGGGGCCATGACTCCTGCATGGAGCTGAGGAGCAGGATAGCCCCCTTGGGGTGCCGCCTGATGGGGATCCACAGCGTAGGGCAGCTGCTGAGGGATTACTGCTTGGGGAGGCTGATTTACACCAGTCGGAGGTGTCGCTGTAGGTAGAGGAGCTACTGGTTTTTGCATGTGTGACACACCAACTATCTCTTGGGGTGAAATATAGGACAGAGGAGTGGTTTGGGCCATCCCTTGCGGAGGGCTTTGCATGGCTTGTGGACTAGTGAAGTCCTGGCTTGGTGTCTGGTATGGCTGCAGTGTGTGAGGCGGCTGCACAGCAGGTAACCCCTGATTAATCCCAGCATTACCTGCCTCAGTCTCTGCAGCCATCTCTGCTCCTTTTGGTGCCTCAGCTGTTGTCGGATGAGGAATCTCCTTTTCATAATATTCCGTACAAGTCCATCTTCCTTTGCGGAACGGTTCAGAGTTAGTGTCTAGCTTGACCACCCTGAAACGAGAGCCTGTGGCTGTCTGAGTTTGGGTGGGCTGGGTTTGAGTGTTTGGAGCAGCAGCAGAAGGAGCAGACAGGCCTGTTCCACCTCCTGGCCCGCTCACACTACTGTTGTCAAAACCTGCAGGCCCAGAAGGAGGAACAGCAGCAGCAGCAGCAGCAGCAGCAGCAGGGGCAGCAGACATATTAGAAATGTTCATACCGCCTTGTAGTTGCGGATCAGTGGCTGTGACACCAACAATAGGGGCTAAAGGTTGAGTTGTCACACCTGCAGATTTAGTGTTATCCAACAGAGGCGGCCTCTGTGACTGGCTGGGCCCAGTTTTCATAGCTGGGCTTGACGTAGCCAAAGGTGCAATTGGAAGAGCTGGTTCACCTCCCCCCAGGCTATCAGAGTGATGATGGTGGGATTGGCTGTGTTGCTGAGGATAGTAATGATGAGGCAGGGTCCCGTTAACCATAGAAGTGTGCTGCTGGGACCCCTGAGGGATGGAATGAGGGTGAAGAGGCTCATTGGGTGACACTAATCCTGGTGTATCAACCCCATGGAGACTGTTCAACGTCTCATCAGAGGAGCTTCTCTCTGGCACACCTGTATCCGTCGCCTTGGAGACAGAAACATCCAGTATATCAGAGGAGGAGAGGTCTTCCGTGTGGGACTCATCCATGTCATCATAGCTCTCTGTGTCATCTGCTAAACTGTTGTTGCCACTAACATTGATCTGAGCTGAGGTGACGCTTGTTATCTGAAAGCCACTCTTCTTCTTCACCTGAGCACCAGTCGCTTGGGACTGCTGCTGCTGGTGATGGAGTCCGGGAGACGAGGATCCAGCCTGGGTTGCACTGTCGTCAACCGAGCTCACGCCACCTCCAGCGGCTGCAGATGCACCACTACTGCCCCTCCTGAAGTGGAACGACGATTTCCTACTCCCAGTCCCAGGAGGGTCTCCAGAAAAGTCCTGGTGGTGCATTTTATGATCTTTAAGGAGTTAGCAAAGGCCAAGAAGTGACAAGCTAACAGATGCTAGCTAGCTCGGTCGGCTGCAGTACCGCGATACTAAGGAGCCATAAGTGAGAAGTCAGATGATTTATGTCCTTTGAAATCAAGTTCAGACCCCAGAGCCAGACAGATAGCTTATAAAGGCTTTCCTCTTTGTTAATGGGAGTGTCAATGAAACGCCATCGAAGTGAACACACTGAAGCAAATAAAATAAACAAAGAAAGCGAGAATTCAGTTAGCCGCTGGTTAGCTTGACGCTGTTTTGGATTAGCTACGGTCTCGTAAAACTTGGCGTAAATTTCCACAGCTTTTGTACCTGCTTTTAGTGTCACAAGTGAGTGAAAATAAAGAAATCCTGTCCCGAATTGCTAAAGTGCACCCAGGTAGTGTTTAAAGTGACTGTGAACCCATCTTAGCTGGCCGGTGTGTGTCGCAGAAACCAACCGCCGCATCCATTGCTCTCCCGGGCGTCGAGTCTCCTTTGCCCCTGAAGCAAAATGACGAACCTTTCGAGGTTTGAACTCCGTCTGGTTTCAAAAGACAGCGTCGTCAGAGTAATATCCGTCTTTGTAGTGGTGAAAAGTGCCCATTAAGTCCATTTCGGTGTGTTTAACCGAGTCAGTGTTTGCTGTATCATTGCCGGTGACCAGCGGCAGTTAACGGGCTGTCAGTCTCAGAGGGAGGGAGGAGGAATGCAAACAGTGAGACTGCGCATGCGCGTGTCTGTCCGTTTCCTTAGACTGGTGAGACGTTCAGGAACAACTGTATAGTCGGAATGCACACATTCCTTACGTTCAAATGCAATGCATTGTACAAAAAAATTCAGAAAATAGTGCTGTTACAGTCTTTCTAAAGTGCACTTCTTTTTTTCGTTTATTTTCTAGTTAAATGAAGGGTTTAAACCTATACACTGCTTAAATCTATTGTTACTGTCCATGGCTCCTCTATAAACTTACTGAGTTGACTTAAAACTAGCCTTCAGTCAATTTGTGAAACTATATCTTCCTAAAACATTTTTATTTTACCTTGTTTTCAAAAGATAACACACAGACCGAATTACAATCTCTTCATTAGTTCAATTCGTACATATACGAGGTACAATTTACTACGTAACGACATTTACTAAGCTCTTGAAGGCACCGCCAGACTCGGGGGCTGTGTTTATTTATTTTCTTGGAAACCACTGTTTGGGAAGTGCTACTATTCGCCAGCTGTAATAACTGTCTAAAATTGATTGATGTCTATGAAGCTACTCTAAATAAAGGTATTTTCCATGTTAACTGTGCTCATTATTGATAATTATAAGCGAGTTGCAACCATGTCTTATACTGTATACATCTCACATGGATAATTTAGGGACATTTAACTGTCCCAAGTTCAGTTTATTGCATTTTTGAAAACTTTCACACTAAATTTTCTGTAACAACATTTCTTTTATTGGATGGGATCGAAGGCTATCAGTGCAGACAGCATACCAAGCAAAACAAGTACTGAGATGATCCCTGGTCTCTTTGAAGGCCAGCTTGTTCTTCCTGTTAAAACACAGTTCAATCAAGCTCTATGCAGATACTCCTATACAAACTAAACACCTTAGTAAACCCCATGGAGTTTGATCTGTTTCTGCCCTCTGGCAGCAAGATCATGTGTTGAACATATAGAGACAGGAATGACTGATGTGCTGCCAGATTAGAGAGGGGAAGAGTTGAGGCACGCCTGTAAGAGCACTTCCAACATGTCAGCATCATGGCTATTCATACACACATCACATGCACCTGAAGGGGAGGGCGGGCTCTGGGAAAGTTCCACTCTGAAGTCTGATTCCAAAGGTTGCATAATGTTGAAACTGCAGAAGGTAAATAGAGAGATGTAAGCCATGCTTTTCTGTAAACGTTCAACCTGAAGGTCCAGAGTGTTCCTAAGCAGCAACAGTCTCTGCTGATAAGACGTTTAGGCAGTGTTTGGAGAGATATGTCATTTCTGCACAAGTTTAACTAAGCAATCTGTACAAAGTTTGTAAACAAAGACCACTTGGATAAAAATGTATAACAGATATGGAAAAACTCAGATACATCAAAATTCAGCTTGACTGAAAACAACAACAACAACAACAAAAAACATCATGTATGAAGAAAAGTCACCATAAACCATCAAGGCTACTGAGTAATAAATGCATAGGCCAAAGTTATTTGAAACACATAAGAGACAGTTTTCATGTCTGTTAACAGAGATGGTTAAGTAAAAAAAACAAAAACTGAAAACATTACATAATTCAATTTAAAGCTCCTACAAGAAATGTTTTGTTTGTGTTGGTTCTGACACCTCATGTGGTCAAAGCAGTCTTTGCTTACCTCGTCCTCTACATGCTGAAGTAGATCAGTCCTTCATAAATATGAAACAAACAAAAAAAAAACATTTCAATTTCTGTTGAATAAAGCAGCCCCTGCAGCACCTTGTATCACTTTGATGAGTTTGCAAAGTGCTTATACAATGTTAAACAAAAAAATATTATGTCCCCGTCTGAAACAGTCAAGTGTATGACATTGTGGTGAAAAATGCTGCAAAAAAAGCTGTTTCTGCAGTGTGCTGTTAAAGCTCCTGTGAGGGACTTTGTTAGTGTTGATTTTGGCACCCCCAGCGGACCAAAATAAAACCTAACCTACCACTACCTTCTCTGAAATGTGCATGTTTTTTTCAGTGACAAAAATGATGCAAATGTGTCCGTCACCATAAATCTTAATTAAGGAAATTTTTAAAATTGGCCGTATCTCTGCCATGGTTTTGTTTGTTTTTGTAGGTTTTTAAGAGCCCTTACAGTTCATTTTAGTCTGTTTTTATTAAAAACACCTCACAAGAACTTTAATTTGCTTCAGTGACATCTACCCCGCAGCAGCTGTTTCAGATATTTAAAATATCTACATAGAAATAATCAGTCTTCATGCTGATGGTCTTATCTTCTGTAACTCATGAAGCAGGATCAGTATTAATTTCATTGAATTTAATCACTTGGAGCTTTAATGACACAAATAGTCAATTTAAGACAGCTGTACACATTTACTTTTTTTAATCTTATACTAAATTGACATTACTGCAAATAAAGCATTTCATTATAAGTGATTGAAATAATTGTCTAAAAAAATAATCTTTGCTGAACATAATTGCCTTACTTACCCCTTACTTACTCAAAGTACCAAATCAGATTTTTATAGGTCTGTATTTGTGTCCACCAAAACTCCATCTCAGCTTATAAATGAAGAGAGTCCAGACCCATCAAAATGGCTTCCTCTTCCCAAAGCGATTTCAGGACTGGGACAGGCCTGACTCTCTCAACTTAAGTTTGTAGATTTTTACTTTGGGATGTCTGCAACACAGGAGAAAATATTTCAGACATTTCAGACAAAGTCTTTACAGGACATAACTATCATAACTCCCACATCTGCTTTATGTCTCCGCTATATATTTACATTTTCCTAAAGCACACAGAGGCCTTATTATGGAAACAGAGACATGACATTTACGGCCCACTGTGACGGAGTGTTTTGACAGGGGGGAGCTCTTAAAGTGAAACAACACTCAACATGTCTTCTGTGTGTCACACAGAAGACATGTTCAGTGTTGCACTTGTTTTCTGACTGTCCATCCATCCATCCCTTTGTCCATCTTCAACCGCTTATCAGGGGTCAAGTCACGGGGGCAGCAGCCTGAGCAGAGAAGCCCAGACTTCCCTCTCCCCAGCCACTTCATCCAGCTCTTCCCAGGGGACCCTGAGGCATTCCCAGGATACACTGGAGACATAGTCTCTCCTGGGTCTTCCCTGCGGTCTCCTACTGGTGGGATGGGCCCTGAACACCTCACCAGCAAGGCGTCCAAGTGGTATCCTAATTAGATGTCCAAGCCACCTCATCTGACTCCTCTCAATGTGGAGGGGTGGCGGCTCTATTCTGACCAAGACCAAGCTCCTGCACCAGTCCAACAGGGAACAAACAGCCCTTGCCAGGGTGTCAGGTACGCCATACTCCCGGAGCACCCCCCACAGGACTCCCCAAGGGACATGGTCGAATGTCTTCTCCAAGTCCACAAAACAGGTTAAGTGGTTGGGCAAACTCCCATGCTCCCCTGAGAATCCTGCTGAGAGTGTAGAGCTGGTCCACAGTTCCATGACCAGGGCGAAAACCGCATTGCTCCTCCTGGATCTGAGGTTCGACTATCCGGTGGACCCTCCACTTCAGGACCCCTGAATAGATCTTTCCAGAGTAGAGGAGAGTCCAGCTCCTCTTGGGAGGGCTGGTTGCAGAGTCCATGCTAAGTGTGGACATTAGTCTGACTATATCCAGATGGAACTTCTCCACCACCATATACCTGGAACTTGCCTCTGCAGCCGAGGATCGGACTGCCAAGGTTTCCGACCTCAGCTGCTGCTAAACTCACATTGCACCTGACCCCTTTGGCTCCTCCCATGGGTAGTGAGCCCATGGGAAGGGGGTCCCCAATTCCTCTAAGGGGCTGGTCACTGGACAAGGGGGAATGAGTGCCCACTATTATATCTGTCATAAGGGGTCTGTTTTCTGACAGCCACACTTAAAAAAAAGAGTCATGAGTTGATTACAATGGTTATTTGTTGGCCCTAGGTACAGTGTATCAGAAGACTCACAAAGCGATGGATGAAATAAGAAGTTTCAAGTGACCTTTGGACACACTGGCTGTGTCTCATTTCAGAGACCGCATCGGGATAAGCGCGCTTAACTGCGCTTAGCTGAGTGCACTGCCGTTTTGCGCCGTTATGTACCCTTCCTGTGTCCCATTTCAGAGACCGCAACCATCGAACGGCGCATCTGAAGCGTGCGTGAGGTCATCACGCAGCACGAACGGTGTCCCTTTTGGCACAAAATACTAAGCGCACTTCAAATTCGGTCTCAAAACCACACTACCCCCGGCCCTTTTTCAAGCGTGCACATATGCACGCTTTCGTGCCGTCGGTATCCCAGAATTCTTTGCGTGCCGCTGCACAGCTTCGCAATTCGGGTGAGAGGCTGGACTCGGAGACTTTGTTAAAATTAGGGCCATGAAGCATTTGAAGGAACTGTGCTTCAGTATAGGTTTCACAAACAAGGAGATACTTCATTATCTGGCACATCAGCATCACATTGTCATAAGTATAAAGACTTAAAAAAAAGAATATATGAGAAATACGTCTTTTTCACAGGGAAAAAAAATGGTGTACTTGAAGGAAATCGCTGCTTTTGTGGAGGCAGAAATGAATATGCTGAGGATATATCCGTTTATGCAGCCGTAAATATCCGTGAATGACATTGAGCTTTAATTTATGATATGAATCCATATGCCATAATAAGGTGTTGGTGCTCTGCAGGTGTAGGCTACCGCCGGTGTCAGAGACGTGGTGCTCGTCTGAGCTCGACTCCCTCTGGATCACAAATGTTGATCATCATCAGTTTGATTGTTTCTTGGACCGCATGGACCATGGACTACCTCACCGACAGACCTAAGTTTGTGAGGCTTCAGAACTGTGTATCGGACATGGTGGTCTGCAGCACGGGGGCTCCACAGGGGACAGTGCTCTCCCCCTTCCTCTTCACCCTGTACACCTCAGACTTCAGCTACAACTCTGGGAGCTGTCACCTTCAGAAGTTCTCTGATGACACAGCCATCGTCGGATGTGTATCGTCAGGGGATGAGCGGGAATACAGGACTGTCATCACTGACTTTGTCAACTGGTGTGGCACAAACCACCTCCAGCTCAACGCCAGTAAGACAAAGGAGATGGTTGTGGATTTCCGCAGGAGGGGGACACCTCAAACAGTTCCAGTGAACATACAGGGTCTGGACATCGAGATGGTGGAGTCCTACAGATTCCTGGGTGTCCACCTCAACAACAAACTGGACTGGTCAACAAACACAGACGTTCTGTACAAGAAGGGCCAAAGTCGTCTCCACCTGCTGAGGAGACTGAGGTCCTTTGGAGTGTGCAGGACTCTGCTCAGGACTTTCTATGACTCTGTGGTAGCATCTGCACTTTTCTATGCAGTGGTCTGCTGGGGGGCAGGGAGCACCGAGAGGGACAGGAAGAGACTGAATAGACTGGTCAGGAGGGCCGGTTCTGTCCTGGACTGCTCTTTGGACTCCCTGGAGGAGGTGGGTGAGAGGAGGATGTTAACAAAGCTTGTATCCATCACGGACAATCCCTCTCACCCACTGCACCAGACTGTGGGGGCTTTAGGCAGCTCCTTCAGCAGCAGACTGAGACTCCCACCCTGCAGGACGGAGCGCTACCGCAGATCATTCCTCCCCTCTGCAATAAGACTTTACAATGAACAGTAACAAAACTGATTTTACACCACCACTTTTTTTATGGCATTTAAATTGTGTATATTGTAGAAAGCTTTATTTTTTCTTCTCCCTTTTCTAATTTTTTTCTTAATTATTACATTTATTTAAGTTCTTAATATTAGGACCCTTATTGTTATAACTGCATTTTTGCACTTTTTGTCTTGTCTGTGATGCTGCTGTGACAAAAAAATTTCCCCCATGGGGGATCAATAAAGGACTATTCTATTCTATTCTTCTGACAGAAACCACAATATCTCTCTAAATGACCCGCTGATACATCCACAGATTACCCTGCAGATGACCAGCTTCAGTCATTTCCACCTCCACAAAAGCAGCTTTATGGCTTTATATACTTTATGACTTTATTCTCCTAAATTTACAACTTTAATCTCTAAATCTTAAAAGAAAAAAAAAAACTCAACGTTGTCCTGATCCTCTGCTGTAGTTTTGTCAGCTTTCTTGTTTCTAATGTTTTTGATAGTTGTAGCAGAGCGGATCAGTTCGTCTCTAAATCTATAATGTTTGATTTACATATTTTAGTGAGTTCAGAGATCATGCTCTCATACAGCCTGAGCTGACTGTCTGCTGTTTTTGGATTTCTTGTATTTTCTTTGAAGACGCGCTGTGTCTCCAAGCGAGTCCAGCCTCTCATCTGAAATGCGCAGCTGTGCAGCGGCACGCAAAGCATTCTGGGATACCGACGGCACGAAATTTCTTAGCATCTCGTGCCAAATGGGACGCCAAATGCACGCTTCAAATGCACCGTTCGACGGTGCAGAAGTGCACTTAGCTCGATGCAGTCCCTGAAATGAGACACAGCCAATGGTTACCAAGGACCTTCCTTCCATGGCTACGCTGATATACAAAGTAGTTTGTGATTCATGAGGAAATTTTTGTTGGTTATTGAAAACAACTGCCCCGTGTGAGGCTCGAACTCACGACCTTCAGATTATGAGACTGACGCGCTGCCTACTGCGCCAACGAGGCCTGGAAAAGTTGAACAATGGTTCTTGAAACAAAGTCACTTTTTCCTGGTGAACTTTAATTGTTCTTACGAACATACAATTAGGAATACGAAACAGTAACACACAAGTGACCCACCAAATGTGGACTGCAAACCACTACAAAAAATGGTCACATAGCAATCACCACTATACAAATGTTGCCACCTTATACCTAAGATGCAACTCACACGTGACCCACCAAATGTGGAGAGCAGTTACCCCCAACAAATGGTCACAACACAAGTTACTGCGCACACAAAATCCTAATTGTTATCACACAGTGACCAAGCAAAATTGGGTAGCCTTCTGAAACACAAACAAAAACAGTACTGTAGTATAAAACAATTCTGAGGAGCAAAATGAGTCACCCCAACCCCTACTTACTTAACAAGATGTCTGACTTACCTAACTAGTCTTCAGTGGCCTGCCGAGCTCGAGGCATCACCTAAGTGTGCCCCCTCCTCAGGATTACCACCAAAAATAAGAAAGGCAAAATAAAAAAGTGGCAAGGTCTTCCCTGCCCGGCGACTAAATGATCAGGGTGCTCAGAAATTACAAAGAAAAGCAACTACTAATGATAGTGAAAGAAACAGAAGACTAACAAACCAAAACTATGGTCAGTAGTTACAAGAAGTAAAAAACAACTTCAAAAAACCTCATGGATGTTCAATCCCAGACGAGCCCCCATTTGTTACGCCCCACCCGAATGCGGCCCTATGGGGCTAACAACTATTCTCATCTTTTAACCCATTGAGTGAACAAACACCTTCAAAAGTTTAACACGTGATTTATTGTGAAAAAATAACAAAATTGCAAACTAGACACAAAGCACCCACAAAACAAATGAGAGGCAGCAGGGCAGCAGTTCCCCACCAAATGCCAGGCTGCAGGCAGCTCTGGGCTTTCAGACTCTCAGCGCCAGGTGAGTCTGATTGGCACTCAAGTAATTCCCCCTGGGCAGCTATGGCGAGACAAAAGGGGAAAAACACACGCAAAACAAACACACAGTCGTAACACTGAAGATCATAGAAGTTTTACAGTTGTTAGATATTAAATTGGCCGATTCTATTTAAGCGGGATGATAACGTGATCTGAAATATTCTTATGAAATTTGTGAAATTTATTTCACAAATATTTTCTTAATGTATCTGATTAAAATAAACCTTGAACTTCTTTTTTTTCTCATATTACAGAAAGATGCAGAAGAAAATGACTTTCTTCCCGGGGAAAATCTGCGTTGTGTTCCGCAAGGGACCACTTGGATTTCTCCTCCAGGAGCCGTCAAAGAAAGCCAGGAGAATTAAGGAGGACGCCACTCTGCAAGACAAGTCTATACCCACACGGGCAGACCTTGTACACCAGAATGCCCTGGCTGTGGTCCTTCAGAGAGGAGGGGACGCCTCAGATCGTGCAGAGGTGCTGGGGGACTACATCTTACAGTTTGGCAAGTACAAAGGAAAATCTTTCCGGTGGCTTCTGGAGAACGACATTGGATACACTATGTACCTCATTAAAAACCTGGAGAAGGAGGAGGCATCAGGCGTCACCGTGACTGCTGGACATGCCAAGGACAGCCTGCAGTCCTTTGTCAATTATGCCCTTGGTTTTGCTGAGATCCAGTCTCTCTGCACCTATGAAGCAAGTGGAGTGGGTGTTATGGCGGCTTCATCAGAAGATGACCAGCTGGTTGGCTTTGGCACTCGTGCGAAAAGTACCTGGAAGGAGATTTGGGACAGCAGAGCTGATGGCTATGCCACCTTCATTTTGGGGAAGGTCTGCGTCCCAGGTACACGCATGTTCAAGCTGCAGCAGTACCTGCAGAAGAGGCAGCGATCAGCCTCAGCTTCCCCACCTGAGGAACATCCCTCAAGTGTCTCCAAACCCATGGGTAAATTAGTTATTATATATTGTTATTTGCCATATCTGATGACATGTGACTAATACTTTAAACCTATCCTAATTTGGGTGAACTTATTCTTTTTTGTACCCTGTAATATTTGTTTGGACCACAGCGATGGATGAGGATGAACAGCTGGAGAGCGCCATGATGAGCATGAAATCCTCCAAACCACACGTGCAGACCTGCAAGTGCGCTTTTATTTCATTGACTGATTGTCAAAACTGAAGGTGGCAAACTGTGTTGTATCTGACATCTGGTATTTCCCATTTTCTGTTTATAACCAGTTGTTGCGTCAGCAGCTGCCATACCAGGAGTGTCCTCAGGAGCAAAGACAGGTTTTTAAACAACGGGTTTCAGGAGTACAGTTCATATTCATGATGACTTGTCTCTCAAAACTGAACCTCAACTTTAACTATTTCTTTGTGTTCTGGCCATGTTCTGGCCGTGTTCCTTCAATAATACTGTTAGCTGGTGTTATAATATCTGTCCTAAGGACTATGAATTGATCAGTGCCATGATGAATCGATGGCAAATGCCGTGAGGGTAAGTAAGCAATTTCTTTTCTATGCATGTTGTATTAAAAGAGAAATATATGCACTAGCACTTAAATGCATGCGTGTTAATTAAGTCATAATGCTCCTGCTTAGACTAGAGAGTCGAGATTAGTACTTTAAGTTTGTTTGGTGAGTCTATAACAATTTAACAACACAAATTTTGAGAAGCAGGAGATGTAAGCTTGACTGATTAATTTCCTACTAACAAAAACATATATTGTATATTCTATATACTAGAAGTAACCCAGTTCGTAACCCAGGGAACGCAGTTTCGTTGTGGCGTCTTCCTCCACAACCTGATTGGTGGCTGAGCTCCCGTCCCCCAACTTCTTTCAGCTCCACCCATTTTTTATCTGGAAACCTGAGAGTGACATCATGGTCAGGCTGAGGAACAATTATATCCTGCCCTGTCTCCACGGCTGTCCTCATCCTCAGGTGGTCTCTGCAGGAGTGGGCAGGCCTCGAGTTATTGTTGGCACCAGCGGGCAATATTTCATCTTCTCCTCTCGACTCTGCTGCAAGGCCTGTCGAAAGACCTGGTTTGCCGACAGTCCACGATGGCTTGAGAAACTTCCCAGGCGCTTCCCCAACCTTCTGCCTGCATTCCTGACTTACAAGAAAGCCATCTGTAAGTCTGTCATGGATGAGCTGAGACGCACCGGGAAGTCACCAACAGACATGGCCAACCAGGTGAATGAGCTCACGCACCTCAAGTATGAGCGAGCTCACCTGGCATACCTCCAAGCCATCGGGAGTCTGAGAGTTGCTGAGGCTGGAGTGCACGGTCAGAGAACCATTGGACAGTTCCTGAGGAAGGACAACCAGCCACGCGCTTTTGGGCCATACGACAAGCAAGATGGCTGGGATGGAGTCTCTGTGTCCGGGTTCTACCCAACTGACTGCCTGCTGGAGGAGTTCAAACGCCAGGAGCCAGCAATGTCCAGGCATCTTCAGGGAACATTTGGGCATGTTTTCAGGTCTGACCACACCAGAAGAGTGGCATGGAAGGTGACCTTAGCCTCAGGAGTCATGTCCAGTTATGCCGTGATGAACGAACACTGGCTCATTGTCTCCTGGGTGATGGTTCAGTCTGAAAGTGAGAGGTCCCTGGAGCCGATGTACGAGGGGATGGCGAAGAGGTACAGCGACGCCGGAGTGGAAAAGGCAGGCTACCACTGGGTGGACAGGTGAGCAGAGCCATCACGTACCTGATGAAGGTGCCAAAGTCCCTATCTGGATCCCTGTCAGAGGCACATCACAGCAAGAGGGGTACCATTTCCACCAGGCTCAATGGGTCACTGGCACTCACGTCTTGTCGTATGGCCCAAACCCCGCGTATTTCATCCACCCCTGGGCCTGTCACCAAGAAGCTTATTGGGAGTTCAAGGTTAGACAGTAAGGATTTCACATTCTGTGGACTGTTTACTGGGGTACAACTCCAAAGAAAACTGTTGCATTGGCCGGGAATCGAACCCGGGCCTCCCGCGTGGCAGGCGAGAATTCTACCACTGAACCACCAATGCTTGAAAAACAGGGTTTGGGTGCCTCACTGAGTCGCTGCGTCCAAAAGGCATCCTGATTAGGTGCCCTGACCACCTCATCTGACTCCTCTCAATGCAGGGGAACACCAGCTCTACTTTGAGCCCCTCCTGAATGACTGAGCTTCTCACCCACTTTAGGGTGAGCCCAGCCACCAGGAAGAGAAAAGTCATTTCTGCTGCCTGCACTCGCAATCTTGTTCTTTCAGTCACAACCCACAGCTCGTGAACAAGGTAACGTTTGGGAGATGTTGACCATGGCCAGATGCTTATTTAAATTCTTCGTATTTCCACGCTGAAAAAGAACACTGTTCTTAGTGCAGCCCACAATACACTGCATACACTGACCCCAAGAGGGCCACCTCTTTGTCCTACTATGACAATTTTTTTCAGGGTTTATGCCACTTTACAGTTGAAAACCAACACAGAGGGTCACATGTGCCATTGAAAATTTTTTTAGAGGGAAGCAGGAAACCATGTCATCATCTCCTCGTTAGTATAGTGGTGAGTATCCCCGCCTGTCACGCGGGAGACCGGGGTTCGATTCCCCGACGGGGAGTAGCAACACTTTTTTCTTTGTAAATAGTCGCAGCTCACAGTATGAAACATACTTAAAGATTTTGTGGTACTTCTTTTCCATGTATAGAAGATAACCTTCCTGACCTGTTGTTTGTGTTGTGGACATTGACAGGATCATATATCATCATGCTAGGATGGCTACGACAATGCCACATCCAACCTTCTCAATGTTTCCTTTATCTCACAAGCACATAGGTTCAGCACATAGTTGGCTCACTTGACATGGTTTGAAACCATAAACTGTATAACAAGATATATAATGAAGATTTCATATTTTCTGGATTGTTTACTCAGGAACAACTCCAAAGAAAACTGTTGCATTGGCCGGGAATCGAACCCGGGCCTCCCGCGTGGCAGGCGAGAATTCTACCACTGAACCACCAATGCTTGAAAAACAGGGTTTGGGTGCCTCACTGAGTCGCTGCGTCCAAAAGGCATCCTGATTAGGTGCCCTGACCACCTCATCTGACTCCTCTCAATGCAGGGGAACACCAGCTCTACTTTGAGCCCCTCCTGAATGACTGAGCTTTTCAACCACTTTAGGGTGAGCCCAGCCACCATGAAGAGAAAAGTCATTTCTGCTGCCTGCACTCGCAATCTTGTTCTTTCAGTCATAACCCACAGCTCGTGACCATAGGTGAGAGTAGGAACATAGATTGACGAGAGCTTTGCTCTTCGGCTCAAGGTGCAGAGTCCCATCAGTTACGTCAACTTCACAACATCCAGGGACTTGAGGAAGTCAGGGTGGATCTCACCCACCCATGGGGCCTTGCCACTGAGGAGTTTATGAACCTTAGCCCCAGAGATAGAAGAGCTCACTGGGGTGAGCTTATTTGGGGTCTGGGTCTGATCATTGATATCGCTTTGATTAACATAAAAATTGTGCCTTCTGCTCATCACATTGTCATTTGAGTTTCAACTGCCTAAGGGGTCAGAGAGCCCAACTCTCACCACAGTCAACCACAAAAGCATTGCCCCGTGTGAGGCTCGAACTCACGACCTTCAGATTATGAGACTGACGCGCTGCCTACTGCGCCAACGAGGCTCAAAAAGTGCTCCACACGGACACTTCAAGTCGCGAGGCACGAATTGTCCCTGGACCACAAAACAATTGATATATCCTTCAGACTCATAGGCTCTTGTGAGCTACAATTAGGTTTTATGATTTACATTACAGGATGTTGACACAGTTCTGCGTCATATTTCACAGCACAGTCTTAAGCAGCCTTGGACACATAGCATCTGGGCAAGCTGCCTTCCCAAAGCAAAGTCTTAGCTCCAAGCTCCACCCTACTGCTATTTCTGTGACAGACTAGGGCTGATGAACTAAGAAGGAGGTAGTTGAAGCAGTTGTAACGTTTGTACAAAATAGAAGAGAACAGTCCAAAAACAACAAAGGGGGTCTCATATGCTATTGTAACGACCATAAAGGGAGGCAGGGGGCACCATTATCATCTCCTCGTTAGTATAGTAGTGAGTCCAACTTGTACATGAAGTCCTCTCACCACAGTCAACCCCAGGCAAACACAAAAGCATTGCCTGTGTGAGTCCTCTCACCACAGTCAACCCCAGGCAAACACAAAAGCATTGCCCCGTGTGAGGCTCGAACTCACGACCTTCAGATTATGAGACTGACGCGCTGCCTACTGCGCCAACGAGGCTCAAAATGTGCTCCACACGGACACCTCAACTCCCGAGGCACGAATTGTCCCTGGACCACAAAACAATTGATATATCCTTCAGACTCATAGGCTCTTGTGAGCTACAATTAGGTTTTATGATTTACATTACAGGATGTTGACACAGTTCTGTGACACATTTCACAGCACAGTCTTAAGCAGCCTTGGACACATAGCATTTGGGCCAGCTGCCTTCCCAAAGCAAAGTCTTAGCTCCAAGCTCCACCCTACTGCTATTTCTGTGACAGACTCAGGCTGATGAACTAAGAGGGAGGTAGTTGAAGCAGTTGTAACATTTTTACAAAATGGAAGAGAACAGTCCAAAAACAACAAAGGGGGTCTCATATGCTATTGTAACGACCATAAAGAGAAGTAGGGGGCAGCATCACCATCTCCTCGTTAGTATAGTGGTGAGTATCCCCGCCTGTCACGCGGGAGACCGGGGTTCGATTCCCCGACGGGGAGTGTCAACACCTTTTTTTCCTAAATCACTCTGCCAAAACTTGCAGCTCACAGTATAAAACATATTGGATTTTCAGGTACTTTTTTTCCTTGCCTGGAGATTAGGAGGGGTGGGGATCCAGGAAGATGAGTTTTGCAAGGTCTAAGCATAATTGAGACTTCTGCTATGATGCACTGTGCACAATACATGATAATGGAGAAAATAAATTAGTTAGAAAGTGTGTGTGAGTAAAAATAATTCAACTGATTAAATACTAATAACATTAATTACTTAATATACTAAAATTCTTCCATTTATATGACCCTCCCATCCCCATACCAAAACCCTTAAATTTCTTGTGGTCTTTTTTATTTTATGATTAAAGGTGGTCCTACCTAAGTCGTCCCTGAGGAGGGAGCCGGCTGGTGGGTTCACCTCTTATTATTTGTCTTCCATTCAAGCAACTCCCAGACCCAGAGGGAGAGAGTCTGCTCAGATGGGCCATTTTTTCTTTCAGTAGCCAAGGTAGATAAAGAGGGGTTTATTCAAAAATTAAATGCTGATGTAATCACTTTTTATATTTAGAATTGTATAATCTTATTTGTAGAGCTTTACAATTAAGAATAGTGTAAAGTAATTTACGTGGTATAATAATAATCTAAGTTGTACGATGTAGTAATATAAATATGAAATATTTGGTATAACATGATCTGAATGACCTCACCCTAACCCTAATCCTGGTTATACTATGATATTAATACCACATAAATATTACGAAAATTATGGCAGTGTTGTGATGATTGGACCAGATCTGACCTAGTGAAGACAAAGAAAAAAAAAAGATATATATATTGTGCAAACAAGATAAAATAATTTAAAACTGGGAGTTAAGAGTTTGGGTGCACAGAGGCTCATGACTAACCCAATTTTTAAATGTTCATGTCAGTGCTTTATGTGTGGTATTATCAGAACCTGGATATGGCTCATAACAAGGATACCCAAGTCCACATAAACTCAGACTCCACATCTTTACAATAATGACAACACAAATATCAGCAGATGCAATACAAAAACAGGAAATTTAGTGCTAAAGGGTGTCCAAGGGTTCGTGTCAGCTCTTTCATATCAAGGCTACCAGAAGGAAAAGCTTTGCGCCCAACGTGGGGCTCGAACCCACGACCCTGAGATTAAGAGTCTCATGCTCTACCGACTGAGCTAGCCGGGCTTATTTCAACACCAAATATGCTTCATTTATAAAACTAGACATCTACACACTCCAAAGTTAAAACATTACATTTTACATGATGTTTCTCCTCTCTAGATATCAATCTTAAATAGGCAATATAAAGCACTCGTTCTGGACATGTAGCCAATTATCAATGTACTGCAAAACAATCTTTTGTTTCTTGTTGAGGGCTTTCAAATATGTTGGAAACCTGTCAAACTGGTGGCCATCCTTGGAGCTGCAAACTCCTTATCGTTTACTGATAAGTATGAAAAGAAGGCTGTTTTGTTTGGAATAGTGGTTGCTAAAATTTAACACAAACAGTGTGGAGGATGTACTCTATGCCCATCTTTGATCTGTGGCTTGGAGAAATGGTTAATACTTTGCATCTTGAAGAAAATGAGATTCCACAACAAAGGCAGGGAAAGTGAGTTCAATAAGATTCGGGACACGTTGAGCCCATTACAGGCCTAAAATAGGGCAACACAAAAACTGTGCCCCGTGTGAGGCTCGAACTCACGACCTTCAGATTATGAGACTGACGCGCTGCCTACTGCGCCAACGAGGCCTGAAACACATGAGTCCTGGTTGCATTTAAAAAGCCACAAGGAACCAGCCATTACATTTCATAAAGCAGTTAATCCTCAGAAGTGAACACATCATGTCCACGATTTAAAGACAAAGAGTCAAACAGAAACCACGTCGGGCACCACTGTTGAGTTACATCAGATAACCGGGCTCAACGGCAGGATACAATATAGAGGATGAAGTACTGTGCATCGTCCACCAGGTGGAGGCAGAGCACTGTCTTAACGCCACTGCTAAATTTCAACAAGAAGTAACCTCACAATCTTTCTTCATAATTACAACTATACTGTGACTTAAAAGTGCATAAGTAAAATAAATGTTAAATAGTGATGCTAGAAGTTCAGTAGAAAACACTTTTACAGATAAAGAAACAGGTGCTCAATACTTTCAACACTCTTGTTAGCTGCACCGCCGCTAACGCAAAACTTCACGCATTCACTGTCTAGAACTTTCCAGAAATGCTACACAGCCAAGCAAACTACTTCCAGATATACGCACTTTTAAGATAAATACACTATCGGACAAACGCACTATCGGACACCACGTACGTTCGGCTATGAAGAATAAATGCATTATGACCACACAAAACCGTTTAACACCGGCCTTGTCATCCTTGTTCGGACTCCTAGCGAAGAGTAGCACGACCTTCAACCTAGCTTAAACTTACCCTTGCCGATTTAACAGCGTCGTTTTCAAACCGAATTAAAGCCACCAGCGTATAAAATGAATAATTCAGTTGACTTACCTGAGTTGCAAGTATCCCGGTCAATTCCACTCACTTTAAAAGTCACTTTTCACAGCGGTGTGGTATAAAACGGTTATTACTTCGCTATCGGCGTCAGCTCGTCGAGCTCGCCTCCAGACACTACGGAGCCGTCGATTAAACAGCAACCAATGAGGAAGGAGCTTACCGATCACGTGACATGAAAAGCGCAATTGCGCTCCAACATGGCGGTGAAATATATAAATATATTTTCAATGTAGGTTGCTATTTGATTAAAAAAAACTTTAAAAAATTAATTAAAACCGATGTAATTCTGTTATCTCGCAGTCAAATGTGCCTTAAATAATGTTTACAATTATTGCGAGAAAGTGAGAAATATCTGTTTTTCTTCATCTTACCTATAAATGTGTTTTATTTACATTATTTAGATTTTTTTAATCACAGAAGTACCCCAATCATGTGAAAATTTTAACTAAAAATTTCAAATATGTATTTTACCTCATAATTTATAATTTCTTTTACATCATTTTAAGTTCTCTCACAGTAGTTAGGCAGGGCTCTCAAGTTTTGAACTAAGCTTAGAGTGAGATTTCCTTGGGGGGGGGGGGGGGGGTAATTATAAGTATAATTATCTCTTAAATACAACGGAGTATAAGGGGCACAATTAGAAAAAAAAACGCTTTTTAATCTCAAAGAATAAAGTTATTATTTGGGAGAATAAAGTCATTAATATCTATATATATAGGTGTCACAAACATGGAGATCCTTAATCCTTTGGTACATGAGCATTACACTGTCATGAGTATCAGAACTTATATTTGAGATATATGAGAAATGCTGCTTTTGCGGAGGGGAAAATGGCTGGAAATGGCTGTACAGAGACTAAATCCGTCAATACAGCTGTTAATAGCAATAGCATAGGGCTTTAGTTTATCATATGAGTTTATATGCTATGAGGTGTTGAGGTCTCTGCATGTGTAGGTTACTGACTTACTGTAATCATCGGGTCTATCTCGTCCTTATAAATAACCTGCTCTATTACGGCGAGTGTCTGTCTTCTTCTGTAGTCAAACCGCAAGATATCAAAATCTACCCGGATACAGCAATGCTGCTTTTTGATTGGCTGTTCAGTAGATATACTTTATTTGATTGGCTTGCGCGTGGCACGCAGCTTCTGAACTCTCGGAGAAACTCAGTTGATTCCTACCTGTTCCACAGTTAAAGAGGTGCAACTTGGTGGACATCACCGTGTTCATTTAAATGCGTGAGAAATACGATGTGTGGCTTTTACATCATTTTAAGTTCTCTCACAGCAGTTAGGTCTATTTTACTCAAAATGTTTATTTCTTTAATCAATTTTGCCACTAATCAAGCAATTCTTAGAATAATAACTCAATTATTGTGGAAACATATGAAGAACTTTTGGTCTAAATATCTTTAAAATTGATCATTTAAAAAAATAATCTTTCCATTCAGTGGGTAAATCAGCTAGTCAAACAAAACCATCTTTTTGAACTGAGTCGTACATGAGAAATTTTTGTCAAACATAATTAGCTGTGTAACTACACTCTCCCTTATCCACACATACCCACAGTCAGACGACAATTGCATTTATAGTTATACCATAACTATTTCAGGCACTTATTCTGTCTTGACCTTTCCGCACGTTTTCTACTTCGATTTGGTGTCATTTTCATCATCATGGTTACGTATTTATATGCAGTCTACATTTAATGTGCCATATACTGTAGATAGATCTCATAAGTAAGGGTCCTTTTGTGCAACCGTTCATAATCAGCCTGGAGACATGCACCAACTGAGAGCCATGTTTAATAATTTAATTTCACCATGCATAAATCATATAGAAAATGCTGTACAGCAATGACAAGAGTAATAAAACCTGACATTTCATGATGCAAAAAAAAAGAAGTGTCACAGATCACTGAAGGCTCAAAGGTTTCATAAAAGTTAGTCTCATTGTAGTTAGTACATGTTAGATCGACAGGAAGGAATAAAACACATAATGTTGACAAAAAAAGCAAAAATAAGAACACGTGAAAACATAAAAATGTTAGAAAAAGCTGATATTACTTCTATGGTACATCCAATGTGATTTTTACAACCCTATGACTCCCCTTTATCTCAGTAAAACATGACCAAATAATCACCCCCCGACAGAAATGGGGGTAGTAAACAAATAGAGGGGGGTAAGTGTGTAAGCTGAGGTAGGGTGAGGCATTGGTTTTGAACCTCCACCCTTTTTAAATGGCACTAGATAAAAAAGGAAAAGTCATGGCTAATACACTCCTTCATATTACTCATGATTGGCAACATTGTCCCACAATTAATACTGCTTTCATATCATCAGAACCTGGCAGAAATATCCCAATACGGCCTGATCTGCCAGGACCTGATGTTCACATATCTGCAAGAAACAGAGCAATTTTCATTTACCCAAAGAGAGTCCAAAGAAGAAAAAAACAGTAAAAAAATACAGAACAGAACCCAAACTGGCCTTATATGATCAAGTGTAAGCATTATTATTACTCAGATTCACAGTTGAATGAAATGGCTGGATATGTTTAAGGTGTCAGAGCAGCTACGTGTGTTCTTGTTTTTTTGAGCCTCTTTGTTTTCATTTTTGAGCAGAAATGACATTAAATTTTAAACACCAATAAAAGTGTTCGTTCTAAAGCACCTGAACTCTCACCCTTGGGCCAATACACATGAAAAAGTTGTGAAATTATCACTAGATGAATCCCGGCAAGCCGTAGTTCAATTAGGATTACGAATAGCGCAATATCTGCCCGGTAACGCTGCTTTGCACAATTTTTTTAAAAACAGAAAAGCAATAAACAAGCACCATTTCACATATTTATGTTCAAGTCACTTGAGAAAACTTGTTTGTCATTTCACCATCTGACTCTATATGTCCGCCCAGCCTGTCAAGTTAGAATTAATAGGTAAACATTAAAGCTCCTGTGATGAACTTTTTTAAAATCTTGGTTTGGAAAAAATGATAAACCGTCTACCTTTGCTGATTTCTGTTTTTGATTTTGTTTCAAATATTTTTTTTCTTGCTTTGTTTAACCCCCCTCACAGCCTTTTCTAGCATTAAGCAACAAAATATTATCAGTCAATTTTTGTACTCATGCTTTTCTAGGTCACAAAGAGGCGCCAGAAGCCTGTTTCATCAGCAGTTCAAAATGCCTCACAGGAGCTTTAAATGTATGAAATCAAACCTAGATCAACAAAATGTCAAAGCTTGTTTTTACAGCAGAAATCTTCTTTAACTTTCATCTTCACAGCAGACAGACAGAAAAATGAGAGAACGCAGTAAGAAAAACACGTTGAACTTTTAATTCACAGCTCCTTCTGTTCCATTATTGAATGTTATCAAGTGGATATATTTTACGGAGAAGCTAACTACTTAACGTGAAAGTGAGAGGGCGCCATTTTTTCCAGGTAATTGATTGAAAAACGACTTCAGCTGGTGCATGAAATTATTTTTAAAAACCAATGTGTTTCATTATGTCTATCTAACTCTCTTATTCAGTCAGCTTGTTTCCTGATATGCTGATAAATGCGAGGTCCCTATTGGAACAGCAGAGGGAGCTGTGAAGTAAAGAGTTCTTCCAAGAGGAATGAAAACACAATAGGTCCAAGTCACTTAAGTTCCATTCAGAGGAATGAGTGTGCACGACTGTCATGTGATCCACTGTGTCCATTCGTTCATTCATTCATCCAGCTGTCTACGGCTGTGGAGGTTAGTGCTACTTCTTCTTCTTCTTTTGAGGAGGACTAAAAGGACACCTTGATGCTACAGAACAAAAAGCCGAAGAAAATAATCTCTTACATCTAAAAGTTGAAGGAAACGTTGAGTTGAAAGCAGCATTTTTCACTGAAACCTTTCACACTTGCTCATTAGCTCATGATTAGCAGATTTCTTTCCTAAATGATAACCCAAAATGTTTTGAAGGTAGCTGAGCAGAGAGAGTGAAAATAACTGTCAAGGCATCCTTTTGAGAAAGAGACACCAACATGGATAATGCAGTTTTCCAGTCATGAAAAACTGCATTATCAGGCGGATGTCTCCAACGAGTTTCTTCAATGCAAGTCGTCGCTTCCTTCATTGTCCTTCCACGAAACCACGTCCGAGTTTCTCCTTCATTTACTAGCAAAAGTCACCTTCATTCAGTTTTATTTCCGGAGGCCACAGCGAATCTCCCCTCAGAACAACACATCCTCGTTGGTGATGAGCGTTTCCACCACTAGTCTCTGGTAGCGGATGTCGTTAAGCGCCGTCATGGCGTCCAGCTCGGGGGCCCTCATCAGCGTCGGGCCGAAGACGATGCCAAGGTTCTCGCTCGTCATGAGGTTCTCCTTGTCGCACTGGGTCACTCTGTGTAGAAGAAAGAGCCTCATGAGCACAAACCTGAAGAAATGAATCTAGATTTGACGAACACAGATAAAGGTAAAAGGTTCAGACCTCTTGAGGTGAGCCATGAGGTATCGCAGAGTCTCGAAGTGAGCTGGCGGCAGCAGCCTTAAGGCTTCATGTAGAGCCTCTAGACGTTTCTCAGGGTCTGATACCTCTGATGAACACACAAACACACACACAGATCAGTGTTTAAAATACAGAACAAACTATCATGTCATCATATTCAGAGCCTATTTAGGACGCAAAGCTCCTTTTTTTAAGCACTGACTTCAAAGTTTCATTTCTGCTTCTTATGTAACAAATAACCGAGATGAGGACCTACTTCCTGCTTCTATAAAGCGTGGGTGCGCATCATATGTGATGAGAGGGATAGGAAGCTCTCTGAAGTAGAGCTTTAGGGCTCCGGTTATGATGTTGATGTCCTCGTACGCGTTTGAGGAGATATCTGCCTTCTCTCCATCTATAGAGGGGAGTCAGTGGAAACATATACGAGAAAAGGAACAAAAAATAAATTTGATGTTAGTTCTATAAATGACAAATTAAATCAAAAGTGTTGTTTTCAAGTGAGTTAGTTGGTATTTCTTTCAGGAGAAAGGCTCACCTCTGTCAAATGCCAACTTGACGTCTTCAATCAGCTCACTGAAGCCTGATATTCTGTACAAACCTTCAGACTGAAGACCTGAGATGAGACAAGAACAGAAAGCATGACATTAGTTTCTTTTTGTCAGTGAACACACAAGATGTCATCTTGTTAAACAAATCGTCAAAATAAATTGAAAATTGAATCTTTTTTTTCAATTTCGTGGTTTTCTTTGTTCTCTAGGATAAATAATTAAATACTTTAGAGTGTATAAAAAGCCGAAGTCTGTTTTTATAGTGTTACTGCACGTTAGTCCTATCCCAACATATCAGACAATTGAGAAAACAATCTGCACATGAACTGTTATTTGCTCAGATATTGGAGTTAAACTGATTTATCGACTGCTCAAATTGGCTCATTAAAGCACAATTTATGTGTTATACAATAATGTGGCTGTTGAAATGGCTTTTTTTTGCTGTTGATCTAATAAATTAAACAGAAGGAGCTACACAAATAGGAGTTAAAGACGGAGGAGAGGAGAGGGGGAGGGTGCAATAAAGATTGATTAGAGGAAAAAAGGGGGTCTAGTGGAGAGAATAAGGGGGGTGGGGCTGGATTGTTCTCCTGCTTCTGTCAAGTTCGATCACTTCAAGTCGGGAGTCTTTATTGATCCGACGCTTATTTTCACTCTGCTCCTGAATCTCAGTCGATAAAACTCTGTCTGTGGCAGCTCCCCTGTGACGCCTCACATCCCAAAGGAGAGGAATCGTGGCTCTCTACGCACATCCATTCAGGTTAGGTCCCACCAACGCACATCCTGCTCGCAAGACTCCTGCTTCGTGGGTGCTGTTTTTTTTTTTCAGCGATGTTATATAACCACTGACTCATATGAACACACTCATACCCACGCTGCTTCTGGCTTTTTCTCACCTCTCGCCTCGATCTCCTGGATGCACATGTCGACCACCATGGGCCTTTTGGTGTTGTGGGCTTTGACCAGCGTGGTTAGGTCGCAGCTGTACACCTTCTTGACGTGTCGCAGATCCGGCTGGCAGTCGTTGGGCACCACTTTGGAGCACTGCTTGTGCACATTCAAACCGCAATCTGGAAGCAGAAAAAAAGATGATTTGTCAGAGTGAATTTTAAGTATGCTTCAGGAGTTTGCAAATTGCATCTTGAATCTCAAACTTTGCACCCACTCTCAGGCTGAAAATGGCTGCTGTGTGCATGCAAACTGGAACTTCACATCAAAATAGCACAATTTTGTTTTCTGAGACCAAACACTCGAAGCAAAATAGCACATCTGTTGGGTAAAAGTTGGATCAAATCGGAGGTGTTAGAGAGGCCTTCTTCATCCTGTACAAACACAGCAGTTCTCACACTGACAGAGTGTTCTCTGGCACCAAAGTGAATCTCTTAACATTTAAAACCTGCAAAGATGACTCAACAGCAAGAGTGACTAAGTTTGAGCCTGAAGTTTTAGTTTTGAGTCACGGATTCATACAGAGGAGGTGAGACACGCAGGACAAAACAGGAGGAGGAGGAAAAACAGCAGCTCCTACTCTTTTATGGATGAATTTGTACTTTTTATTCAAGTTTGACAAAAGTGACCTGTACGTATTTGTCAGTGTTTCCCACACAGAGATGATACCTAGGAGGGACTAGCACATATACTTCATGCTGATCAAGTACACTATAACAAGAGTTATACAGTCCGATGGCTGTTGGTACAAAAGATCTTCTGAATCTTTTTGTCCTGCAGTAAAGAGAGGAGGAGCCGTCCACCACCATTGGCCCTTTGGTCCATCAAGGTGTTGTGAAGTGGGTGCCAAGTGACTGCTGTCTTATATGAACCCACAAATCATCTCATGAAACACAAGTTTGTATCAAAAAATATCTCAAAAAACATGAAAACAATCTTAAAAATTAATTTATTACGTTTATTATTTTCTTTCTCATTTCATATTTTCAACAGTTTGAGAAACGGTTGTGGCATCTAAGAATTTGTTGTCTTAATTATTTTTTTGGTAACTTTTACATTTAGAAACTAGCTTTTATTTTTTTTGTTATTGTGTTTCAATTCATTTTTTTACTTATGTTTTTTTTAAATCTTTTTTTTCTCTTTCCATTTCATAATTTTCATTTTACATTTGTTGAATTGTTTTTTGCTTTATTCTAATTATTTTTTGTTTCTTTTTACTGTCATTTAATTTTTTAGGTTTTGTTACATTCCATTTTCACTCCATTTTCACTCCATTTAGTCAAAAAAAATTTTTCAACTCATCACTTTTTTTAATGTTTTTGATCAAAAACAAAAATCCCTTCGAATTTTGTTTTCTTGGATTTCATTTAATTTTATTTAATATTTTTTGCATTAAGTGAGATACTGGTAGCTTTCACTGAAATTTTTCTTTGCTGTAGTGAAATCTGTCTTTAGTGGACCTTTAGGGCCACCGTACAGCAATGAAAGAAAGTGAGGTGATGAAGGAAAAAAGGCATAATTCATATTCTAACTAATCAAGTGCTTTAACTGATAGAGAGCTTAAGGGAATATAAACATTAGGTTCAACATTTTAATACAGTTTGTGTGTTTTTGTTACCTGCACATTTGACTCCCTGAGCGATGAGACCCCACATAAAGTTGGCACAGTACTCACACCAGTGGGGGCCCCTGAACGTATGAACCTGGTTAGAGAGAACAAATTATATTCAAACCATGTTTTTTAATTAACAGCTTATGTCAAAGTTCAAAAATACATTAAATAGCTTTAAAAAAATGTACATATGTGCACAGGTCTACACTGAGATGAAGGTGAGACAATCCCAGTACAGCACTAATCCTCACGGTACAATAACAGGCACGGGCAGAAGCACAATGGAGCCACAATGAAGGGACTGAAAAGGCATTTATTGAGTTTTTATCTGCTCATTTATTTCATAAATTGGCTCTAGAATATATAATGAAATCCTAATAACCTCAATCCCTCTGAGGAGCTCTCTTTGTGTGTGTGTGTGTTTGACTTCGTGTGTGGTGTGCTCATCCAGATTCCCCGTCAGCTCAGTGCTCTGTGGCTCTGACCTCTGTGCTCCTCACTAATGGCTACATGTACTATGGAAATCTGTGAGTGTGAAGCCCCAAATAGAATCTGTAATCTGTGTGAAATGCAAATGCAGAAACCCATCTCTTCTGTGTGTATGTGTGTGTGTGTGTGAATTTGAATAAGACCCTGTGAGCTGAATCAGCGTTTCCCAGCATCACGGAGCGTGCACACATAAACAGAAACCGTAGAAGGAAAAGGGAAGAGGGGAGCCGCTCACCTTGAAGTTGTGGACCTTCTCGTACTTGGGCGCTAAGTCGCTCTCCCTCAGGGTGGCCCGCCGCACCAGGGATGTGAGCTGCGAAAGGGCAAAAGATCTGATTGGTTGCCAGAAGGTGGAAGCAGGGGAGGTGGGTTTGGAGGGCGCCGGCGCCCTTGCCGGGTCCGGAAGGGAGGGGATGGAAGCAGCGCTGACATTCAAACCGAGAGCTGCGGTGAACAAAGAGCCCTTCTGACCCGCGTCCTTCTTGGCTTTCCTACGAGGCTTCTTTTTACCTTTTTTAACCACGTGGGATTCTCTGCTAGGCATTGTGGGATCTGTAGTTTTAGCCTGAAATGAACTCCCCTTGATTTTTAAAAGCAAACCTTCACGTGGAGACTAAAATTTCATTAATAAAACTGTCATAAACCTGGATTTGAAAAGAAAATGAAGCCTGAGAAAAAGGATAATCTCTGAAAAAAACTGCAAAAAAAAAAAGAAAAAGAAAAAGGAGATAGTAAAATCTGGACTCAAATAAATTCAAGATCCTTTCGTCAACAACATCCCAAATAAAGGAGCAAACACACGACCAATCCTGCTGTTTTAGCCCCACAAAGATCAGCCAATCAGATTAGCTCTGCATTCTGATGCGGCTGCATGTTGCAATCCCAGATCATAACAAAAAAGAAAAACAAAAGCTGCCCGGCCAATAAAAACCTGCCCTCAGGAGACACAATTTCAAAAGAAGTGGAAAAACTTCACTCAAATGTGTCTGAAATTCTCTGAAAGTGTCCCCGAAATCCTCCGAAATGGACTGATGCGGCGGAATGTGCATCCCCGTCTCCCAGACTCATGTAGGTGAGCGCTTCAGCCCACATGGCTCAGCGTGTGTGTGAGTGTGTGTGTGTGTGTGTGTGCGTTAATCCGCTTTGCCTCCACTCGTTTGGCAGCAGAGGAGGGAGGTGACAGAGGCGGGGAGAGACGGAGAGAGAGAGAGAAGAAGAGGAGGAGGAGAAGAGGGGGGAGCCACGGTGCCGTAATGGATGAATTTAACAGGTCACATTGAGAGGAGAGCCAGCCAATCAGAAGCTGCGGCTTCTTGTTGTTTCGACAACAATTCTGCCACCTCGACTGTCCCAGGAGAGGAGGGGAAAAGAGAGAGGGAGGGAAAGAATGAACTGCTAAAAATGCAGTTTTATCATTCATTCAATCTCGCTTTTACATCTTTGTTTGAACAAAAATCTTTTTCCTTCAATTTTTTCACACATTTCTCTGATATTTTCAAAAAGCGTTGGCTGGGTTTGCATTGTTGTTCGTCCCAGTATGGCCCTTCAAATTAAAAGCCCACATGCACAACAAAATTAGCCCATTTATCAGCAGCAGTGGATTAATCCTCCTGCCCTTAAACTCTTACAGATAATGTGTGTATGAGGCAGACTAATAGCAGGCTTGGGCTTTTAATTTTGAAGGGGATATAACAACAACCAGCGACACAAACATAGATAAAGCTTCTGGTAGTGCTGGACGATAATTCGATAACAATATATATCGATCGATAGACGTGTGGAGCGATAGAAAAAAAACGGGTCGATAAAAAGTTCGATAGAAAAACACAGTTTCCCTTTCTTTTTCATCATAGCCTATCATGTAGCTTTTACTACAGTCATTACTTCCTCCCAACCAATCACAAACGCAGACCCAGGTACGCTACGGCACCAAGCCCAGCCCCTATCAAACCACAACAGACAGCACGTGTATTAGAAATAATGTAACGGCAAGGAGAAGCGGAGGAAATTGTCCCGAAAAAAGGTTTCAGTAGTTCACCAACATGGCAATGTTTTGGTTTTTAGAAGTCTGACAAAAAGCAAACAGCGGTCGTTTGCAAAATTTGCAGAGAATTAGTGAAAACCAAGTCCGGTAACACAACCAACTTGTTTTACCATCTAAACCGGTCGCACCCGCAGGAGTACGAGCTGTGTCGGCCGCGCCGCGGCTCCACGTCGTCGTCGGAGGAATCCTCTGGAACCGCTGCCAGCACCAGCACAAAGCAAGTGAAGCAGACCAAACTGGACTTCGTTTCTTGCCAAAATACGACAAAGCGTCCAAGCGGCATAAGGACATCACCCATGCAGTAACATGCTCCATAGCGAGGGACATACTGCCAATAACTACCGTTGAAAAGCCTGGCTTCGACCAGCTTCTAGCCACTCTCGACCCGCGATATGAAGTGCCCGGCCGCAAGTATTTCTCAAACACAGCGCTTCAGGCATGAAAATGGGTCAGGGGTTGAAAAGGTGAGAAGGGTGCGGAGGAAATACGCTCCGGTGTAGCTTCTTAAAGTGGAAGAAAATGAGCTCATATTTTACGAAGACGCGAGTATTTGGATCATGGCTACTAGCAGGGGGGGCATTCGGCAGGGGTGCATTCTACGACACAACACCGGCGTGGATAAGTCCTGCTTCTCGTGCTTAGTTTGTTTAATAAGTCAATCACATGATAATTAAAAAAAATAAATCTCCCGACCCCAGGAGAAATATTTCAGTGTTCAGACACCAGGCTGTGGGCAGTTTCCCACACAGTTAAAACTGGTAGTATGCTATTCCCACCTAAAGCTATTCTGTTTATTTATATATTTGTTTGTTTTGTTTATTTTCATCAAAAGACTATTTAAATATTTATTTATCAGATTTTCTGGTCACTTTAGTCTTTATGTTTGTCAGTATTTACTGACGTCACTCAGGCCACTTAAGTTGATTTATTTTTTTTTTTAAGTTCTTTTTAAAAAAAACTTTCAGTTGTGGTAAAAAAAAAAAAGGTGGTTGAATAAAGGTTTGAATTTGAATTCAGTGCTTGTGTGTTCTTTATTAAAAGTAGGTCATTAAGCAATAGCATAAAACATCCAGGGCTGCAATTAAAATATATGTTAAATAATTATAATAATTATATCGATAATTATCGATATCGATCAATATGATTTATTTTTTATCGATATGCTTTTTTTCTATATCGTCCAGGCCTAGCTTCTGGCCAATTTGACATTTTTTCGCAAATGAAAGGTGTAGTTTGGCTAGCTTTCTCCTGGGTGGCTTACCAACAACCTTGCTAGCCGCAGTTATGTCTGATGGACTCTGAATTTTCACCATCATATAAAAGATATTTATTCTTGTAAAGAAGGGACAAGAATTGTTTAAAGGATTTTAAATTTGGCAGAATTCTGAGCAGAAACATTAGTTCTACAGTCAATTATATAAAGGTCTACCTGGACCAAAACAAACACAGGATAGAAAAAAATTTCAGAGTATAATTTGGGAAAGAAAAGAAAACATGGTAAAGCCTTGAATGCACTTTAAATCTAAATTTGCTGTTTTTATGAATGGGATTTGGTTTGTTTACTCTTTTAAGCATATGTGTGTATCATGTTTTCTCCATTCTCCCCAAATCAAGGCTCCACATCTATTTCTGTGGATCTATTCTCAAACACGAGGCCCTCAAAATTAAAATTTAAAAACTCATCACCTGAGCCGAGTATTTATCGCTCCCACGGGGGCCGTTAAACCGCCTTTAACCCCTGATAAACGCTACAAAGCTGGATGGGCGAATGAAATATGCATTTCTGGTTTTGTGTGCGTTTGTCTCCCCTACAGAGAGCCACCTCTGGTCTCAATGTCACCGCGAGCCTTACTGCTTTGTCTGCAAATCCAGCCAATTATGAAAGCACACACGTACCCGGGGCCACCCCCATTTCACACAGACTCACACCCGCACACATGCAGCGTCGACAGTGATGTATGAGGTGCAGCACCGGCGGTCATGCACTGCAGGTCATACAAGGCCTCCCGAGGTTCAGTGCTGGTGTTGCACATAAATACATTGCACTTTGTTTTGAGACTGTTGGTGTGTTTGAAGAAACAACTGCCTGTGCATTACAAACATGTCTCTTTGTGTGTGTCTGTGTGTGTGTGTGTGTGTGTGTGTGTTTGTAGATGCATGTCTGAGGGCTTTGCAGCAGTTGCATGATTAGATCATGATTCTGCACCCACCTGCACATGTGCACAGCTGCAGAGCTGGAACTTAAAAGTCCTAGTGATTAGCAGCCGCAGCAACTTTACATCTGCGAATCTGAACTTCCACCAATAGGAAACAACGTTGTAAGTGAGAACTCACAGGAAGCGTTAATCATCCCAGAGATGAATGCAAACTAATTAGACGGCCACAAACTCGGCTCCTGCATACTAACAGGACCGCTTTTGGAGATAGGAGTTTTCCGCAGGCAAGCTGCTGTTATGTAATTTTACTGCAGAGCCCTTGGCTGGAGGCCATCTCTCCTCTGCATCCATCCTCCTCCTCCTCCTCCTTCTTCTCCTTTTTCTGTTCTTTAACCAACTCTCATCCCTCCATCCTAGCACAGTGCATACAGCAACTTTCCTCACCTTTAGCCTTAATTCCCCTCTCTGCGGAGTTTACTCCAACATTTCAGATCGAAAATCTCACAGTTTTAGCTCATAACAGGTGTTAGTCATTGTTTAAAGCTTGTCAGTAGATTCTGAACAGTCTGCTGAGAGACAGAGATGCCTTCTCTGCTTCGTTTTCCACACTTCAGCGTAAAGACTGACAGCGTAAGATCTTTTTAACATTTTGGACCTCTGTCTCCTGGCTTCCTGCATATATTTCACACTGGAAAACAACCAAAAGATGAGATATCCATGAAGAAAAACAATCAGTTTCTTCCATCTTTTTTTCTTTTCTCTTATTTGTCTCAAAATTGCTCATTTTAAGGGCTCATTTCAGTCTGGTCTCCTCAGGGAAACATTTGTTGGTCTGTAGCCGATCCTCTGTGCCAACACTACTCCATTTCTTATTCAGAACTTCTCCCAAAAGATCCCTTAGCCTTCAGGTTGGTTTGCCAAAAACATATGTTCATTTGGAGGATGATTTTGGATGAGTTTTCTGCACAGAGACTCGTGTTTCCAAACAGAGCATGGTGAGTTTTGAAGATTTTGATTAGACGCAAAAAGCCTCGAGTACAAACACAAGAGGAAAGAAATCATGTCAGATTTTTAGAAGATATTCAAGTCACACAACTTCGAACAGCAGGTAAGCTGCCAAACTGGCTCTGCTTCTTACCCTCTCCTCAGAGTTCCTGTCGTCTTTGGCTGGAGCGGGTCCGTCTGGGGCCTCTGGGCTGAGCGGCAGGTGCTTTTTCAGAGTGGGCTCTTGGTTCAGGGTGGTGTAGCCCACGTGTTCATAGATGGGGTTTATGGTCATCTTTGCTATGTACTCTGCCGCCTGATGCAAAATAAAGACAATGAGAGTTAGTGTGTTGAAATAAGCCTGATCGTGAAGAAAAGACTTCCACATCTTGGTATGAATGTAAAATTTGGCTTTTTTAGAGGAAAAAAGTACGCAACAGGAGGTCACATGCACCTTTGTCTCAATGTAGAGTGTGATGAGGCCGTCTGTGACCAGGTCGTGGATGGACTCGAACCTCTTCTCCCCCACAAAATGTTTACCGTCATGGTAGAGGCGGAAGTTTCTCGTCTGGTTCCCAAACCTGAAAGAAACAGAGCAGGACGACTTCGCTTTCGCATCATTCAGCGATAATCAAATGTGACATAAGTCAAAAAATCAACCGCTGAAGAAACATCTGCGTCAGACGAAAACCTCTAGACCGTCATTGAGAAGGTAAAAAGTCCACAAACTCGGACAGGCCTTTGATGGACAGGCTCTTAACTGGGCCAACACATTATCTGCTCCTCAGTGGGTCACAATGAAACCACCGTCAGATAAAGTGGCGCCATTAGATCATTAACCCAAAACCCAACCTTCTCTTTCTCTGCAGACCCAAAGCGGGAACAGTTTTTCATGAGGGGGGTATTTATGGAAGTTAATTATCATAACCAGAGGGACTGGGAAAGAGGGGAGTGTGCAGGTGGGAGAGTGACGTGGCTATGAATAGAGCAAACTGACCCAAAACCAAAATCAAATCATGCCATGAGCCCATTTCAAAGTGTAACACCCACTCCGACTGAGGTCTGCTAACATGCTAACATGCTAACTAGGCTAATGCTACACGGGCAGCTGGGTGGTACTAAAAATGAAAAGACTAACAGGCTCTGCAGGGGAGGTCGTGCAGGGCCATGTGACTTCAGAGATGATCGCCTCTGAGCGGCTTACAGCTCGACTTCTGCCTTTAAACCCTCACACCTGAGGGCACCTGGGGGTCTGAGCGCGCGCGATCTGGAAGGATTAACATTCACACGGCTTCTCTTTTTCTTGCCTCGTCACACAAAAGTGTGCCGGCGTAGAGGAAGGTCGCATGATTACAGCGTGTCAGGGGATTCACAGACAGCGCTTTCTTTTGCCTTAGACTACCTTAAACACTAAATACAACCATAATGATGATGAAAGTGTCTTGTGGTTTGAGCACATGTGGTGACTTCCACTGCAGAGTCACGTCTAGTTTTCATTCACAGCCATCAGGTGTCATTTTCCAGCCTTGTGTCTTTGCTGCTGAGATTTCTCCCAATTCTTTGAGTCTTTTAAGGATGTTATGTAGCGTTCAGTGATTGGATCAGTTTGCTCACGCAGTCACTCACAGAGTTGTGAACTTCTTCCCATCTTTACTATTTAAACCTCTGTGACTATCCGCCTTTTTAAACCTGGTCTTGTCCCACTGAGCTATAGACGGCTATTAGATGTCTAGTTTTTTTTAGACCAAATTTCAACCCTCTATATTCTGTATATTTTTAGACGGAATTTAGACGGTTGCACTTTAACCCATTATTCGATAACTATTTATCTCAAAAAGCAACTGTGAGTTGCATAACTGATCTCCAAGTACTTAACCAAAATAATAATGATAGTCGTTGAGCAAAATACAGTGTAGTAAAGATATAGCCAAGATTGAGACTAGGTCCAAACTTGGTCTACATTTAGACGTCTAAAAAAACTTTCATTTTCAGACCTGTGGTAGCCTGGTTTTAGACCAGCCGTCTAGACTACATTTAGACGACTGATAGACCTCTTTTAGACCAAGAAATGCTCAGAGGGGTTACTCACCTGTTGCAAACCTGCTTATTTGTTGGCAGATGTTCCTGTGGGTGTTTTTTGTTTTTTTTTGTCCTTGTTCCAAGTTTTTTGAATCGTATCGCTGGCATCAGGTTTAAAATGAGCATAAACTTTTCATAAAACAATACATTTCTTTGTTTTCTTCGCACTATTTTCAATTAAATTTAGGGTTTAACATACCTTAATGCCAGCGTATACGTGCCCGGCTGTCTCTGACTCTCCCTGATGAGGTAGCTGCCTTCGGCCTGACTCAACAACTGGTCGGCCTCTTCTCTGGAAATCATCCCGTGAAATCTGACAGGGAAACACAAAGTTAAAGTCACTTCAACTACAAAAAGACACAAGCGATTATAACGTATAAAAGCAGACGCTACATGAGAAACCCGGCCATAGATTAACAGCTGAAAACAGCAGGAGCTTGAGGTTGATGGAGCTGAATTAAGGTAATGTGCCCTAGATAAATCACCAAAAAACACAAGTCCTACTTACTCTCTTCCATAGTATTTAGGTCGATTGTTCACCTGCAGGGAGGAGAAGAATATGCAGTCTGTGAAACAGGATTAGATCAAATAGGGCAGAAGAGTATTGTTCAGATTACAGAATGAGGTGAATTTTGTATTTCAATTGGAGTTTGATTAGATTCAAGACTTGAATGGGTAACCAGTATGTGTGCATATGTGTGTACTCGTTCATGAGTGTGTGGGCGCAGGAAATATTGCTCGAGTCAGATCTCTTGTTCTCAACAAAAACTGCTGTGGAGCCAATAAATCAACCAGCAAACCAGGCTGAATATTAAACCGAGAGCGTAGGTCAGACACAGGAAGGAGAACGTAGTCTGATCTCAAACCAGTGCTGGTGAAACACTGAGGAACAAGCAGGTAAAACTCAGAGCGATAGGTTTGTCTGACAGAGAACCAAAACTGCTCTGGGGCCCGTCTGTAATCAAGCATGGAGCAGACAGACTAAAACCCAGAACTAATACTCCAAACACATCCTTGACTACACACGGCGAAGTGCTGAGCTGAGCTGAGGGGGGTAAGCTGTGAGGATCAGGAGGACGTCTCTCGTGTTTTGAATGAAGTGATGAAACAAACGAGTACAGGGTGCAAAGTCGACACTTCGCATGCATGCAACGCTTGAGCAAAGACGTAAATACACCTACTGCTGGTTTTTAAACAAATCTAAACCTGTCAAATTAATTTGTTCTGAGCTTGTGCTTTAGAGGACCGAGAGTGTGAACACATTTAATTTACATGAACGGATGCCTACTTCATGATATTTGCAGCTAAAGATCTACCTAGTGCATCTAAGAGTCACTTTATTGTAAACAATTATGGACCCTTAAGGCTCGTTTTTGCCATAAATTAAAAAGTACCATCTGTAGATAAGTGTTCATTGGTGCATCATTAAATCACATATGTCTCAACTCCCAGCAGACACCACGGAGGGAGGAAGGAGGGGCAAAGAGGTCTTGGACCACATCTGTCTCCCAGTCTGCTGGTTTTAACTGGGTCAGCAGCACCAGCTACCTGACCAGGCCGGGGCAGGAGAGCCGGCAGCTGCTCATTTCACATCTCACATCCATCCAGCTCGCTGCAGGAGCAATGCCTTTAACAGATTAACACACACACCAGACACCAAATCTCTGATCTTTAATCCCTGTTGGATTCCCCCAAATTTGCAGACCCCCTGCAAGCATCATTCCAGCTCCTCTTTATCTATTTATAAGTATATAAGGAGTGATGCTCCTTTAAAATAAAAGATTTTAACGCTCATGTTTTATGTCAACTCTCCTCTAAAGATCTAGGTGATACTTGGACCAAAAATAGCGCGGTGTTCCAACATTTTCAGATCGCATTAACAGATGTTCTCCCTGAAGACAATGGATCGTTGAGCGGTTGCAAAACAATCAGGCGCCTGCTATGAGCTAAATCAGCGAATAGAGTCTCTGAGGAGATGAAAACACACACGCAAACACCCGTACACAAACACCCAAAAAGCACACAGAGGTTTTGAACTCGCTTGAGGGTTTATCCTCAAGTTTTTTTATTTGAACGTTGTCATATCTCAAATCTTCACTTAGGGAGCTTTGGCTTAATTTAAGTGATAATAATTACTCAATAAAGGCTAGATTTCACTTGGAGTTAAGTATTTTTACACTTTGTCTTTAAAAAAATGAAGGAGTTGATTTCATCACAGGCTTCAAATTGAAGAAATCATTCCGTGTTATCGAATCTATAACCAGCTAAAATCCTCTCAGCAGCTTTCACTGCAAAAAGAGGACTTCTCAAGAACAACAGAAGCTGGGTTTGTCTTACCTCACATGTGCAGGTGAGTCTGCGAGGATGCGGCGCCTCCTGCTGGAGCTGGTACACTGTGGGAGAACACACACACACACACACACACACACACATACATAAAACCATTAGCATGAAGAAAAAGTTCAGATGTTGCTTATCATGTTAAACCTGAAAAGAAATCGGTTTTCATCATGTACTCACGGTAAGATTTCCACACTGGTGGTCTGTATTCATCATGATCTGAGGGGAGACAGAGGAACAGACATTATTTGCTAAGCTATGTTGCCCCCAAGTGGACAAAACTGATCAATTCTTCATGTCTCAATTTCACAGGAACCATGAAATAGTAAATAAAAACATGATCCTTACTTTATGTTTTACTTTCTTTTTGATTTTAAATCAGCAAAACAGGACAGAGCATCTGTTTGTGAATGCTGGTTTCATGGATGTGAACAGATTTGGTAGAAATCACATTATTTTACTTGCTGAAAACTGAGACTGCTCAAGGGGAATACACCGCTTTTATGCTGATTCAACATTAAAGGGCGCTTTTGTCAAATGTGACTTTATTTCTTGTATTTTTATGCAGCATTTAGATCAGAGTTTAACCATCTAAATGTTTGCAAAAGCAAATTCATAAACACATCCTCTTCCTGAAGCATAAAAACCTTCATCAGTATTATTTGCAGAAGTGCAGTTTCATGCAAATGAGCTCTCCACTGCGTTGTTTTATCTTTCCAACACTCAACAAGCTCTACTTGTCACACCCCTGAGGCTTGCACGCTTTAAATGAATTGTAGATGGTATCAGCCAAATAGGAGTGTTTCCAAGTTGCAGATAATGAGGAACACGGACATGAATATTAAAGTTAGTGTGGCTGCAGGAAACATTAGAGAATAATTAACAGCCTCAGGCTCTAACATGGAGTTTGGCTGAACTCTGCTGCAGATACACAACATTATCACAGACTGTGTAACCCATCAGACACCTTCTGTTTGCAGTAAAAAGCATCTGTGCACATTTTCAGCAGTGGTGCACTTATAAAGCAATAGAATATGCACGCACCATCGTACTTCACTTGAATATAAGCAGGAAATAAGACTAATCTGATCATAAAAATAAGTTTGAACCCTTCTTCCAAATTCTGCCAAATGCAGTCCACCATCCTCTCTGCATGAGTAAAACTAACAGCCTGTTTCCTGTCTCCTGTCTCCTCGCACGCTCTGTTCACTCCTCAAGTCTTATCTCTTCAACACTTGTCGTCCCGGTATCCTGTCTTCAAAATAACTCCAGATCCTCCCCCCAGGGGTGAGTGTCTCACCCTTTTTCTCAAGGCAACGCTGCCTAAGAGATAGACACACTCCAGGGAAAGTAGACATAACACATCCACTGCTGATTTACAATGCTGAAACAAAGCCAAACACTCTCACTGAAGAAGGGCATAATTTCAGGCTTCATATTTTAGTTTCAGCTACTACTTTGGAGTTTTAAATGGTTTTTTTTACCTCTTAAACATGTCAAACACTTCTAGTTTACGGTTGCTAACCAGTTTACTCACTTCACTGCAACACAACTGTATGTAAACAGCTTCTTAAAGTTGGGAACGCTGCAGCCAAAATGTTGCAGCTTTTAAAACTACAATACAATCAGGGCTGCTGGCTTTTGAACGGTGTGCTGATAACCAGCCAGGTGGCCATTCCCCTTTTTTAGAGTGGAGAAAGCAGCATCCATGATTTCCAAAAAGAATGTCAACTTCTGATTGGTCAGACCATAGGTCAGTTTTCCACTTTGAAGCAGTCTTTCTTCACAGTGCTCAGGTACAGCAAAGTCCTCAGCATTTCTAGATCGTGTTTATGTGCGGTTTCCTCTTTGCACTGAACAGTTTTAACATGTATTTGTGGAAAAGCTGCAAACTCTGCTCACATATAAAGTGATTTTAAGCACATATGGTGACTTCCACGACAGAGTCACACTTGTTTTTTTAAGTTTATACATCCGATGTGTTGCCTTTGCACTTTTGTTACGATGAAAAATGAGCTCTAAATCATTTGCAAAACATCAAATTCTGTTTTCAATCAACATTTTACACAGAGCTGCAACCTTTAGGGCGTGGCATTGCAAATTTAAGAAAGAAAAAAGAAAACTATTTATTGTTAATTCTCAACAACCTCATTTGCATTAAGTAGATAAATATTAAGGATCTATTACAGCAAAGGCATTTCAAAGTGTTAGGGTGTGCCTTGTTCATTTTATTAAAAAGTGGTTTAAGTGGAAAAAAGTATAAATTAGTCCAAAAAAATTAAGAGGAGGAAACAGAAGCACAAAAAGGAAAAAATATATATATTTTAAGCGCTTTGGAAAAGCTCTCACGCAAAAAAAGTGCCGTTTGCTTTGACTAAATGCATGTTATTTCAAGTCCAATCACCTTGATTTATCGAAATGCATCAAGATAAACACGATTTTAGCAATACTATGACTACGCACTTGGTAAGATGAGCAAGCACGACTTTAACAACCACAACAAGGCCAACAAACCCATATGATGAAACAAGTGCGGTGGAAAATGGGCACAAAGGCGAGTATATGAGGCGTGATGCGGCTTACCAAAGACATTTAGGGCCATCTTGATTCTCTGATATGATGAACAATTAACAAGCAGATCCAGATTTCCTGAATAAAAGCGGACCCGCTTAGTTCAAACCCTGGAGGAAAACAGACAAAAGGGACTTAGTTGAATGTATAAAAGTGGAAAAACATCTCTAGTTGGAGAACAAACGGCTGAATAACGAGAAACAATAAATAATTTGGCTCAATTATTAGACAGCTAACGTTAGCGGGTTTGGTTACTTTACTTAGAAGGCTGGACGGCGGAAAAAAACGGAGCAAAGAGATGTTTTTTTAATTTACATTAGCGAGAAAACACAAGCTGTGAAATAAGATGAAAGAAAACCCACGACTGCTCACACAAACGCGAAATTTCACAGAGGTTTTTCTATCTAACGCTTAGCTAATAATACTTACATTCACATCCATTCTACATTGTAGTCGCCATCTTGCCGAGTCACGTGACCAGTCTCGCCCTCTCTCTAGGGTAACTATGGTAACGGACCTTGCTGATGCTACTTCACGGAAAAAAAGATGTCGTCATTCCCCATTGAGGATGGATATTTGCTGTTGTGCGTAGACCTCACTGCTGAAACAGTCTAATGAATTTTCTCTTTGAATTTAAAGAGAGCGAGTCAAAGCTTTAGTAATTAAAGTGAATCAAACACCTTCAACGAAGCATTTATTTATAGGCAGAGACCATCTCTTGGTCCCCAAACTGCTACTGTAATTTTAAAAAATTGTTAAAAATGAAGTGGAAGCATGGCCGGTTAGCTCAGTTGGTTAGAGCGTGGTGCTAATAACGCCAAGGTCGCGGGTTCGATCCCCGTACGGGCCAGCCACCTTTTTTCCCATCCATCTTTATGTTTCCCCTCTGTTCACATTTGTCCTCTGAATTCGTGTCACGATCCCACGTAAACGTTGGGACTAGTGTGCCTGAGAGAAATGATAAATAGCTTTCTACAGTTGTTTTAATGTTTTATTGCGGCATAGTTATCTTGATATTAATCAATAACGGTTGTATCGCTGTATCGTTATAATATCGCCATATCGTGTGTCATCTAATCTTTAATTTATCTCAATCTTTCCTGCTATTGCTATTAATATGTGATAACTCAAGCCTAACTTTGATGCAATCCTTACCCTTTTTCCTCGACGGATCCACTTCCCCAGGTTACCATAAAGCGGCGCTGTTTGTCCGCCCATGCCGGCCTCTCCCTCCGCCTGACTCTGTAGTGCCGGGGTGCCTGTGCTGGAGGCGGTGTGTTGCTCTTTATTGTTCCAGTGGAAAGCTCAATGCACGGTTTCCCACATTTGTCTCAATGGCTACCGCACAGAAACCACGTCCCACCTGAGAGAGGGAGCGGTTCGGCTGCGAAACGAGGACTTGGTATCCACCTAAAACTTGAACGCAACACGGTGTGGGATTTACGTTCTGCTTTTGGAAATTAAAAGAAGCTCTTCCACACGGACAATCTGTGGATCCTGAAGAAAGAGAAGGGGGTAAGGAATCATGCCATCCGGCTTATGAAGCGAGGATACACGTAGCCTCTTTCGCTTTTCATAGAGCATACTTATGATCAGAGGCAGCCACTTGTATTCAGATATTCCTTTACAGTTTAAGCGCTTTTTCTTCTTAAAGCAACAGTGCGTGATGTTTGATGAGCCTGATATCCTAAGTATAAGCGATTGCAAGCAGCCTGTTCGTTTTCCTAATCGGCTGAGCTTTAGGAGGTCCAGCAGAGCTTCTCTTACTGTAAGCTTAATGATAGACAAGGAATAGCCTTCTTTAGTGGGTGCTTTTAACATTGGCACGCATGGCAACATTTCCCATAAAGTTAATCTTTTATAGATCTTACTTTTGAGTTGGAATATTACCCACTTTAAGTCATGTTTTATCTATAATGTTATTTTTCCTTGTTGTTATGCTCTGCAGCCTTCCCAGTTTGCAAACCTCACAATAGGCTTGTCATTTTTATTGCACGTTAAGCACACACAAATATAGCCCACACACTGTCTTTGGGTGTGATCTGGCAGCCTTAGCCTACTGACATCTTTACCCTGGCCTGAAGGATTACTCTGCTAACCTACATCCTGGGGCTTGCACTCTTGCCAACTGTACTCTTATATGTGTGTGTCTTCAGAAGAGCTTTACATAGGAGCGGGTAAAAAAAAAAAAAAAGCTGTTTTGTGCATGCAGGAAATTGCTCCTTTGTATCATCACCTTCACTCTTCATGGCACCCAGGAGGTGACAAACAATTCCCTTTCTTTTATGGATCTCTGGGGGGGTGTGCTCTTGCTGCTTCCCCCTCTCTTCGCAGCACCCGTGGTCGTCATTGTCTCGCACATGGTTGCATTCACTTTCACGATCAATATCACAGCCGTAAAGGTGACAGAACTGGTGTAACACTCTCCCTCTTTCACGTACACACAGCCTCACGATTGTAACCCTCCTGAGGGCAATAGAGCAGCTTAACAGCCCAGCGGGCGGAGAGTGTCACCTTGATACAACATACTATCAAGCGCAAACCATTGATCTGCCAAGGTTGTAAGAGTGGAGTGTTTTGGCCTTGATCTGGGCCTCACCTGTGCCTGCCAGGTAGTCGTAGACACCTATCAGTGTCATTTTATGACAACTTGTGAGCTTTTTCCTCAGGTTCTGCCTTATTCAGGTGATTGTTGAGCTATGTGAATGACTTTTACTACACTATTACCCTCAGGGATGCTAAATACTGCAGACATACAGTATTGGAAGATACAAGCTTGAAAATTAAGTATCGGCATTGACAGATATAGGCTGTGTGGCAATTTTTAAGTGTTGGACAGGTGAAGCAAGGAAGAGCAAAACAGCGACAACAATCAGCCAAACTTATATCAGCCAATTAGATAGAAGGAGAAATCTTACAGAAAACAACATTTTAAAAGTTGCAATACCTCTAGACAGTCATCCATTGGATTGAGGAGTCTCTGGCTGACATTTATAACCACTTCCTGACACTAAATAAACCAAATGATGATGAATTATCATCAGATTAACCGATTAACATAATCATTTGTGGGGATTATTGCTAAATCCCTGACACTGGAGCACGTTTTGTCATCTTAGCTGTGTGGAAGTGAAACTGCCTCAGTTCACATCCTCTTTTCATCATGGTCAGTTTGTGACCCTGATCTGCTTTCACAGTACAGATACTGTGTTTTAATCTGTTCCTGTTAAACACAGTCTATAATCTGGCAGTTTTTTGTCCAATTTGGAAAATGTGTCAATTGTTCGGTCTCTTTTTTTTAGCTTCTATGTTGCTTCTTATGCAACATTCCTTCATGTGAATATTGTATCCCTGATTATGTAATCCTTCGATTCCACTTTGTGCTGTCTTGATTAATATTTCCAACAACAAAAAGGATTAAAAGCAGATTAACGCCTGTCAAAGTTAAAGCCCTCTCTGTAGATGCACTCATGCACACACGCTCACACTCACATCCGATTCCCAGAGTCCGGCTTCCCCCTCGCAAAAAACTCTTGGGAAAACTTTCAGTTCAAAGGCTGGATGAGAGGCCTCAGTCCCTCCGATTTAAAGCCCGGGCTGCTGGAAGCTCCCACAGTGGCTTCCTTTGTGCCTGCAGTGTGATCAGCTCACTCTGTATTCCTCTCTTGCTCAACTTAACTCCGTGTATAATCCTCCAGCCACAGCAGAGGACAGGATGAAACTTTGGCCTCCAAACTTCCACTTTTCAAGTTGTATAAGTGATCCAAAAATGGAGATACTGCAAAACAAGTTTCCTCTTCAGGTTTTTGTTTATTTTTTGTAGTTTAAAGGAAAGAACTGTTGAAACTTTAAGTCGCAAAATGCTCTAAAATGTTGCTGGGAATTGGCTGCTGCTGGACAAAAACAACATTTGTGCTTGCTTATCTAGATGAAAATATATGAATTGCAGTACTTTGCAGGAAACAGAAAACAAACTCTCTGTGACTAAAGTTTCTGTTTGTGTTTGTGGTCCTAAAATTTGGCCTAATGATGAGCTTTTGCACAGAGATGTAAACCCTACTGTCTGCAGGATGGTATTTTCCAGTGTAAACAGCACCTGCTTGTGAGTGAAGCATTAGGTGGAGCTGTAAAGCCGGCTTTTTATGACACTTTTGTTGCTTTAAAGGATGAGCAAAGTCTCATAAGCAGATCTTCTTGGTCGTGAGGCAGCTATTGTAAACGTCTCTCGACAGAGCGCCGCTTTCAGTGCAGCGGGGAAGTCGCACACAGGAACAAATGAACGTTCCCACAGGTGTAATGAGTAACCTGAATGTCAGGTCCCCTTTTGTTATTATCAGGTCACTTCTTTGGCCGGGTTCCAGTTTCCATTATCAGCTTTCGTCACCGGGGTAAAAAAAAGGGTACAAGTTTTTGTGCACAGGTGAAAGAGGGATTAGCAGAGCTCATTGTGGAAATAAAAGGCTGAACAAAGGGGGAAGTGTCTCTCAAGTTTATGTGCAAATACACTTTATAGCAGAGAGGGTTTCTGTGCGTCCATGGAGAGTGCGCAGTACTGTATAATTTTGGCTGTAATACATGCAGGACAAAGATGTCTCTCTTTCCATTTTCACACTGGGGTCAAAGGTCAGCTGCAGAGTGGCTCCCCTGGAGCTTGTAGGCATTTACTGGCTGTGTGCCACTTCCTGGGCCCCTTTCTCTGAAAACTGAGGGTTGGTCAGTAAAACATCAATTTGAATCTCTTTTATTGGTTGAGAAAGTCCCAATGTTAGTTTGAATATCTCTTAATTCCCACGTTGATATCCTGTCTTTGTACAAGCAGAAATAGAAAATGACTCATTTTAATCCCCATGTGAGAGAAAAGTATGAAATCCTCATGGAAGAGAAGTTAGAGCTGCTGTCTTTGGATGAAGAAAACGCTCAAAGTTTTACTTTTTTTAAGTAGGTCTCATCTCGGTGTCATCGCTCATCCAGTCTGAGCCTCACAGAGAAAAGCGACGGCCACTCACTGGATGGATTTTTGGGATAGTCTACATCAAACCGCAAATTATACACTGGTTTTATTTGGCAGATTTGGGCAGAAGAGAGCTGTATTTTTATTCTCAGGCACATTTAAGGGAAGATTTTTGGGATCACACAGCCTTAAATCAACATGATGACACACTGCATGTACACGGTCTTAAAATATCAACCTCACTTTGGACAGGGTGAGAGACTCTCTGAGGGACACTTTAGCCATGCGCCATAAATATGATATGAGTGGTCATTTAAAGCTCCAGTGAGGAGTTTTTGACTGGTGACGGAAAAAACTGAAATTGATAATGCTGTATTCATATGAGCTACAAAAACAAGTGAGCCCATCAGCGAGAGGAATGAAACCTTTTTTTTTTTTTAAAGGCATGGTTGATGATCTGAGAAGCAGTTGAAAAATACTAAGCCGTTGAGGCCCTCCCCCCCAACCTGTGTCGCCCTTCCCACGACACACCCCCTCTGGCAGACCAAGAAGTCAGCCGGCAAAAGATGCTACGTTAGCTTCAAATAGGATTCACCATGTCGGATTGTTAGTGACTAGCAGCAGTAAACGCCAGCTCACAGCTCCTGTAGCTAAGCTGCTACGCTACTTTTAGCCGCTCAGAGCACCGAGGAGGGAGAGTGGGAGGGGACAAGTCGGATCTACGGGAACTTTTCTCTTCACTTTGTGGAGATCGCACTATAGGACCATGATCTCCATATAAACGAGGTCCATAATAATTACCAATCTCTCCAATTGTCAACCATGCCTTTAAAATTTTTGATGCCTGAAATTGTGAAGTAGGGGGGTAGGTGTCGGAGACGTTGAGGAGATGGCCTTTTCTATGAGACATATGTAAACAAAGGTAGAAAACCCAATTTACACATCTAAATTTTAAGATGACAAGAAATGTGAAAAGTATCACTTTGTCCACTGGGGGCGCTAAAACCAAAACTAACAGAAAATTCCTCACAGGAGCTTTAATTCAGACATACAGTACTGCTGGTGACTTTCTCCTCTGATCTGAATCTGAGCTTACGAACAACCTGTTGAACAACATGGCGCCCAGTTGGCGCTGAATGTCGCACTGATTTATTGGCAGGTTATGTGTCATGGCTGAAAGCATATTTAAAGCACTTTTACTCCCAGACAAATCAGCGACTGAACTTTCTCAAACAGAGAAGAGAGTTTTTTTTTGTTCACGTAAACACCGCCAGCGTGCTTCATTCCTTCCTCGCCCCCCCACCGACTGTCTTCTAAAACATTCCCGGGCCCTGATGTCACCAACCGTCTGCGAGGATATTTATTGTCTGAGGTTGGGGTTTATCAAGTGTAGGATGGCGGCGGTGGGGGCGATGAAAAGTTTGTGCCTGTTTGGCTCTGAGAGAAAAGAGAGGGCGAGAAGGGGAGGGCGGGGGGGGCGAGTCTTTGTGTGTTTTCAGACCGTATCTCATCTGCCCCACTTATGAGGCTTTGATTCAAGTCTGAACTGGCCTTACACAGAGCGGGGGATGTTCTGTTTGTAGGAAACGGCGTAAATCCCACCTGCATGTGCTGCAGCTGGGAGAAAGGAGTGCGTCTCTTTAGGTGTGAGGCATGTCTGTCTGCTTCATTGTGCATGACCAAACTCTGAGTTTATCTGTCATACTGCGGTTTAAACTCTGCTTTAATCACCCTGACCGGTATCAAACCCCAGCTGAAGACTCACTGACTAAACGTCTGGTCGTTTCTACCAATTAAACCCAGACTGAAGAAACCCTGGCTCCTTCTCTTTGCTTATTTCTGGAGCTTGTTCTGCAGAAAGTTTCCCCTGGAGCCATGTTCTGATGTCCTCGGGGATGTTTTTTTTCTCCCTCAAAATGTTTGCTTGTCTAACACCCACACTGCTCCTATAAAAAGAAAACAGGAATACCATACAAGGAGATTTTGTCCAGAATTTACCAACACACAGGATGTGATGCAGCTGAGTGCTCATGTAGGAGCTTAAATCTAAGAGGAAATGCTGGATCTCTGTGTTGAACTGCCTATTATGTGTTTAAGACATCCAAAAATATCTGGAAATCACAGCCTGAACTGATTGCTGGCTGTTTTAGCTTCAAGTGCATGAATGCAACCCAGAATTTAAAGCAGATGCATCTAAAATCACCCCTTCTCTCTCCTTCTTGCAGACGTGAACATAGGTGCCTGAAAGACCGAGCACTCCTGAAACCACAGCGCCCATCACCATGGTGGAACCAGCCGATAGGCCGTCCGCAGCCGGGCAGCGGCTGAGCGCCCCGGAGAGTTTCGGCGTTTCCACTCTAGAGCCGGGACTCCGCCCTCCTACCCAGCCCCCGGGGCGACAAGTGTCCATTAGGGTTCAGATGCTCGACGACACACAGGAAGTCTTCCAGATATCGGTGAGTAATAAGAGACATGTAAACAATCAGCCGGTCGGCCATGTTGGATATACCGGTGAATCAGACGTCGCAACAACACGCAATCTGATTGGTCAGAAGTGGACACACAGTATGCGAAACTTAAGAAAAATCATCCGTGATACGAAAAAATAAATGCCGCAATATCGCAGGACGGGAAAACGTCGCTGATGTGAACGCTTGTATTGACAGGATACAGGTTAAAAAAAAAACATTGACGTCCAAAATAATCGCACAAGAAAAACGCTCCTGGTGTGTAGGGACCTTAAGACCGGACATCTGAAGTGCATGTAAACACCTTAGTCCGACTATAAACAGAATTTGAGAACTCCGGTTAAGACACTCAGATAATGCGATTGGAATTCGATTTTCTCTACCATGCAACCCCAGAACAAAAACACTAGAGAAGAGGAGTAGTGTGCCCCTCATCTGCTGAAAAAGTAGTGCCTACATCATGTACGACAAAAACAACGCTGTACTGATGCTCCATCTTCTTGATCGAAAATGCCCAGCAGCAGTTGTAGACACTTCTGACATCTGGCATCGCCCCCTAGTTTTGGGGAGGAGGACACATTCACGTCAATAATTCGATTTTCTCAGCTGCATGTATACGCGGACAAGAGGAATAATAATTATGAGCTTAAACTGTGTAGTAAACGCAGTGACTGTGGGCTATCAACTCCCACAGTTACAATAATCCCATCTCGTGCTGTAGCTGCAGGTTCAGTTGCGCTCTTATCACACATATCTGCTTCCCGGTGAGACACAGGAAGTGGGATTGAGACCAGCTTCCTGTTTAAGCACACCCCACCTTTGACTGGATCCTCACAGACGGAAACACGCTGCAGCTTTCATTTTTCCCTTTCTGTCAGTTCTCATATGAGCACCCAGTTTTTTAATTTCCGGCCTTTTTATCTCCAGTTTACTCTCCTGTTTTTTTGCACTTTAAATCTCTGAGACTTGGATGTGAGGTTTTTGTTTGTGTGCAGCTGCTCCCTAATGCTGGTCAGAGATCAGCATCACAGGCAGTAGCTTTAATGACATCTGTGCTGCTGCTGCTGCTGCTGTGGGAGTAGTACTTGAATTTCTGAATTAATGTCAACCGCAATGACGGGAACTTTGCTCGCACGCCCTCTTCTGCAATTCGCATGCCGGCCGCCGCTTTACCGGCTCTGAATTCTGAGTTTTTTAGTGATGATAATTAAGCAGAAATTCCGGCGAGTCTCCCTGTCTCAGCTGGCTTGTCGCACATCCAGAGCTGCCAGTTTGGAAGAGTCATAATTGGCTCTTGTGAAAATGCCAAGAATGTACGTGGTTGTTAGTGCCTGAGGATGTGTGCGTCTGCGGCTGTGCGGACACTTCGACGGGGGGGAGCTGGGATCCTGGGTTGAGGGATTGTGTATTTTTTTTTGCAGTTTTGAAACCCCTAAACTCATGTTTTCTCAAATTGGAGTCAGAAAAGTGAAGCTGCGGCTCTCCGCAGGGCAGCAGCAGCCTTTATTTATGACTTCTGCTGTTGTTTTCTTCAGAGAGAGAAGTGTAAACCAGCGGGAGACAGGAGCAGAAACAAAAACGAGGCAAAAACAAAGAAATGGAGGAGAAAATAACAGAATGAGATCTTTTTATTGCACATTCAAAGATCTAAATGGAGCACTGTTTCTTGGCTTGACTCACCTTATCTGTGGTTTCCTGCTACAACGCCTCGCGGCGTGTTTGTGCAGAAGGTGTAGACTAACGTGTGAATCAACAGATAAGCCTGCAGCCTTTACACTCAGGTTGGCACTCAGTCGGGCATTTTTCTCACCACAGGGAGAGCTGGCCTTCCAATAAACTACTCATTAACCCAGCCTGTAATCCGAAAACCCTCAAAACCTCAGCCAGGGGGGTTTTGAAGAGGGGCAGTAAAATTTAAAGATCCAAAACATCATTTGAAGCCGCTATTTTTCACACTCAAGTAACACCTCTGGTATGCTGTAGCTCCAGGGTTTGGGTGCTTATACTCCATTACATTACAGATATTGAATGTTCAGGGGCAAAAGTAGTCCTCACTGATCTGGTTCAACCTCCTCAGAGGAGCTCCAAACATGTGACTTCCATTGAAACGACATATTTGGGCTCCATGTGGCCCTCGCCGTGTTCTTTGGCTTTCATTGTCGTGACATCGTGTTTCTGTTATTTCTAAAATGAACTCTATCCGAAGGCTCTCTGTCGGGAATGTGGACTATGTGAACGGACTCCGTTCGTCAGATTCCCATGAGCGGGAGATCCTACTGTGTTTTATTTGGGCTCTATTGTTTGTGGAGGCCTGGGCCTTAAATCGAACCCAGCTTTTCTCCTGCGTGGAATAACAGGAAATATTAGCCAATCAAATTCAGCCTTCATGGCGAAGTATGCGGATCGTAAATCCACACATATGGTGGAGAATCACCTCACTTACACTGAATATTTTTATTATTAATTCACTTTCCTGAGCTGACCTTGAAACTCGAAAACACCTTACATTCATAAAACACCGCCCACTGCTTTAGCGACCGCTATCGCTACGCTACACACACACTTAGAGGCTTCATTATTAATGTGGAATAGAAGCAGCATGTCAGAGCAGTGTGAGAGTGCACAACACTGTCTCCGACTGCCACTCTGTAAATAATTAAACACAGAGGGGATGTGCCGTATACATGCATGCATGCTGAATAATCAAGGATGGATGTTACTCATTCACTCTGTTGTAACAATGGATCCTTTCACAGAGCTTGTCTATTGATTTGAATGTAACAACATGTCCGCCTGCCAACTCCTCATATCTGCTCCACTGAGTTCCTTTGATATCTGATTTTATTACAGTTTAATCTCATCATAGAGATAAAAAAAAAAGACTCCCTGCCCCAAACATTTAACATCGATCACAAGGGCCCGACCGATATGGAATTTTTGGGGCCGATGGATGCCGTTCCCGATTATTAGGGCTGATTAATTACCAATTAATCGGCTGATTTTTAATTTTATTTTATGAAGTTAGAAAAAATATATATATACTGGTAGATATAGAATACTATATACCATACATATACTGTAGGCTACTGCTCTTTACGCCGACAGGAAGACCGACTGATCAAACTCAGACCAGAAAAGCGTTTTCAAGAAGTAGCTCGATCACGTAATGTGTACTGTTGTTTACTCTACCATTACTGGCACGGCTAACAGTGTAGCGAGGCTAATAGCAGATGGCTAACTCTAACTTTATCTTGCATATTACATGGTGGTTCACCGTTAACTCGGCGTGACCGAGACCAGCACAGCGGGGAACACTGTAAAGTGGGTTGAACTGAAACTTGTTGACTTATTGTGTATTTCACAAACTGGTTTATTTACCGTTGAGGCGGACCACTCTCCTCCGTGCGTCCCTGAGCTGCCTGCTTCAGATCCGTCACTCTGCTGTGCTGTGAGGTAGTTAGTGGTTGAAGATTGTCATGAGGTCGCTGCGCCATCTACAGGATAAGTCGGGGAACTTTTCAACTGGCGGAACATTTTTAAAGTGAAACCGAATCTTATTCTCCGCATTTTATTTCTGAGTTTTTGCTGATTACCATTAGTCTCAAACTGGGTAAAATTGGCCGATTTTATCAGCTCACCGATAAATCGGTTGGGCCCTATTGATCACTACTGCTCATGATTTGAGCTATTTTACGAGGGTTGCTCTTGCTAGCTCTGCTTCCATTGCCTGGATTGCAGGACAAGATGTTGCTCCACTTTAACCAAGCTGAAATGGATTTGTTCCCAACTTTGAAGACAGGCCTGAACTGAAAATTATCATTTTGGGCCAAAGTCATACTTTTTTATATTCATCTGTATTGGCTGACTGGTTGAGCTGTTTCTTTATGCAGTGTATGTTGGGTAAAACCAACACATATCCCCCCCGATGTAAATACCAAATACAATAATCCAAAGCAGGAAGTAATCCCTAACAAATTCTCCATTTTCCTTTTTTTTTGGGTACGTTTTCAAAACTGTCATACTCAGCTGGTTTAACGTGAAATGTCTCTAGGTGTGTCCTTAAACTGGAGTTGAGCCTGGCCTTGAAAAAGGTCAGGAGGGAAGAGATAAACAAACTAACCCTGGACTTGAAATTGCATGTTTTGTTGTGTGTTTTAATCATATGTCTTTAACATACCGTGGTTTCACATCCAGCCATGACAACCAGACCTTCATTCTTGCACCTGCATGTGCAATTCATTACAGTGGACATGCAACAGCTTTACATGGTGGCAAAGATGAATCCCCGCTGACTCCCTGGGGAACAGTTGAGCTCAGTTAAGCCCACCCCCCGTGGACTTGCCCCCCATAAGAACCTGATTAGTGCAGCTGATGCATATTTTATTCTTACAGTGAGTGTACATATGGAGCAGCATGTCCCCTTTCACTTTTGCATGCAGAGTTCTTCGTTTTCATTCAATTTGGGGCTCTTGATTGGTTGATGTTTTCCCTGCAGGGCCTCCTCTAGCATGTTAACTTGACCTTAATCCCTGCGACACCATCCAACACATCCACACCAAGATTGACCCTCCTGGTCAATGCCAGAAGCTCTCGCAAAAACACAACAAGGGGGGGGCTAAAAGAGGCTACGCACACGTGGAAGGGGTGCGTGTTTCGGATGCAGTCAGATCCCTCCTGTTTTGTTTTCGTTGCATGATTGGATTGTGGCTTTATGATCTGCATGACTTCTAACCTTGTGTTTTGTACGGTTTTGGAGAAAGATACCGTATTACAAAGAATCGAGGGTGGGTTTAGGAGGATTAGGATGATAGAGCCGCTTTATACACAACATCACTTGATGGACTGGAGGTCCCCAAAGGCCTCTGATAAATGAGCTACAAGTCCCCCGCCACATTATGCACAAATGCGCTCCTGGGCTGCGATGTGGGGCTGTTGACATTTCAAATTGATGGGCCTTTGTGCTGTCGGCCACCTCGGGAGTAAATGATACATGTGGAAGGAGCAGATAGAGAAGAGACAAAAGAAGCTGAGGTTGCCTGGATGGCCGCATATGTTCTCCAAAACAATGAATGAGAGTAGAGGATGCGCTGTCCACGGTTCGCAAAAAGATGAATTCGGAGCAGTTTCTACCTGCGTTTGTGGATTTGAGCTAATGCAGTGACTTCCACTCCAGAGCCATGTCTAATTTTAAGATCATGGCTATCATGTCTTTTTTGGTACAGAGATTCATCCAGATTTGCACCAGGGGACATTATTCAAAAATTGTTGTACTTTTTCCTCACGCAGTTGCTCACAAGGTGGTAAAATCAGCATAGAAATGATTAAATATTACAGTTTCAACTCTTTTTAAAACTAATAATTGCGTTTAGATTCTATTTTTATCAACATTTTAGCCAGTCGTTCAGCCTTTTTGGGGCAAATGTACATTTAGTGTAATTGTGCCTCATTCCTTCTCCAAATCAGAAGTATGTCTGCCTCCTCCTGCAGCTGAATTCTTGACTTTTTGCCTCTTATAAGACCAGAGGAAATTAGCTCTAATACAGCCTAGCATTACTGAATTAGCATGCACAGAACCAGACAGTAATTATTCTGTCCAGACTAAGTCCCAGAGTTATTTTAATCCTTGGACAGGACTACAAACTCTTTTTTCTTTTTCATTTCGAAAGAGTTGAGTGGACTTTTTCATCCTGGGTTTCGATATTTAACCCATAAGCATATTAAAACTGAGCTTTCTGTCTCTTCTCAGGGTTTTTTTCTGCCGTATTTATGCTGGAGAGAGACTCACAAAAGAGACAAAGTGATGATAAAAGATGAGATAGTGTGTATTTTGAAGCTTGGAGTCAAACTGTGATCGTGTTTCTCTGTTTGCTCAGAAGTTGGCAGTATTCCTGGTAGTTAAGTCGCGGCGGTTTTGGATGTGTGGGCAGAGCCAAGGTGATGTTTAAAGGCAGCAAAGTGTAGTCATTTCAGGGTGAGGCTCAAACGCTGGCTTTGTGATCTCGCTGAAGTTTACGACCCATCATCCCGGCAGTTTTTTCTCTCACTCTCTATCTGTCCTCACATCCAATCTCTAAGCCCTCACTTCTAATCTTTCCCTTTCATTCTGCTGTCTTGGAGCGCTTACAGAACTAACAGTAGCTTTGGCAGACCACATTCATCATCCTTGTCCACGGGGACCTCCTCCGTGAGCGGTAAATCCCCCCTCGCCAAAGTTTCTGCTCGATACACCATCGTAACATCCTAAACTTGTGTCCATGCTGTTTGCGTGAGCTCGCACGAGCCCCGTTAAACCACGTTACATGGAGATGTGAGTTTATAGGCCAGTGTGCTTATTCAGCACATGTCGATGTGTGCATGCTACGACCTGCTTAAGATGACTCAATCAGAGCCCTATTAGAATAAATATTGAATCAGATTTACAGATTTAAGAGCCTCCCTCTGCTGACTCTCATGATGGGAACAAGGATGTACTTGACTAAAGTACATCTTTTAAGTACATCCGGTGATGAATCATAGTCTCTTCAACTCTTAGTCACTGTGTTTCTCGACTTTTCGTACCTCTGCAATGAGCTACACCAAATGTGGGCGAGCTTGAGTTTGAGTGGATGAAGTCTGTTCATTGTAAGCATTTTAAGTGTCCCTGAGATTTTTCCAATACAAACACAAGTTAAGACTTGAAGGTCCTAGATTTCCAGCTGTTAAAACCTAGCTGTCTTTTTAGGGCAGGGCTTTGTTTAAGTTACAAAAAGTCACAAATTCAGTCATTTAAGAGGATTTGCAGCTTCTTGGTTTGAATGCAGAGGCGGAAAAACACCAATAACTCCCCCAGGAGATCCTTTCATAAGGGTCAGTTTTAGAGCAAGCTTTACTCTTCACTGATTTTTCTCAAAAGATAAGTCACAACAGAGACGGTAAAATAGTTGGATGGTGCACCTGTTGCTTTAAAGGGATATTCCAGCGTAAAATTAAGTTAGGGTCAAACACACGTAACATCGAGTTAGATGAGTGTTGCCAACCGCTTGCTTCTCTACTTGTACCAACTTAAATAATGACCGCATGACAGTAATACACAGTGGTCTCAGGAGCCACGCGCTCAACCAAAACGCCACTCTATAGCCACAAATAATGCTCAGAAAAGCACCTAACTTCATCAACAGGACATATAGGGTCCCAGTCATAGTACTAGACACCAAATATCTTTTTGGCTTTGCCTGGTTTCTTTAGCAAAGAGAGTAAACACAACTCACCTACTCTCTTCCAGCAGGCGCTTGTTTTTGGGGAGCCCTTACAAGTCAATCACCAAGTGCAGCGGGGTGACGCAGCTCAAGGAAGAACACTTACGATAATTTCTTCATGGAAATGCAATCAGACCGAGATGCTAAGGCAGAAGAACTACCACGTCTGCAGTGCAAAATGATTAATATGGTGATTATTACTTCAAGGAAATGATAAAGAAATGATCATACATGTTCTTCCTATAGCTGCGTCACCCCGCTGCAGTCGGTGATGGACTCGCCGGTGGTTTCCGTACCAAAACAAGTGCCTGCCGGAAGAGAGAAGTTGAGTTTAGTCTCTTTGCTAAAGAAATTAGTCAAAGTTAAAAAGATGTTTGGTGGCTAGGACCCTATATGTACTGTTGATGAAGTTAGGTGCTGTTCTGAGCATTATTTGTGGCTATAGAGTGATGTTTTGGTTGAGCACGTGACTCCTGAGACTGCTGTGTATTGCTATCGTTACTAAAGTTGGTATAACTAGAGAAGCAAGCGGTGGGAACATTCATCTCTCTCAGGGGTGTCTAACTTGGTGTCACGGTGTGTTTGACCCTAACTTAATTTTACGCCAGAATATCCCTTTAAAGCCCCTGTAAGCAACATTTATGTGAATATTGTGGCGCCCAGAGTGGAAAAGATGACACTTTGTGTTTTCCTGTAATTACAAAATAAGTATTTCTGGCTATAAATGTCTCAGTTATGAAAAGTCTCTGTTGTGAAAAGTGCAACAGCAGTAAAAAAAAGTTGTATTCTTGGATTGTCTGACTCCTTCCATGTAGAGGTAGCTACACACACTATAAATAGCCACAGAGACCTAATCTGCAGATGATCTTGTTTGCTTCTGTCTGAGGAAGGAGGATGTGGACCAGTGCAGGTGAATACAGAGGCTGAAAAACACCAAAGCAAACACATGGCGAGCCCTCCAGGAGAACTCGTGCCAACTCCGAGCTAAATGTTTCAAGTCATAAGCTGAAAAGGTTATCACAAACCAAAGAGGACATGTCAAACTGTTGATGAAGATGGTTTTGTTTGTCACATGGAGGCATCAGCAAATGATCTGTTTGATGGTTTCAGCGTTTGATGGATGATGAATTTTTCCAGTTTTCAAATGAAAATGATTTGAGTTCAGGAGGAGAACTTTGTTTCTCACTCTAAATAGTTAACCCTGAGCTGAACATTTTGCCAATTACAAAGGAACAAAGAGTCAGCTGTCGCCTTCACAACCAGATGAGTGTTATATATACTTCGGTCTGTATCAAGTAAAAAAAACAGCCTTAGGAAAAAAGCAGAGTCATACCCCTAAATTTAAGTAACATGTGGATGCAGCGTGCTCGCGTACAGACTTTTAAACAGAGGAGCTGCTCTGCGTTATGTAATGGTTGGCATTCAGTGTCTCATTCCTGCGGTCAGGGACCTCAAAAAGCAACTTCTTCTTCCTGCACTGACTTTCCTTTCAGCTACCTCTGCTCCTTATTTTCTCCTCTGTAACTGACCTCAGAGTTAAACCTGCTGGTGGAGTGAATGAAGAGATTTTTCCCATGAAGATAAATAAAGTAACATGCTATTAAAGTTCAAAACATGATTTGAGAAAAAGGCGGTGATAGGACTTCTTTATATGTCAGTGTCTTGAGGTTCAGTGGGAACTTCGGCTGAGGCTCTGCTGTCGCAATACAAGCGTGCATTTTGTAATTCCGCCATGTAGGTGGGTGTGTGCGCGTGCAGCCACGTGGAAGCGTTTAGCAGTGCTGAGTTCAAAGACAGGGCCACAGACGGAGCTGCCTCTGAGCGAGGAAGGAGAATGAGGAAAGGAGACAGAGAGATTATGACTCTGAGTCTCTCCATGATTGAGAGACAGTTACTGAAACACTGCTGGTGAAAGTGAGCCGGAAAGAGACGAAAGGGGCCCAGCTGAGGGTCGAAAAAGGAGGCATGGTGTTCCTCTCACTGTGATGGAGAAAGAGGGCGAATGTAGCGACTGTGAGGGGGAGGAAGATGTATACAGATGCACATCCGTCTCCCACAGAAGCGAATGAATGAGCAAACAGTGTCTGGCTGCAGATGGGAAAGGTTATTTTTGAAGTAATTGCATTCAACGAGGTCCCAAGTGAGGGAGCTGGGCCCCATTTGGGGTAATCTGCAATCCTGATTCAGGGTTATGCACCAAACCCCAGCAAGAAACGAGGTGATTTAGCGGATTCGCAGTACAGGCTTAAAAGGCATTCAGCTATTCTTCAAAGTTGGAAACTAATTGCTTCCTTTATTTGTGTTATCTTGATGCCTAACACGCTATAACAATATCTTATTCACCCTGTCATCACAAACTCTACCCCAGTTTGGGTCTGAAATACTTTAGTGATGTTGTTTTAAACACAATGGGAAATTAGCATCAGGCTTTAGCCAAAAGCTGGAAGGTTTATCTCCCCTGCCAGACACACTGGAGAACAGCCAGAACTCATTTAGAGCTCCTGTTGAGTTTAAAAAATGAACCTGGAAGAGGTTGTTCAATAAAAAGAGAATTGTAGCGACAATTTAAATGTTGGTGTTGGACACAGGAATGAGCTTAAGGCAGCTCTTCTGTTTCTGTAATCTGATCTCTCCTCGCCGTTAGATTTTCTCCACCTGAGAGCGAGAAACTGAAGCGGTGAGGGGGAGTCTATCGCTCTAAATGTCGCTAAAATTAGCTCGAGTTGGACAGGTTTTTATGGGCAGAGCTGTGAGGTTTTCTGGCTCCCTTTCCCAGCTGTCTTTGCTGCCATAAATCTGCAGCCGATGATAAAGGAGAGTAGTTAGCTTGTGTTTGGGTTTCCCCCTCAGTGCAGGTGATAAAGTGAGTCCTACCTCTGGTGGTGGGAGAGGGAGGAGGGCCCAGAGTGCTACAGTAGAGATAGGGCTGGGCGATAATACGATTATGCTATATATAGAAAATTAACTTCCCTCAATATCAACATAAAACACGGTCAATATCCTTTTTAATAGTTGGTATTCTGCCATTTTTGGTAGACTATACGAATAGTCAATGAAAAGGGGAGTTGCTTCAGGTCCGCTTCGCACTGAACCAATCATGTGCTGAATTAGAACCAAGTAGCAAACAATTAGTAGTAACAGGCTGCAGCTACACGCAACCATAGCACTCTAACAAGTGAAGCCGACAGCACTGTCGGTGAGAAAAAAAGAAAATGAAAAAAAGATGACAACATCGTCAACAACACTGGCACGAAAACGTTGGTGGTGTGGAGGTATTTTGTTTTTTTGAAGTGCTTTCTCTAGCCTTATGACGAAATGTCAAGGAGACATTAAGACCTCACAGATGCAGTAGCTAATGTATTGCAAAAGAGATGCTATCAATTAACACTGTTAAATTTTACGTTTCATATCGTGATATATATAAAAATATATTGAAAAAAACTTTTTCCCACATCGCCCAGCCCTACGTAGAAATGAGTATAGGTGCTATTTTTCCAGTGATATTCACCTTCAGTCAAGCAGGTACTGTTGAATTTTAAATGCAGAGGCGGAAAAACACCATACAAATTTGGCGAGTGCTCCAGGAGAGCTAACCATCCATCTATTAGAATAAACATTAATTTTACCAAACTGACTAATTTCCAAGTCATTTAAATGGAAATTTGAGTGAACTTGAGCAGCTCCTCGACATAAGAGTGTATGGGAACATGACCAGAAGACATGCTTAAGGATCTATCAAGCAGCTTAAGCTCTAAGTGTCAGCTTCGGTATCTTAAATGAGATTTCGGCCCCTCCATAAGTGTTAAGCACGGCCCCTTATTAAACTGCCTTGCTCAATCTCTGTCTCGGATCAGCACCCTGCCCTGGGTGTTGTTAAGTGGAAGCACGCAGCCCTGTTTTCCAAAAGGTGAAGTGTTTCTTAATCTCTCTCTTCGCCTCTGTTTGGACATTTCCCAGAAGCCCCCGCTGGAATTCAATGGCGACTCCCCCTGCTGCGTCTCCCGCTGCTCGTTCCTCTGAGAAAGTCACCGAAGAATGCGGCCTTGGGTGTGATACGAGGGAGGAAAAGTACTTTACGTGGCTCTCTCTCTCTCTCTACTTCAAGATGTTCCAACCAATCAATCCGGATTCTCAGCAAATATTTGAGGGATAGTGTTCCTTTAAATAGCCCTAATTGGGAATTCCCAGTATTACTTCCCCTGATGAATCACCGTTACCACTCTGTCGACTCTGCCTGTGATTTATTCGTTTGATTTAAGTGATGCACTTGAACTTCATACTGCTTTAGGCAACATTTAATTAGACTTCAGCGGCTGCAGAGATCGTAATGAGATTCATTTTCCGCTGAAAATTAGTCGTAACGCTGATATGTGAGTGTTGATTGACACGCTGATTTGTCACGTATTAATAACTTTGAAATTCGCCGCTTTAAAGCTGCCAACCAGGCATGCATACATGTTTACCACAGGCAGAGTTTATACGCTCAGTTGTGTTTACACACCCTGTTTTTGGCCGCATAAATCATCCGTTTCAGCAACATGTGCAAAACAAAAACACATGCCATCTTCAAGTATATTTGCAGTGAGGTTAAATAGGGTGAAGGGACTAAACCCAGAAGATAGCATGATGCTTTTTTTGCCCCTGAATATTTTTATTCATAATTGTCATACCTCCAATTACTAACTCCATTTTCACCTCCTTCCTGTGGAGAAAAAGGGTCCAGTTCACGAGTAACCTGCACTCACAGTCAGAGCTCAGATACCCTCACTAAAAGCATCCTCGAACCGTACGCTCCTCCATTTCCTTTTTTATCACCCTGCTCCTCGATGGAGCTCTGGAGGCCTTTCGGGAAACAAAGAAGCCTGTTGTGAGATTTACAGTCCTCCTTATTGGACGAGACGTCGGACAAGCGAATCCTACACGAGACGCCAATTGCTTTTTAATGGCGCGTACAGCTGTGTGAATGTCTCTCCCTCTGCTGCCTGATTTAATTGTCCGCCTCAAGTGTTGTGCGAGACTTAATGTGCGCACACAACACTCATGAACACACTGTTGTCTTCCTGGCAGCCTGTGAGCATTTCCACATCATCCCCCCCTGTTAGGGTGTTGCCACTCATATCTCCCACAGTGCCTTGCTGTCACTGCGGCTGACAATGCTAGCAGGTATTTCGCAAACATGCAGTTTATTTAACAGCCCAGTTATTCTCATATGTATGCGTGTGTGTGTTTGTGTGTCCATCTGTCTGGGGTTTTGAGCCCTTTCCCTTCTGGCAGAGTAGAGGAAGCAGCACTGACGTCTTGCCACTAGGTTAAGCCGTTTAATCTAATCTGGACGGGAGGATGTGATTGGCAGACGGGACTAAACGAGGAGGGAGGAAGCTTCTCCCAGCTGTCCTGCTGTTCCCTGTATTTTGGTGCGTGTTGTACAGTATGGTACAGTACGCTTTGGCCTCAAACCAGGGTCACATTTTGGTGCAAATATTTCTCTTCGAAGTCATAAAGATTTCAAGTTTTGAGGATGTAGTGACTTTGCTCTCAGACAACGCTTTTAGAAGTGATTTTAAGCTGATGCAGTGGCTTCCACTGCAGAGTCATGCCTGTTTTAAGATATTATCTTGTTCTGGTTTCAGGACTCATCTTTTTTTTGTTGTTCAGAGATTTATCCAGATGATCGTTGAATGGTATTCTGGGGAACTTTTTCCTTAAATAGCTGAATTTCTTGTTCCTGCAGTCGCTCATAAAGCGTAAAATTGCACTTTTGAGAATCAAATATCAGGTTTTAATGACTCAAAATTTAATTTTTTATCAACATAAAGAAAGAGTGACCACAGAAACCTCTAAATAAGGGTTGCTTGACTCTTTGAACCTGCATTTGTGGATGTAGAGTGAAACTATTTTCCCAAACGATGCATTTGGAAGGATTTTTAGCTCATGCGGCAACTTCCACGACAGAGCCATGCCTGTTTTCAAATACTACCTTGTTCTGGTTTCAGGACTCTCTTTTTTTTTTTTTCACTGACTTATCCAGATTTTCTTTAAATGGTACTCTGGGCAACTCTTTTTTCTGAAATTGTTCCATTTTTTGTTTGTACAGTCGCTCACAGTTATAAAATATCAGGTTTTAATGTCCAAAATTCATTTTTTAACAACACTTTACAGCTGAAAAGAGACAGGAAATGTGGAAAAATGAGGGAGGAGAATGTGGGGACTACATGAAGCATGAGGATTTGAACCAGCAACCACTGCAGCGACCACAGAAACCTCTAAATAAGGGTTGCTTAGCTCTTTGAACCTGCATTTGTGGATGTAGAGTGAAACTATTTTCCCAAACGGTGCATTTGGAAGGATTTTTAGCTCATGCGGCGACCTCCACGACAGAGCCATGTCTGTTTTTGATGCAGTGCTGCCTGAGAGTCATCTGTGGACACTCAGCTGAGGAACCAGACCTCTATTACTTCATCCTGGCAGTCCTGGACCTGGTTTGATGGTTCGCTGTGTTTGTCACATTATCTGGAGCCTCAGGGAACAAGCATCCTCAAACTATCTCATTTGTTGTTTTCCTGTTAAATGATCTGGGAATTGGAGAAAATAATAAATGAAAGCAGTCGGCAGCACATTACTGTCTTACAGTCTGTCCTTTCTGGTGATTTTCAGCTCCGGCTCACTCCTCATCCCTCTCCGAAACACCTTTTCCAAAAGGTCCACCATGAAACTGAAACAGATTCACCGCTCAAATTACCGCTTTGCACGCAAACTCACAGCTAGACGGGAGTTTAGTCAAGGTTCAGGTAATTCCCTCGCTCTCTCTCTCTTTCGCAGCGGGGTGGAGTTATCGCTTTCATTTCCAGGCTTTATCGTCCCACATCTATCAGCACTCTCCTTGTCACATGAACTTGAAGTGAACACGGGTTGTTTTCGCAGCAGAACAGAAACTAATCGATGTTCCTGTGAGCATTTCTCTCCTTCAAGAAGGTCGACTTTTGCACCATTGCTGCCTCATTGCGAGTCAAAACAGCGTCTCATGAAGGTGCGATTTTAAAGTCACAACAAGAGAAACATCATGTTTACTCATGATGAAGATTTCCACTGCAGAGATTCTTGCTGAAATTCATGGCAGAGGAGCTAAAGGAGGAAACTGAGCAGCTCTGAGGTGTTTTTGTTCCTGCTGACCCCCGTTGAGAGCTCTTATCGTCAGTCTTACCCATCTGGTTTCCATCCCATTAGTCAGAGTACAGACCTTTCACTGCGTGCCAATTTGCCTCATGCTCTTTTGTTTCTCCTGCATCTTGGGGCTTTATTTTGAAAGCAGAAGCTCAGGTGTTAAATATAGGAAGCCATTATAGGCGGGGATTTAAATACTCTAAATGCCACGTTCGTTTATTTTTACGTCTTATTTTTAGGGTTTCAGAGGTCATTCGCATCGATGACGCTCTGGGACGCTCTCTAAACCCCCGGCGCACCACGGCAGATGGCGCGAATATTTTGCTTGGCTGCAGGTTGCAGGGCAAGACAGGATGGGAAGAAACGGAGAGCGCAGGAAGAAAAACAGAATAATTAATAGGTAAAATCTGTCCGTGAAGACCTGAATGGAGAGCTGACACAGGGATTGAGATGCAGAGCGGACTTGTGTGACTGTTTTACTGGCTTTCTTTTGAGGGGGGAGAAAGATGTGTTTCATTAAGTCTTCATCTGGACATAAAGGGAGTTTCACGGCAACAAAAGACAGAGAGGGCGACATATATATGAAGGTTTTCTTTACTTTAGGTCTTCAGGGGGGAAAGTAATAAAAAAAGAGCTTTTACTTCGACGGGGGCCGCGTCTGAGTCTGGCTGACACTAACCTTGTAGGATAGGAGAGGTCTTGGCTTTCAGCAGAGAAGGTTCGGTTTGGTTTGGCGGAGGAGAGTTTGTCTGACAGGGAACTGGCAGGTGTTTAAAGGTTCGACTCGAGCCTGAACACAAGAAATTAAGGATGAACCTCAGCTGAGATTCAGTGAGAATGCAAATCATGAAAATTCAGCCTCGAACGTTTGGCGAGCTCGCAGACTTGGACCGAAAGGCAGCATATAACATATTTCCTGCTCTCTGTTTGGTTCTCTCTGGACCCTTCGGCCTTGTTTACTGTCAGTAACACAAACCAGACGCACTCACTGTGTGGGACCTACCACAATTAACCCCCGGGTGACTGTAATGTATATTTAAACGCACATTTTGTGTCAGGGGCGCCATTACAGGGAGGTTTGCTGCAGAAATGCCACAATTATGGGAGGTAAACATCCTCAGGAGGTTTTTGAAGAATAGCCAATTTACAAGAAAGAAACTTTGTGTTTTCACTTTAAATCTCTCATAAGAAAGGTATTTTTGCATAAAAACATGACAAACAAGAACTGAGAGCCGTTTTTTCTTCCTATTCCCATGTCCAAGGCTATTTTGATAACTTCTTATTAAGGCTTGTCCGTTTTGGAGGACTTTGGATGTTTGGACCAGGCTTAAAGCCAGACTCCAGCACATTCAGCTGAAGTGCTCTTGGTTTCTGAAGGCTCACTGCTGGACCTGCTCGCCTTCTAATTATCTCCAAAGTCAGAGGCCATGCTGGTGTGACGCCCTGTGAGGACAGCTGTGTGAAACGCCGCCTTTAAGGACACGACATTGGCCTTTGCAGGTTGCTTTTATGATCCGGCTCTGCAGCAGGACACTCTGTGACTCTCCGACTGTTTTGTCAGACTCTGTAATTGTGCGTCTGTATCCAGTGAAGGCTTTGTGCAGCAGAGAGAAACCTCCATATGTCCCGGTTTGCAAAAATCACTCTTCATCTGCCGGATAAGAAAAAAAATCACACTTCAAGTCGTGATAGAAACATGTCTCTGTGTGAGACTGAGTGTGCTTGGCTGACTAAGAAAGGCTCATTGATGGTCGTCGCTGAATGGAGGGATTGTGATTTGGACTGAAAGGACCTCAGTCTGAGCTCCACAGGGTCTCATCTACTTCTGGTCGGCTCCACTCACCGCTTTTTAACCTTAAAACTCTCCAAACACAAACATTTAGGCGTTTTTTTCTTTGCCTTCAACACGCTGACTCTGCCTCCTTAATATCCAGGATGTGCAAAACCTCCATATAGATCACATTTGACCTCGACTGAGTGGTCGTTTCCTCCTCTGAAACTGCTGCCAGGATGAAAACACACCACGAGAGAGCAGGCTGGAGGATCCTATTTTAAGGCCCTCTTTAATTTAGGAAGCAACATCCTCTCTCTGTGATGGTTTCTTTATTTTTGGCCGGTCTGATCCCTCATTCTGGATCTGTAGGTCGATCAGGATTCAAACCACTTCTCTCGATAGATTTGTGCTGAACTTCCCCATCTTGGTGTGTTTACTCCTCTCAGGAAATACCAACAGCTTCGTGAAAAAGTAGCGTAGTAGAGCCGTGGACCTAACTTCTGATCCTGATTTAAGACACTGGAAATGATACCTGCAAAGGCACTCTGGGGACTTTGAGCGACTGCAGAGAACCAAGCCAGAAACCTGGGAGTAACCTTCGATTCAGACCTCACCTTCTCCACCCATATCCATAAGGTTGTCCAGTCCTGTTTCCTTCACCTGTGTTCTACTGCAAAGATTAAACAGATACTCACCCCACCATATCTCGAAAAGATAATCCACACCTTCATTTTCTTAAGACTTGACTATTGTAACTCTCTCCTCCCTCTCTCCCGCCTTCAACTAGTTCAGAATGCAGCAGCTCGGCTTTTAACTGGTTTTAGTCGACGGCATCACATCACTCCAATTTTAACCTCCTCCTGGTTGTTCCAAAGTCGAGGCTCAAAACTAAAGGTGATCGATCTTTCTCCATCAGAGCTCCTCGACTTTGGAACGACCTGCCAGAGGAGCTGAGGCGTGCAGAGACAGTCGCTTCTTTTAAGTCAATTTTAAAAACTCACTTTTACAGACTTGCTTTTATGTGACACCGTCTTTAACCTTTTTTCTCCTCTTTCTTTTATCTCTTTTACCTCTCTTATTTCGACTTGCTATCCTTTGAGCCTTTGTTTTACTTATAATCTTTTCTTATTTTACCTCTTAGGTCCTTCATTGATTTTAATATTTTTTATTATTCCATTTTATCATTTATATTACCATCATTATTATTTTATTATGATTTTATTATTATTATTAATATCCTCTTTTATACACCGATTCGGGTGAGCGGTTTGTGTACACCGCCATCTTGTGGCGGCGTGCGACGTCACGAAGTTGTCATGCTATCAACAAATAAACGTATGCTAGTAAATAGTGTCTGAGACCTGGTTTGACGATGTCATACAGTGGCCTCCGGTTACTGATGAAGGTATCTTAAATTAATACCGATATTAATTTGGGAATTAATAAGATGAAAAGTATGAAGTATTTCATTGTGAAATACTGAAGTAGGAGGAGATGTGTGTGTAAACACTGGCTAGGCTACATTTATACTGACCCTCGCAAGCTAACAGGCAATTGATCATTATGTACAAGCCTACGTGATTAAAAAATAATGTAGGAATTAAATATTTGTTTCGTGGGCTATCAGTGTTATGCCGAGAAATGCATGCCTGCCAAGATCTAAATGCGGGGCGTGGGATCGCGCACAACTAAGAACTGAATGGATGTTACATTAGCTCAGCTCTTAGCAACATGGACTGTCTTCTTTCAGTAACGGCATGTGCGTCTCACATATCGACTTTTTCCACAACTGTAGTCTTTTACTGTTGTTGTAACAGCCGATGACGGCACACGTCCTCCCAGACTGTCTTGACGTAGTTGTGCAGGGTTGCTTGTGTCGCTGCTCGCTGCGTACAGCACTGCTTCTCGTTCGCTTCGCGCACACCGCAGTAATGGCGGCCGTACTACTTCCGGTCATTTCGCCGAATCAGTGTATACTTACTAGCCGGTTAGCTGCTTTCTGCCCCCCTTTTCTATTTCATTTCTTCTTCTTACCTATTTTATGTTTTTCTTTTGGTCCTCATGGTCCCATTTTATGTTGTAGGGTTGTTGTATTGTCTTGGTTTCTTATGAAAAATGAAATTGGCCTTCAATTCAGAGGCCTTGTTTTTAGGTGCTATATAAATAAAGTTATTATTATTATTACTGTAAAACGCACCTTTAGCTGCGCTCTCCGGGCCGAATCCGACCCCCGCTCGGAGACTAATCCTTGTGTTATTGTCCGCTGGTGTCCATTTTAAAAAATGTCACCACCACTCCTCTAAAGACGCTCCCCTTTGCATTCTTCGGTCTAACTTTACTTGAATGTGATACTTGAGACCTCCCTTGTGCATGCACGCAGGCTTACTGTAGTCGCTCAAGAGGGGTTTGCTAAAATTGAAGGAAATTGGAGTCTGTCTTCGTCTAATTGAGCCCATCTTGGACAACATGACCTATTGCACCGAGATTTGCAAAAAGAATTCTCAACATAACTTTGTGCTTGAAGAAAAGGAAAGACTGATTTTGTCCCTATTTTCTTCGTTCCTTTCTTCACATTCTCCTGAAGTGCTCTCCTTTTTCTGTCTCAGCATGTGCTTTGTGTTTTCTGGGTCATATGGTAAAGCTCCTGCATCCCCCTCTGAGCCAAATTCTGCAGAAATTGGACTTTTCGTTGTTGAACTTGGAGATTTCACGCAGAAGTTTCCATGCAATCTTTCAATAACACCATGGTAGAGGTTCGAACTGTGAGTATATTTGTGGTTAAAGCCAAAAGGAAGGGTGGGAGTCTTTAGGAGTAAGACATCTTTGGTATCCGTTTGTTTCTAAGCCTCACTACTCTCGAGTCCTCTCCCACTCCCTCTTCTCCTCCCGTAACCTTCCTTAAACCGAGATTACCGCCACCAAGAACCGGATCTTCTGCAAACTCTTAACCGCGGCGTCTGTCACTTTCCCTGCCTCTCTAATCGGGCCGGTTCATGTTAGTTTTTCTCAAAGCGCCGCTGTCGTGAGAGTATGTGAGTCCAGGCTGACCACACAGAAACAGATGGACACACACGGTAGCCAGATGGTGACAGACTTGGCTCACACTTAAGGCTTGCGTTGCTCTGATTCTTCTCGACACTCGTTGCTTTCACAACTTTTTCACACTATAATACAGCGTCAGTTTTAGCTCGCTTGATTTGGACTCAGATTAGTTTTTTCCAGATCAGTTTAAACGCTCGATTCAATCCCATATGAGATGTTTTGGATAGTGATAAAGGGGTACTGCAGGCCCAGTGGTCTGCAGGCCTCAAGTGGACCGCTGATCACGCAGATCAGCACCTGCTTCTCCCGGTCTCAAGGTGCATATAGAGTGAATGTTTTGACTACAAGTGAGGCATGAAAATCAGATATGCTGATAGACAAAATCTGCTTGTGAGCGCCTGTCAGAGAAGGAATGTGCATCTTGGCTTTCTTGCTTCCATTTCTGCTCCTTTTTAAGTCTAATGTCGTCTTCTCTCTTTCAGCAACGCTCCCCTGGCAAAGTTCTGTTCGACCTCATCTGCGTCCACCTCAACCTGGCAGAGGGAGACTACTTTGGGCTGGAGTACCAAGACCACCGAAAGATGACGGTAAGAGATGCTAACACACACATCCTTCTCTCCACCCTCATCTTTTTTTGATTCAAGCCTCCACCTGGACTCGGTTATTCCACGTGTTTCATGACGGAGCAGCTGGTTGTAATAATTTGCACACTTGCTGTACTTTCCAAGGGCGTGTCTGCAGATTGCAGATGCCGCGTTAAAAACCCAGTAAGACACTCTGCTCCACACGCAGACCTTCACTGTGCTTCTCAGAGCCCGGGGCGGAAGAGCAGCAGCAGCTTTGAAGCGGATCGATAGAACAGATGAAGTAATGCTGACGAAACGGCGACAGCCCACGAACACGGGAAGATTCAGACCCACTCTGCAATGAAAGCAGCCGTAAATCAAACAGATGACTGCGTGTTTCTGCTCTTGTTTGTTAGTGAGCGTGGATTTTTGCTTGCATCACAGTTTTATGCATTCATGTTGCCATACTAGATTTATAAACTCGCCATAAAACGGGCGCTTACATCCCAATACAGCCATGGATGCTGCTTCTTGCTAGAGCTGTTTCCATGGTTTCCAAAAAAAAAAAGTCAATTTTAGTTCAACAGACCGCAGGACAGTTTCCAACTCACCTCAGTCCATCTTAAAGAGGCTCTGGAGAAGTTTGCATCGTTGTTAGATCATGCAGACACAAACTATGTTCATGGATGATGGTTTTGAGCCCATGCGGTGACTCCCACTACAGAGTCATGTCTTTTTTTTTTGTCCCTTTTGTGCATTTTTTAATGATTCTATCCAGATTCTGACTTTAGAAACACAGACAAAAACAAACGCTTGAGTTTAAAGACCCACTCCGATGAAAATCATGTTTTTCTTGTTGTCTACATGTTCACACGGCATTTTTCTGATACTACAGGACATGTCATGAGAAAAAGAGTGTGAAATTGCATTTATGACTATTTCTGCATTCAAATTGCTGTAAAATCGGAGAAGTAGAGAGGATGATCACGGAGCAAACTGTGTGCGTTAGCGGACTGCAATGCTCGTAAGAAAGCTAAATATGACATTAGCTTTCATCATGTCCCCAAAGACATTAGTGTCTGAGAGCTGAATAGCTCCTATGTTACCTGTTTCTTCAACTACACCGGTGATGTTGTGCTGCAAGCTAACTCGAGGAGAAGTGTGCAGAGCAGCGCTGTCTGTGCCCACGACTCAGAGACGAATTACTAATGATCTACTGGAGCTCTGCAGAAGAAAAGCCCTTAAAAATGAAACAGATAACATGATTTTGGCTAAAAAACGTCATAATCACAGTTTAAAGACCGCTGAGAACACTTTAAGTCGTAAAAAAATAAAACTATCGGAGTGGGACTTAAAAGGAAGAGCCTTTGTTTACGGTTTGAAACCCAAATCAGCTAAAATTATAATGCGGCCGCATTAGCAGTCATGCTTTTATGCCAGAGTGCTGCAGTAAGTTATGAATTCAGCTTGTGAAAAAGGGAACAAAAGGAACAAAAGGTGTTTTTTTCTGTGCAGATTCAAGGAGAAGCTCCCCGAGTAGCTTGAGTGAGTTATGTGAGACTGAAAATGTGCTTTCTCCTCTGTAGGTATGGCTGGACCTGCTGAAGCCGACACTGAAGCAGATTCGACGTAAGTATGACACAAATGTCGTTTCCTCTTCGTGTCTTACAACACCCTGCTGTTAGGGTTAAAGCCTTCATGCTGAAAAGTATAATTCTGCTATTAAAAAGTCATCCTGTTCTTGACGAAAGTATACATTTCTCTCTCTTTCTGTGTAACCATATCCTTTCCTTTCCCTCCCTCAGGGCCTAAAAACACCATCCTTCGTTTTGTGGTCAAGTTCTTCCCTCCTGACCACACACAGCTCTTGGAGGAGCTGACTCGGTAGGTCTTCTCGGCGCTGAAAACCACACCTATCCTTTCTTATTTAAAGACGTGTTGTTTTGCTGTTGGTTCTCCGTGTTTTCAGTCCTTCGGGAGGGTTTTTACAGCTGTGTTTGCATCTGTCCGACAGAGACTCGCCATTTTTAACACTTCTGTACCCACATGCTGTAAAACCAACGAGTTAGTTCGTCCTGTCTGGACCAGAGCGAGTGAATCAGGGCATCGCTCAGCTTGAACATAAATAGAAGCATGATTAGACCCTCGAAATTTTCCCAGAATGCTGCAGCTCGCTCTCAACTGCCCAGCTGGAATCACTTGAGACGAGAGCTAAGCAGGAAGCGAGCAAAGTGCCTCTCTAATGTGAGATTGAATAAAGTCATAATCCTAAAGATCAAGATCCAAATCCCGTTTCTGACGCTCTTTGAAGTCTGAGATCTTATTATATTCAAATTGCAAAATTTAAGGCCTTTATTGACCAAACTCTTTAACTGCAACCCGCCAAAAAAGTTGGTTTTGACTCTTACAATGAAAAAAAGTCGATCACTAATCAGGATTTTGGGTTTGCACATGAGGTGGCCAAACAAACATGAGGGCACGCCACCCCTGGCTTCCCTTCTAGACACGCCCCTGCTGCACCCGTGACTCAAATGCATCAATTACTGCCAGACTTCTTCATGAAAACAATGAGTTTGTTTGGCTGTGTTGTTCTTCTGTTGTGTTAACTGCTTGAACAGTTTGTCACATTCAAACCAGATAAGTTTATTGAACCGTTCGGGACTTCATTTGTGTGACAGGATAAAAGAACCACAAATTACCACAAATAAAGCAAAGAAAAGTACAATCCTAAACTCTAACTGCACCGCAAGAGAGTAATCATCACTTTGAAATGCTTTACAAACTCCCTCTGACATATTTCGGCCTCTCAGACGGCCGGTTTACTCCACTGATCTCATTTTGTCTTAAAGTGAGCCAGCTGACTCCACATTAAACAGGAAGTGGGCACACAGCCTTAATTTCCTTTGTTTGGCCTGCATAGCTTCTCTCTGTGCTTCCTTTGATGGATAATGTGGGCATGGACGGACCAATTATGTCCACGGAGAGATTGGAAGAAAGATTTCTTTGATTATATCAGGCTGAATTAGCCTTTTCATTAAGAACAGAGCATTTGCAAATTAGGTCTTCTCCATTATGTTGAAGTTGAGATCTTATTTTTTTACGTCAAAGTGCCCTGTAACGAAATATCTCCTAGCAAATACAATTTACATAATGCATTTGACTCCAAATTGCTGCAGCCATTTTAAACATGGCTGTAATAAAAGATATGAAAACTCACCAAACCTCATTAACTTTTCAAGAGATAATCGTGTAGCATAAAAAGGTCGAATTAAATCTGCTGCGGACCATTAATCCCTCCCCCTGTATACACACATAAATGCTCTCTAATGTACGGCTGGCAGCTAGTCCTCTATTTGTCCTCAAACAGCAAGAAAACAGAGGCAGGATTAGCCAAACTCTGTATTTATATGGGCTTCAATTAGAGGAAATTTGAATAGGCTTTGGTTCACTTTCTTTTTTTCATTGACTGATTGTGTTTCCTCCCTAAATTAGAGATTCATATATGGTCGGTAAATGCAACCTCTGAGCATGTTTGTACAGATAAACAGCCAGTGAATTTTTCCATTTATAAAGACTCCATTAACCTCCTCATTTAATTGCTTCCAGTCTGTTCTCCCACACTGTCTGAAATCTCTGTCTGCCTCATCTCTTATCCCCGTCTCCTCTCTTTCTTCCTCCTCCAGGTATCTGTTCGCCCTGCAGATAAAACGTGACCTGGCCTGCGGTCGTCTCATCTGTAATGACACCAGCGCCGCCCTCATGGTCTCCCATATCATACAGTGTAAGTGCAGCACAGAGATCCGGTTAGGGTGGCAGGATTTGATAGATTTTTGATCCACCATCCTGTTAATTTGAGGATAAACTTGTCAGATTTAAGGTCCTTACACACCGGGAACGACGCAAATATACGGCACGAAATTACGAAATATTCAGATGTATTGACAGGATACAGGTTCTAAAAAAAAATATTGACGTCCGAAATAATCGCCCGAAAAAAACGATCCCGGTGTGAAAGGACCTTTATTCATTATAAAAGTTTCAGAAGAATTTCATCAGAGCAGATGGCTGATTAGAACATCTTAGATATTTATATTAGGAGATTGGACTTGGACTCAACTCTGAATCAACTCTGACACTACACACGTTTAATCCAAACTTGATTTGGGATGGACGCAGAATGACAGGGACTAGATTGGAATTCATCTTCTGTAATTTGGATTTGACCCCAAAACTACTGGGACTCTAGCTAACTCAGATTTGTACTTGGACTGGACTCAGAATTCCCTTAGTTTTGATTTGGACTTGACATAAAAATCAACTCAGATTTAACTTGGACCAGACTTGAATTTGGACTCAAATCAGTTTCGACTCAGTCTCAATTTGGACTTGACTCAGATTCAATCTTAATTGGACTTGATTTGGACTCAGTGCAATATAGCATGTAAAGTAAAGGAGGTTGACTGATTATTGGCCCATTATCGGGTGGATACTCAGCTTTGACTGATTATCTGTATCGGCTTTCAGTTTTGGAGATTAAATTTTGTTCGTTCAAAATATTGATTAATGCTCTTATGTTCGATAATTATCTTTATCGGTATCGGCTCTGAAAAGCCGAGATCAGTCAACATCCAAGTCCTATGCTGCGTTTGAGTTACCTTGGAAGTCGGATGTCAGAGCTGAAAATGACATCACACCCAAGTTACCTGCGTTTCAGTTACCAAGGAGGCGGAAAGAAGATGGCTACATCTACGAAGGTTATTTTAGCATCCCCGTTCGTAGATGTAGCCATCTTGTTTCCGCCTCCGATTTTGCTTTTTTCCGACTTGGTAACTGAACGGCTGGTAACTCTGGTGTGATGTCATTCCCAGCTCCGACATCCGACTTCTGAGGTAACTGGAACGCAGCATAAAGCCACGGACCTTATAAAAGTACACTCATGTCTCCATGGCAACAATAAAAAAAATTCTGCATTCTGAGGGCAGACGTTTTAAATTTATCACATCTGAAGAGGGTTTCACTCTCACTGTGGGATCCAGTAGAAAGAGAAAAAGGCCGAATGCTCGGTTTGTGTGTAAGTCCATAAATCACCCGGCGTACAAACACATGACAGATACTCCCTTCGGGGGGATTTCAGCAGCATTTACTCGCTCCGGCTTGTGTGCCCGTAGCTCAGATTTAAACCAGCCGGTAAAAATAAGCAAAGAAACCATCAAATTTGGCATCAATTTAAAACAAAACAGGATTTGGAATAAGACCAGAGGGAAGCGGATCAGTCAGGTCTGTCCGCTGTAACATCATTCATGACGTTTGAGTTCAATGCAAGAGCTTGTCCACAGCTACCTGTTATTATCCTGCACCCTATGTGGAGGATGTGGGATTTATAGATTCAATTCAGTCGTGCAGACAGCAGCCGGCTTCAGCCCAGCATGCTAAAGAATATTGCTCGGTTGCCGTGGTAACTGCCACTGCTGCGCCTGTTTTTTGCACCTGCGGGTGGTACACAATGATTGTTGCTGGTTTCGGACAGATGGAGTCCCACGCATCAGTACACCTCACCTGATTTACAGTAGAAGAAAAACCTGTAAGAGAAAAAAAGACGCGACAACATAAGCCCCACAGTTTTCAATCTGTTACTCTGTCTTGTGTTTTCTCATTAGGCTGAATAAATAATAAATCACCCTCTCCTTCTTGTGCCCCCTCTATCAGCTGAGATCGGGGATTTTGATGAGACCCAGAGCTGGCAGCACCTCCTCCACAACAAATATCTGCCTGACCAGGACGCGATCAGAGATAAGATCACCGACTGCCACCGCAAGCATGTGTAAGTCGTCACCTGCATGAACACACATGCTTTCACCGTATGCCCTCTAAAGGTCCTTACACAGTGGGAGTGTTTTTTTCGTGCAATTATTTCAGACGTCATTTTGTTTTTCGAACCCATATCCTGTTAATACAAGCGTTCACATCAGTTTCATTGCAGCATTAATTTTTTCGTATAACGGTCAAATTTTCTAAACTTTCGCATACTACGTCGACGTCAGATTCACCGGTAGATATAACATGGCTGACCGGCTGATTGTTTACGTGTCGGAGAACAGAGTGCTTTTTGATAAAAGACACAAGTATTACAAAGATAACGACCTGAAGGGATGCGTCTTTTTTCCCCCCGGAAAGTCGCAAAATCGCACTTGATGTGTATAGTCAGGAGCGTCAAAATTCACCTCCGAATATTTCGTAATTTCGTGTCGCATATTTGCGTCGTTCCCTGTGTGTAAGGACCTTAAGCATTATGTGATAGAAGATAGAAACCAGGGTGCATTATACATATATTAATGATGTGTTATAATTTGCTTATAAACTTGTATAACTATCATTATAAACACTCATTAATTATCATAAAGCTTTATAACAATAAGCATAACACGTTATAATACCTGACCTTGTAATTCATGATGAAATGCTTTATAATGTGTTGTGATTATTGCTATAAAGCATTATGATCATTTATGAGTGTTTATAACTATAGTTATATAGTGCTATAACGTGATTGTAACACATTATACATATATTTATAATGAGAGAGAGGCGTCAAGTAAAGGGTTACCTTGTTTTATTATTCTAATAAAAATGTAATATATTTTTGTACACTTGGAGAAAATTTGAAAAATTTACACTCATTGGCGAGCATTGTTTTTTTACTTTGCAATGCACCCTGGGAAATGAATGCGTAACAGACTAATGCAAGCGAAGAAGTCAGGGAAGGAAATTAGAGTGACCCTGAGTGCACTAAAAAGTATTTATCAATATGTCTTATTATAAAGGGGACTTTTTAAGGGCCTGTGTGCACTTTTTAAAACACAGAAACCACTTCTGTTTGGAGCATTACAATGAGAAAGCGTTTCTTAAATTAAAATATCATACAAAATTAGAAAAACAGCTGCAGTTTCACAAGAAATCGTCTCATTTATGCTTCAAAGTAAGATTTAATGAGCTATAATATGGACTCTATGTGGAGTCAATCAAATCAGACTTCCAGCGTTAAACTCTGCAGGTAAATTATTCAGTGCAGTGAAGCTCAAACAACCAAGAGAAGTGAAACTAAAGGAGGTCAAAGGGGCGGCATTGTTTTCCAGAAAATAGCTCTCCAAGATTATCCCTGCTTGGAAAAACAATGCTGAGCCGAGCTTAAGTCTGACTGGAGATCAGTCTGTGTTTGTCATTCATCTTTGAAGAAACAGATTGGACATTTAAACACACTTCCACACTTGAGATATTTATCTGTTTAACCTCAAACACGCCCATTTCACCAAACCTTTACTGTAAGCCTCCCCTGCAGAGATGTTTATCTGTTTCGGCACGCCACTTTGCACTCCCCTCATGCCCCTGTGGGATCACACGTTCACACAGCACACCTCATTTACATGAAAGCTGTGATCCCCCCCCCATCTGCTGCTGTTTGCAAACACATGAAAAAACAGTGTTTGGTTTTTGTATGATTTAAATACCGCAAGAAAAAAACTAATTTAACCGCATTTACCAGCTTACAAAACCACACCACTTCCTCACAAGTCGGTTATTTGTCATTCTTACACCACATCCTCACACTCCGGACTCCCTCACCCTCTTCCCTTCAACCCTTTAACCACCCTCCAACCCGACGCAGGAAGGAAGTGGCTAATTCAGCAGCTTATACAGGAAACAGGAAGTTATTTTCAGATTTGTGAGGAAACAAACTTATTTTACAGCAGATGTTTTTTTTTTACTCTTGAGGGTGCTGCCATCTGATACCGCGGTGGATTTCAAGACTGTTTGTTGTTTCTACACACATACATCTAGATTAGGAACCTGGACTGGGACGCGTCTAACATCTGGAACAAACAATCAACCGTAGCACCACTTTGTCAGAACTGATTTTCCGAAATGTGTCAAAATAAACCTCATAATCACTTCCCACCAATAATAGTTTATTGATAGATTAACTGGTTTATTATTTCCCTCATAGCGGGCAAACCCCTGCTGAGTCAGACTACCAGCTCTTGGAAATCGCAAGACGCTTGGAGATGTACGGCATCCGTCTGCACCCTGCGAAAGACCGGGAAGGGACTAAGCTCAGTCTGGCTGTGGCGCACACTGGAGTGCTGGTTTTCCAGGTGAATTCACACACACACGCACGCACACACATAAGATTCAACAGCTTATCTTTAAAGTGCTTCTCTGACATTTGAGATGTTCAGAGTTGAAGGTATGAGTTTTGGATTCCTGAGATGTTTTCTTGAAGGTGGTGATTTGTCATATTCTGGGGGACTATTTCCTTAATTCCTGCTGCTCAGTTCAGTGATTGACCTCATTGTTTCTATATGAATCATCGTACAGACGTTCTCAGAGACAAAAACCTCTTAACGTGTGTTTTGATTGAAGTCTATGGAAGTTTATGTTTGTACTTTGTGGGTATGAAAAATGTAACGATCCGTGCTTTAAATCTTCTTATTCTGTTTTTGGCCTTTTTTGAGTGGTTAAAACAGTGGCTAGAGGAGAAAATGGGTTTAAAAAGCAGGGAGTGGGATGTGTTAAAGACACCGGGGGCAGGAATTAAACCCAGACTGTCCATTTGAGACATAACCTCCATATGTGGGGTGCACACTAGAGTGTTTATGAGTAAGGGGCTGTGTCCACTGACTGTATTCAGCATCAAATGTGCTAAAGCATCGAACCACATTTGTCGCACTTGAAGTTGACAAATAGTTTACTGCAAAAATATTATTCATAAGTAAATAACAAAGACTAAATACATATATAGACATAGGGCAAGGTGTTGTGCCGCATTCAGTCCGGGGCATGCGGGGGTTGGGGTGGGGGTCTGGGGGCCTAGGGGGATGCAGGCGGGTCTCGCGCGAGTGGGAAGGGACCAGAGGTGGTCCACAAATTCCTTCCTTCTTCTTCTTCTTCTTCTTCTTATTATTATTATTACTATTATTGTTGTTATTATTATTATTATTATTATTATTATTATTATTATTGATATTATTATTATTATTATTGATATATTTCGTGTAGTATAATTTTCTTTTTCTTTTGCTTGTCTGACAATTGTAATATTTATTTATTTTTTTCTTTTTCATTATTATTCACATATATAATACACACACACCACACAAACACACACACACACAAAACCACAAATGCCATTGTTTGTTGTATGTCTTGTATTGTCACACTGTACAAATAAAAAAATATATATATATATATATTATTCATCGTTTCATAATGTCTCTTCCTTTGTTTAGGGTTACACAAAAATTAACGCTTTCAACTGGTCCAAGATCCGGAAACTGAGCTTCAAACGCAAAAGATTCCTGATCAAGCTGCGAGCAGATCCGGCTGTAAGTCTGCATCACTCGTCTTTCCACTTTATGTGTCTGATATGATCTTTCCATTCATGCTAAAGAATTTCTTTACTTCTTGCAGCAGAGTGCCCACCACGACACGCTGGAGTTCACCATGGCCAGCAGGGATTGCTGTAAGATCTTCTGGAAGATCTGCGTGGAGTACCACGCCTTCTTCCGGCTCTTCGAGGAACCTAAGCCCAAACCTAAACCCATCCTCTTCACCAGAGGATCCTCCTTCCGCTTCAGGTGAGAAGGGGACAGAAAAAGGAGGAAATGTTGGCCATTTATTTGATTTAAATATGTGTTTTTAATCATTAAATTTTCTTGTCTCGCAGCGGTCGAACCCAGAAGCAGATCATCGACTATGTGAAAGACTCTGAGCTCAAAAAGGTTCCATTCGAAAGGTGAAATTCCCTCATTTGTCGAAATGTCTTTAACAGCAGAAACAAGTATTTATGGTTGAGATTGAACTTTGTTTTTATTCTTCCTTTACTTCAGGAAGCACAGTAAGATCCTGTCCAGTGTCGGCATGTCTCCTCAGTCATCTTCCTTCAGGTCACAAGTGCCGAAAGAGGTGAAACACTCTGAACACTAAATATACACTACAGGGATTTGTTTTGAACAGTCGGTCCAAAGTAACGTTGAAAGTCATTTGAAAGGCATCTTGACTGTTTCCTTTGTTGTCCCGTTTCCTCCTTCCTAGAGTGCCATGTCTGTCCAATTAGCGGACTACCCTGACTCATCCAGACTGGTCTATCAAGCCGCATCCAACGGTTCCGAGGAGCCACCGGCCGCCACATCCTCCGCCAATGGCTTCCACGATGCTGACCCAGCTCAATCCAGCCAGAACCACAACGGCACGGGGACGGCGCCAGATCCACAGTTCCTCAACCCAGGTCCATCCTGCAGGGCAAACAAAGGCAGCAGCTCGTCTATTCCTTACATAGACTGCAGCGACATAGACAGTGAATGTGATGTGGGGAAGAACAACAGGGCCTCCAGGGGCCACAGCAATGCAAACGACAGCAATGCGGATGAGTCTAGTGTGTACGATAGAAACCAAAATGGAGGTAGTCATCGCAATGGGGGGCAAAATGGAGGGTTATTTGGGTCTGTAAATGGTTTCTACCATACCAATCACCAGGGGCTTATGCAGCAGCATCAACAGCAGGGCATGAATGGGCACCAGCAACAGCAGCAGCAAGGTATTCTGGGAAACAGAGGCACTGTAAATCAGGCCAATAAGTTTAATGGAAGCCACGAGTTGACAGATGATGAAATTCTATCCAATGGCGGTTCCATTCATGGCCGCCTCCCTCTCCACAGCACACTCCTGGATGAGATTTTCCAAGGTCGAGACAAGCGCGTCGTAGCAGTAGGGCGACCATTGGGAACGGGAACTCGTAGTCAGTGCTCGAGTCCAGTGATCAGCAGCTTTCACCACCGGACAAATTCCTTAAGTCACGCCGAGATGACAAACGGGCACGGGCAGCAGCATCCAGCCCCGCGCTGGGATGACGGCGGGCATTATTTCAGCAAGCGCCCTGGTGGTGGCCAAGTGGAAAATCCCACCATACCGGTGTCATCCCATCCACCAAACCATTACGGTAGCTACTCCCCGATCATCGCGAACCGAACTCCGCTACATTTCGCCAAACCGTACAACAACAACAACATGAGAAACCGCTCAGATACTGATCCGTTCATCCTCAGCGGGATGACTTCAACCCCCATCAAACACCATGACCCCCATCGCACTGGGTTGCACGGCCAAACTCCGGGTTCTGCGCCAATTGAGCGGCGAATGATTATAACTAACGGCAACCACCACGGCAATCTCATTGTTCCTGGTCAGGCGCGTTCTAACACGGTTCAGCGCATGTACGGCCGCCAAGGAAAACCAGGTCATAACAACAACCAAAACCAGCCGGTCCAAATGATCGACGGTTCCACTAGCAGCGGCACCGAATCCAGCGATACGGAATCAGATACAGGAAGCAGCGCGTACAGCCAGCCGTTAATGTACGGGAACCCCGTCGCGGTGAGTTCCATGAATTCCGTGAACTCTAATGGCGTGAACTCGTCACCGATGCCTCGTAATAAGTTCAGCTTCGGGAGTCTGCAGCTGGAGGAGGGGGAGGATGGAGAAGGGGAAGAGGAGGAGGTGTGCTATCAGTTTAATGAGGAAGGAGTGACAGGGAGGGTTTTCAGCTGCTGAGGGTTACGATACTGAACTCAAACATCAAATTACTCCTCTTATGTAAATAGATCAATAACAATTAAGGCTGGTTTTGCTTCAACTCCTGCCATTAATGAGGACTGTAAACTCTCTATTAACAGTCGATGATGATTATAGAAGTACACAACTGTGAATTATAATACTTGTAGACATAGTCTTAGTCTGACATACATTTTTGTACAGGTTTTAACACATTTTTAGAGTATGCTGACTCACATTTTTCACATTTTGTAGGTTTTCTACTCGTGCTCTGAAGTTCCAGTTGTACTCTTTGGTGATTTAATAACAAGGCTACTCTTCTTGCACTTCAAATTTGTAGTGAATTTTGTATGCAAACTTTGACAGCTGGATTAGGTGTAAAGTTCGGCTGGCTGTTTGACAAAGGGAGAATCAATGGAGGCACTGCAAAACCGGCAAGTAGGGATTTCCAGATCCTGATTACGACTACAGATTTATTGACTTAATTGGGATTGGCAATTTGAGCAGGTCATCTCACCCTGATCCTACCTCTGCTTTTGTAATCTAATAAGGCATTAACAACCCTCAAAAACTGCAGAGTGAGTATTTGAAACTAGAAAACAGTCTTGAGAGCCACTTGCAAGACATGAATTTAAATACTTTTGCAAGGCTGTGGCAGTAGAGCCATGTTCGACACTACCAACTTAATAAAACACCTGAAAACTAAACAAGTAATGGAATTAAGGTGTGTTCAACAAAGTGACAGAGCTCCTGTGCCAAACTAGCAAACTGGACTAGTGAGAGGAAGGATAAAGATCCTCGAGAGGGCAGAAAGATCTTACAGAGCTAGTTGACATCGCTTTTGAGAGCCAGCTCATTTTCGTGATAGAGAATACTGGTTCCATCGTGTTTTGGATAGCTTTTGGACTCAAAATAAGATATCGGTATCAATATCTTTATCACTATTGGTATCAATATCAGCATCAGAATCTGTTTTAATATCAGTATCTGTATCAGTCTTGAAATCAGTATTGGTATTGGTGTCGATATCCCTATCGGTATTGGTATCAGTATCAATATCAGTTTCAGTGTCAGTGTTAATGTCAATGTTGGAATCAGTATCGGTAATTGGTGTCAATATCCCTATCGGTATTGCTATCAGTATCAATATCAGTGTTGATATCAATGTTGGAATCAGTATCGGTATTGGTGTCGATATCCCTATCGGTATTGGTATCAGTATCACTATCAGTTTCGGTATTGATATCAACGATGGTATTTGTATCGATTTCGGTATCAGTATTAGTATCAATCTCCAATAAGTAGTGGTATATACATATATATATATATATATGAGTTTCAGTATCAATACTGGAATCAATATCGGTAATGATATCAATGTTGGTATCAGCATTAATGATATCAGTATCTGTCAATGCAAGGCAAAAGTATCCGGTCAGGACTCAGGATCCCCAGATAGTCAATCTTGAAAGTATCAGATCCGGACATCCGTACCAGCCGGGTAAATCCAGAGAAGAATCTCTGACTAAATGTGCCATGACATCACAATCGTACACTCAGACTCTAGGTGTGCGAAATGTTTAGGAGTCTGAGAATCTGTCGTTATAAGTATTGTGGTTGTTGTAGGAAGAAGAAAAAATAAGGGCATTTTTGAGCTAATCTACAATCTACAGCAAATGCCTTCTTGCTGTTTTTTTAAGCTTTTAAGAGATAGATTAATCTTTAGACGGCATTGACTTTCATGTAAATATGACACTTGATGGCTCGTTCTGAGAGCTGATTAGTCGACCAGAATATGCTGCTTTTCTTGGTCTTTTTAGTTCTGTGTTTGTTATTAGTATAAACCTAATGTAGCATTTTCTCTAAATCAAACTTTTACACTTATGTGACTGTTGTCTGGTGCAATAGAAGGGCTTTGAGGGAGTAGTCGGAGTTGATTATGGGTTTTAAACAGGGAGGTTTTCAGAGGGGGAAGCTGTTTAATGTCAGACGTCGGTAGAGTTTGAGTTTGTGGTTGTTTGGGAAACCACGGGGATAAAGTGGATTGTTGAACTCGAGATATTTCCCTTTAATTGTACAGTACACTGGACCGTTCTTGGTAGGGAACTGATTGTACGTAGAGTATGTAGCAGGTTGAGCTTGACGTCTCATTTCTTTGGAGCACTTTTTTCATTTCGTGTGTCTGTCGTGGGCAACTTTTTGCACTGTAATGTGGATGTTTGTTGTAGGGCGTTTTGTAGTGAATCTCTTTTATATTTACCATAAATGGAGGATTAGATTCCCTCTCATTAAAACAGTAAGGAGAGCCTGACTTACCTTTCATACCTGTATTTTTGACAATAACTTCCGCCCCGTTGTTCACATTTGATGCATCGTAGGTTCTTATGTTTCTTTTCTTTTGTTCTTTTTTTTTCCTTTCCTTTCACTGTAATTTTCAAACACACCAGCTCTCAGTCTTCAACCTGTCTGCTTTGCTTGGCTTGGCCCCTGGCATGCACTTCAACCACACACACAAACAGAACAAGGTGTTTTCTTTCACTTTCTTTGTATGCTGTTTTCACTGCTGTTTCAATGCTGTTTATTCCAGTGCTGTTTATTGAAGGTGTGCTGGCCCTTCACCCTCATCTGTGTCATTTGCTGGCTGTCTGCGCGCTCTGACACAAGCTTTTGTGTTCTCACTGCAACACATGATTGGGATTATTGTGGTTTTTTCACACTTAAAGCTCCTGTAGGTTTTTTTTTTGGTTCAAAACAATTTGAAATTAATACTCATGCCTCTCTAAGACCACTGACATTTAAATCGACTTTTGTATTAAGTGATTTCAATGTCTGAAAACAGTGGCGGGGGGTAGGTGTCGGACAAAGTGAGTAAAGGCTGGAACTGCCTTTGTAAAATAAAGACAGAGTGAGTTATTTAGCTAAAAACACTACTAACATATGTCGAAGACAAAATAAACAAACAGGCAGGAGGTACTACTTTGTCCACAGGGGGCGCTAAAATCCAAACAAACAGAAAAATCCTGACAGGAGCTTTAAGTTCAGTTTCTTCCTCCTTTAAAATACTCACAAATGCTTGTATTTCCCCCAAAACAATAACATTAAAAGTAATAGACAGGATATATTGAACTAAGCTTTATTTTTAACATGAAAATCTACGTGCATTGGTTTCATAAGCGTATGAAACCAATGTCAGGTTAAAGCTCCTGTGAGAGGGCACTGGAGTCAAAAGTTGATCACAGGAGCTTTAAAGCAGAATTTTGCATTTTGATGGATATTAACATGCCATTGTGATAAACTATGGATGCACACATTGTAAGTATCCTCACTGTGGAAGTGTTAGCATGCTGTTTTTAGCGTTCGGTCTTGCTTTGTTTTGGGAAATACAGGCATTTGATGAGTTTGTACTGTTTTTTTTCCAATCAGCTGCACTAATTTGATCAATTGGTAAAAATTACTTTCAAAATTAGCTCTTTAAAACTTCACTGTAAATAAGTAGGATCAGCACAGTTCAGGAAAATCTGACTAACTTTGGCCACGATTGTTATCAACCCTTTTTTTTCCTCTTTCTCCTGAGCTTTTGCTTCTTTCTTTAAACAAATGTTTCTACGTGCTACATGCTTTGTAAATGCACTGTATTCCAGCATGTTTCTTTTACTGTGAATGCATGTCAACTGGGCGAGCAAAGTCACTGCTTTTCTGTCGTTCTGCTCTGCTTTACACACACTTTATCACACATTGTCTCTGTCATGGGGCGCCAAATGGTTTTAAATATCTGACAGGTATGTCGTGCTGTTCGACAGTAAAGTATCAGCTCCAGGAACGTATAATCCGCCCTTTATGATGCTTTAATGTCACGATTATTGCACCCTGTCTTTTAAAAGCATTTGGCGCCGGGTTCCTTCACTGTGCGCTAAGAAACTTGCCGGACTCAACTCAAGTGTTCGTTTATTCAGAGAGCGAGAGGGCGAATGTAGACGGGCTTGTGAAAGTTAAGCTCAATGCAAATGTAAGTGAAAAAATTTAACCACATTTGAGAGTCATGACATTTTCTGGTGTGAAAGTCTGAGTATCGTCAGAAGATGGACACACACACTCACACACACACACACATGAACACTGGCGTTGAGTCCACGTTGTGTTTCCCTTCACTTCCGCCAAACAGCGCTGACAGCGAATCACGTCCATTGAGGCATTTTGTATTTTGTTGTATTGTACGAACAGTATCAGACTTATAGATTGTGATTTTGTATTCATCATGTGATTTATATTTTAAAGGAGTTAATCAGAGCCAAAATTAATCGATTTTAAAATTTAACCGAATGTAGTTTTTATTTGTGCAGAATACACACTGTGATGATGTGATCGAATCGACTGATATCACGCTTAACATGGAAAGTATTTAACTTTTTGGCAAATGATCTGATTTCTGGACAAAAGATATTTACACCGCCTGTAGGACTGTGATATGTTGGTGAATTAAAGCCGCAGTGAGTGAGTTTTAAAGAGTCAAAACACAGCTCAACTTTCAGCTCCTCAGACTTATTATATGTAGCGGTGTTAGGAGGCATTTTAGCATCGCGTTGTGCTTCTTCTGTTTACATCTCACGCTTTTCACGGACTGAGTGACTTATTTTGAAGGAATTAATCGACTTTTGGCTATTCTTATATTCTTAAGCTCAAGATTGGTGACTGTTCCTCTGCATGTCCTGTATTTTCTAATTCATAAAAATCAGAGGAAATACTCGACGTGTAAAGATCAGATTGTTGCCAGTCTAGTTTAGGAGGCAGTTAAACTCGTATTTCTTTCACACAAACTGACTTTATGGCGCTGACTCACTGGTTTTTCTTTGTAACCTTGCACACCTGTCCTTTTTATTTTCCTCACGAAACACCAGCTTGAATTTTCCTCCCAAGGTCTCATCTCTCTTTTTAATGCTGTAACTGATTGTGTGCATTAGTGTCAATAAAAAACAAATTGTACGATTAAGAAGAGGGACTCTGACATTTTCTGTAGTTGTAGACCAACGTCCAACTACCCTTTGTCCTGACCCTCATGCATCCACCTACATCCCCCACCTGACCTGCGCCCACCCATCCACCTGTGTCCTGTGTTTGTGGTAGTTAGACCGTAGAGTAGTGCTTGTTTATTTCGTTTTTGTTCGGTGTTTTGTGCACATTTAGTTTGTCTGTGAGCTCGTTGAGTCACTTGTGTGTGTGCTTTGTGTTATTGTAGTTTTTTTGTCTGTAGTGTGGTAAGTTCTTTTATAGCACCCGTCACAGATCTGCACTCAGTGGTTGCCTTGGTTTTACCCATGATCCAGTTTGGTGTGTAACAGTGGACTCAGTGGAAACTTTGCACCTGGGCAAGTATACGGTCCCCACTTAGTATCATGTAGTAAACTGATGTAGTGGATCTAGCTGTAGTAGAAGTGAATGTTTGTTTTTTTCCTCTGTTTGGATGAACGTTTTACAAGAAGTCGCAAAATGTAGATTTGAGCTTCTGTTAGACCAAACGCCATTTAAAAAAGTGCAGATTTTGGGTAACATCCAAAAATAAGACAAAAAAACCTGACATTTTATTTATAGTGTTTTTAAGAGAGATGGATAAAGTATTAAAAAATTTTCCCCCCAAAATGAGACTATTTAAGATTATATCGTCCCAAAAAAATGTTAAATCAAAAGTTTTAAATTTTCTAGAAAAAAAAACATTACTTTCCTTGAAAAATTGTTTACATTTTCCAAATATAGAGTATTTTTAAAAACATTTAATTTTCCTTAAAAAGACCCAAATTTTCCCAAAAAGTTTCATTTTTCAAAATTAAATCTTGAAACATTTTCATTTTCCAAGAATTTTTTTCAATGTTCTAAGAAAAATTTTTAATCAAAAGGACTTTTTTTTTTTTTTTTTAAAGATTTTCCAAGAATAAATATTGTAAAATTTTTCCAAGACTAAATGTTGAATCTCCAAGAAAAATGTTTAATTCTTTTTTCAAGTAAATGTTTCAAGTAAACGTCCCATTTTCAGCTTATTTAAATAGATAATTTATGTTTTAAGATCCATTATTTTTCTCTCACATTTTTTAAATCTCGACCTGCAGAATATGTCATCAATCATTTTTACTACAAAATGATGATTTTCTAAAACGCACTATTGCACCATCTGTCTTTTTCTGTCCCTTTTACTGCACTGATATGATCGTAGTAAACCTTGAAGTGAAAGTGCTGATCCGTAGATCTTTACTAACATCTGTAAACCTTAACTTCTTGATTTTCGTCCCTCTTTTTCCTTCCTTTGTTTGTGTTTAAAAGTTTAGATGAGGATCCAAATAGAATAGATGTTCATGCCCGCTAAACTGACTTTAAACTTGAAATTCATCGCCTCACATGTAAATCACATTCAGGGATTATTTGGGGAGTATTTGAGCTTCCGGATCCAGACGCTTTTCCTCCACGTTGAAAGGTCTGATAAAAAAAAAACTGCAAAGTCACTGTAAGAATTAAATGATAAGGATGGCTGTGAATTTCATAAGAGCATTTGGATTATATAGAGTGAATTTTAACGCCCTTCACCATCTTCTCTCTTATCTCACCCCTTCTCCCCCCTCCGTTTTCCAACTTCACTCTCCCACAGAAAGTCCCGGTTCTGAGGACTCTCCAGCTGGAAGTCCCCATGTGGTCGTGAACGGAAACGGCTCCGTGCACGGACAGGGCATGAGCGGCATCGTTCCAGGTCAGAGTCCCGAGAGGCAGCAGCTGTCGCCTCTCACCAGCCCGCTGCTCACCGACGCTGGATGTGTCCGCCATGATGACGAAGAGGAGGCGAGGAGGAAGGTGAGCATGCAAACAGACACTGATAGGACACTGTGAGGAAAGAGCTGCACGTCCGCATGGAAACGGCACATTGCTGACCGCAAAAGCAGTCATTGTGGTTAAACCTTTCCCAGATGGATGGATCTCATCTCTCTGTTTGTGTCCAGAAGTTTCCCACAGATAAGGCGTACTTCATCGCCAAGGAGTTGTTGACCACGGAGCGGACCTACCTCAAAGACCTGCAGGTCATCACAGAGGTAAAAAACAAAAAAACACATTTTTGAACACTTAAAAACAGCTTCCTCTTTCTTTCTCTCTCCGCCTGAGAAGCAGAGATGTTTGCAAAGCCTTCTGCCCTTCAGGAGTTAGTCAGGCTGAGAGTAAACACATTTCCTTAAGTACACAGCTCTTAATTACACAAAGAAATGCTCAGGACTGGAAAAGTGAGTTTAAACGGGTCTTAAATTTCAGGACAGTGAGCTAAAATTGTTTTTTTACAAGCTTGTTTGTGAAGGCTGTGAGTCAGAATTAGTTTCAGCTGGATGCGAGACGTGAGTTTGCAGTCTTCAGCAGACTAAATATGGAGGGAAGTGATCTCATTTTGGTTGTTCTGTCAGCAAAAACACAAAATAAGGAGCTCAAATCTGTTTGTACTTTTGATGGTGGACCGAAATAAGAGGCTCACGGCGGATTTCACCATGTGGCATGAATTTTATCATAAAACATGGACTTTAAAGCTCCTGTGAGCAATTTTTCAACACAAATGATGATTTTTTTTGCCGTGATTTTAAAGTAGGTGTCAGTAGAGCTGAAGTAACTGCCCAGTTTTTACATTTTCAACAGTAAATATTAAAAAAATAAACATTTGACTGTTAAAAGTTGGCAAAATAAGCAAAGTTCCCACTTAGTATCATGTAGTAAACTGATGTAGTGGATCTAGCTGTAGTGGAAGTGAATGTTTTTTTCTCCTCAATAAGTCGCAAAATGCAGATTTGAGCTTCTGTCAGACCAAACCTCATTTAAAAAAGTGCAGATTTTGGGCAACATCCAAAAAAACACAAAATAAGGAGCTCAAATCTGTTTGTACTTTTGATGGTGGACCGAAATAAGAGGATTTCACCGTGTGGCATGAATTTTACACTGAGGCTCATTATAAAACATGGACTTTAAAGCTCCTGTGAGCAATTTTTCAACACAAATGATGATTTTTTTTGCTGTGATTTTGAAGTAGGTGTCAGTTGAGCTGAAGTAACTGCCCAGTTTTTACATTTTCCACCGTAAATATTAAAAAAATAAACATTTGACTGTTAAAAGTCGGCAAAAGAAGCAAAGTTTGCGATTTTAAGGCATCAATGTGCAAAACTGAGGGAAAAAACAGTTTCCTTAATCACACATTCAAACAACCGAACTTGTTTTTTTTGTTTGCCGAGACAGACTTTTCGCTTCCAGGCTCTTTAGTTTACGAGCAAAACCACAAAAATTAACACAAAGAGGGAAACTCTGCGTGTTCATCCGGGATGAAAGTGCTTTTTAATGTGGGGCCGGCTCGTCTGTTTTCAATGTCGGACCGACTGACGAATCAAAAAAGGAGAATCAGCAGCAGCAGGAGGAGATCAACAGAGTGAAAACCAAAGTTAAAGCCCCTCCAGGAGCGAACACCTGCTTAAAGATCAGTTTTATAATAATGGAGGTGACCTTTGACCTCTCTGTGGAGGGGAGGAATCTCATATTTCCTCTCTGTTGTGTCTTTTTCTGCCTCTCAGCTGTTTTTCTTCTCAACAGTAGTTTTCAGTCTCTTTCATGTGGGAGGAAGGCGTGCGCTGGCACTTTTTGAAAACCTCTTAAATATTTTCTTTGGCTGGCACCCACCCACCCACCTCTCTCTCCCTCGCCATCCCTCCCCCCTCTCCTCAGTCGGTCTGCGACACAGCTGGACGCTCTCCTGTCTGCACTGTCTGTCATAGCCGTGTGTGATTTACTCTGACGGGGGAATATAACACCTCTGTGTCAGGGGGGAAAAGGCCACGAGGGTCACGGTGCGAGTGTGTGTGTGTGTGTGAGTGTGTGTGTGAGTTAGCTGATCCTCAGCGCAAACAAACGTCACTGTGCCTTAAAGTCAAATCAGTCATTCAGACCAGGACCCCTTATCCTCTGTCTGCTGGTATCTTATCAGTTTTGTTTGTGTGTGTGTGTGTGTGCCTGAATGTGTGTTTTTTTCCTCTGGTACACCACATTTAGATGCTTTTTAAGTCTTTTTAAACGACATATTTGTGATTTATCTTGAAAAAACAGCCTCTTTAAAGGGTCTCACACATTCTCATCCGAGGTTGCTCACTCACTCCTGATTCTTTTGTGTTGTAGTCCTTCCAGAGCGCGGCAGGAAAAGAAGAAATCTTCCCAGACTCTGTTAAAAACCTGATCTCTGCCAACTATGACCCCATCTACAAGTTTCACCAGGGCTTCCTCAAAGAGGTGGAGCAGCGCCTGGCGCAGTGGTCAGTGCATTTTTTAATTCAACCTCTGAAGTTAAGTTCGATCTGCTGCTGGAGTGTGTCCGTGTGTGTCCTTTCTGCTCACTTAAATGGGATTGTGGGAATGATTGAAGATTTTCCAGTCACTGCTTTTTAAAACACCGCTCTCCGCTGACATCTACTGGTAGAAAATGGAACTGCGTGCGCTCTGTAATCGAAGGGTTCTCGTCTTTGTAGGGAGGGACGCTCAAACGCTCATATTAAAGGTGACTATCAGCGGATCGGTGACATCCTCCTGAAGAACATTCAGGGTCTCAGGGTAACTATGAGTCCAGTTTCATCATGTTTGTGTTTTTTTCTTTTCAATTTCTGATCGTATTTGTTGTGAAATGATCGACTCTTTTCCCTCTTCCCTCTTTTTGGCACCTGCAGCAGCTGACGATCCATCTTCAGAAACATTCAGAGTGCCTGGTCGAACTTGAGCGAGCCTGCAGGTAACGTTAGAAGCAAATGTTGATTGTGAAATAAAAAATATACGTTTGTTTTAAAATTTGATGCACTGGCAGCCTTTCTCCTCTCTTTCTGCTCCTCAGATCCGCTCGTAAAGTGGAGGCCGTATGTCGAGACTTCGAGCAGCAGAGAGTTTGCTACCTGCCCTTCAACATCTTCCTCCTCCGCCCTCTTCATCGCCTGCTGCACTACAAACTCATCCTGGAGCGGCTCTGCAAGCACTACCCGCCCACACACGACGACTTCAGGGACTGCAGAGGTACGATTTCAGCGCACATCCTCATCCACCTTTCTGACTTTTACTTTTATTTTTAAATCCATGTTTTCATCCTCGATGTGAAACCGCTTCCCTTTTAGCCGCGCTGGCAGATATTTCAGAGATGGTGCTGCAGCTTCAGGGCAGTATGATGAAGATGGACAACTTCCAGAAGCTCCTGGAGCTGAAGAAAGATCTGACCGGCATCGACAACCTCGCCATCCCAGGACGGGTTAGAGACTTTAAAGCTGGAGCTGTAAATAATTCAGCTATGAAGACATTTTTGATTGTGTTTTGATGTTTTCCTGACAGGAGTTCATCCGGCTCGGCTGTCTCAGTAAACTCTCAGGGAAAGGTCTTCAGCAGAGGATGTTCTTCCTGGTACGGCATGACTCCTGCTTTTCAAAATAAAGCTCAAAGTCAATGAGAGTAAAAACCTAAACCCTTTACTCTTCTTCTTCTTCTCTCTAGTTTAGCGATTCTTTGGTGTACACGAGTCGAGGAATGACGCCATCGAACCAGTTTAAAGTCCACGGCCAGCTGCCCTTATATGGCATGACGGTATGTGACCCCGCTCTTAAAGTAACACGCTTTTATTTTATTTGAATCACTGTACTGCAGGAATATGAAATTGTGGCATGTGGATTTTGTAGGTAATGTGTTTTTTTTTCATTTTGTGTGTGTGTGTTTTTTGCAGATCAGAGAAAGCGAGGATGAGTGGGGAGTCCCTCACTCGTTCACCTTGTTCGGACAGCGTCAGTCTGTCGTCGTAGCAGCGAGGTAAACACCCAAACATGAGGGTTTTCAGTTTTAAAGCTCCTGTAAGGAATTTTACCAACTTGACCTTTAAATATTCAAGCAGCGTTTTTAAATTCAAATTCAACTTTATTTGTATCACAGAGGCTAAAAATAACAATAACGACAATAAAACCTGAACCTCCCACCCACATACACACCCATGGACCCACACATACACACACACAACCGCACACAGTGTGAGAATTTAAAGGGGACCTGCCATCAAAAATGTAATTTTTGTTTTTTTTTGTGTCAGATAAGGTCCGTATTATGTTCGTCTTATGTTGTAAATGTGAAAACAAACCGTTACGTTTTCATTCTGTAAAGGTTTAAAATTAAGGAACGAGTAAACCAGGCCGATTGAAAAAGCAGGTCCCTCTGACGTCACGCTGACCTTGCTCATTATTATTCAGGAGCGCGTCCTCAGTGAATCGCGCCCACTCTTTCGTTCTCGTACTCATTCACAGTCAACATCACTCTCCAGCCAGAGCGAGACCCAGCTACCACTCTATCCGCTATGGGTCTCTTCCAAACGACCGGCGTTTCCTTCGGTTCACTGCCGGCAGAATGAATGAGAAAACACCGCTGGAGATCTCCGGCTTCTTCTTCAACTTCCACCTCCTCTTCGGACTCGGGGTCTAAAATATATGGTTTAATACCTGCTGTTTTTAGCCTTTAGCATAAGGTGACCAGACGTCCCAGATTTCCAGGGACCGTCCCTGAATTGGATGACCTGTTATATTATTAGAGAGACATCACGTGAGGAAAGAGCTACCTCTGGGAAACACTGGAGATAAAGACAGAGATAAAAATGGTGAAAAGACTAAAACAAGAAAATAATATTAAATGAACAGATAAGTAAAAGCTCTTTACCGTATAAAAGAGAGGTAAAAGAAGTAAAAACCTGTGACGGGAATTAAGAAAAAGACCAAGAACAGAGGTAATAAAAAAATGACATAAAATAAACAATAAGAACTTTGATTAAAATGAACATTTTCAATAAGAGAAATATAAAAAGGCAGCTAGTAAAAAGCCTCTTCTTAAAAACATCAACAGTCTCTGCCTCCCCGTGTGTTTTTGTTTTGACTTTGGATTAAAAGGTTAAAAGACCTGTGCCGAAGGACCTCAGGGTCCGCGAGGGTTGATATGGTAAAAGTAAGTCAGATAAGTAGGAGGGGCCGAGATCATTAATACATCTAAAAACTAATAAAAGAACCTTAAATCAATCCTGAAACGGACGGGGAGCCAATGCAGCGATGCTGAAACTAGCGTCATATGCTCTCGCCCTCTGGCCCTTGTCAGCGCTCTTGCAGCTGAATTCTGAGGAGGCATCCTGCTGACTTGACTGTGGAATGCTACATTTATGGTAAATATTTAATCGTGCTCGCCTGACATCGACCCCCTTGTTCTAGTTTCAGACAAAATGAGGATTTAAAAGGTACCGATCTCGTCTCTGGTGGTCTTGTTTACTTTTGGACGTGATAACAAGGCAACAATATGAATTTTAGTCTGTTTATAAACGTCGAAAAACTCCTTACAGGAGCTTTAAATATCCATTTTCCATTAAAGCTGTGAAAACATGAAAATTAGAGACATTAGATAATTTCTCATGACTGAAATGATTCATTATAAATGAAGCTGTGTGTCTCTAAGAGAAACACTTTGAAACATTCATGCAGGTCAAACTCATCAAATATGGATCCGCCCTCTGTAGGTTTACTCGCGCTTTAATCAAACTGGACTCTGTGACCTATTTTTTCATTCAGACGCTCACTCACTGATTAAAACGCTCAGATTTTACTCCATCAAAGACTCGACTTCACTTCTTTTTGTGTGCAGCTGTGCCGCAGAGATGGAGCGATGGGTGGAGGACATCAGGATGGCCATCGATCTGGCGGAGCAGAGCAGCAGCCCGAACACCGACCTGGTGTCCACGAGTCTCTCTGACAACAGTAAGAGCGTTTTAACCACATCGATCGGTCATTTACAGGTTCGAGTGAATTTCAGGTCTTTCTCCCCCTCTGAGGAAACAGACGTCTGCTTTCACCACCTCATAAATAATCCCTCCACATTGTCCCAGCTGGTCTTTCATCATATTTTCAGCGTCACCTGATCCGAGCACATCCAGATCCCAGCTGTCGCCCCCTCTTCTTTTCTCTTGTCCTTTTTCTTAAACGCCTGTCACGATCTTCAATGAAGTCTCCGCCCTGTGACCTTTGGTTTGACGTCGCCATTGTCGCCCCGTTAAATCATCTGCTGTGTACATTTTTAAACCCAAACGGTTAAAGAGTATTCACTTTCAAGCAACAACAAAAGGATTATTTTACTCCTTTTTTGTGTGTCTGTCTTTTTGAATCTTGTTTTAGAAATTACACCCACAGAGAAAGGTCGAACTCTTGTCCCATCTGCAACCAGTTAGCCGGTTAAGCGTAACTAAACAAACCGTCTCCGAGGCCCCGAAGTTGTTTCAGAGAAAATAATGTCATAGCGTTACTTTAATTTGCACTCAGCCCCTAAAGCTGGATAAACACAAGCAGTTTACGCTTGTAATTAGTCCAAATCCTTTAACGGCTTATCACAGCGGTCAAATACATCCCTGAGTTTGACTTCGTTTGCTGTTATAAGATGATTAGAGCCCAAAACGAAACAAAACTAACCCCAAAAGGCAGAAATGAGGTTATTATCACTCTTAACAGAGCAGGATTATTGAAACGATTTAGAAACATAACCGTAGAAACTTTTAACCTTTATTAGTTTTTATTCATTATTAATGTTAATTTAAGGTGTATAGTTTTAAAGTCTGTTTTCATGATTCATATTCTAGAGTTATCGGAGGACGGTGGAGCTGATCTGGAGTCGGAGGAGGAGCTAGGAGGCTCACGCTCGTCTCTAGAGCGTCAGGGTCACCGTGGTAACACCACCGTGCACGTCTGCTGGCATCGCAACACCAGCGTGTCCATGGTGGACTTCAGCGTGGCTGTGGAGGTACCGTGTCCTCTGTCATCTGTTTTTTCCTGTATCTGTGGAGTCCGGTCTTGAGTCTTTAGTCTGTGTCCTCAGGAGTGTTTGTGTTTCTGTCCTTTTCTCTTTCTCCATCTCTGCCTCTTTATTTTCTCTCCTTCCTTTTCCAATCTTCCATCTGTCTTTTTTTCCACCTCTGTGCGTCCATGAGGCCTTTTAACAGTCTGCAGGAGCCTGTATCTCTCTGTGGCCTGTCCTTTAGTGACACCTGCTGGAATTCGAGAGGTACTGCTAAAGCCTCTGTATTCACGGATCCATGCAGGAAACTTCAGAGGACAAAAGTTCAGATTTGTTGTGTGCAGTTATTTAACAGGCCACTGGACGCTTACTGTGTCTGTAATATTTCACATTTAACTTTTAATGTTTGTGTTTGCGTGTCTTCTGCGTTTCCAGAACCAGCTGTCAGGGAACCTGCTGAGGAAGTTTAAGAACAGTAACGGCTGGCAGAAACTCTGGGTGGTCTTCACCAACTTCAGCCTCTTTTTCTACAAGTCACACCAGGTAAAAAACATACTAACCCTTTATTGCCTTTTGTATTATATTTGATACATACTTTTATGATACTTCTATCAATCAATATGATCAACAAATTACTAAAAATACACCTGAATACAGTCCGATAAATGATAAAAATGTCCTCTTGTGGTTTATCAGTTTCCAAAAACATCTGATGTGTCAAACGAGATAAATAAATACATATATTTGTTAAATTGTAAGGACATTTTGATTGTTTTGGTTTTCAGTAGTAAGTCAAATAAACATTTTCTGGCCTTAATTTGTGGTTTCAGGCATCAAAGGGTTAAAAATGCAGAAATGTTGGCATGTTTTTGATCATTTAACTCGGGGAGTTAAAATTAAAGAGGCGTTTTTATACCGACTGACTTTCGTCTGCTTACAGGACGACTATCCTCTCGCCAGCCTCCCTCTGCTCGGCTACTCCGTCACGGTCCCGTCCGAGTCGGAGAACATCCACAAAGACTACGTCTTCAAACTCCACTTCAAATCCCACGTGTACTACTTCAGATCAGAGAGCGAGTACACGTTCGAGAGGTAGTCAAGTTAGAATCCAGTTTCAATTGTTTTTTTGGTGTTAGAAGTTCGACCCATGTACCATCTGATTACATGGAGGAGACACGATGATTGAAATCTTTCTCATCTCCAGGTGGATGGAGGTGATCCGCAGCGCCACCTGCTCCGCCAGCCGCTCACTGCCCAGCACCACCAGGAAAGACCTTTATTGATGAATCACCTCCGTTAGAGAGAGACTCTTATTTCACACGCGGTGCACACGGCCCTCTTATCGAATCATGCACACCCTTCCAGAGGTCCTCCCACTTCACTCCTGTACCCTCACCTTTCTGCACCACCCGAGTCTGACGCCGACGTGGACTCTCGCTGGATTACTTTCAAACTTTAAGCTATTGTTTCGACCATGAGTTTTGTTCACATGCACACACACACACACACAGACACAGAAAATGCTTTTATCCCGGTGATAAACCTGACTGAAACTATCTGGGACACTTGAGCATGAGTTTGTGTGTCACATCATGTGTTTTTACTTTTCCTCTTCGATGACAGATCTGCGATGAGAGTAGAACGTGTATAATGTGGTTTAATAACTGTGTGCATGTGAACATGAGTATTTTTATTTGCCTGGAAATCGATACGATGAATTCAACATGTTGCCTGTTCTCCATCCATCCGTTTCATTTCATGAGGCGACTTTTTGTACAGTACATCGAAACACTGTGAAATGTCTTTTTCTTCATGTTTTTCTTTGATTCTTAAAGACTGAAAAAAGCCTCGAATGCCAACAGAGATTTCACTGGGTCTTTTGCCAAATACCTTCTCTTCTGTACCTTCCAGTTTTCTGGATTTTAATCTTCTAAATAAAAATGAGAAATAATTGTGTTCATACAGAGGAAATGCAGCAACTTCAAGTTTTTTTTAAATCTGTCTTTTAATCAAGAAGGAAACGGGTAAGGACGACAACAAAAGAGAAAATGAGGTTAACAATTGAGGAAAACTCAAACACCAAAAATTACAGATTCAAGAAAATTGTTCAAAATTCCCTCTTGAGATTAAATGACGTGTTTCTTATGTTTTGTAAATGTAAACAGATCACACCATTACCAAACCCTGAGAATGTTTTTGCACAGTTCTGGTTTATGCCACTTCTCCAAGAAAGTCCGATTTTTAAGATTAAAGTCGGAATTTTCAATATTTCATTCATACCGATCCCTGCCGTTCACTTAGGCTACGTTCACACTGCAGGTTATGATGCACAATTCCGATTTTTTGTTAAAGCCGATCTTTTTGTGAGGTCGTTCACATTACAACATCGAATGCAGCGTCTAATGTGAACGGAATGCATCCGTTAAGTGACATGCGCACAAAGCAGGACGACACACATTGATGACGTATGTGTCGGATGAACGCGACCTGAGCGTCCACACTGCAGTCACATCAGATACATATCCGATTTATATCCACATACAAAAGAGGCCTGGGTCGGATTAGAAAAAATCTGAGTTGCACTGTTCACACTTTCATGAAAAAATCAGATATGTGTCACCCATGGTTAAAAAATCGGAATTGACTTGAAGTGTGAACATAGCCTGAGTTTGCTAACATCAGAAATTACACATAACTTCTGAAATTAATGCACCTTTATAGGTCACCTTAGACAGCCTCTGAAAATACACTGATCTTTTCTGATAGAAAAGCCCCCTGATGTCCAGAAACACAGAGCTTATTGCCGGAAAGCTGCCGGTCTCACGAAGCGAGTGGATTTTACGGTAAGTCAGTATATCGTTCACATGATTACTGCCTCTTGCAAACTGTGGATTCATTGTCACATGGTGTACGGTTAATCAGCTTTTAATAAATTAAGATAAAACTGTTAAAAAATTTGAACTTACCGTATTTTTCGTACTATAAGGCGCACTTAGAAGCACTGCAGATACCGTAGCCTCGCGGAGTTATTGACTGTTTTGTTTGGCTTAATGCGCTTTATAATCCGGTGTGCCTTATGAAAATAGACACAAATAGACGGTTTCATTGATAATCAGGTGCGCCTCATAGTGCGAAAAATATGGTACAGTAAATCTGAAGCTACAATCAGAACCATTAGGAGTGTTTGTAAAGTTAAGACCTGGACCACAGGATACGAAGAAGGATCAGTCCAGGTGTTAAGTTTTCTATCTACCATATTTGATCTAATCTTCTTCCTCCACACTGTCCCGTCGTTCTCGTGACTCTCGCGTCTCGTACTCAAGCCCGTGATCTCCATACGCGTCGTAGTCCGCGTAGCTCGACAGCGAAGGCCAGTCAGGCTGGTACGCCGTCGTGCTGTACACAAACGCTTCTGTGATGCTCCCCACCGCCAGCCTCTCCTTCTCCTCCACCCCCAACCACTCCTCCACCTCCAGCTTCACCACAGTCCGCTGGTACATGGAGGGGCAGCTCTCAAAGTCATCCAGGAAGGCCAGCATCTTGTCATCCACTTTATAGATCTCCCCGCGGACCCGGTGACCCTGGCCGGGGAGGTTGAGCAAGAAGGGGATGTTGTGCTTGGTGGCGATGATCAGAGGGTATTTCTCTGTGGTGCAGGCTGAGGCCAGGAGCTCCGCCTTGCCGTTGGAGCTCTTAAACATGCGGTAGTTGTTGGGTTGACCCCTCTTGAGGGTGCCGTAGACGAAGACATGCGTCATGTGGACACAGGAGGATAGACGTATCTGCAAAATAAACAAGAAATCAAAAGAGTAAATGAAATAATATTTTTAAGGCGTTAAGATTGATGATAAATTGACCTGGAAATCACATATTAATGGAATAAAAGTGAAAAAAAACCAAAAAGAAGTCAAGACAGAGATTCTTTAAACCCATTATTTGTTCAATTGTAGTTGTTGAAATTCAATGAGTTAGTAGATTTCAGTTTGTTGCAGATGATGTAGAAAGCTCATAGGAAAATTTTTGCCAGTCAACATCCAGAGCCGATTTGAAAAACGAGAAAGTTGTTCTAATTTAAAAGGATTTGAAATATTTAAAAAGCCAAGATTCAGGACTAAACTGAAAGAGCGCAGAGTTACAGTGAGAGGAATAAGTTTGTGGAGCAATCTGAACAAAGAAACTTAAGAATCTAAATCAAATTTGATCTTCAAAAAAAGTGTCAAAGCCAGTATGTTGAGTAAATACAGGGAAATATGAAAACACGGTACGTCAACAGATAAAACTTCAGTTTGTGATTTAAAAACAGGTTAAAAACGACAATTCTCTGTCATCCACCTGTGCAGGACCCGGACATGCCATGCATGCTTTTCAGTCTTGCTTTTAACTAAATTATATATCATTAATTAACTTTGTTTAAGTGTTTCAGCATGTATCTCTTTCTAGGATCATCTTTTATTGAGCTATTTCAGTGCTCTTATTTTAGTATCTTTTACTGTTGTTTTTATCTCATTTTATTTATTTCTCAAATTTCATTCTATGCGACTTTGTTTTTAGATTTTAACCTAAACCTCCAGTGTTTCCTTACCTTGAGTTTTAAAATGACGTTTCCTCAGTGCGCACATACCTGTTTCCATGAAATCAAGCCCTTTTTAAGTTGATGCATTTTAATACTGTTTCTGATGCATTTAGATCGTGGGTTGGGAATGAGGGGTTAGGCTGGGGTAGATTTGGGTATTTGGCTGTAAAGACTGATTGATTGATTGATATGCTAATCTAAGTCTTGGTATGTTTGTTTTGTGAAAAAATGTGAATTAACACGGTCTTCTCTGTTCATTTTGTGTTTTTTTTTAAATTGAAAATAAGAAATACTGAACTGTAAAAAGGCATGTTGGCCTGCAGCTCTTGTTTATTTTTATAATGTGTTTAGTTGATTTGTATATTATGAATGAGGGGCAGACTCTGTAAGAGTTTTCTTCTTTTTGCTCCTTTTCATTCACATGTTTTAAATAATAACTGAATGGAACGAAGTATGAAAATGAAAATGAGGCTAGGCGTTGATGACTGTTAAAGGTGCAGTATGAAAAAAGGGAGATTTTTCAATGTTTGCCAGTCTGGTTCTACACTGGAATGCTCCCATTGGCAAAGCTACGGTGGCCTACATGTAGGTACAAGTACATGTAGCTCCGGACTATCTCAAACTTCTATTAATATACTGTAGATCTTATTATTTGGATAACATAACCTCTTCTCCTGTGTTGTCCCCTAACTGCCTGTGCTGTTAAAAGCATTTAAGACTCATAAACTCACCCTGTTGCTGCTCCACATAGTCGGGGAGAGTGGGGTAAGATGAGCCATTTTTCATATTTCGGTATTATTTTCTATATATTAATATATTAATTTCTTCGACCATTTCCAAGCAACAGGGGGTGGCTCAACTTACCCTTTGGCTCAACTGACCCCACTCTCCCCTATTTGATTGGTAATAAAGATGCAGAATTATCACCATGACCTTCAGGCCAGATATACAACACTTAGTTGGACTTAGATATTCTTTTACAACAGTCAATAAAACACTCCTTAAGCAAACTTTGCCTTTAAGTACAGTACGGCTACTATACAGTACACAATTAGCACGAGGGACGTCGTTAAATAAACGTCAAATACCCGGAAACCGTGTTTAATTACACGCATAAACCGTGACACCGCGTGAAAAGGGGATAGTAAGTGAATTCCGCGTGAGCAATTCAACCGAAAAATCACGATAATCTCATTCAAACTCACCGAAAAGACAGGTGTCTGTTTAAATTCTGCTGCACGGTCAGCTGGATATGAAGCCGGGGACTGCACATGCGCAGAAGCATTCACGATACTAAAGAACACAACCACAGGAGGGCGCTGGAGTGCAGAGGAGCTTCAGATGTTTTCCAATAGGATGTTTATCAAAGAATAACCTGATATTCGTTGAAAATTTTTATAATGTATATAAAATTTAATTTGTTTTTAATAATTATCATGTTAATTTAGAGAAACATTTTTTCTCCTAATTCTAAGATAATTGATTGGATGATTCAGAAACAAAGGGGCAGATTTTTTTTATACTTACAAAAAAATTATGTCACTATTCTGAGATGACTGCCACGTTAATTCAACATCTAGTTATCTTGTATTGTGAGATACTTATCTTGTTAAAAATCTGAAAAACTGGGCACAAAAAATAAAACAAAAAATGAACAAAGTGTTTTTATTGTTCTTAATTAAATTCTCATTAATTTAGAAAACCAAAGCACTTTTTTTTCTGCCTGTCAATAAAATACGCCTCCAAAGCATTACAGTGTCTAGTATGTATTTTCTATGTTTCATTAATTTAATAAACAATGATTTTATTACGACTTTATTCTTGTGAGTAATGATTTTATTATTATTACGACAGATGTAGTGATGAACTGTATTTACTGACAGTGGTTTTCTGAAGTGTTTCTCAGCCCATGTGGCGATATCCTTCATACATTGATGTCGGTTTTTGATACAGTGCCACCTGAGGGATCGAAGGTCAAGGGGATTCAATGTTGGTTTCTGGCCGTGCCGTCTACGTGGAGTAATTTCTCCAGATTCTCTGAACATTTTGATGATATAATGAACCGTAGATGTTGAAATCCCTCAATTCCTTGCAATTGTACTTTGAGAAACGTTGTTCTTAAACTGTTCGACTATTTGTTCAAGCAGTTGTTCACAAAATGGTGAACCTCGCCCCATCCTTGCTTGTGAATGACTGAGAATTTTTGGGGAAGCTGCTTTTATACCCAATCATGAGACCCACCTGTTCCCAATTAGCCAGTTAACTAGTAGCTGTTTGATGAGCATTAACTCAAATTTTTTAGTATTTTTTGCCACCTTCCCCAACTTCTTTGTCACGTGTTGCTGCCATCAAATTCTAAAGTTATTTGCAAAAAGAAAAACAAAGTTTATGAGTTTGAACATTAAATATCTTGTCTTTGTAGTGTATTCAATTGAATATGGGTAGAAAATAATTTTTAAATCATTGTATTCTGTTTTTATTTACGATTTACACATCTTCCCAACTTCATTGGAATTGGGTTTTGTATTTCTGTTTCATACTTATCCGCTAGAGGGCGTTTTATCAAACTCACTGACTGTCGTAGCCCGGATGTTGACGTAAGCGCGTTCGCAGCCTAGCAGCAGAAAATACGGCGTAAACAAAGCGGAGAGCCACAGATCTGCTAACACGAAGGAGCAAACGAATAATGAGAAAATGACCAATATCAGCTGCATTAACACCCGGTTCGGATGATAAACGTGCTCGGCTTTTGTTGATAACATGGTTACAGACTCGCGTATTTGTCCTAACACTGAAACTAAGCGAGTTTTAAAGGGACCGTTACTGCAAGCTGCTTTAGCATTAGATAACCACAGATAACGGGACTCGGAATTTGCATTTCTGTGAATCAGGAGCTCCAAAAAACAGCCCGAGGAGACAACACATGGTACGGTTTGTTGTATTTGTTGTATTCAGGCTACGTTGAGAAATTTTCGCCGCTTTTGTGGACGTTGTGATGAGTTAGCTCGCCATGTAGCCCCCCCTGAGGATCAGCTGTTGATCAGAGCTGGTAGAGGTGGGACGATCCTGGCTCCATGACCACTTGATCGCTGTCATCTGCACCCACACTGCGATGTTTAGCCTGATGGCGAACTGCTGCAACTGGCTGAAACGATGGCGAGAGCCTGCAAGGTACGTTTTAAAGCCCAAATTCCTCTTTTTTCATTGTTTTTCTAGTTTTCTTAGATGCTCTGTAGCAGTGATATGGTTTTTCTCTGACAGGCACAAGTTGTTCAAACAGCCAAACCAGATGATAGACCAGACAAAGTGAATACATGTTTCTTTTTGAACCAGCACACACAGAAAAATACAGGGAAAGCGCTCTGTTTCAGGGGCGTGTCCAGACTGTCTTGACTGGGGTGCCCACTGGGGCAGGGGTGGCATAAGGGATATTTCCACTTATAAACAAAAGCATTGACTTAAGGTCCTTACACACCGGGAATGACGCTAATATATACGACGCGAAATTACGAAATATTCTGAGGCGAATTTTGACATTACATGTTAAGTGCGGGGAAAGTCCCGCCTCCTTCGCCTCTGTTTGGCTAGAAAAGCTGGAAACATCATCACCCGCTCAAGCCAGACGGTCAGCACTTATAGCCAATCAGAGGCGATAAGATAAGCACATGAAACTATGGTAACATCCGTTAGCTTGCGTGAGCCTAGATGAAAGTTAAAACAAAGACGTTTAGCAAACTTTGAAAGCACACAAACCATCGTCATATGAGAAATCCGATGCTATGTTGTCCTTCAGGTCTTTATCTTTGTAATGTTTATGTTTTTTTTTAATCAAAAATCACTCTGTTCTCCGACATGTAAACAATCTGCCGGTCGGCCATGTTGGGTATACCGGTGAATCTGACGTCGCAAAAACACGATTGGAGATTTTAGAAAAATCGACCGTGATCTGAAAAAATAAATTCCACAATATCGCAGGACGGGAAAATGTCGCTGATGTGAATGCTTGTTTTGACAGGATACAGGTTAAAAAAAAATATTGACGTCTGAAATAATCACACGAAAAAAATGCTTCCAGTGTGTAAGGACCTTTACCCTTTCTGTCACCAGCTAACATGTTTACTCTAATATTAACATATTTGCTACAACCACAAACATGAAACCATCATGTAAATTGTTAAATTGCTGAATGCTATGTCACTCTTTATCTTAAAAACATGTTCATGGCTTCATTGACACCTGTTAGTCAACTCTGCTGTGGCACTAAAAATACAAATCTATTTGACCACTTTTTTGGATGTGATTTTGAGTCCATGCTGCAACTTCCACTCCAGAGCCATGCTTGTTTTTGAATGCAGAGCCACGTAACAGCCTTTTGAACAGAGATTTCTACATATTCTCTGAATCCTATGATGATATTTAGCACTGTAGATGATAAAATCCTCTAAATAGGTAAAGAGGTAAAGATTGGAAGAGATTCATCACTTCGTGAGAGACTGCGTGAGATGGACAATTTTTGGATCATGTTTCCAAGCTTCAATTGCAAATACACACGGGGACAAAATTGTTGGCACCTTTCGGTTAATGGAAGAAAAACTCACAAAGGTCACGGAAATAACTTGAATCTGACAAAAGTAATAATAAATAACAATTTTATTTAAATGCGACATTGATTTTAAACCGTGGTTCAACAGAATTATTTTAAAAATGAACTTATTAAACAGGTCTGGACAAACATGATGGTACCCCTAGAAAAGACTGAAAATAATGTGACCAAAGGGACGTGTTAATTCAAGGTGTCTCCACTCATTAACATCACAGGTGTCTATCTTGTAGAGCAATGCATTGCTGGCAGAAGTCTCATTGACAGTGACAGGAATCCTTTGACTGCAGTAATCGCCTCAAAAGGTTGTGCAACAAAATATTAAGTTAAGGGTACCATCATTTTTGTCCAGGCCTGTTTAATGAGTTTATTTTTAAAAATAATTCTGTTTAACATGGTTGAAAAGCAATGTCTGACTTTCATTTGTTAATTTTCATAGAATTTTTATTTATCATTACTTTTGTCTGATTCAAGAAATTTCTGTGACCATTGTGAGTTTTTCTTCCATTAACCGAGGGGTATCAACAATTTTGTCCACGTGTGTATTTGCAATTGAAGCTTGGAAACATGATCCAGAACTTGTCAATCTCACACAGTCTCTCACAAAGTGATGAACCTCTTCCAAACTTGACCTCGAAGAGACCCAGCCTCCATTAACTCCTTTTTTATTCCCAATCATGTTAAAAATGTATTATAAATAAACCTGATTTGTTCGGAAATGCTCCTCCAGGTGATTTTCTTTAGCATGTAAAAACTTTTTTGCTCTTTTATTTTGTCCCTATCACAGTTTTTGGATGAATTGCTGGCATGAAATTCTAAATGAGCTTACGCTTTTCATAAATTTTTCTTAATTTCAATGTTAACATACATTGTCTTTAACTTTGTTTCACTTAAATTTAGGCTTTAAAACCATCACATTTTGTCTTATTAAAAATAAACACTTTTTTTTGTCCAACCCACAGCCATAAAATCCAACTTGTCTTCATTTATTGTGATAAATTAACAGAAAAACTCTCATTTAAGACACCAGAACCACCAAACTTTGACATTTTGGCTCGAAAAAGACTGAAAACACTTTAATATTGTCAGAAAAAACTGGCTGTTAATGGGGTTTGATGGCGTTTTATTAGAGTTAAGTGATCCTTTTGGGTATGACTTGGATGATAAACTGATACTGGTGTTTACAGAGCTATCATAAGCACACAGTGTTACTTAACTTAGCGTCCATTAGGCTCACTTATAGAGCAGATAAAACACTACAGGTGTAAAACAGCAGGCCGAGCAAAACGCCAGGATGAGCCCTGACACCACGTGGTGCATTCGAGGCACCTGATCCTCTGGACTTAGTCTGAAATCCTCGCCTAATCCCACATCCAGGTCTGTTCAGTGGGTCTCTTTGTTGCAGCGTGTTGCTGTGAGGGGTTTGTAGCGGCGTGGATGGAGGGTTATGGGTTAGCAGAGAGAAGAAGGCGAGCTCTTTGGCTCGGTGGAGGCGGACATTGAGCGATGAAGGCCAGCTGGCTCCAGAGGACGGTTAGATGGATAGTGCGGTTCATGTCTTTCCGGCGCAGGTTTCAAAGTTAAGTATGAGACAAAGACGGGGCGTGTTTATATGTACGCTTAAGCTGTTATTTCTCTTCCCCTGTGGATGTAGGTCTTTATTTTGGTTCTGGTTGAAGTTTTTATGCAAAATCATGATGCAAACCTGTAGATTTGTGAGATTTCTGTTGAAATTACAGTATAAAAGCTGATAAAACGTGTCTGAAAAGTGCTTCAATGAGCCTTTACAGTTTTTTGATATGTCTTTAATTGAGTTCTTCGCATTAGTAAGATGCCTAATGTGTCTAGACCGTTAAGCATATTAAGCATGTTGCGTGTAAAAGTCTGCCAGATTACCGTCCAGGTGTTGGCAGATGAAACTCTTCTCCAGGTCGCTCAATCTGCTTCAGACGTTGCATGTTTTTATTTGCAGTTTGTCATTTTTCAAACATAATTCTCAAACTTTAAGGTCTCAAATGAAAAGATAACTCTAGATTGATGGCCTCATATTATTCAAAAAGATCTCAGGACTCAAAGAGCTTTGTTTTGCTTCGTCCGGTTCTGTTTGTCTCAGTCCCCCCGTCTCCTCCTGCTCACTCACTCATTGTAGAGAGACTATAAATTGGCTTATCTGTGCCCCCAGATGGTAATGAGAGCTAATGCTAATGCTAACTAGAAAGGCAATCGGAGACCGCAGACCTCCGCCAAGCAGCTCATGTCCCCCCTTAAACAAGAAATGCCCTGACTGGGATTCAAACCCAGGACCTTCTGGTTGTGAGGCGACAGTGCTAACCACTACACCACTGTACCGCCTATCTACACCACTGTGCCGCCCATTGGTTATCTTTCAGCATTGAAAATTCCAACGACACCCTTATTTTTGTGTGTTCTGGATCACAGTATCCAATCCGTCTGTAACTTTCTCCGTAAAGTTGCTAACAGACAAACAAACCAACGCTACCGAAAACATAACCTCCTTGGCGGAGGTAATAAACGCCACAGACTGAATCACACCCTGCTCCCCGTGCGTTGACGTTCTTCCTCTCTATTTTTCTCGCCTCACAGGAAGGTGACTCTGGTCATGGTGGGTCTGGACAACGCAGGGAAGACGGCCACAGTGCGGGGAATCCAAGGAGGTATGAAGCGCACATTTTAGTTGAATTCCCCCTTTTGTTTGTTTACCGAGACAAAGTATCCCAGCTTTTTCAGAATTCAGAGGATAACAACATGCGATGTCCATCCCTGTCACAGACAATCCCCAGGATGTGGCTCCCACAGTGGGCTTCTCCAAAGTGGACCTAAAGCAGGGCAAGTTCGAGGTGACCATCTTCGACCTGGGCGGCGGGAAGAGGATACGAGGCATCTGGAAGAACTACTACTCTGAATCGCACGGCGTGGTGTTTGTGGTGGACTCGAGCGACGTCCAGAGGATCCAGGAGACGCGGGAGACGATGGCCGAGGTCCTGCAGCACCCGCGCATTGCAGGGAAACCCGTGCTTGTGTGAGTACTCTTACGACCAAAAGATAAAACTGGGGCCACATTCTCTGTGTTCGTTTTGCTGGCATGCCACCAAGCTGAGGCCGTGTCTTTGCAGGTATTTGGCAGCTGTCAGAACCGGCCCGTACATGCCACAGTGTCATGTTTTCCCCTCGCGGTCTCCAGGCAGCAGAATACTGTCTCTTCTCTGTTTCTGGGTTCAGGATGTGTTGTTGACATCCACAAACACTAAAACAGGATACCGGGGTCCATACAGACTTGTATTCTTCGGGCTTTTGTGAAGGCGAGGGGAGGAACCTGCCTGGCCTTTCAGTGCGCGGCTGGCAAGTCTTGGTCCAATTTGTTGAAGTCTACGTGCGCCGCAGGCTGATTCCTGGAGGCATCTGCCTGTTTAGTAATCGGGACAGAAAGCACACGTTGATGCAGGGGGAGTTTAAAGTGTTTCGGCAGCGTTCTAATCAAAAATCCATAATCAGACTGCGATCGCATCTCCATAAGATTTCCATAAGATTTTCAGCTGATCTAACTCTGCGCCGTGCAGAAATTGAGTCCCATAACCGCCCTTGAAATTACCAAAGCTTCTCCTCCTCTAGAACTTGTTTAGTTCAGTGAGAGGAGAAAGGTTGCAAACTTTCTTTTCTTACCCACATCAGCAGGATCTTGATTCTTGTTTCTTTGCTGCTTTCAGTCTTGCCAACAAACAGGACCAGGAGGGAGCGCTGGCCGAAGCAGACATCATCGAGAACCTGTCGCTGGAGAAGCTTGTTAACGAGAACAAGTGTCTGTGTCAGATCGTAAGTGTTTGTGCACCTGTTGTGGGACGCCAGCAGAATGACATTAAGAGCATTTGGCTTTTTTTAACTGCAGTTTCACCCACATACAGGCAGAGAAAGTGGAGCTCTCGCTTTGTTTTAACCCACTTGAAAGCTTCAGTTTAATCCGAATTCATCTGCGCCGTTTCTTTAAATCTCACGTCGTGTTTTCCTGCCTCAGGAGCCGTGCTCTGCTGTTCTCGGCTACGGCAAAAAGGTCGACAAGTCCATCAAGAAGGGCCTGAAGTGGCTCCTCAACAATATTGCCAAAGACTACGAGGCCATTACGGAGCGCGTGCAGAAGGACACGGCTGAGCAGCGGGCTCTGGAGGAGCAGGACAAGAAGGAGAGGGCGGAGAGGGTGCGGAGGATACGAGAGGAGAGGTGAGGGTGGGAAGGGGAAAGGTAACGAAGGAAGAGAGTCAAATCAAAAATGAAGCTGCGATAAATCCGAACCTTGGATGAGTTTTTCTGGACGGCCTGGAAAGGTTAACACCTCGTTTTGTCTGCAGAGAACGTCTGGAGCGAGAGGAAGCAGAACGCGAGGGCAGGCCGATCCAGGAAGAGGAGCCTGACGACGTGGACATGCCCAGCCCCTTTCAGCCAATCAGCAACGCCATTTGCCAGGTGTGCGACCCGTTTAAAGGAGCTTTAAAAGACCTGTTTTTGGCGGCGAAGGTATATTCAACTTTTGTTCTTGTTGCTCGTAGAATGAGGACAGAGAGAAAGAGAGGAAGAGGCAGAAAGAGCTGCAGGAGGCACGTAGCAACAACCTGCAGATGGCCGTAGACGGATGTGAGGAGGAGGAGTGCGAGGACGAGAATGAAGAACCGGACGACACGAGGCAAACGGCGGAAAACGGCAGCTCGGGTGAGTCAAAGAACCTTGAAACCTTGTTGGTATTTCCATTTCCATCAGAATAAGACATAAATTCTGGTGTATATTTGCTCTGTAGATGCAGTAACAGCCCATCGTTTTCACTTGTTTGAAGAAGCTCCTCTTGCAGCTTTGCACCACATGAGGAAACAAGTCTGAGCTTGTAGATAAACAGGAAAGCAGAATATTAAACTTGTTCCCCTCCTCTGAAAGTAAATGATGAAATAAACTCTCCCAAACTGCTGCAAATATTTGATTTCCAGAGTTTAAAGAGCCTCGTTTGGATCCTCTGTTTATCCCGTAGCTCAGACTGCTGAACCAGCCTGATCACAACAATGCGAGGACGCTGTGTAACACGCTGATCGTGACGGATTTGGATTGTTTGCGGATCACTTACACCTCTTATAACACTGGGGATAAAATCTTGGAAATGCTCTTGTTTTATGAGCGACATATCGCATGAAAAACAGACATGACTCTGTAGTAGAAGTCACCGCATGCGAAGAAACATTATGCCAACCCTGCAAATCCTGAGTCACGCGTCCCTCTATGCTTACAGCCACGACAGGAGAGCAGGACAAGAAGAAGACGAGGAAACTGCACCTGAAGAGGAAGCACCGAGTGGATCCTCTGAGGACGGAGGACGGGCCGACGGAGAGCCCCACCCCTCCTCCACCTCCTCCTCCAGGTCAGTTAAAAGGTCACTTAAAGATCCTAATGCCGACACAAGATGAAGTAGAAAAGCACTCGGAGAGCGCAGACCTCCGCCAAGCAGCTCATGTCCCCCCTTAGACAAGAAATACCCAGACCGGGATTCAAACCCAGGACCTTCTGGTTGTGAGGTGACAGTGCTAACCACTACACCACTGTGCCGCCCATTGGTTATCTTTCAGCATTGAAAATTCCAATGACACCCTTATTTTTGTGTGTTCTGGATCACAGTATCCAGAATTTTGTCCGGATCACCACCAAAATGTAACGGGATCCTCCTGGGGCTGAGACGCACCTCTGGTGAAAATTTCAGGTCAATCCGTCTGTAACTTTCTCCGTAAAGTTGATAACAGACAAACAAACAAACAAACCAACGTTACCGAAAACATAACCTCCTTGGCGGAGGTAATTAGACAATATATTAGGTATCAGTTTGTCCACAGGGAGGTGCCAAAATCAACACAGAACAGAACATTTCTCACAGGAGCTTTAATGAAAAAAGTATTTGGCCTGTAAAAAGGTGAGGGTTGTCTTATATTCGAGGCCAATAAAGGATTAAAGCTCCTGTGAAATGAACGGTAATGCTGCTGTATGACCCAATATAACAACAAAAAAGGCATCAGTAGCGAGATTGATGTATGGTGGTTTAACATGTCTGTAACGACTCCTGCAGTTGAGGTGTCAACTGGTATCTCACTCAAATGGACTTTGTTTACATTTTTATCAGGTACTGGTATCATCAGGAGGTACTGTTTGTTTACAAGCAGCTCCAAAATCAAATCAAGCCTAAAACCCCTTACTGTAGCTTTAATCAATGTTTTATTTTGTCTTGCAGCGTCTTATTTGGAGAGCAGGTCTTTCTCCTTGTTGCGTTTTCAACATGTTTTCTGTCTCTGTGTGGTCTTTTTAGTGGGATGGGCCACACCCAAAGTTTCTAGGCTGCCAAAACTCGAGCCGCTGGGAGACTCGAGACACTCTGGTAAAGATGCATGTGCCGTCCTGTCGTTCGCCATCTCTCACTTCCAATCGCTGTTTCATTAAAGCCATATTTGTCTCTCATTAACCCGGTCTTTTTGTGGACTGACTGTCACGGCTCTAAATCAGTGTTCCCTCTACACAGGTAGAGCTTCTTTATTCGTGTGGAAGTACGAATAGCAGCGCTACATGAGTGTTATTCCACAGCTCTGGTGTGCTGTTGCAGAGGGAACACTGAACTCTGTCTGCCTTCAGATGTGTGTCGACTGTTAATTAGCCCACCCGACCCCCCGTCTCTGCCTCTCTCCTCCTGCGTCTCACCAGGAAAATGCTTGAATGTTTGGATCCTTCATGGTGGCAGACATCTTAATCAACTCCGAGGCTTGTCTTTGTTTCCATCCCCGGTCTACTCACTCCATCTTTAACATCATTTTCTCTTCCTGTCCGCATCCCACCCTCATCTGTTTTGATTCCAGGTTTCATTGGTTGTAGCTCGCTAACCCGGTCTTTTCCCCCCTTCCGCAGAATTTTACAAGAAGCCTCTGCCGCCCGTCGCGAACAGGCCGCGGCCAAATGGCGACACTCATGACGTCATTTTTTAACCTTCTTATACTTGAGAGTGAGCTCCTCCAATCATCCTGTTTTTGCTTTCTGTCTCAAGTGAGCGGAGTGTAGACAGCCAAACCGCACTGAGAGACACTTCATGCGGAGAAAACAGCCGACTGTCGGGAGCTCGTGAGTGCTGAAACACTACAGACGCAGAGCATCGTGGGAAATGCAGTCCTGCTCTGAGACTGTTTAAAAAAAAAAGGACACAATCCAGCGTGAAACTTCGGACCTGTCTGAACTGATCCAGTATCGGGTTCTGATTTTTCGCCTCTCTGAGCACATTTTGTGCCGAACTGTTGACTGAAACACTATTTTTTAATTTTTACTGTAAATATCAGTGTTACACTTTGATGACGCCATCTGAAGAGCTTTTAGTAGGACAGAATCTGCAACACAAAGTTCCAAAAAAACTGGACACGGTGTGAAATGTTGATAAAAACTGGTTTTTAATGTTTGTAAATCATTTAAACCTGTAATTTATTGGAAAAAAGAGACGATTCTGGAGATTTTTAGTCTCCTTTGTTGCGTTTTTTTTTTTTTTTTGTCAGGCCAGGTAAATATTAAGATTTTTTTTGCATGGTCCAGTTTGAACCTGCAACAAACTTTGTTCACATACAGTGGATTTTAGAGGTGATTTTAAGCTCATTCCACTACAGAGTCTTGACTGTTTTTAATGTAATATGAATCTTTTCATGATATTTTGTACTATAGACGGTAAATCCCCTAATTTTTCTTTAATTTTACTCTAAGAAACTCTCATCTCTTCTCCATTTTTGTTTATATCAGGGATTCTGATCATTTGGAAACCATTAATTTCTGTTTTTATCAACATTTCACAAAGTTTCCAGCTATTTTGAAACTGAGGTTGTAAATTTGTCCATTATTCAAATGGATTTGTACACACGCAGCCATTAAAAACAATTTTCTTTCATTCTTAAATCTTTATCTCTGTCAGAAAAGGTGTAAATGACCCCAAATAGGAGCTTGAATGTAAGTCTGGAGGTAAATTAGAGCCGAAAGTGGCTTTTTCACAGCTGAGTGCTTTAACTTTTGATCTTTCACACTAAAGGTGAGTCACAACTCGCAGGTGGAGGTTGGGGGACTCGCCCCTCCAGGTGCATTGTGGGTGTAATTTGTCGTTCGGTGCATGGAAAAGTGTTCTACTACATCATGATTGTTAATTGGTCTGTTCTAGTCATGAATGTCTCGACATTTCGATGTAATTCTGTAACGTTTCAAGCCAAGAAGAGGAAAACCTGTCCTTTCTGTACCTTCGCCAGCAGCAGCAGCATCTTGTCTTTTTATTTATTATCAAAAATTGTAAATGCATAAAAATATATTTGTCTACAGGGCTACAGATTTTTATACGCATTCTGCTGTTTACACTGTGTATGTGTTTTTAAAGTGATATTTCTCCCGAGGCGGGAATCAGCCTCAGACTCGCTGCCTCTCAGGCGGCCCCCGAGGTCTGAGCCAGCACTGTTATTATACCAGCTTCCCTGGCTTTCTCTGCACCCAGCTTCACTGTAAAAATAGCTGAAAACAGCTAAAAGTTCAACTCCAGATGCACGAAACCAAATTTAGTGGGGAAGAAAAGCCAAATTGGAAGACTCCATCCTCCCAATTAAGAGCTGGAAAAGTTGGCAGTAGGGGTGGCGAGGGAGGAGGGAGTTTGACTACATCGGCACCTGGAACAGCTAATAATGAGTCGGAACACATGAGAGTATGTGTAGCAAAAGCAAGCGTGTGGAATATCACTCTGAAATTACAATATTATACTCTATATCTACACTACAGCACTGACTCTTCTACAGAAGCTCAATGTTTGAACAGAATATTTTTTTACCCTGTTTGAATTTTGTAACATCACAATAAAAGATGTTTCGGATATAATTGTAGCAGATGACACTCTTGTATTTCAGCATTATGGACAGCTGGGTCTGCTTTTGAGTATCTGTCTGGTTTTACAAACTCGAACCCTCCTTTTTTTTTTTTTTTTTGGAGTACATACATCTGCTACTGTTTGTTGATGTTGACTTTTTATTTCCGACAAGAGGACTGCAATTAAACCAAATGTTTTGATGCAGGGCAGCAGAAAAAAAAAAGAAATATTCAACATTTTAAAGCTCCTCTAAGGCGTTTTTAGCTGGTTGTGAAACAGATTGAAATTAATGTCAGTGACCTTTAAGGACCTTAAAATGCAAACTACAGGTCCTTTCACACCGGGACCTTTTTGACGTGCGATTGTTTCGGACGTCAATATTGTTTTTCGAACCCGTATCCTGTCAATACAAGCGTTCACATCAGCGACGTTAAAGATTCGCATACTGTGTGTCCACTTCTGACCAATCAGATTTCGTGTTGTTGCGACGTCTGATTCACCGGTATATCCAACATGGCCGACCGGCTGATTGTTTACATTTTTCATTACTGTGACTGCTTGATATAAGATTTCTTTCAAAGATTTCAGCACTGCAGACGTGCTCGTGCTTAACTCTCCGCGGTGCTGAAATCGTTCACCTTTGCAAATGTTTTGTCATGAATTTATCAAATGTCCTGTTACCGTTTTTACCGTAACGGCAGCTGGAACTGTGAACAAACAAACAGGACTTTCCTCTCACCAAATAGGGACATCATAAACAAGTGTTATCTTACCTCAGACAGTCGCGGCTCCCTGAAATTAGTCCTCTGCCTCTTCAAACTTAGAGCTAATTGTTTCAGCAGAACTGAAAATTGTCTGACAGACATCCGAAAATAGGTTCTGAAGCGACCGTGGTAAAGTTTCAGCTCCTGAACCAAGCAGTAAAACTCCTTTTTTTTTGTAATTTTGGATGCACCCATGTGCTACGTTTCTATTTCTTTTGAGAAAGCAAAAGGTGTACCAATTCGCCATCACTTGAAGTTGAAGTAGACTCCATTTTTGTCTTCTCGCTCCTTGCTTCTTTCGCGTTCTATATTCGCGTCGGCCCCGGTGTGTAAGGACCCTACATCATCAGCTTAGAAACTGACCAGATAGTCAAAAGTCTGTCAACAGAGACACAAACAGAAATTTACTTAAAGCAGCTTTAATATATTAGTTTGAGGAGCTTTAAGGTAAAAAGTGACATGTAAGTCTGTTTGTGTAAAAGCAAGAAGAGATTGAGTTTTTACTAATCTACAGGACAAACCAAACATATCGTCACCCTATTAAAATAATGACCAAAGTCATTTTTTGACGAAAATAGGTTTTTGTTTTTCGTCAAAAAATGACTTAGGCCATTATTTTAATAGGGTGACTATATGTCCATGTGTCTAATAATGCTGGAGTTACTGTTTTGTCCACAGGGGGGCGCCAAGATCGACACAAACCAGCAGTGCTTCGCGTGAGTTTTAAATATAATCAAATTAATGAGCATGTCTTACAACACTCTGAGATTATTGTTGCTATTTGGACCATTTTGCTTGTTGTGTTTTGTGATCGCAAACCTTTTAAGAGCTTCGAATCAATCTAAAATGAAGTTCATTTTGCTCATTGTTGCTGAAAATATGCAGTGATTGGCACCTCTGTCACAGTAATTTGCACCTCTGCTGTTGTTTTGTTCGTGAAACAGCTCTTCAGGACTTGAGCTGAAAAAGTAATGACTCCTAAAAAGAGCCTAATTCACTTCTAATTTGAAAACGCTGCTTCTTTTCGGGCTTTGTTGTGTTTTTGTCAATGTTCCCAGTGTGATATCAGGGTTGCTTGACGAGTTTTAGAAACATGAAAACCTGTGAAACAATCATCGTGTGTAACCCGGGCTGTCGGCGCTGACAGTGGCAGCTCTGTGGACGGGCAGGTTTGTTACACAGCTCATCAGAGGGAACAGGAGGTGAAAATTAATCAGAGCGTGAGATCTTCACAACATGTTTGCGTGTTTTTGACACATCAGTGTTGGAGTGTGTTAAGGTTTCTGCTCTAACATCATATTTTCACATTTGAATCACAGTTTGGAAGAAAGAAAATTCGAAAAGACAACACAGCCAACCCGAACTCCAACTTTCTGACAACTGTAGTAATGTAACACAAACAAGCCCACAAATCAAACCGCCTGAGGGCAAAGCACACTTGGAGAGTTTGGTCATTTAGTACAAAAACAAATGCAAAACAAGATCCAATTAATGGACAAAGCTGATTTTAATCTGAAAAACTTTTAGGCTTTTCTCCCCAAAAAACATTGAGTATCTTTTTCGTAATTTAATTTCTGATAATGTCTTGATTCTTCTTTTAAATTTGTAGCTTTTTCTCATTAAAACAGCGTTCAAATTATGAATAATCTCTTGTTACTTTAAAAAAGTACAACAACCTGTATTCTGTTAGCTTTTAAAAAATGTAGTTTCATTTCTTTCACCTGATTACTTTTCAAAAAGTGTCCTTATTACTTGTAATCTGATAACTTAAACCAAAGTATTAATATTACTTGTAACCTGATTACTTTAAAAAAATATTTCTATCACTTGTGAACTGATTTCTTAAACAAAAGTACTCTGATTATTTGTAATCAGTAGTATTTAATCCTGCTTAACCTTCCTCCTGTGTTAGCTTTTACTACGCAGTTACTATGTTAGGGGTCGGTTTTGACCCGTGTCTTAAATCAGCTGTTAATTACACTAAAAACATTTATCTATCATCCAGTTTGGTTCTCATCTCTAGGTTACCTTGTTAGGTTTAGTTATCCATAAACATATTGCTGATGATATTTTTTTGTTGTGGGTCTGTGGGTCTTTCTTTGTCAGTATACCTCCTCACACAGACATCTATACTGAACTGATCTCACATGTCTGGACATGCCCGATGTTGTTTGTTGTGCAGGGAAAAACAGCAAAATGAGAATCCCCTAAATCTTACATGATTGGAAGAGGATCTGACTGTCAGTGAGGTGCCTGTCAGTGCACTTATGATTTCAATTTTGGCTCTAATTATTAGATATTGATCTAACAGGGTCAACAGTTACCCTAACAGGACAAGTGCCATCATTTTAATAAGAGTATTTTATAATATAGTCGATTTAATGTTTTATTTTCATTTTGTTGAAATAGAGGTTCCTGACAAAATCAAGAAGTCTGGATGCAAAAAAGTTCATTTAGTTTTTTTCTAAGCATTTAAAAATAAAAACCGGTCTGTGCGGACTCTAACACAGTAGGAGGGTTAATTTCAAGAATTATCATGGCACTTTTTTTATCATGATAGCTACTTGCACCACTGCACCTCTTACAGTGGTGCTTTAGAGAAAGCAGGGATGAAAATGAAAAGAACGATATCACGATCCAGCAAACACGAACCTTCTGCACCTCTCTTTTCTCTCTCTCCTTCCTGAAACTTTACAAAACTTTTTTACCTTTTCACCCATAATACTCAACACGACAAAATGACCATCTTCAGTTACCTTCCTGTCGAACTTGTTGTCATGAGTCTAATATCACTTTTAGAGGACCGAAACTATGGAATAATCTGGATGCATCTCTAAAATCAATATCATTCCTATCATGACCTTTCTCTAATCATTGTATATTTATAACCTGTCTATGTTTTTAATCAGTGCTAAATAAATAAAAACAAATACAAATATAAAATATCTTCCCTAAAATATTACATTTCAAAACTAATCTTTTGCAATCTGCCTCGCTCTAAAGATAGCCAGTTTTGTCAAAAAGACATTTTCAAACAGCTGCTTGCAGCCTGGACAGGGTGCGTCACTTGCTGCAGGAACATTGCAGTAATGTGCTGCCGCCTCATTACAACAAACACCGACAGGCTTCATCTAGGTGTCATGACACTAGAGCTGCTGTGGCCTGCAGGATGAGAGCGGCAGATGCAGGGTTATCCTCCAGCAGATGCTTTCAACCATCAATCCACCTCCTCGTTATAATTACACTCTTAGAAATCAATCTGTTTGAACTTTCCAGGAGCAATTTGGTGATGAAGTGCTTTAATTTACTTTTCTCAGCCCCCAAAATACCAGCCTGTCTGAGTCTGTGTTAGTTTAGCTGAACTTGGAGAAGTTTTGTGTAGACTATACAAAATTACAAAAGTGCTGCAGAAGCTGTAGCTTTATAAAAAGAGTCTGCATTGAAGAATTTGTAAGTGGAAAAATTGCTATATCCCCTTTTGCAACAATGGATTTCTCCGTGCATTATTGTGCAAACGTATAGGAGCAGGATTTGATTGTGCAAAAGTGTTCTGCTATTGTGGCGATGCGGGAAATATGTCAATTTTACAGTGATTTTTTTTTTTTTTTGCTGTGGGCCTTGAGAAACGCTTATGTCAAAGAAAAGAGTTATATGGCACAACAAAGGCAGACACACAAAGAAAAAAAAGGCTGAACAGATAGTAAATAAAGGTAAGAAGACACATACATGATAGATGCGTATTCCTGGGCGTACAGATGTACTTGACATATGGAAACAGTTTGAGGGGAATATTTAATGAAATGCAAATCTATGCTTACATATGTGAATCTAGCCACCAAGACGAAGCCACAAATGAGGAAACACCTCAGATTATTACACATCTTCCCCTTACTTTTTACCCTAAAGGTGCTCAGCTTCAAGATTAATGAGTGGGTTGCAGAAAATTTGCCTTACCAAATTAAGACACACTCCAGTTAGAGTGGTTGTCTAATAACTGGAAGGTTGGTGGTTCGATTCCTCCCTATATCTAGTCTGCTTGTTGTGTCCTTGGGCAAGACACTTAACCTACCTTGCTCCCAGTGTGTGTCCTCCACTGGTATGATTGTGAGTGTTGTGTGGTGGTGGTCGAAGAGGCCGTAGGTGTAAACTGGCCCCAGGTCAGCTGTGACCACTACAGTAGTTTACCACCACCAGGTTGTGACGGTGTGATGTCAAGTGCTTTGATGCAATATTATTATGAATTATCATTATTTATTACGTCTTTAACCCTAGAACACTATCGCCGGGTGATTTTCACTCGACCAAACATGATTACGTGATTTTCATTATGTCGCGTTTGTCTGAGTATCATGGGTCTCTGAGTAGCTTCAGCATTTCCTTTGACATCTTTGAAGACATATTTGTTTCCCTGATCCAAAACCTGCTTTTTCCGACAGGCACATGACAATAGTGACAGAGGGTAAAGTAGGTTTCGGTGGATTTGATAACTGCATGTAGGGAATAGGGTCAGTAAGAGTGGTCCTGAAATTTGCATGCTATCTTTGTTTAGCGCAGTGGTTATGAAAAACTATCACAAAGTAGTGATTTTCAAGGGAATTCATATGGTGATAAGAAATATTTTAGTCAGCTGGTCATTTTTACTCCAAATCTGCCATATTTTGGTTCTCTCTCCTGCAGCTGTTATTGTGAGTGATTAACGTGACTAATCAGACACACCTGGATTAATCAGTTTGTCCAATCATGTTAGACAGGAAGTAAAGGAGCTGCCTTAAATTCAGGAAGTAGTGGATCGGTGCATCGAGATTATTAGCTCTTCAGCTCTTCTCTTGTACCCATGGTAAGTTCTGCATATATTTTTATACCACTTTAATACTTTAATTTCTTCCATGTAAGGTCATTTGAAGGTCAATACTGCTTCACATGCTCTTTATTGATTGATTTATGAATATTGCTACTTTCATTTTGACATATTTCTATTTTATTTACGCCTTAATTCATTATTCATTGTTTTAGCAGCAAAATCACAGCAACAAACCTGATTCTAATTCACTTATTCGACAGTTTACAAACTTTATCTCCTTTAAATGGAGTTATAATCTGCTCTTTTCTCCTTCTGCCATTGAAAATCATCTGAAAAAAGCAGTAAATTTCCCCCTTTATTCCTGCAGAGGGCAGTATAGCACCATTAAACATGCTTTGACTTAAATACTCTTGAGTTTGCAACACTTGTTCACCATTAACACACAGATGTCTTGCTGTGTACCTGAGCTGAAGGACGTGATTTTGAATGTTTTCAGGCTGGACTGCGTCTGAACTGAGCTTGTAGACAGAACAGCGACAGAGTGAAGCTGCAAACAGGCTGTGCAGGAGCTGAATGCAGATTTTTAAAAAAGCGCCATCCTTCAATGGGAGCGGTGTCACGGCTCATTATGTAACTAAACGTGAGAGAAAAGGGTAAGGTTGACGCCGATGATGAGCTGAGGTCCCGGGGGAGTCCATGTCTTTGAAGCAGACGGTAAATGTAGACATTGGCGGGTTAGAGGGACAGGATGTAAGAAATGTAACTTTAAATGATGTAAATGGGCAAAGGTTTTCAAAGACGGAGAGAGTCACATTATGAAATTCAATAACAGGGACTGAACGTGTTGTGTTGGTAAACTTTGAAGCTGGCTGCTTATTTTAAAAAATTACTTTTTGCATATCCCACTGAGGATTTTTGGTCTAAAAGAGGTCTAGTAGACGTCTAAATGTAGCCTAGACGACTGATCTTAAATCAGGCTACTACAGGTCTAAAAATAAAAGGTTTTTAGACGTCTAAATTTAGACCAATTTTAGACTAGCTGGCTAACAGAGGTCTAACTGTATATTGCTCAACAGCCATAATATTTATTTTGGTTAAGTACTTGGAGATCAGTGTTGCTTTTTGAAATAAATAGTTATTGAATAATGGGTTAAAGTGCAACATCTGAATTCTGTCTAAATTGCTCAGTGGGATAATAGTTTCCTGTCAATCAAGTCTGCTTCTTCCAGGTTGCCTGTTTTGACTTTGAAATTAAAAAATGATGAGGCCAAATCAGAGCCGGCCCAAGCCTCAATGGGGCCCTAAGCAAAATTTGATTTTTGGGCCCTCAGTTTCTGCCAAAAATATTGATTGTTGATCATTCACACATCTACTACAGTATAAATTTAATGCGCTTGACATGTCTTTACACATTTAAGGCGGTGGCCAAGGTAATAACATAAATAATACCAATGCAACCATACAAATAATACCAATGAATGACAGATGAACGATGTTCAGGGTGCCACATATGGTTTTTAATCTCAAAATGTAACACATTCAAGATGTTCAGTGCACATGGCACAGCAGACGGTGGCAGAGCTTTGACATATCGTCAGTAAGAATCATAGGCCTACATCCGCAGCAGCACTAAAATGTTTATACTTAATTTTATTTTTAAAATAATATATATTTGATCATACAGAAAGCATCACTCATACATGCAAAAAATAAAAAAATATTATTTTTTTGATTGCTCATGGGGCCCCCCTACTGGCTGCGGGGCCTTTGCTTATGCCTTGGGCCGGCTCTGGGCCAAATATTCAAAAAGCGGGAAGCTATCTTCAGATGTAGCCTTCCAAAATATCCTCCTCAAAATGTTTTTAATGATGGTTAATGGAGTTAGCCAGCTAGCTTCCCTTTGCTAGATGACAGTGGTGGTGCTATGTGAGGCCAGCAAAATCCTCCAGAGACCAGATCACTAAATTTTTCAGCCTGAAACGGATCCTTTGAGCCATGTTCTTGGATTGAAACATGGCTCACATCTTAGCTTCTCTGTAACTCAAACCCCCCAAAATGGCAGGGACAAATAATTTAGGCAAACAGAAGTTTTGTGGTCGTCCTTGTTTGTACCATGTGCCACCAGCACTGGGAACAACTCTGCTTCAAGTTTTCTAAATGGATAATATGTTTTTAGCAATGTTATCGATTAAACATGCACCGATAAATCAGCCGGCCGATCGATCGGCGCCGATTTTCTCAATTTTGGGGGATTGGTGATCGGCTGATCCTTACATATGAAACCGATTTTATCCACAGATCTTATCTACCTCAGCAAAGGTCTGGAAGTCCGCCGTTGTAGCTTTTTCCTTTGCCAGAATGACAGGCATATCATGATCAACCAAGCTTGTTGAATTCACTACAAGGAAACCTAAAACTCAGGACAGTTTATTGGTGTTTAAGTTGTGTTGTTAGTCTGTCCTGTAGATTATTATTTTATGTGCAGTTAAAACAAACACAAAATAATAATCTACAGGACAGGCTAGTAGTATATACTAGTATCATTCAATGTTTTTCATTGAAATAAGATTGGAGCATCGAAGGTGTATGTTTTCAGTTATAAAATAAATTGGCATCGGCTAAAATCGGAATCAGCAGGTCAAGCTTTTTAAAGATCGGTGATCAGTGATTGGCCAGAAAATTGTGATCGGTGCACCCCTGTTGTCAATGATAGCTTTGTAGCATAAGTATGTTCAAAGTGTAACACAACACAAACCTTTGATAGTATTTTAATTATCTGGCTGTGCCACATACTTGATTTTGATTGGTCAACACCCACTGGCACTGGCAAATCCCTCTCGACAGCAAATGTGATGCGAAGGACAACCTTATCAGACATGTCTTATCGAATAAATGGAGCCCAGCACATTTGTAAAAATGTTATAGGAGTAATTTTTACATTTAATAACAAAACATTGAAGGATTTTTAAAAAATTTGATATAAAGTAAACTAAAAAGAAGACCATAAGAAGGCTTAAGTCTAAAGTTGACTGTCAATTGAAGCGTTCAGATTAATGTTAATTTTCCCGCAAGTAGGTCGATCAGAATCTGTTTCCGTTGAATCGGGACGTTTCTCCCTGGAAAAATAAGAATTTTTCAAATGAACTAAATCATCTTGTTGTTGATATTCTGTGTCATCTTGTTGCTTTTTTTAGTGAGTAGCTGTCTGAAAATGTTAAATGAGCTTCGTAACAGGGTCACGCTCACCCTTTCTTGGTTCTAATTTGCATAATCACCTCCTCACTATACATTACCTGTCAGTGAATGACTCCCTCTTGGAGTCTGTAGTCCTGGGGTATAAAACTTCACTCTTGCTCTGTTATAATACTCTTAGGAAACTCCCATATTAAAGTGCTGATTCCTGCTAATTGCATTTCAGTATGACCCACCTTTATGTACTGCTGCAGTAGAGGATAACTAACTTGAAAGTGCTTTTTATGTGCTGTTTCCATTTTACTGTGTATCCCCTGCAGAGAGATTATCACCCCCCATTACATTTTTCTCTGCTTTTCCATGCTTTATATGATTGTAAATTGAATACCTGTAGGGTTTACACTGTTTAAACAAAAAAAATCAAGCTGTTTAAAGACGTCAACTTGTGCTCTGGGACATTTTATTGACTGAACCTAATTAAATGTTAATCAAAATAATCATTTGTCGCAGCCCTGAGGCGGCATCTGTCACAGAATCCTATTTAGAGCAGTTTTTAATCTCTGAATAGACACTGAAATGACACAATCAAATGGAAATATTCTGTTTTTCCACGCTAAATGTGATTTTGAGTGAGAACTGGCACCAGGTGGTGCGTGCCAAGGAGAGCTGATAAGTGCTGGCTCATGAGATTCAGGCCTGATTCCACAAAAGCAATTTGCACCTATTGCTGAAGATGAATCCAGTTAATGTAAATGAAGAAACCGCCCTGCAGAGCACTCGAGCTGAGGCCTCTCGCTATCTAGTGCCCTTATCTACAAATGCACTCGGCTGTGCTAATGGCGTACCTATTTCAATGCCACATTATAATATCATTTCTGATCCAATAGCCTTGTTGTACACAGAGTACTCGACTAAAACAGTGTGCTTATGAGCTGTTACTGTTTTATTTCTCTTCTGGTTTGTGCACACCTGCTAGGGACACGACGCAGAGTTTGATTGAGGTCAGGAAAATAAAGAAAAGCAGAGGCACTCGGAGATGCAGGGAGGCCGTAAAAAGACGGAGATTAGGCGGAGTAGAAAGGCAATGAGAGATGGGAGAGAGAATAAGGAAAGCAGATAAGGGATAATGAGGTGTTCGTGGGAAGAGTGATAGAGGGAAGAAAGGAAAAAAGCAAATAATGGGCGAGTGAATTTGGGGAGATAAAGGTGAAAGAGGAGATAGAGGAAGGTTGTGGTATATCGAGGAAGAGCCGGGGCTGTAAGTGTGTGAGGGAGTGTGACATAGATGGACTCGGTCTTTGATTGACAGCGCAGCGTGAGGATGGTTCAGGGGAGCAGCGGGGTCGGCTGGGAGGCAAAATAAGAGCAGGAAGGATGCAAAGGGAACAGGTGTGTTTGTGTTTAGTGGCTATAAAAAGCCTGAGCAGTTTGTTTTGGTGACTGCGAGAGAGGTTTATGTTTAAATTGGACAATTAACTGAGAAAATTTGCCTTCATTTAGTGGCACAGCAAAAAACAACAGCAGCACAATTACAAAAAGATCCCCCGATGTCATACAAATTTAAGGCTTATTGCCTGTTATTTTTCATTTTATTTAATGACTCTGCATTTAATGGAAATCTGCTTCCACACTGCAAAACACCTATGAAATTCAGTTTTTAAAGCTCCTGTGAGGGTTTTTAACCTGATCATGAAACACACTGAAAACAGCAGCAAGTCCTACTGAAGACCTGCAAATACAAACTAAGTTATGAGCACAAAGACTGACATCTTTTATGGTGTTGTTTTTAAGCCTTAAACTACTTGAACGGGGGTAGGTTAGAAAACCTTTGTTAAACCTTTTGGGCTGGTTTCCAATGGGTAACTGTAGTGTAAGTCAAAATATGTTTAACATGCAAATGAAATATGAAATATGCTAAAAAAATTCATGACATACAACCATTTAGCCTGTTACCACCAGATACAGAAATAAAATCAGTCCCAAGGGGCCAAAGCTGCAGTTCCTCGACTGTCCACTTGGGGCTGACAATCCACAAACACTGTTTTTATGTAAATTTTAGTAGAACTCATTAATAATGAAGATATTAAGGTCCTTACTCATTGGAAACGATGCAAATATGCATCGCGAAATTACGAAATATTCGGAGGCGAATTTTGATGCGCCTGACTATACACATCAAGCGCAATGAGATTTTGCGACTTTCTGGGGGGAAAAAAGACGCGTCCAGGGTGGAAGCGAGAAGACGGACACAACAGCAGACTGAGTGTTCTTCAGTTCTGATTAGACTCTAGTGTTGAGATGTCTTATGCCAGTACCAGATAAGCACATTAAACTATAATCCATAAACGTAAGGTAACAACCGAGACCTAATGGTGCTGTGACAGCAACGCTGTGATTGAGTTTGAGTTTACAGTGAAAATACATATGGTATGTTGTATCTGAACAGGTTAGCTTACGAGCTAAAGTTACTTAGCACAGATGAAAGTTAAAACAAAGACGTTTATCAAACTGTTAAAGCTCACAAACCATCGTCATATGAGAAATCCGACGCTATGACTCTCCACAAGTCGTCCTTCAGGTCGTTATCTTTGTAATATTTGTGTCTTTTATCAAAAATCACTCTGTTCTCCGCCACGTAAACAATCAGCCGGTCGGCCATGTTGGATATACCGGTGAATCTGACGTCGCAACAACACGAAATCTGATTGGTCAGAAGTGGACACACAGTATGCGAAACTTAAGAAAATTCAACTGTAATACAAAAAAATAAATGCCGCAATATCGCAGGACGGGAAAACGTTGTTGATGTTAACGCTCATATTGACAGGATACGGGTTCGAAAAAAAATACTGACGTTCGTAATAATCGCACGAAAAAAAATAAAACGCTCCCGGTGTGTAAGGACCTTTTTAAGGTTAGAAATTTTGCAAAATTTGTAGCATGTGTGACTTGGTTGGCTTGTTGTTGCTGTAGCTGTTAGCAAGAAGGCTAAAGACCCGTAACAACTCCACCTCTTTTCTTGTTAAGTCAACCAAAAGTCAGCATTTTCAGTTTGTTGACCACCATCAAAATGCTTTCAACTGAAAGAGTGATGCCACTGAGACTACAGCCATATTTTTATGTCATCTACAGTTGCAGCACAGCCAGAATATATTTATATATTTTCACACAAGTCAAACTGCAGAACGAATTGCTAATCATACACTCACATTTTGGGTTTGCATCTAGGGTGGCCGGCCAGATTTTGGGGCCCATGCAACCCCTCACTGCCCATCTAGACACGCCCCTGTGCATTACCATAAAATGATTTCTACTCTCTGCACAGGAAAGAGGAGATTTAAGACCTTTTGATGATCTAGTTTTCATTCATACTGTAGTTTTAGTCCATATTTTTTGCACACAGGTTTTGGTGCACAGGGGTATAATTCTGCAGCTCTTTCTTTTTTTTCAGCTGCATCTCTCATTTTAATATCTGTGCTCGACATGTCATTGATGCCTCACAGGTTTAATTAAAGCCCAGCTGCGGGTGCATCAATATGCTCTGGTGTTCGGAGAAAGTATTGGTTTATGCACCTGCAGAGCTGCTTATTAGACAGGGCTGTCAGGTAGCGTGCAGGTCAAGGGTTGAGGACATTAAATGGTAAAAGTGCGACTCTTACACTGTTGCGTTTGTGCATTGCAGTGTGCAGTCGGATTAACAAGTGAGTTGCACAGCAGGAGAAGTGCTGAGCTAAGACAGGAAGGTAAATTCAGGTTGGAGAAAAGCATCATTTGGCTGAAACCGACAGCGAGAAATAAAAGAGATTTTCCAAGGAAGTTATTTATGTTTTATTGGGTGTCTTTTTCTGACAGGAAAATAATAAAAACCACAAATAAAGAAGTCTGTCTGTGCAAAATTCAAACAATCTTGCTGTTTTTCTCAGATCTCTGTGTGTTTTTGTCCCCGTCCCAACTTTCTGTTTTTAAGTCTTGGCGTCCACGCAGCTGATATTAATCTAAAGTGCGGCTTTTTTTGACCACACAATAGACAGCTGTGGTACTCTGTTAGACTCATCCATGCTGTGCTGAGCAGTAATTACTCGCTAGCAGACAGTGGAGGATAAGAACAGCAAAAGGAATCATTAGGGAGCTGTCAGGTACCAAAAACACTGCTAGGTGTTGTTGTTGTTGTTGTTTTTAGCACTTCTGTTTTGCTGAGGAGCACACAGGAGGAAGAAAAGATGAAAAAGAGAGCATGAGGCGGTGAAAATAAACAAAGAAACCCTCGACGCAGACTCTTGATGAAGCAAAAACGAGTGTGCAGCAAGAGTGCATACACTCATGAGTTGTGTAAATGATTTTTAAGACAAGACATAACCCCCTAGCCCGGCTTTTACTGTATTAGTCCAGCTCCCCGCTGCCTTTACACTTTAAGATTCCTTCTCGGTTTAATTTACTTGAGTCTTTTTATTACTTCTAAAGCCTTTCATGGTTTGGCTCTCTTTAGATATTTCTGATCTTTTCTGATCTGCAGTCTGCAGCGGGGGTTTTCTGAGGTTTTAGAGCCAAGTGCTGTAAAATGTTTCACAGGCCAGTCAAATACACGGTCCTGATTTCACGCTGAGGCGTAAAAATCCAACTTTCGGTGCAGTTAACTCCATTTTTGACGACTACCTGCATTTTTTAAAAATATATATATTTTCAGATTTTTACTTCGCTTGATTGCACACTCACTCTTCCTCCGCACAATACGAATCAATGCTCGATCCTGCTGCAAAATACGAGCTACGCTTTCTAGTTATAGCTCTGTGGGTTCAAACTAAACCTTCTCATTGATGCTCTTTTTTGATTATTGATTTTGAAAAGCTCCAGAAAAACAAAGATACATATTTGATGCACATTTTTAGCCAGGCTTGATGCGCTCCTCAGGCGGTTCATTAACCCCAAAAAAGGAAAATCATTATATTTCATGATGAATGTATGTAGGCGGCGGTTGGAGTGTTTGATTCTGAGAGCACATGGAGGCAAAGAAAACTGTCAAATCAAAGCGGAGAGTGGAGCTCTGATGTTAATAAGCAGAGGAAAACGGCTGTCTGTAAAATCTTGAAGAGTGATTGTTCCCTGAGGGGTGAATGAGACATCGCCAGAGGAGTGATTCTGCCCAGAGGGGAGGTGTTCGTCTTTTTCAGAGCTTACACTTAAGTGACCCTCTCGGCTTGTCATACAGCTCAGGTTCATGCAGCGCAGAGGTGCACGGACTTGAGTTGTTATATGTGTCATGCAAGGAAACGCAAAGATTAAAGAGCCTAAAAAGAGGCTTCAGGGGAGGGAGGGAAAGGAAGATGATTCATCAAAAACAAGCTTTTTATCTTCTGCTTTTAAAAGTTAACAAACAAACCAAGTCGCTTCAAGGTCTCCAAAACTGGAATAATGAACAAGGATGTGAAAAGAAACTGTCGAGTGGCCAGATGAATGAATTTCTCTCATCCTTGTGTTTGCCAAAAGATGAATTATGCTGACTCTTTAACAGAATACAGTTGGAGATGTTAGTTCAATATCGAATCAAATTTTATTTATATAGCGCCAATTCACAACAGTCGTCATCTCAAGACGCTTTTCAAAGAACAAGAGCAGGTCTAGACCACGCTCATTGTTTGATGATCAAGAACCAACCTAAGATGGGATTTGGCCCATCTCAACTAACATGAGTTACAGTGGCGAGGAAAAACTTCCCTTTAACAGGCAGAAACCTTGAGCAGGACCAGACTCAAGTTAGACAACCACCAGGCCGCTGCTGGGTTAGAGAGGGAGAGAGAAGAGGGAGAGGGCAGGGAGAGAGAGTAGAGAATGAGGGTGAGAGAGAGACAGGGGGCAGCAGAAACAACAGCAACAACAACAACAGCTCATGTAATGGTGAAACAAAATGAGTTCAGTTTACAGGGTTAGGATACGAGTGATTATGGACAATGTTGAATTAATTAAATGTGATTACAGTCAGCAGGCCTAATCGTAGTCAGCTCTAGTTTTATGTTATTAATGTCAGTGAGGCTGATGTTCATGTCTGCAGTAACAGTCCAGAGGAATCCAAGAGAAGAAGGAGCTCAGGGCCTGAGGTGGACAATCGTAGATGATGCGGCTAACAGTCCAGAGGAATCCAAGAGTTCATGATTTTAAGACGTTTTTTTTTTTTACTTTATTTCGGCAGGAGAGCTTTAAAAAGGAGGGAAACATTGGAAAATTGCAGCAAATGGGGAACCTCCGACAATCAGTGCGACTGAGAACCAGGAACCTACTCTACGTTCATGCTCTGGTGAGGAAACTGGTTTTTTTTTTACCCATTTTGGTGCCCCCTTTGGACAAAAACTCTCATATATGTACTCCTATATAAACCTCTTACACCTCATATTGCATTTAAAAGTATTTATTTGGGGATAAAAAAATCACATCATGTCTGTTTTACACCATCAGATGTATAACTTATTGAAAACGCAGTATAAAAATGAGAATGTGGAGCAGTCTGATTCACCAAAGTTCAGTTTTAGCTGTGCTTTTGGTCCACCATGGTCACAAAAACCAGATAATTGAGTGTTGTGCTAAACCACTCTCACTTCAACTACTTTAGTTTGTAAGGAGGTGATGGAGCCAAGGCTAAGGCTAGACTGGCTACCTAGCATACTGAGCATGCTCCCATTGAACCCGGCTTGGGGTGGTCGGCTAAAGTACAGCATGTCTTAATCAGGACTTTGAATTCATGTGCAGAAAAGTTTAGGAGTGTGGAGAAGTTGTGCATGTTGCAAAATGTGCTCAGTGTGTATGTGGAGTGTATGTGTGTTAGTAAAGCAGAGGGAAAGAGTGAGCACAAGGAGAGAGGTGAAAAAGAATTGGTGGAGTGGAATAGTGATGGGCACGGCAGTTCTTTTAGGTGTACTGTTTCACTAGATTCAGTTCACTTAAAAGATTTGGTTCTTTTTAACGAATCGTTCGCAAACGACACAACACTAGAGTGGAAGTCTGTTCGTATTTCTGTTCATGCTTCCTCCAGCAGACTCTGTGGATGTTTTGTAAAGCTGTTATTGTACGTTTGGACATGCTCCTACTGTGGTGTAATCAGTCAGCGTATCGAGGTGCAGTAAGGCCATGTAGATTACATTCTAATGTTGATGAGCTCTGCAAACACAAGCAGCACAAAGAGGACTGTGAAAGGACCTTTTGCTTTTTAGCATTTCACGCATGATGTAGATTTTCTGCTCTTCAGGGTAGAGGCTGAACTGCTGATAAGAGAAACTCCTCTGCAGGGCCTTTTTTCATGATTTCACACCAAGCGTTCTGGTTGGTTGTTTAGGAATGTGTAGCTTAGACATGTGGAAAAATACCACCTTCAATCAGACCCAGACAAAATCAAACAGGTTCAGATCAAACCTATCATCAGCTGCTGGACCTCGTCTCCGACGTTTGCTGTTATTTTCTTTGAGCAGAGACAGTCTTCTCTGTTTTTTTTTTTTAAAGCGGCTTTATCATTTTGGAAGGTCATCTTTCTCCACAAAGACCAAACTCATTAAATTCATCATGCAGACAGGAAGAGTTTCAGGCTTTGTTTAACGGACCCCAAGTCTGATTGTCTGTCTGGAAATTAGCAATCAAGATCTGAAGACAAAGTGAATCTTTTCAGGCGAAATAAAAGAGAGAAATTACACATTCAGGTCTTCGTCATCCAGGTGCAGAAATCTGAAAGCTGGGAGTGAGTATTAGTTGTGTTTATAAAAACCCTCCTCTGGTCTTCCTCCCTTGAGTTGCACACTTTTATTATCAAAACGGTCCAGGGATGATGGGATTTCCAATCTCTCCCATGCATCACGTTTTATTGAAGCACCTGCTTGTAATTGTTGGAAAGTGGACAGGTGTGAAAGAAAGTTGAGTCTTTTTTGTTCCTGTGTGAGCCTTACTTAGAATTTAATGATGGGAAAAATCTTTAGAGCAGAGCAACAGCTGTTCGACTGTATGCCCAAGTCAGGTGTAATAAAGACCGACAGAGGAGGGAGGCTTTTCGTTTCTTTAGAAGAATCAGTTCAGAGAATTTTTTTATCAGACGGGTCCTTCAAAAGCTTTGAGTTAAATTTAAAAACCATAATAGTAAAAATACACAACAGCAAAAACTATATTTCTGTGTTCACCTTGACTACATTCTGGTCTAATGGTACCAGCCAAGATCTGACTTTGCGAAGACCCAATCAGGGTTCTTCAAAATCCCCATACTGGGTTTTCAAAACCCTTCCTCCATTCATTTTGTCACATAAAAAACAGTTAAAACTACATTTAGGTGTCCACGGTACCATCCTACAGTACCAGCCAAGTCCCTGCTTTCTAAAAATCCAATTTGGGTCCTTCAAAAGCTTTTAAATCTAACAGCTTTATAAACCATCCTTCAATAAATCGTGACACATGAACATTAAATTTAACTATATTTTGGTGCTTAAGTAGACCAAGTTTGACCTTTTTATAGTACCTACCAAGTCCCTGCTTTCCAAAGATTCAATTTGGGTCCTTCAAAAGCTTTGAGTTAAATTTAAAAACCATGACAGTAAAAATACACAACAGCAAAAACTATAATTTGGTGTTCACCTTAGCTACATTTTGGTCTTATGGTACCAGCCAAGATCCAGCTTTGCGAAGACCCAATCAGGGTTCTTCAAAATCTCCCAACTGGGTTTTTAAAACCCTTCCTCCATTCATTTTGTCACATAAAAGACAATTAAAACTACATTTAGATGTCCATGGTACCATCCTATGGTACCTACCAAGTCCCTGCTTTCCAAAGATTCAATTTGGGTCCTTCAAAAGCTTTACATTTCAAAGCTTTATAAACCCTCCTTCAATTTATCGTGACACATGAACATTTATATTTAACTATATTTTGGTGCTTAAGTAGACCAAGTTTAACCCTTACAGTACCTACCAAGTCCCTGCTTTTCAAAGATTCAATTTGGGTCCTTCAAAAGCTTTGAGTTTAATTTAAAAACCATAACAGTAAAAATACACAACAGCAAAATCTATATATTGGTGTTCACCTTAGCTACATTTTGGTCTTATGGTACCAGCCAAGATCTGGCTTTGCAAAGACCCAATTGGGATTCTTCAAAATCTCCAAATTGGGTTTTCAAAACCCTTCCTCCATTCATTTTGTCACATAAAAAAACAGTAAAAACTACATTTAGGTGTCCATTGTACCATCTTATGGTACGAGCCAAGTCCCTGCTTTCCAAAGATTCAATTTGGGTCCTTCAAAAGCTTTAAATTTAAAAGCCTTAAATTTAAAAGCTTTATAAACCTCTCTCAATAAACCGTGACACATGGACGTTAAATGTAACTATATTTTGGTGCTTAAGTAGACCAAGTTTGACCCTTACAGTGCCTACCAAGTCCCTATTTTTCAAAGATTCAATTTGGGTCCTTCAAAAGCTTTAGATTGGGCTTTATAAACTATCCTTCCACTTATGATACATGAACTATAGATAGGACAATATTTTGGTCTTTAAGTAGATCAAGTTTGACCCTTACAGTTCCTACCAAGTTCCTGCTTAGCAAAGGCCTGGTTCAGGTCTGGATCAGAGCCTTTTGCCACATTGTTAACAGGCAGAGGTGAAGTTTATCACAACCCCTTTCAGACTGATTTGATATGATGTGATCAGGTTGTGCACAGTTCTTATGGGGTCAGTCGGAGCCGGGTGTTTAAGGTGAGACTGTCATTTATCGTTTCAACTTTGCGTTGACAGAAAAGCCAAAGATCTCCTGAAATAACTAAACTACGTTCTCTCTTTATGTGGACAGGCGAGGCCGATTCTGACTTTTAAATACCCATAAAAGTTTTGTAAGTCATCTCATCGATCCTTTTCTGACCGCTGAAAAATAGCACTCACCTCCTCTGCTGCCTCGACTCCTTCATCTCTCCGACCAAAGCCCTCCAAGAGCACAAACAAACTCTCCTCTTTGCTGTCTTCCCTATAAATGTCCATATTGATCAGAAACTCCTACTTACTACTTACAAAGCAACACAGGGCCTTGTGCGTCAGAGTGCTGCTGCTCTGATTTATTTACTACTTATCAGCCCACCCATACTCTGCACTCACAGGATGCCTTGTCATCCTCTCTTATTTGAAATTAAACAGCCAGGAGCAAAGCCTTGGCTCCTTTATTTTTCACCCTATCTATCCTTAACGGACCCGCAGTCTATCATCTCGCTTGCATGTGACCGCATGGCTCTGAAGCTCATAAACTGTGAAGCAAAGGATGGCTGATCTGATGGTCACTGCAGCTGAGGCAGAAAGTAGCCGGTCAATAAAGCCAGAGAGTGAGATGCTTCTCTGAGAGAGTTACAGAAAGGTGTAGGGGTAACGGTAAAAACCATACGTCTGAGCACATTTCACCTGTCGCTCTGTCTGAGTGTGTTTGGGTGCGGTGTGAGGACTCTTCAGGCCCCTCTGGGGACAGATAAGCACTTGTAAAAAATGAGCTCCCATTACTCAGAATATGAGTAATTATTGGTGTTATGATTTCTTCTTGCAATCTGAAATGTTGTTTACCCCCAGATTTATATCGATCCGTCTACGTGTGGACAATTTAAGACATAAGATTCCACTTAACAAGAATTGCCTCTCGCTTTAATGTCAGTCTGTCCACATATGGGAACGATGGGGACCAGTTTCTGGAGTTTTAAAAGTCAGACGTACAGACACCAGGACTCTCCTACAACTGAGCCATGCTGTTGTAAATGCAAGCAGAATGATTTCGTGTCCATGCGGTGACTTCCACTACAGAGTTATGCTTCTTTTTACTCAAAGGTGGGGTAGGCAGGATCTGAGGAAGTTCCAGTTTTTGGGAGAAATCGTGAATGTAAACTCTAAACTCTACCCCTCCCAACCAGTTTTCCCCTCAGCTCCTCCTCTCTGCTCCAGCAAACCCCGCCCACAAACAGACGCTCCTGCTCGCTCGTATCGTTTTAATTAAATTCAGATTTAATGCAGATAAATACTTCAGATAATTACAAATGGGGCCCAGTCAATGTGAAAGTAAACAGCATTGGTGCTACTGTAGATGCCAACAGACTACCAGCAAACACAATGTTTGCAGGACTTCTAAAACAAGGATAAAGTGACATAGTCCAGGACCCGAGTTAAACGGTTTAGCGGCGCTACAACACGCAGCAGGTCCGTTTGACAAGAAACACTTCTGTTACAGACACTTGTCTTACTTTGTTAAAGCGGTTTACCTGTCCAGCAGAAAGGTTACAGGGTCTGTAAAGCGTCCCCCATGATTGTCGACCCGGCTTCTTAGCTCTTGTCCCGTCTACCTCCGTTTTAAGCGCCCGTTATTCCTCCAGAGTCTCCGGTATTTAGTTCGTTTTCTTGCTTGTGTCGGCAGTCGTGGCTAAAGGAGGATTCAGACAATTTCCCGAACTTTCTGGTCGGTTTCTTTTGTCCGATATTGTAGCACGCTAACTTTGTTTGGGCTCCTGAATGACAGGGGAGAGCAGCTTCCGTCTCACAACCAATCAGGTCGGGGAAGCGGATAATGGCTTTGTTTACAGTCAGAAAGAGATTTTAAAATGTTGACCACACAGACATAAAAAAACACAGTGATATCGTTATAATACCAAATGTCATCAATAACTAATAGCTATTGACTGATATTAAAGCTTTTTTTTTATATACACCACAAAAAAAGATGCTTCTTTTTTTTCCAGTGATAGATTTTCTGAATCACTGAATAAAATTTTAAACGTTTTCTGCGGTGCTTGAGCATTAAAACTGAATATTTAATCATGTTAAATCATCTTGAAATTACCTTATAAAATCGCAGTTATTTACCATTGAATGTAAATAACTGTAAAAATGGAATCAGGGTAAAAGATTGGACAAGGATTCCCCCGATGTACTCCAAAACCAACCCCAGGATCAGACTTTAAAAATACCTTTGATATTTTGTCAGTGCCTCCTAGCTAGACCACCTGACATGTATTTTTACTATTACATGAGTTCACAGTGAAAGCCAGAAGACATCAGTATTCAGGGCGGCGCGTTGAGCTGTTATGGGACCACTGGTCAGACATAATGAATGTGTTTGAGACCAGACTTCATGTAAAGTGAATGTGGGAAAAAATGAAGTTCGCTTGACCTCAATATATTCCCCCTCAGCTCCAGAAAATTGCTTTTAGCTTCGGTCCTTCCACTTGATATCTTTTTCGCCAATCACAAAGATCCACCGAGTGTCCTCTGTGTCGCTGCACCGTCAGCGCTGCTGTCCTGGCTAAGATTGTGCTTAAGAGCATGATGCACATGTGCCAAGTCAGCAGCTGTCACCGAAAAAAGTGAGGGAGGCCGCAGTATGAAAAGAAATCTGTTCCAGCTTGACACTTTTTCAACTTGCAAGAATGGCAAAAAAAACACGGTGGAGTGGAGTGGCAGAGGGGCCCAGTGGGTAAACAGACTCTTCTCTGCTTGAAAATAGAGACTCGAGTTTCTGCTTTGGAAGGTGTCCACCCTCCTGAAGTGTCCTTAAGCAAGACGCCGACTCCCCAGTGTGAGTGCAAGCACGCTAACAAGCTACAAACGCCACAGCTCATGCAGATGGCTGCAAAGTGTGTAAAAAACAGCGCAACACAACTTGTTGACGCTGAAAATTGTTTTTTCTTTTTTTGCACGAAAATTGTGAATTTATTTTTTGTCTGTGAAAATAAATCAAAGTTTTTTTTTAAATGTGGGACTGGATACCTAATCTCAGTGGTGATTTTATGAAAGCATTTACCTTGCAGAAAAACAAAACAAAACAGTTTTATCCAATTTCAGTTTATTCATTTACTTTCAACCTTTTTCTAACAAAGTCAGTCCCATTGTGATTAAAAATCTAATTTTCAAGGTAGACCTTGCTTTAAAATTTTGTGGTGGCATGTGTTCAATAATTTTGTACTCATAAATACTCAGATTTTGGTTCACATTGGCTGTTGTTGCAATTTTTAGGAAGAATGTGGTTTCTAGGGTTAAAGCTCCTGTAAGGAATTTTTTAACATGTATGAAATACTCTCAAATATACATTGTTGCTTTTTTATGATACACACACAAAAAAGACCTTCACTGACAAGATATACAAATTTATATTGTAATTTTGAATGTCTAAAACTAGTGTGAGAGGGTAGGTGTCAGAAACAGCCATGCTATTTTTTTATTTTTATTTATTTTTACATATTTTACAATAAATTATACATTTGAGTATCAAAAATCAGCAGGACATTTTTTTTAAGAATTACAATTTTTTCTTTTTTTTTTTATTTTTATTTTATAGTTCAGAACTTGTTCGTTAAGCATGTAGGGACTACTTTGACCATAGGGGGGTGCCAAAGATACACATTGAAAGATCCTCACAGGAGCTTTAATTTTTCAAGTTACGGTTGGTTAAAAATGTTGACAGTTTGTAGTCTATTGTGTAGATTCAGACAGCGGTAAGCAAAACTTCTGTACTTTATGCCTGAATTTTGAATTACTTCTTTAATTATTTATGGATAGGATTTCAAAACAGTACATACAACCAAATTATTATCAAAGAGGGTCTTTAAAGTACCATAGAGCTGATTAGGACAGTATGTTAATAAATATACATGAATTACATGATTAAAGCTCCAGTGGGGAAGATTTAGCTAGTAAACAAACAAGCTAAAATGAATACTGATACCTCTTTATGACCTACATAAGCAAACAAGACCATTCTCAGAAATACTGAAATTGTGGCAGGGGGTAGGTGTCAATTAAAGTCAAAATACACATTTTTTTACACTCTCTGTGACTCAGTTTCTGAATGGGATGTGGTAAACACATAACAAGGGCACCAAAATCAACACAAACCAAAGTCACCCACAGGAGCTTTAATGCAGGATACAAAGTGGAGGAGCTACATAGAAGAATGAGAGTGTCTCAAAGCCTGAAAACCTGAAAAATGTGCAAATATAAGAGCAGATACTTACCTAAATCAACCTTGTCAAACTTTATTTAAATACCCGGGGAAGTTGTGCTTAATCATCATGAGCTCTGTGCGGAAGCTCATTCACCTGCTGCATTAAGAAATCAATCTTGTAATGAGTCCAAGCAGTAGTAAAATGGATCTAATGGCTCAGAGCTGCAGTTGGTGATAAGAGCTTATTGAAAAGTCACTTCTTTGATCCATAACACAGCCACTATGTGTCTTTATAATACAAAAAAAACCTTTCTGAGTACATTGGGGAAATAAAAGTGAAGCTAAAGCTGACGTAAATACAGTCTGACCATAAGGATTGGAAAACCCTCAAGTGCCTGAGTGCATGTGCCAGCGGGGACACTTCCAGCAGTCTATGATCGTTGACAATTTCGTATAACACTGAGGTTTCTGGAAGAAGCCCAGCGCTCTGTTGTTTACAAGACAAGTGCTTTTTACCTGCCAAGCCACAGCATCTGCTCCCGCTCCTCTTTTTCTCCTCCTTTTTTTTTTAAAGCGGCGACCGAAGCAGCCACGAGCTTTGAAGGACAACTATTTCAATCCCTTTGATTTCAAACTTTGGTTTATTTATAGAGGCTTTTATAACCCAAATAAAGCCTCGACATCGTGTTTTACTGGAAAATCAAAAGGGAACACTCGAACATGAACACATGCAATCTTCTTCTATCTTGTGCCATTATATTCATGATGTTACATCAGCAGTTAAAAACCCCATCATGCTTGTAATTGCCGCCATATTGTCCTCTTCTTTCCACCCCTCCCTTTAATCATGTTACTAAATCAGTGGGTCACATCATCGAGCATTGACAAAGCATTTCCTCTATAATTGGCTGCAGTGGGCCGAATTCATGATAACCCAGAGGACGGCTGACAGCATTTCAAACAAGCTGGAGAGAAAAGGAGCCCTTCCTTCCTCCTCCTCCAGCAGCATGTAGCAACGAGGAGGGGATGAAGATGATGTAACTTCAAATCTTAATGATAGATACTGTGTGTTATATCACGCTACATTATGGCAATAACCAGCCAGAGCCTTGAGGGGGGTGTCAGATTTAGGGGAAGAACGAGATTGTGTTTGTCCAATACAACCCGGTTTGACTTATTTTATAACAGAGATGGTGAAGATTTAGTGCTTTGAAAAGCCAGTAAACACAATAAGACATCTGAGCTCGTATGTGTGAGCTAGATGTACAAAATTGATATTAAAGCTCCTGTGAGGATTTGATTAAGTGGTAAAAAACAGGATAAAATTAATAATGAGGCTTATTCATGACTATGATTATTTCTATGTGGTGATTTTTCGTTTGCTTTAAGTGCAGTAAAGAAGGTCAGGTAATTTAAAGCACATTGAAGAAACAGCCTTTCCTTTCTTTATTATACCACATTCGTTGAGTAGCATTTGGAGCTATTAAAAGAAAACATGATTGACACACGTTCAGGACAGGAAACATCAAGATTTAGTGTTGTGTCGTTCGCGAACGATTCGTTCACAAGAACCAAATCTTTAAAGTGAACATACTGAACCGAATCACTTCCTCAAGAGATTCGTTCATTTCTCACTGAAAAATGATTCTAGTGATTCAGTACATCTAAAAGAACTGGTGTGCCCATCGCTATCAAGATTGTCACAGGAGCTTTAAAGTTCCTTTTTTTGTTAAAGCTCCTGTGTCGGTTCTGGCACTCCTTTTTGTCCTCTACGCGTTTGGGTAGTGACGCTTGGCAGTCGATAGCCAAGTGTATTATCTATTGTGAATATTTTATGTATCAAAAACAGGACTATTTCTTACACTGCTTTGCTGACACCTACCCCCTCACACGGGTGTGTTCAAGCGTTAAATACTAGGATATAAAAATCATGAATGTGATCGCTGATGGTCTTGTTTGCTTTAAGAGATCATGAAAAAGCTTGAATATTAGTTACAGTCTATTTTTATGAATGTAAAAAAAAATGCTCATAGGAGCTTTAATGTAATATTTATTGTTTACATTTGTAGTTTACGTGGTTGTCTTAAGATCCCAGTTCGTTATTAATCTCTTTTGCCTTAAAGCTTCTACGGACATATTTGTTTGCATTGGTTTTGGCGCCCCCTCGTGGACTTCAATTGCTTTTTTTCGTCTGCAGGAAAAATTTCTACACATTGAATTTGATTTAATATATTTGCTGTCACAATACTCAATGCCATCTTTTGTTCTTGTCTAAAACAGTTTATCAACACTGTGTCAAAAATGTGTTTACTAAGAATGAAGATCCTGTTCATAGAGCTGATTTTTACCTCGTTTTCGACCAAATTTCATCATTAAATCCCCCGTGAATCCCACTCAGTCAGGAAAAGAAAACACATTTTGCCAGTTCTGCCTTCAGAGTCGACATTTACATCCAGATACACAGATCTTTTTAAAGAGCACTCTGACATATCTCTCGTCTGGGCGCGAGTGCAAGACACTGATTTGGGAGTCGCAGCAAGGGCGGCTTTTGTGCTCCCGCAGTCCAACAGCTTCTGCTGTCTGGCTTCTTCAAGTGGAGTGAGGGGCGACAAAGGTGGTTATCCATTGTTGCATAGACAGGTGTAGTAATTACATTCTCCTCCATTCAGGCCCTATCTCCATACAGCACCAGCACAGCCCTCTCAAACTCCATTATACGCTTGCCAGATGGAACAAAAGACCAACATTCAATGCTTTTGGCACCCACAGAGAGACACTGACCCCTGCTGGGGTTAGACATCAAATTGTGTCATGGCTGCAGAATACAGTATGACTCTTAATAAATGCTCACATCAACCAGTGGATTATCATCATTTTGGCATGAGTGCACTTTGAAGCCCTCAACCCTGCTCTGACCAGGCTCAGGTCAATGTAATATTGAACTTGTATGATTTTTTTATGGGCTTTTGACTGGAGCACATATTGCTTCAAGTGCCACATAATTTTACAAAGACTCCCGCTGAAAGCAAGGAAACATATGTATTTGTATGGTGCTTTAAAGCAGTAAAAATCTGAATTATTTTGTAGTTGAAGGTCGCCAAGTCGCTTCAGGTCGCGTCGCCGAGGTCGCAGGACGCCAAGTCGCGTCGCTCCCAAAGTTCAAATATTTGAACTTTGGGAGCGACTATCCGCGACCCCGTGCCGCGACAGCCAATCAGGGCTCTGCTGACATCAACAAACCGGCGAAACAAGGAAGAGGAGAAGAAGAATCACACGACGTGGGGTGCGCGTTTTACCGGGACTGCACCTCCAAGGAGGAGGCATGGGTGAAGGTGGCCCATGATTTCGGGCTATCTGGTAAGTTTGTTTGTGTATTTATTTCAGTGAGCGGACTGTTTTATGAAAACATAGCTAACTGCCCCTGCTTGCTAGGCTACATGTTTCAACGTATGTGTGTGTGTGTCTTTGCAGTGGATGTGTGCCGCAAGCGGTGGAAGGGGCTTAGGGACGTTTATATGAGGGACAGACAGATAGACAGGCGTTCCGAAGCTGAGATGGAGCGCCTGTATTTCGTGTCCAGGCGGGAGATGCTGCTTCCCACCCAGGCGAGGAGATCCTCGAACTGTGCCGTCGACACACGGAAATACCGCTGGAAGCGACCGTCGTCCAGGCAGAGTTTCTGGAGCAAGCGGTGAAATTCACCCAGCTTCGTCCTCCTCCGGATGGTTTCATGCACCCATAAACGCCGGCGGCGTCTACTGCGGATGTACAGATATGCGGCAGCACCGAGGATGATGAACTGAAAACTGAGCTAGTGACGTTCTCATGGATGACGTCACCGGCGACCAGCCGCGACCTGCGACTGCAGCTTTGGACCCATTGTGAACACACCAAAGCACCCCGCGACGCGACAAGACCGACCAAAGCGACGCGACGTTTGGTCTGAACGCCCCTTAAGAAGGAAGAGTGATTGTTTGGGCTTTGACTGTCCGTCTCATTGTCATGAGTTGTGTTTGATGCTGTAACCAGAATGAAATCCCACGAAAGGCTGCATTGGTTGATTCTGTCTTTATGCAGTTCATTTTTGCACCTTTGCATCTATGAAATCTACTATAGCTGGGATTCAAGTCCTGGACTTAATGACAATAAAACTGCAGGATGAAGAGGAGATAAAAGGATTTTACAAGAGTAAAGGTTTGTGTCCACTGACAATGGCACTTGCACTACAACAGGTTCCCAGGTCATGAAAACAAAGACTTCCACCCTTTTATGGCTCCTGACTTGATCTGGATTTGACCAAAGATGACTTAGGGCCCTTTTGCACACCGAGAGCGAAGCGTTTTGGTGTGCAGAGCAAGTGCCAGGGAAAGTGGAAACAAGCCCTTAACTCATTTAAAGGCTTTAAGACGACAAAACTTTAGAGAAGTTTACTGAGTCTGGACTAAGATTTAGTCTGGTTCACTCTCTATAGTTTATTGATTTTTGGAGTATTTTTAATGTGTAGCACAAAATAATCAGAACTTTAATATATAACTATAACAAATACATCCTTAGATCTGCCAAAAGTTGCAAACTGTAACTTTGATATTTGGCAAAGGCACAACACCTTGAGGCATCAATTCTTGTTCCTAAAATTAAAAATGATATCATATCTTGCATTACATAACGCCACTGCCCTGCACAGTACAACGAGTTCCCAATTGAATTGCAGATACAGCTTGCACTTGAATATTGTTATATTCATATGGTTCAAAATCTGACTTTTTTGCAGAGGTATCAGCTAAAACCTAGCAGCTAAAAATGAGAATCTCGGCTCTCGATTGTGCGACACTGCCTGTTTTTTTCAGATTCTCTCAAATTGAACTGTTAGGGCTCAGTAGACTATTCCTAATGAATACAGGGGCGACACACATCTCATGCACAGATGTTATAGAGGAGCCTGAAGTGGCGCACAAAGCAAGGCACTTGTCTCGTCTGATGAGAGGGCTCATTTGGAACTGCCATTAGTAGACGTATGATTTATGACTGTGTCTGCAGAAACCAATGCTTTCACTGCAGCAGCTCAGGATGGAGGGTCTCTCTGCAGCTCCTGTGCTGCAGATGAAGAACGGTGAGCTTTAGTGGTGTGTAAAGATAGTAGAGAGGAGGTGTCATACAGTGCTTAATGAAGCTGGTTTGAAATAAAAAAGAACTTGTGCAGGTTTAATCAGAGGAGTCATAAAAAAGCATTTGTTGAACAGAGTGGGATGCCGTTTAATTTTATTGTGTGGGGAGCTTTTGTGGTCGGCCAGGAGAGGAGGTTGGATTTCATTTGGAGTTCAATTAACATAAAACAGAGTTTTCTTGCTGTGATAGGCAGGAAAAACAGTCATGACAGGACAGAACTGTGAAAAGGATTTGCTTTGTTGCGTTGTGTTTGCGCAAACCCCTCAAAACAACAAAGCACACAAGACATGTATCTAAGTTTTGATTGGATGAGTCTCAGGAGGAAGGACATGACTTCAAACAGCATGCTGATGGTGGTTTTGCATTGCAGCTACATGCAAACAGACAAATGTGTACGTTTTGTTTTTTCTAGGTCTACACTGGTAGTATGATATAAGTGTCTCTGCCTGCAGCTGGGTGTTTTCCAGGTTATTGTCTTTGATGCAACACACCAGAATATATCATTGTATCCATGACAGGACTAACTAACTATAAAAAATAACAAAAATAAGCTTCAAATCACTCAGAGCTGACTGGAACATGAAATTTCTGTCTGTATGAGCTTCAACAGGCAATTGACCACCTTTACTGTTTATTGATTCTGCTAAAAAAATATGCTGCCAATGGAAACAGGCCCTTAAAGGGATAGTCTGGCGTAAAATTAATTTAGGGTCAAACACACCGTAACACCGAGTTAGACACCCCCCGGAGAGATGAATGTTGACGACAGCTTGCTTCTCTAGCTATACCAACTTTAGTAACGACCGCAGGATAGCAATACACAGCGGTCTGAGGAGCCATAAACAAACCTCAACCCAGCCACAGTACTAGCCACCAAACATCTTTTTAACTTTGACTAATTTCTTTAGCAAAGAGACTAAATACATCTCACCTACTCTCTTCCAGCAGCCGCTTGTTTGTAGAGAGACCTCAGGCCAGTCCGTTACGGACTGCAGCGGGGTGACACAGCTCAAGGAAGAACATTTATGATCATTTCTTCATGTTTTCCTTGAAGTAATAATCACCATATTAACATTTTGCACTGCAGACACGGTAGTTCTTCTGCCTTATCCTCTCGGTCTGATTGTATTTCCATGAAGTTATGATCATAAATGTTCTTCCTTGAGCTGCGTCACCCCGCTGTAGTCTGTGATGGACTGGCCTGAGGTCTCGATACAATCAAGCGGCTGCTGGAAGAGAGTAGCTGCGTTGTGTTTAGTCTCTTTGCTAAAGAAATTAGTCGAAGTTAAAAAGATGTTTGGTGGCTAGTACTCTGGCTGGGTTGAGGGTTGAGGTTTGTTTATGGCTCCTCAGACCGCTGTGTATTGCTATCCTGTGGTCATTACTAAAGTTGGTATAACTAGAGAAGCAAGCGGTCGGCAACACTCATCTCTGGAGGGGGTGTCTAACTCGGTTTTGCAGTGTGTTTAATCCTAAACTAATTCTATGCCAGAATATCCCTTTAATGTTGTCATATTGTTAATGAAGCTCACCAGTGTGTTTAGTTATTTCCATTCGAGGACTACATTTACATTCAACGATCCTGTGCAAAAATGTTGTCAGCGTAAACAGGCCCTTCGTGTTCCTTATTTCTTAACACAGCTTATAGATACACGCCATTGGTTCAAGTTCAGGACTAATTAATGGTTGAAATCAAACAGAAGTAAGCTTTAAATCACCACGAGCTGGAACATGGAATTTCTGCCTTAATTATTCATGATCCCTCTTAAAAATACTGATAGTGGAAACAGGCCCTTAATAACTTCACTTTTTGTCTTTATTCTTTAATCTTGTTTCACTGACTTTCATTTGTACTTTTCTGACTTACAGCATGTCGCCACCACCTGCAAGTAAATATATGTTTTTGAAACTGTGTGCTGCAGCTTTAATTGCTCTGTCTGGGACATAGTGGCACAATTTTCTCACTTTTCTAACCACAACTTTTGACAAAATCCAAAGAATAAAGTCTGATAAAATACAAGAGAAGAACTTAATTGATCCCCAAAGGTTAATTCGTCACCCCTCTGTCCATTTAAGAGCCGCACCATGCATTTAATATCAGCCTCCTGGTTTGTTTAATCCCAGTTTCACTCCTGTGTTTTTGCTCTCTAGTGTCTTGACAAGTTTCCACCTTCAAATACGTCTGCCTGTGTGAACTTTTCTGAATTTCTTTTGCCTCGTTCCTCAGCTCAGGTTTGATTTTTCAAGTTGAGACAGCTTTTTCATATCTTTGCCGCCTCAAGAACCGACTTCTGAACACAACCCCAGCAAGCCAGAGTTACAGACCTTGTATGCTGCACTTGTGAAGCAAACACTGTATCCAAAAGGTGCCACCAGCGAGCCCTCAGGCACTGCCTCTTCTATCAAACACCCTCATAGTGGAAACAAACCCTCAGAGGGCATGTAAACTTGGTCACCTGTCACTTTTGTTTCATCTTTGTTCTGATTTTCGTGTTACATGTCAACAGGTTGCTCTTTTGGCCAACTTACACGTGCAAAATCACAATATGAGCCGCTCACAAAAGCTAATTATCTTCCCTTCTGCTTTCCTCTCTGTCTTAATTTCCTCTCTCTCTGCTCACTAAGTAGGAAATGGAAGCTGAAGGCGTCAGGACCAGGGGTGTCGCTCCCTGCCTGGTTGCTCTGCCGTGCCACATCTGTCCATCTGTCAAGCATACAGGCCCATCAATCAAACAGCTGAATGCAGGTGAGTGCGAGGCGCGGCGTACAACCATTAATCACTCTGAGACACGGACAACAGCAGGGTGCACGGAGCGAGGGGGGGGAGTTGTGTTTTTGAGAGACCAATACAGAAGATATGTTGTAAATAACTCCTATCATGGTGGGACATACTGTCTGTTTATTTTCGCTTGTGTTGTTATTTTTATTCAGCGAGTTAAAGGTGCAGTCTCTGAAGCTTATCAGCGCCTGTCTTAGTCTTCATTTCAAAGCATCTCCAGTCTGACAGCAAGCTAATGCATTCATTATGCCATCAAAGCTGTGTGACTTTCTGCGAGGGTTAGGGTTTTCGCTACATGAAAGGTTGTAATTAGTCTTAAAAGGCTGGCAGTGAGCTCGTGTTAAAGCTCCTGCGGGGAGTTTTTCAGTGGGAAAGAAAAGTAGCAGAGTTTCACGCTGATGCCTTTTTAATGAGCGACAAAAGACAACAATATCGTCGGTGAAAAGGCCGATTTTGACAAAACAGCTGTTTTGAATGCTTACAACTGCCACCCGGGGCAGGGTTAGGTATCAGGTGTTTTGACTGATCGCATGTTTCACCACAAAGATTTTCACTCTTCTGCATGTGCGAGACAAGATCAGCAAATGCATTTGTAACAGGGGTTACTGGCGGCTGTCATGGTGCTATCACACGCTGCTGTCACACCAGTGATTGATGGCGTGGTCCAGTTGTAGGAGAATTGAAATAAGTTGATCTGTTGCCTTTGTTTTGTTGTAGGATTGACCAATAATGGCCGCATTAAGGGCCTGTTTCCATTGACAGCATCTATTGAGCAGGTTGATGTGTCTTTTTAAGCTTATAAAGACAGAAATTCAGGTATAACCACTTAAACTGAGCAGTTTGTAGCCAGCACAGGCATGTGGATGTCAACCAGTGAGGTGGTGTTCACTCTGTTAGTCAGGAGTAACCACACTCGGCAAACTAATATGACATTTTCACCTGCAGACTCTGTTCACATGTTAAAGTGGAGCAAAATTGAGCTCAGTTTGGACAGTTTTCTGACTTTCAGACGAGTCGATTAGTCAGAATTTAAATTAAACCGGAAGGAAACGAGCTGCTTGATGACATATCATCCCACTGAGCATTTTTTGGTCTAAAGTCCCTTACACACTGGGGCCGACATGAATATAGAACGTGAAATTAAGAAATAGTCGGAGGCGGATTTTGACGTCCTGACTATACACATCAAACCCGATGCGATTTTGCGACTTTCCGGGGGGAAAAAAGACGCGTCCAGGATGGAAGCGAGAAGACTGACACAACAGCAGACTGAGTGTTTTTCAGTTCTGATTAGACTCTAGTGTTGAGATGTCTGTCTGTCATGATAGCATGTACTGAGTCGGGGTCAGTACCAGATAAGAACATTAAACTGTAATCTATAAACGTAAGGTAACAACAGAGACCTAATGGTGCTGTGACAGTGAAAATACATATGGTATGTTGTATCTGAACAGGTTAGCTTACGAGCTAAAGTTACTTAGCACAGATGAAAGTTAAAACAAAGACGTTTATCAAACTGTTAAAGCACACAAACCATCGTCATATGAGAAATCCGACGCTATGACTCTCCACAAGTCGTCCTTCAGGTCGTTATCTTTGTAATATTTGTGTGTAAACGATCATAAACAATCAGCTGGTCGGCCATGTTGGATGTAACGGTGAATCTGACGTCGCAACAACACGAAATCTGATTGGTCAGAAGTGGACACACAGTATGCGAAACTTGATGAAAATTTGACCGTGATACAGAAAAAATTTATGCCGCAATATCGCAGGACGGGAAACAGTCGCTGATGTGAACGTATGTATTGACAGGATACGGGTTCGAAAAAAAATATTGACGTCTGAAATAATCGCACGAAAAAAACGTGTGTGACAGGACCTGAAAAGAGGTCTAATAGACGTCTAAATGTAGCCTAGATAAGTGGTCTAAAACCAGGCTACCTCAGGTCTAAAGTTAAAAGTTTTTTTAGACGTCTAAATTTAGACCAAGTTTAGACTAAATCTAACTCTGGGCTATATCTATACTACACTGTATTTTGCTCAACAGCTATCATGATTATTTTGGTTAAGTACTTGGAGATCAGTTATGCAACTCACAGTTGCTTTTTGATATAGAAAGTTATCGAATTATGGGTTAAAGTGCAACGTCTAAATTCTGTCTAAAAATATACAGAATCTCGACGGTGGAAATTAGGTCTAAAAAAACAACTAGATGCCTAATAGCCGTCTATTGCTCAGTGAGATTGTTTAGAAACTTGTACCTCCTTATATAGATTCCACTTTTTTACACCAACTCCATCGGAAATCATTAGAAATTGTTGCCGATTTCCTCTGAAGGTGTTCTCGGTTCATCTGTAGTTTCAGTGCTTTTAATGAGACCGGAAAGCTGCTTTCGTTGAACTTTCAGACTCCGACTTTTAGTCCTAAAGTAATGACACCTTCATCACGTAAACAGGGTTATTTTCTCAGACTTTACACGCCCCTTTAAAAGCAACAGACAGTGTTATGCGGCTGTAATCGCATACTGAGTGGGAACTTCCTTTTGAAGCCTCTCTTCTTCAGAGTGTCAAAATATGTGAAAGAGCAGGTATAATCCTCAGATGACTAATATCGGTTTAAAAAGGCAGCTTTTTTTGGGCATGCTTGGAAATCCCAGAGTTGTTTCAATAGACAGTCTCACTGCTGTCAAAATTCGATATAATAAGAGCTTTTTGCTTTAACACAGGGCTGGGGTTTGCACATCTGAATTTCAACACCATTAACATGCCGAGATGCTCTGTAAAAACTTAATTCAAGTCCAGGAATTCAAGTCCTGGGCGTTAAGAACACAAAACTGCAGGAGAAAAGGAGTTTGAAAGGGCCATGGGTCCAGGTCACGTCAGGAGCCAGGAAGAGCAGGACTCTCTTCCTTCTAGTGGGATTCACTGAGAGGATGTTTTGACTTCCTGACGGTCGACTGTGCGTCTGCATTTCGGGTTAAAAACAGCCTTCCTCGTACCTGACAGCGCTGCCATCCTCATGCTGCTTTTGCTCGAGGCTGTGGAAACCTCTCTGAAGGGTCACAAGATAAAAAAAACGTGGGTTGGGAGATGACTGACAGGATAGGACAGAGGGAGAGAAACATACTTCAGCTCCAGTCTGACTTCTCCTTTCAAGAAAACAGGATGAAGTAACTCCTTTGAAGGCTGTAAGGGTTTCCTAAAAGCTTGTTTGTGGAGCTGTGGGTGAAAAAGGTTCGGGCTAACTAGTTGTGATCTAATGTAATCAAGGTTTTTTTAGTCGTATGAAGGTGCTTTGTTTTTTCCTGACAGTTAAGAGTAAAAAATAGACTCTCGGTCATCGTGAACAAGCAGCAAACAGCGTTTCTGACACGCTGCCCGGCTGCAATTCTGACAGAAACACACTTCAAAAAAGGCAAATTCAGGCACGCTTTGCTCTGTCGGTATGATTCAGCTCTCAGCGATGCTCCCTGCTGCGGGAATTCAGCGCAGCAGCACGAAATCCTCGGGAACATGTTAACGAACACTCAGGGAGCATTATGGTAATCCACCAGAGTGAATTAACAGAGACAATACGGCCCTCTGGGGCGCCCTCAACTCATCGCATGCAGGTAGATGCAGCTTTAAGCTGACGCCAGCGGTAACACGGGTGTCGGGGAGACATCCGGTGACGGTGAATTAAATATTTGCTGAAGTGTCCTGCCACAAATATTTCATTTTAATGCAGACATTGCGAGCTCTTTCCCCGGGCTGTTGCTCTTTCACAGCTTCTCCAATTCATCCTCATAATTAGGTTCATCTTCTCCATAAAACTCACCGCATGTACGGTAAACACCTCCACGACTGTCCCTCTGTACCGTCTCCCGCGTGGCGAACAAACGGAGCCTCTCGCAGACAGCAGACAAAAATACAGAAGCGCTTTCAGAGCGATAAACAGAAAATCAGAAGCAGGATAACAAAGAGTTAAGAGTCAGATTCAGTGAGCTGAGGACAGACAGAGAAGTCAGGGGAGTGAATAGAGATGGATAACACTATTTGGCTTCTTTACCTCGGTTTTTGTTTTCGTCTGCGTTTGTTGTTTTGTTGCATTGAAGCGAAAGACTGGCAGAGACAATAGTACAGTGGCTGAGTGACACTGTTGAATTTTTAAGGAGTCACAGCTCAGAAAGATGATCTGCTTTGGGGTTTATTGCCACACTCTTCATAGTTACAACCTAAACATTTTAAAATTCTTTAAGACTAATACTTTTAATCTTCACCATTCACCATTTTTAACTGATTAAGTTGACAAATAAGCGCATTTCCACCGAACTCCTGTAAATGGTCGGAATCGCCCTTTAGTATCCCTCAGGTTACTTTAAAGTGCTGTTAAGAATTGCCAATAAAAGCTGTGACATGGAGACGACAGGAAAGGGTTGTGAGGAAGTCACAATACGGTGAGGGTACGTCGAGGGGTTGAATGTAAACGTGGCACGACTGTGTATCAGATCATACAAGGCCAAATGTAAACTAGAAAAGCACTCGGAGAGCGCAGACCTCCGCCAAGCAGCTCATGTCCCCCTTATATTGTGATTCACACCAAAACTTTGACTGTTACGTGTCTTTTATTAAAGTTTATTTGTGTTTAAACTGGTATGTTCACTGTTCATAATGTTCCTAAAACAAGAAATGCCCTGACCAGGTTTCAAACCCAGGACCTTCTTATTGTGAGGCGACAGTGCTAACCACTACACCACTGTACCGCCCATTGGTTATCTTTCAGCACTGAAAATTCCAATGACACCCTTATTTTTGTGTGTTCTGGATCACAGTATCCAGAATTTTGTCCGGATCACCACCAAAATTTGATTGGATCCTCCTGGGGCTGAGACGCACCTCTGGTGAAAATTTCAGGTCAATCCGTCTGTAACTTTCTCGGTAAAGTTGATAACAGACAAACAAACAAATCAACGCTACCGGAAACATAACCTCCTTGGCGGAGGTAATTAGCATGTCGTTGTGCGGCCCGATTTGTCAGTATCATGATCTAGAAAATGGAGGTAAAGTTGTACGCGGACGATGTTTGGTTTCATGGTGACTCAGTGGACATTAATCCACACAGAGGACTAAAAGTTGGTGGTTCTAGCTCTGCTAGTGGTAGCTGCACTTTGGAAACCGTATTGGCAGACTTTGTGATCTTGTCTTTAGTCATTGCGATGAAAAAAGTAGTAAAATAACTTTAAAGAATTGTTTATTTATTGGTCTCTAAATTTCCATTGAAACTACAAGGAGGTGACTCGCTCTGAAGCATCCCTAAATCACATCGCCATGTAAAGACAAGCACAAATGAAGTTGTAGATATAACCCTGTTCTTACAATTCAAATCTACTGTTTTAGATATTGAAAAGACCATTTTTGTGTTCCTGTAATCCAGTTTCACCCCTCCAAACCAAAACTGTAAGGTCAGAACTGTTAGACTTTGACTTATTTACTTTAACAGCTAGTTTTACAGTCATCTCTGCTTGTCTGACATTAACAAGGAACAGTAAAGCCGATCAAATGTCTCTATTGAGCTCAAGGGCAGGACTCCAAACACCAAATAAGTCGACTAAACACAAATAGTAGAAGTTAAATATTGGTAGGGCTGTAAATCCGATGCCCTTGGCTTGATGCATTAATCTGCAGCGATAAAAGCAGATCTTAAATCCATTCACCTGATCTATTTTACATGCACCTTAACGATCATGTCTTATTTTCTAATAAATGCGTTTTTGGACTTCAACACCCACGAGCCGATTTCAGCCGGTGTCATAGTGTAAATTGTATCATTTTGCTTTTCATTCAGACTGCAGCATGTACCTGAGACGCGGGAGGAATGCAAAGTATGCCCGTGCAATAATTTGGTATGGAGAGAAGACAGCGCTGCCAAAGAAATCTTTAATAAAAGATAGACAACCTCCAACCTCACACAGCTGGTCGTGGAGCAAGAGAGGAATGTAGAAGAGTTCTCGGGCCTTCAATAAGAGCAGAAAAACAAAACCTGAGAGCTGTTGAATGTTCCTCTGATTAGATGAGCGCCATTTACAACGTCGAGTTCTTTTTGTTTACGTTTATTATGACGGCTAACCCAAAGGAATGACCACCGCGCCGCTCTTTAAACACCTTTCTCACCGCGTTTGGCCGGGGCGTATCGACCGCACTAATTCAAACGGCAAATTGCTTAATAGCGGCTTTGCATGAGGACGTAAAATGGTTTATTCATGACGGAGCTGTTTTACCGCCGCTCACCTTGGACCTTTTTGAATCCACTGGAAAGGAAAATGGAGAGCGAGGAAAGCTAAATAAGAGAAAGAGAGGGAGCGTAAGGAATGATAATTTGCCATATGAATAAATAATTTAAAAACAAACACGCGGCTGAGCTGTAGCATGAAACGCCCCAAAGGCAATTAACTCCTGAGAAAGAGAGAGGGCGATTAATTTTGTTTATCAGTGATGTATAACTTTTATACGGGCCTGTGAGGTTTAGGAGCTCCTGTTATCTGATTTTATGACGCATGTTTTATTCAGATACTCATTCGTGGCTTTGCGAACGTCCAGCTCCTAACTGTATGAATTACAAGCTTTGAAAGGAAGTAACACAAGATCTAGTCCGGGGCGGTATGGTTTTTTCCACTCCCTGTCAACCTCTGCGTCCTCTATTCAGCCTCTGTACTGTATATTTCTTTGCTCAGCATGAAGAAAGTTGGATAAGAAAAGTCCTGAGCGGCAAAAATTCAACCGAGCAGATTGAAAAATGGTGAAAGTCTGAGAGAAGGAGCTGAAATCTGAAATTATCTGATGAGGGAGGTGAGGTCTGTAAACCAGGAGCACGAGGGCAAATCAGCAAGAAGCACATGAATAATCTACAACATGAAGGTTACAGGTGATGCGGTTATGCTCTCTTAGGAGCTGGGAGGAGCTGATCCTGGATCCTGTCAGAGCTGCTAGGGGTCGACGAAGAGCGGGTCAATCCTCTAATTAGCAGATAAGCGTCTCCATACCTGTAGTTGACATATCTGAGTGACCTTGGGCGAGACACAAGGGGCGCGGGTCGCCCCTCAAGGCGAAGCAGTTGTTGTGGGAGCGTGATTGGATTATATCCTGATGGGCAGCCGAACGCTTTGCATCGCCGCCTCCGCAATCGGTGAAACCCCGCCAGAAAGCTTCACGAGTTCTTGTATGTGTGCTAAAGTGCAGCTCTTCAAAACCAGACTTTTTTTTTAAACGTTATCTCCTTAAGCGAGCTCGTCTTTGTCCTCTCTGACCTTTTGCTTTCGAGTCTAGACTTCACAGCTTTGGGCCGTGCAGCGGCAGCAGACAGCAGGAGAGAGGACAAACGAGTTGAAAGGGCGCCCAAAGTGAAGGTGCCTCCACTCGCGTGCGATCATTACCGTCTTTGTATTCTTCCGGCGCTTGCTGAGTCCGGTAATTGAGAGCTGTTAGAAAGGCTGTTCTATAAAATCCTTGACTTTGAGTTTCCATAGTGAGCGAGGTTCATTTTGAAAGTTCACACAAGGTAACGGCATGTAGAAAGGGAGCAGGGTCAAGCTGAGAGACACAGATATGAATAGCTGCTCTTAAGCCTCCCACAGTCGAATCTTTCATTTCCAGAAACCATATTTGTCGGAGGCATATTTTCTCCCCGGCGATCAGTGAGCGACGATGTGAAACAGTGGGAATAAAAGATTGGATGCATGTCTGCTCTTGGCTGCCACACTTGTGCCCTTTTATTCAGTCAACTTCGTCGTTCCTCGCAAGTTTCATGATGTTTCCTTGAACCCAGAAGCCAGGAAAGAAGAAGTGTGTCCCAGGACCATCATGAAGAATCCGTGTATGTGTCTTTTTTCTCCTCTTAACCCCTGGATTTAAAGATCTGCGTGGGTATCCGTCGGTCATCCAGATACTTTTGCTACATCAAAAGACTTCAAAGATTGTTTTGATCTCCAGAAAGAGATTTTGACCTGATGAAATCAGGATAATAGGAGTTAGATGGATGCCGAGCGCAGTCAGCTCCGCTCCAGAAGTTCCCCACCTTTGAGAACCTGCTGCGCTTCAGGCTAAAAAGTAACCATTGAAATATGCACTCAAATGTCTCATTTACAGCCTCTTTGATAGAAATGTGCCTTAATAAATCAGATATTCACTGGAGCACATGTGTGAGAGCTCTGAAATGATTTTTTGGGGTGAGAGGTATTAATCAGCAAATTGGATCAATCAGTCAGTGAGACGAGGATAACAGAGTCTTCAGAGGGACTTCAAAAAGGAGAAGAAAGACCTCAGCTCTGTTATGATAAACCCAGTGAACTGTAAAGGCTTGACACAGTTATTTAAAGTGTATAGAAATCATGAACTTTCCGAGGAGTCATAAACCCCGTGTCCTGCAAAATAAAAGCAGTAATTTTCTGTAAAGTTGACCTCAACTAAACACGTGATTTCAGCCAACTTAGATTTGTGTGTTTGACATCATGAGGTGTTCATAGATTTGGTTAGATATTAAGTTAGGATGCCAAACTTGTGTAAGTCACTCCAGTGGTGCACAACTCTTACCTATTGACTGTCTATAGAATGGACAGCGTCTGCCTCCTCGCTGGGTGAAGCCACTCCGAGAACAGCACCCTCTGGTGAGAGGCTGCAGTATAGGTCATAAATCCCGCCTCCGCCAGCAAAGCTTATGGAGCTGTGGACAAACTTTAGAAATTTATTACCCAGAGTATAAATGTTTCTCCCCCCTGCTTGCAATGTTAATAATAATAACACATTTTATTTAAAAGCGCCTTTCTGGACACCCAAGGACACATGTTGACATGTAGTTACTGTCAGACTGGTTTGTGCTCAAGTCCTCTGTTTTCTGTTTTTAAAAGTTATTAGGGGGTTCATGTTTTCTGTGCTTGACACTTGATACAGCCGATAGGCGTACGAAGATTGCGTAGCTCAACCGGGGGATACCCTGTTTGAGCCGAGCGTCATCACAGCGACTCTCGGCGAGTCTCCCGCCGAATGTGTACAATGCTACTGCGCAATGTTGGTTTCAGGAAGTGGAGAAAAACGAGGAATCTGTACATCGGCGGAAGGCGGAACCAGGGTATCCATAGTATATATAGTCTATGCTCTTACCTTATTACTGTAATGGTTGGGCTATAATGGAATTTGCCTTTTGTACAATGTGTGCAAATTAACAATTGAGCTCATACCCAAAACTGTTGACTGTACCAGGCTGCAAACATGTTTAATTTTGTTGTAAAAGTGCACATTTGAGCAGAAGACCTATGGGGATTCTTCAACATTTGCAGCCAGCCTCTAGTGGACATTCAAGGAACTGCAGTTTTTTTTTTTTTGTTTGTTTTTTTGCGCTTCTGCATTGACTTTATTTTTCTTAACCTTGGAGGATTGGCTGAATGACATAGGAAGCTGATTCGCATGATAAACAGAAATGGGTTTTATGCTTTTTTCCTCTTCATCCATCTCTTTGCTTCAGCTCAGAGTAAGCGTCCCTGGGGGGGGGGGGCAGCAGTCCAAGCAAGTGGACCCAATTCCCTCTTTCCCCAACAACATTTTCAAGCTCTTCCTCTTGCGTTCCCAGACAAGGTGGGATATGTAATCCCGTCTGTAGGCTCTGGACCAATCCATGGTTAAGTAGTACCCCAAGGCCAAGCAGGACTGGTAATAGCGAGTAACATACATCATATTGGATTTGAGAGCTGCAGTTTTATTTGAAATTGACACCTCAGTGAGTCTTTTCGACATTAGCATGGAAGCTACGTCGCTCATGTCGATTATGTAACCATGACATGTGCGCCTCAGAGGAATAAAACACGCCAGACTTTTGCTGCATAGACGTTAAATATAAGTATGATGCAATTCGGCTTTCTCATCTTTTTCAAGGCAAAAAAAAGCCCGAATTGTCCTACAACCCTCTGAACTCAGCCTGAACTTAAAGAAGTGCAAGAAGCTGCAAACATCTTGTCAATCTACTCGTCTTCTGAGTTAATTCGAGTAGTTTGAGTAACACGGACATGACTGATTTTCCTCCTACCTTTAACTGAAAAAAAAAACCCGATGAATTATAAATGAAGTTACCTGCTCTGTCTGGCCTGTTTCCATCCTCTGCACCGTTTGTTTATCACAGTAAGGAGAAGGGAAGGGGAAAAAAAAAAAATTGCTCTGAATATGTGAAAAGCTGGAACACATTTATAGCGAGCCTCTCCACTCCGAACCCACCTGCCCTCATTGATGTGGCAATTTCACACAAAAATACAATAATAGCACATGACCCGGGCCATCCACTCCATTGTCGCTTCACAAAAGTCCCCTCCGGCTACAGATGCAGGAGGTTCAGGAGCAAAAGAGCCCATTTCGGCGGGAGCTTTGCCCTGCGAGAGCCGTACAAATTCTTAAGAATGCCTTTTTTACATTTAGAGATTTAATGTTCAGTTTTCACATTTTAGCTGCAGAGCTAAAATCCTTAACGCACTCTCAGATATTCCAATTTGAATTGGTGCGCACAAAGTAACAGCAAAATTGGCTCCTCTGAAAATTGCATAAATCTCATTTCTATGGTCTTAGAAAACGCGGCCTAATACTAAATGAAGCAGAAGTCCAGAGGCCATTTTTTGATTACCACGAGAGAGTTCAGAGGAAATTTCTAACTTTGTACACACAAAAGCTGACTGAATAGCCTAAATATCAGTTAGAGCACATCTGCTGTGCTGCAGTGTCTGTATTAGGAATACAAATAAACCGTGACAACAGCTGAAGAAGACTCTCCCAAGAATTACACCGAAACAAGAAAATCAGTCTGTTTTCACTCCTGCAGGTGCTGCATCTGTTTGGACTGTCACTCCAAGTCAAGAAACTGAACTCTCTTTCTGAGGCCGTGTTCACTTCCTCTGACATCTTGATCGCTGCCTAACAAGGCTGTGTTTGTGCACTCTTTATTCACATTACTGTTATATTTAGTAGGAGTCTTATTGAGGATCTATCATAAAGATATCTGAGTGTGACCTTTGACACAATTGCTCATCACATCCTTCCAGATCAGACCTGGGTATTTTACGGTGCCTGAGGGCCACATCCGGCCCTTTGGATGTCCCTGCCCAGCCCTTCGTGAGGTGCATTAATCAAATCATCAACATGCTTTTATTTTGAAAACCTAGCTGTGCATTTGTCTGCATTTGTGAACAGAGACAAGTTTAAACATCTGCAAAGTATACGTAGACGCCTTATAGTTGCCAAGTCTGCTTATTATAAAAGACTTTAGGCTTGTTTCTCTCAGAAGTCGCTTGTAAAACTCGTGAGTCACTGATGCGCTTTTTTTGGGCTTGTTTTTAACTAGTAGTTGCTTATTTGGGCTTTCTTTTCTGTATGTGTGAAGATATTGTTGGTTCAGCACTGGTTTGAATCAAACTTCTCTGGCTGCACTCAGTTCATAAAACTTAAAGGGATACTCTGGCGTAGATTAATTTAAGGTCAAACATACTGTTACACCGAGTTAGACACCCCGTCAAGAGATGAATGTTGCCGACCGCTTGCTTCTCTAGTTATACCAACTTTAGTAACGACCGGACGATAGCAATACACAGCAGTCTGAGGAGCCATAAACAAACCTCAACCAAAACGCCAAATAATGCTCAGAACAGCACCTAACTTCATCAACAGGACATATAGGGTCACAGACATAGTACTAGACACCAAACATCTTTTTAACTTTGCCTAAGAGACTTAACACAACTCACCTACTCTCTTCCAGCAGCCGCTTGTTTGTAGCGAGACCAGTTCTTTACGGACTACAGCGGGGTGACGCAGCTCAAGGAAGAACATTTATGATAATTTCTTCATGGAAATGCAATCAGACTGAGACGCTAAGACAGAAGAACTACCACGTCTGCAGAGCAAAATGATTAATATGGTGATTATTACTCCAAGGAAATGATAAAGTAATGTGTTCCCCAGGGTTCTGTTTCGGCCCCCCTTCTGTTCATTATTTACATACCTCCTCTTGGTCATAAATTCAACATAAATTTCTATTGCTGACACCGAGCTTTACCTTTTCACTAAACCCAACTTCCTGTGTGAATGTCTGAAGGAATTCAAATCCTGGCACTAAATCTACTTTAACCAAATCTGACACTGATTACGCAAACTTAAGCGAGTGAACAATTCTGCCACCTGCGTCATTTCCACAACTTCATCCAGCAATCACATCACCACAGTTATTATTTTTCTTCTTCTTCTTCCTCTTAGGCACAATAAAGATGTTCGCTGCTGCCTCTGGTTCAGTAAACTGAGCCCCAAACTCTTCCTCCTCCTCTTCGCTGTTTGTTCTGCTGCCCAGGTCAGAAGGACCGGCTGTGACACTCAGCTGTTTTTGATGTCCGAAACGCCCTTCACCGCTGTGATAGCTGAACGGACTGAAGTGTGCCCCCCTCTGGGCTGCCTCAAGGCAAACAAACTTATCTTGACCCAACTCTTCCCCCCATTTTGCACCCCCCACAGCTGGATCCACTGATACTGAGACCGCTGTTTTATAGTATACACCAGCAGCTTTTTGGATACAATAAAGAGAATCGAGTTAAAGTTGGAGAAAAATCTGTCTGACAGCTGGAGAAAAACATGACAGATTATTTCTTATTTTCTGTTGAAGCACAGTTGATTTGCTTTTTCATGTCTCTATCGCCGTTTTTATTTATTTTTTCGGGTGACTGTGAATGCAGCGCTGCTTCCTTGGCTCCCTGTATATTTCCCCAGGGTCTGCGGTGACTCCAGTTGCCAAAAAATCAGTAATGAGCCTCAGCAGGAGAGCATGTAGGTGTGGTTATGGATTACTATTCCGTTGTCATCGCTCATTCGTAGAAGAAAGTCCCGACGCCTATCAACCCAGCGCCGTGTGGTGTCAGGTTATGCACACACTTTTGCACTGTGGATGCAACCTCAGCCGGGCAGGGAAGTGCTCACATGTAGATGATATTAAATGTACAGGTATAAATCATGTCTTGCACTCACTGTTTAACACTACGTCTGACATAAAGCACTTTATATTCATTTGGCAGCTGTTCAGCTACAGTGCAGACAGTCAGAACAAGACAAAGTACAGTATAAGCCTTTAATGTACAACTGCTGGAGTGAAAAATAAGGTGGCATCCCACACACACTAATCCCAGCTCCCAAAGTGATTGACTGCTCTGTTTTCAACACTGCACAACATCTAAATGAAGCATCTAAATAACTAATGCAGTCTGATGCTGTTACAGGTTTGTTTACCTGAGTTGTGTGTGTGAACAGAGGAACAAAACAGGCCTCTGTTCTCGCCTCTATATATAAATATATATCCTCATTTTCGAGCTACTTGTCAAACACTAAGTTTTATAGCCTTTGGTCAATATTTCTGTGTAAACACACGGTGTCCTATGCTGTCAACTAAACTTAAAAGATACAGTCCTGAATGTTTGAAGGATGTCAGATGTTAAATAGGAATGTTAACGTCAGTATTCTGGTACGGGAATATGAGCTGAAATGTTTTGGTCGAGCTTAGAATGATGACTATGAAACGGAGACATGGTTAGAAAAAGATAACATCATCGGCGTAGAGATTGAGCTGTGATACAATGTAATGCATTACAATATGATACAGTACAATATATGAGACAAGTACAACACACAATGTACATAATGATAGGCTACAATATGATATAAACATAGACTTTATATAGAATGGACGCCATCTGCCTCCTCGCTGGGTGAAGCCACTGTGAGAACAGCACCCTCTGGTGACGGGCTGCAGTATAGGTCATAAATCCCGCCTCCTCCAGCAATCCCTATAGAGTTGTGGACAAACTTTAGAAATTTATTAGACAGAATATAACCCCCCCGCTTGTGATGTTGACATGTAGTTACTGTCAGACTGGTTTGCGCTCAAGTCCTCTTTTTTCTGTGAAGCTCCATTTTTAAAAGTTATTAGGGGGTTCATGTTTGCTATGATTGACACCTGATACAGCCTATGGGCGTACGAAGATTATATCACCTGGGGGATACGCTGTTTGAGTCGAGTGTCATCATAGCGACTCTCCCGCCGATTGCGCACAATGCTACTGCGCAAGTGGTGAAGTGCATACAATGCTACTGTGCAATGTTGGTGTCAGGAAATGGGAAAAAATCGCAGAATTACCGAGAGCTTTTCGGCTTCATATCCGTTTACTGGCGGGAGGCGGAACCAAGTTGTCCATAGTATTTACAGTCTATGGATATAAAACAATATATGATTAGATGCAATCTGTTTTGATATAATATGATGCGATACGATACAACCCAATACAATCTGATACGAAAAGATACGATGCAGTCCGATATGATACAAAACAATATGATACAATACAATGCAATACATAATAAACATTACAATTTGATACTTTTTGTTTAAGCTGATGGGAAACGACATTGATACAATACTGTCCGAGACAATGTGGTAGGATGTATCTTTATGATAAAATACAATACAATTCAAAACATTATGAGACGATACAATACCATATAATTTGATATTTTTCATTTATGATGTATGCAACAATATGAAATGATTCATCACAATAAGATACAACCCAGAATAATATAATAAAAAATATTACAATTCAAAACAAAACGACAGGAAACGATAGAAAATTATACAATATGTAAACTACAGATACAAAAAGTCAAGAGATGATACCATATAGTGTGTTCCCATAAGATTTAACACAGCACAATACAATTATGAAGACCAGCAGATATAACATGATACGATACACTACTATACGATAATGCATACCAATATTATCACACAATATACTTGATGAGACAAAATGTATGATCCAGGATATTCACCAGTCAAAAAAACGTCAACATCTTGTTTAAATGATAAGATTAAAAATGATCAACTCTCCTACAATTTTCAGTCTTTTATCAAACACAATTTGAAAGAAAATACTTTGATTTTTTCCAACACTTTTCTCCTCAGCTCCTGAGGTTTTTACCTGCAGTAATTTCCCCTCTTCCCTGCTAACTCGCCACTTGAAATCACAACAGGAATTAGAGAAGATTTCTCGAAATTAAAGCGCACTTTTCCTCCGAGATTACTCCCAAACATCGAAAAAAGGACTCTAAAAGATGTGGCAGCACAACTCGAGTGTTCTTCAGGCAAACTTGAGTCGTCAGCTCGAACTGGTGAGAGTTACTGCTGGTAAATCGAAGACAGAGAAGAAACTTATATTGAGCTAAACGGTGTGAACCCAGATAAACAAAGAGAGAGAGAGTTTTGCTGCAGTAATCTTGTCTTTTAAGAGGAAACATGATCACTGCTGCTGGTTTTTAATGGCATACATGTAAGGAAATCGAAGGTTTGATGTATTTGTATTACACCCTGCTATCAAACACATAAGCAGTGTCAGGAGAGCTCTGCAGCAGTGGGAACAAACACTCTCAATGAACCATGATGGAGGAAAATAAATACAGAACCTATGCTGCTGTCCTGAGGTTGAACTTTGAAGGTCTGTTCCAAATCAGTTTAGTGTAATTTCACACTGTCATTCTAAGTTGGAAGAGGGAGCCATCAAACACAGCACGCCTAATATGTTGTTTCTTCTCTAATGGCTGACTGCTTGGCTCTCAGATCTGAGCGCCTTTTGAAGTTGCGCTTCCCTCGGCTTGATAAGTGTGACTAACAACCAACAGCGGGTTGCCACCGAGGAGCAGCAATATTGTTAAAAGTAATAGAGGTGTTATCTCGCTAATGCACTTCTTATTTTACAACCATTGGAGTGAGCATCAGCAGGGGGACTCGGGGAAGTGTCGAGGACAACACTGACGCCTTTCAGCTGCATTTTTTACAGCTGCAAGTTGAGAAGATGCTCGTGGTATTTTATGGAGCCGCAGCTTGTCTTACAGTGTGTTTACTGCGGAAGGGATGAATCGCACAACAGCGGCGCTCAACCTAATGAAAATAAATCATAAATGATGACTCACAGAGCCAAAGTGAATTATACACAGCAGTATCAATCCCCGGATTTTGTTGGGGTCGCAGGTTCTTGAACCCAGATCCCGGAGATTTGAAGGAGCTAATAAGTTCCTGTTTTCAATACAGGGCTGAATTATGAAGTAAATCATAAGTGACTGGGGAGAAATGAGCCTTGTGCACTATTAGAGCAAAGACAGGGAGTCGTTTTGAATATTTCTAGCTGTGTAAATCCTCATCTGGAGAAAATAGTTCCCCGAAAATGGTCTCTTTTCTCTTGCTGTGCGCAAACACAAACAAGTATCAAGAGCCTCTTAACACTGGCTGATAATCTGCAGCTCCAAATCCTAAATATGCACGACTCCAGAAACACTATTTGGCTATTTATAAAAGCTGTTATTTTTATGGGCTGAAATTTTCATTACGCCTCTCGGGAAGCAGCTCAATCAGTAATTTAACTTCAACCCAAGATAAGAAACCGACAACACTCGGAGATCCACTTTGTGTGTGAAGCTTTCCCACAAATAACCACTTGTTGAGATTTAATGGACACGAGTAAACAAAGGAAACAAAGTTCTTGCACATTATAGGAAAAAGAACAATGAGAAAGTTACTTCATGCACATAAACAGACTTAAAGTTTGTCCAGATTCTGGTTTATTCTGGTATTTTGAATATGAGCTGATATTTCTGCCATTATAGTTTGCTTTTGTCATGCTGATTCATTTCTAGATATTAATTGTTTTACTGAAAATTGTATTGCAAACCCCAGTCTATAGTCTCTATCTCATGTGCCCTGAATCTGACCCCATTAGCCTCCTGTGATTTAAGCGTGGTACGATTTGCACAGCAGCTCAGTCACTGGGAATAAACCTCGTCTGT